TATTAGTTAATAATACCATATCATCGACAAAAAGACATAATATCACGATTGAATCATTGATTTTTTTATAAAATACACAAGGCCATCCTGGTACAAAATTCATATGACAACTATTAATAATAAAATTGGTTATCTTCTTATACCAGTTTGCACCAGACTGTTTCAAACCGTAAAGTGATTTCTTTAGTCTATGTACTGTATTTCGTAATCCTAAATGGGGTGGAGAACGAATGTACAGTTCTTCTTCCAATGGAGCATACAAGTAAGCAGATGATATATCTAATTGTATAATATCATAGTTGTTTTGTAAAGCTATTGATAGACAGGACATTAGAGCGTAATGGTGAACAGTGTTTGACATCAGATCTGGTTGATAAGTCGAAGCTTTTTGTTGGTCTCCCCTAGCAACTAACCTGCATTTGTGATGACCATCTCGCTTGACACTAAAAATAAACATAGAGTTAATAATTTTGGATTTGTCTACTTCTGTAGCTTCAATAGTTTTTACCGACCAGGTACCCATTTTCGTCAGCTGAGATATCTCTTTATCATATGCTTCTTGGAATTTTTCTTTTTCAATTGGATCCCTATTGTGTGTGATTGCTTGAAAATATTGTAATGGACCATGCTGGTTGTTCTCTTCACTGCTGACCTGGTTTATGGTGTGGCGTGTAGCAGCAATGTAATTTACTGCATATGTTTTTGTAGTTTTCCTACGTTTACCAATACGTGCCTTAGTTCTTTCGTCCCTGTCTCGCTTCTGCCGTTCTTTGGCATCGACAGGTTCAGGCGTTTCTACATTGGTGTTCTTTTGACGATTACCAGATCTTGTACCACCCAAGGTACTATTGTCAACGTAGAAATTATCAGTAGGAATGGGGGTGAGTTTTGATGAACGATTACTAGATGGTGGTGTAGATGAAGATGTAGATGAAGATGTAGTATCAGTAGAGACAGCAGTGGGCAGTGGTGATGATTCATCAGAAGTAGGATGAGATGAAGGTTCAACAAGAGTTAAGGGTAGTTGATTAGGATCATTGATGTCGATGGGAGTGATTAGTTCCTCTAAATCAGAAGAGGTGGGATGAGTAGTGTGGTTGTTAGATGGATTTGAATTGGAAGTAGTATTGGTGGTGATATTCAAATCAGCATCAGCATCATTTTGAATTAAAATTTTATCTTTAAAGAGTGGATCTTTGTTAACGAGGGAAGATGATTTGGGTGATGAGGATAGAGTAGATAAAACTGTATCTTTATGATTATCAGAAGGTGTGGCTTCAATTTCGTCCTTTGAAGATGTAGTATGTTCAAATTTTGATATAAAAGTTGTGATGAGATCGTCGAATATAGAATCATCATATTCTTCATTTTCATGAATATCAACGTCATGTTTAATTGGAACAAAATTGGATGAGGATACCACCCTACGTTTAGTTGGGAGGTAAAATAAATAGCCATAAGATTCAGCATCTGGTATTAGAGCAAAACCTTTTTCACCTCTGACATGTAATTTGGAGGCAGTTTTATTGAGGTTAATAATGACCGGTTGACCGAATGGTAGCAGTGACTTGGTATCAAGTCCTAGTAAACCGACTTTAGACCGAGGTGAATCCCTCATAGAATTGTTATATATGGAATTACGGATTATAGTTGCATATTGCACAGCGTAATACCATAGGTGGTGTGGGAGTTTTGCACTATTCATAATAGTACGACAATCATTTAATAATGTTAAATTTAATCGTTCCGCAACACCGTGAGCTTGGGAATCACCTGCGTCGGTATAAACAATTTGAATACCGTTTTCAGAAAGAAACGTTTTTACTGCAGAGTTGGTGTACTCTGTTCCCCGGTCAAACTGGAATTTTAATATGGGGGTTTTGAATTGTCGCTCAATAGTCGCAATAAAGGACTTGAGGACATGTAGGATCGTTGCATCATCTTTCCTTTTTAGTAAATAAGTCCACTTAAACTTAGATGCCTCATCAGTGAACGATATAAACCATTCAGGTTTTGTAGCCACAGTTACTGGTCCAAACAGGTCAGAATGAATATATTGAAATGGTTTGAACACCTGCTGGTATTGCAGACGTGAACCAACAATATGTGGTCTCTTCCTGCTTTTTCCTTTGAGACAGTCCTGACACTGAAAATTGTTAAGGTTAGACCAATCAATTTCGTCTATAGATAGATTATTGAAGGTTTTATTTTTGATGGATGTATAGATTGACTGAACATTGACGTGACCTAAAATGCGATGAATCATGTCTAAAGGAAATTTAGTTTTTAACGCATTTACAGATTTACGAGTTGCAGTAGATGGAAATACAATATGATGATTGGATAACCAATGTAAACCATTTGAGGAGTCAATGTTTGCTGCAACATCACCATTAGCATCTTCAATGGTGTTGAGACGCTCGTTTAAAAACAGATGGTGAGAACGGAGATCACTAGTAGATAAAATGGTGTGATCAATTGTGGGTGTGTAAAAGGCATGAATTTTTATTTGGCTGCCATTTAATGTTTTTAGAATTAAATCACCCTCTTGATCGTATGGGATATCCGTGTTGGAGCATGAGGTTATTTGAACAGATTCAGGATGAGAGTCACGAAGATTGTGCAACATCTCTTTATGTTTTACAAGGGTAACCGTAGCACCGGAATCTAGCATCATATAATATGCAGGATTTAGTGAAGTTGAAATAGGCCTAAGTAAGGTTGGATCGACTGGGTTATTTTGTTGAGGAATAGAGGTGCTATTTGAATGGGTTTTAACTTGGCTAACCTTTTTAGAACGAGCTTTGGTAGATTTGGCTTTTGGCTTAACTGTTGAAGGAACTGTAGTATTTTTGGTGTTCAACACAGTAGATGTGTTGTTTGCTCGTTTATTCACTGATGGATTTGTTGGATACTGTTTTTTTGAAGAAGATGGAGGATTAGGGGAAAAATGTGGATCGGAAATTTGTGAAGCTTGATGGTAGTATTGATATTCTCTCTTGATAGAAGAGAAAATGTCGTTTATAGTATATGGGGTATCACTCTTAAAAAAGTGTTTAGAAATGGATTCGTAAGTACCTGTTAACGTATCAAGAATTGTTTGTTTTAGCAGGTACTCGTGGGTTTGAAGATCCGTGGGGTTCAATTGATCAATTAAGTTATGGAGATAACTTGTAAATTGAAATGCTGGGTAGCCACCATTATATTTTAAAGATCTAATAGTGTTGATAATGGTATTGACATTACTGCGTTCAATGTCGTATGTCATGGCCTGACGAATAACATCATAGGGATGCATTTGCTTGTGAAAGCATTCTTGAACCCAATCGGGATAACTGCTCTGAGGAACAAGGGTGAAAAATAAATTAATTAAACCTTGAGATTCTTCTGGCGTTGGATCTCTTACAGTACGATCGTGTGAATCAGGAACCAAATCTTTTAGACCAGAAGCAATCAAATGTTTTATTAAGGAATGAACCCAGGAGTTAAATAGACCAACACTAGAGCAGTAAAATAAAGTAGTTGGAATGTATGGGTTGTTATATGTACATGAATGGTTAGGTGAACCTGGAAACATTGGTTGGATTGGATTGATGGGAGAATAATATCCCGGTAGTTGACCATAATAAGGAAATGGCATATAAGCGAAACCAGTTGGTTGTTGGTAACCGTTTATTGGAATATGATGGTCATATGATGGACCATTAGTACCAGAATCAGGATAGGATGACTTTCCAGCCTGAGAAGGATTGTTCGGCGTGGAAGAACCGTATGGAGCAGATTGCTGATCTGGAGAAGCATTGTTTCCAGATTCCCTAGAAGATGGGTCAACATCTGTTGTAGCATTTAAATTATGTTCCAACTGAGGGTTGGATGGGATGTTGGATGCAGTGGAAGCGTCTTGACTGGTATTTATGTTAAAAGCTTTAATACCAGCGCCCGTGGAGGGATTTACAGCACTAGGATCACTAGTGTGTCCAGACAGAAAGCTACCATGTTGAGAATGAGCGCCTTTATTCATTGGATATATAGTAAACATTCTCAATATTATATTAAACAGATTTAGTATACAAAATTATAATAAAGTTCTTCACTTTCTTTCTTTATATACAACATAGAAATAATAATATAGAAAGATTGTAAATAAGATAAAAATAATGTATGAAGAAATCCTTGGCTTTATATATGTTAATATTCAGCCATTTTCCTCTACGAACAGTAAGATATTTAATAAATAAACTCAACAACTTTTGGTGACCTCTCAACAATTATTACTCAACAATTTATCGTTTAGTGTCTGCTAAAATCTTATTGTTCTATCTATTTTATCATAAAACATTCTATTTCAACAGTAAATACAACAATATATATCCCGAAATAAACACATATCCAAGATTAATATATTAACAGATATTTGAAGCTAGTAGAATATATTACTAATAAATCGCAGCTAAACATATAATATGAAGGGTTGGGTAAGTATTGCTGAAATCGAACGTTCTGGAATAAATAAATAAACCAATTAGAGTTTAGAAAACATTAATTGATAACAAAATGTGGAGAATATATTGTCTGCTTATCAGTAGATGTAAATAAACCTTATCAATAATTTGGTGCCGTACATAGGTGAGATAAACCAGATATGAAAATATATAAAACCAACATTTTTTTCATATCATGTTTCTTCCCTTGTTCATCGTATATAATCATCCTTGTATACCATATATATATATAACATTGAGACTGTATACTATTTGTCTAATTATTACCAGTGCTGATTCTCCATAATTATATTCATACATGGATATTATTTGGTGTCATTTCTTCTTTCTTTCAACTAATTACATGTAAATCAACATCTCGAGAAAGTAAAAAAAAAATGTAAGGAGATATGAATTGCTTTAATAAAAAAAAAATCAGCACATTATATGTGGAGTAAGACAGATATGATGAAGATTGATGTACTTACCACATTATCAAAGATACATAATTAAGAAACTATGAGTAGTGTATTGTCTAAATTTAGATCTATTAAGGATATACTAAGTCGACCAATTATTATATTAGAAAGACAAATTGAATATGGGAACTTAATCTTTGGGTTTGAACAAAGAAATAGATACACATTGAGTGATACTGACGGTAGACCCCTGGGATACTTACTAGAAAGGGAAAGATCATTTTCTCAAGTTATACTTCGACAAATCACAAAATTACATAGACCTTTTATCGTAGATTTCTTTGATATTAATAATAATTTTTTATTCACATTACAACGTAATTTTTCATTTATTAATTCTAAAGTAAAAGTGTGGAACCAAAACACGAATGGTGTTACATTTCCAGAAAATTATTTAGTTGGTGTAAGTGAACAACGGTGGCATCCATGGAAAAGAAAATATGATCTTTTTGCCCAAGATGGTTTAGTGACAAGTCAACAACAAGAACCTCGCCAACTCAGTCAGTTCGGATATATTGATGCACCATTTCTTTCATATGATTTCCCTGTTAAAGATGAGAATGGTAAAATTATTGGAAGTGTGGATAGAAATTGGGTTGGCCTAGGTAGAGAATTATTTACTGACACGGGTGTGTATGTAATCAGGTTTGATTCTTACAGATCATTCAAAGGAGTTTATGACATATCTATGTTAAGCGACCATATTTTGAATCTGAATCAAAGAGCTGTTTTACTAAGTAATGCAGTTTCAATTGATTTTGATTATTTTTCAAGACATTCAAGGGATGTGAGTAATGGTGGAATTATATCCTTTAGTAACTATGAATGATTTGATAATTTACTCGATCCTATAAATGATGTGAACTTCCCAAAAAGTTTTTATCATTCTTTGCTTTGTTTTCTTTTTTTTTTGTGTATTGCAAGAAGTAATGAATCATAGCAAAACTGATGAATATATTAAAGTAGTATTATTATTTATGTCTATTTGTTAATATATAGTTTATTGCTTTGAAAGACCCATCAAAGAAAATTTTAACTTATCCGATTCAGAATCAACATTATTCATATATTTTTTAATTCTCTTGATAATAATAGGCTGATTAATTAAATCAACGTTTTCCAAATCAATTTGGTTCATTTTATTAACGTTTCCCAATAACAATGGTTCTTCTTTAACAGATCTTCCGTCTAACTCCCATAATTTTCCATCATATGAAATAAAACTAATAAAATGCAAGTTGATATTTGTTTCTGGGCCAGGATTAGTTGTTTCACCTGAAGATTCATTAAAATCTTGATTATGCTTTTGTATAAAGTTAATAATAAATTGGTCAATATTAGAACAGATAATTTCTTTGTTATTATTCAGAAATTCATCTAATGGTGATCCCTTACGTAATTTTCTTTTATTATTAATCAAAATATGTAATAAAGCATAGAGTCCACAAGCATTTTGAAAATTTTGTTTCAACCAAATAGGTTGTTCATCCTTCGAAATCAAATTACTGGAGTGATAATTTGGTGATAAAGATTCATTTTTTTGAATAGGGAATAATAGAACAATTGCAATTACTGGTCTTGGTAAAAATGCTAATAGTTCAGCGTCATCAATGGAAAAGATATCATTAAAATTATAAGAGGTACTCAAACCCAAATTATAAGCAAATCTATCAAAGACTTCAGGGTTGGATTCTAATGGTATAACAGCGGTTAAATCTTTATTCATTTGATTTAGAATATACAGTATGAAAGTGTTTATAAATTGCTTATAGATAGATTTTGATAGCACATATATGCTCTTTTGGAAGAGTAAAAATAGTTGACGGCAAGAAGAATGTAAACGAATAATTACTAAAGACTATTTAAGAAATATGTATTTATAATTGAAACTACTCCATAGTGACTTGATTGTTTATTTTTCCCTTTATATATCCCACGTAGTTTGAATAAAAGAAGAAAAAACCAAATATTTCCTTTTTTTTCAATGATATTTTTTTCATTTCTATCCCTTGTTATCTACAAAAAAAGGTTAGTATATTTCAATAAAGATAACCTTTACATATATTATTTTTGTAGCGACTAAATGTACTTGCTACCAAATGTGGATCAATAGTTGCATACATAGCCTGCTATTTCATTCAAAATAATGACATATCTTGCGAATTAAAATAGAATAGCGTATTTTTAATGATGTATCCAATTTTTAAGTACATAATATTTTTGAAATAGTTAGAAGGTAGTTACATAGAAAGGGATGAAAGTGAGTTAGGAAACTTATGTAAGAGACTCAACAATATCAATCCAGTTATCTGTGATAATTTTATAATTATGATCTCTTACGAATGATAACACTTTTCAGAATTTTGTTGGAAAAATTTTGTAAGTTTGAGCAAGTCATTTATTAACTCCACATATCATTATTAATAAAAATAAAAGTCAGGACATGAAATAGATATACAAATAAATGTTTTGAAAATATCAAATGGAAGGTTTTTATAGTGTCAGATGAATACTAACGTTAGATCAGAAGTTTATTATTATAGATAATTTCTATTCAATCTTCATCTTCATAATCATCTACAGCATAGAAATTCACCTTCAACCATAGACTACATGATGTACATTGAGTAAGTACTTGAAACATGCCATCCTGACTCTCTGCAGATTCTACAGCAAATTCCTCCAGCAAATCATCAGTCAATTTGAAACTCCCATTAGTTTGACATCTAGGACATTTTTTTGTATATTCTTCTGTTTCCTCTAGAAAATCAAAACTATCTAAAGACACTTCATCCACACCTTCACCAAATTTATAAACCCCGCTTTTCTTATTCTCTTCTAATAAGTTCTTGTCGTATTCCTTCCGTAGTTTTTCATCAGATAGAACCCTATATGCTTCTGTTATTTTATCGATTGAATGTATCTTTTGTGAAAGAATGCTTCTAGAATTTTGCAAATTTTGTTCTACCTTATCAGGATGTGTAGATAATAATAACTCCTTATAGATTCTTTTTAATTCACCAGAGGTAGTGCTTGGTGTAACATTTAATATTTCATAATACGTCTGTCCTTTTCTCATAATCAACCTTTTTTTTCCTCTTTACTATGCCGGCTTGTCAGGTGTGATTTGTCACAAGACAACAAATTCCTGTAAAGTTTTTCAAGAAGTGATATTTGTAGCTACCACAACAAAAAAACTGTTAGATTCTGTAGTTCAGACAGTTTATTATTCAATCGTACTGAGATAAGTTCAAATTCTTTTTAATATTTTTATAGTTGAAAAAAAAAAAAAGGAAAAAAAAAACCTAACAGTGTATTACTTTTGAAAGTCATCAATAAATATTTAAATAAAAAGCCTACATTATTCCTAATTATATTTTCCTTATATAAACAGAGAATGAGGAGTCTAGGTTTTAGTATCACACTTAAGAAGTAAAAAAATGTTATTCCATTCAAGGAGCGTTGGTACATTCCCAATCTGTTGGTTCATATGCTTCAGGGTGATCTAATAATTTCATTTTTTCGCCAGGAATTTCAAAATCATAAACTTTAAGATTTTCACGTAATCTGGCTGGTGTCTTGGTCTTTGGCAATGGCACATATCCATGTTGTAAAGACCATCTAATCAAAACTTGAGTTGGTGATTTTTTCAATTCATCAGCAATTTTAACTAAACCTTCCTCTTGCAATTTATAACCATGTGTCAATGGAGCATAAGCTTCTACCACCAGGCCTTCACTTTTACAATAATCTGCTAGTTCTTGTCTCATACACCATGGTGAGATTTCAATTTGATTAACTACAGGTTTGTATTTTAAACCTTCCCATTCAAATAAATCTTTCAGATGTTTCTCACCAAAATTAGACACACCAATATTTTTCACTAAACCTTCATCCACAGCTTCTTGCAAAGCTTTCCAGGTCTCAATTCTAAGTTTCTTACCACCCAATGGAGAATGCATCAATAATAGATCTATGTAGCCTAAATCTCCAACACATTTAACACACTCTTTGATTGCCTTTTTAGCATTATCATATCCGAATTGGGTGTTCCATAATTTTGTTGTATAAAAAATCTCATCTCTTTTAACCGTCGGATGTTTTTTTAACCAATTTGATATACCTTTTGCTACTTCATATTCATTTTGATATAAAACTGCAGTGTCAAAATGACGATATCCTTCATCTAAAGCTTTTTCAACAATAGAAGTAGTGTGAGATCTAGGCAAATCGTAAGTACCTAGAGCTATAGTGGGAATTGTATTATTAGACAGTAACTTATATTCTCTGGGGATAGACATTTTAATTCAATAATTAGCAAAACAAATATATAGAAAATGCGTTGTTGCGATATTTTCTTTATTTATTTATTTGTTTCTTTATCTTGGCTTTATTAGATATACTTGCACAGATACAGTTAGAATCAGAAATAAACTGGTTTTAAACACAAAGATTATTCAAGTTTTCCTTACTACTGTCAAACTTTCTAATCACCCCCCCCCCTTTTTTTCTGTTTTTTTTTTTATTTTTGCCTTTATAAATGTTATTTGGGAGATGTGAATGCAAAATATCCCACAGGAAAAAAAAATAAACGAAAAGATACGAATTCTCGAGGACCTTTCTCCTGCTTGCTGAGCTTAATTTGAAATTTTGATACCTAACAACAGAATTGAGGTAATTACCAGCTAACAACTAAAATAGTAAGGAGAAGATAACACAATGTATCGAAATTTTTTTCCTTTTCATGAGTCGAAGAAATAAGTGTATTTATTATATATACATTTATATGCAAAGAATATATCATATATGTGAAAAAAGTAGAATTAAGGTAAACGACGTGGGAAGTAAGGAGGGGAAAATGGCTCTAGCGACAATCATGAATATATAATGTCTAAAAAAAAAGAATAAACACGCTGTTATGATCACGTCAGAATGAAATTAAACAAGCGTATAGTCAAATCAAAGTATACTTATTCGATATTTTAAAAGGGAATAGTAGGAGAGGTGCAGATAATGGGTAATAACAGATGATTTGAGTCACTCAAATCAGTTCAATTTCTTTGGTTTACTGGCCTTGTCACTGAAAAACCCCAAACTTTCTAGATGCGCTCTAACAAATTCATAGACAGTGAAGGTAACAGCTTGTCCTGGGGCCACTCTCATAACTCTTGGGGTAATACCTTTATATAATGCAGCTACACCTTCCTCTTTGATTAAAGTAGAACCAATGGCAGTAATACGTTTCCATGAAGAGGTATTTTCCCTTTCACTTTTGATGGTCTTATCTTTTTGTAGACGAGTCTTAATAGTATCTAATGGAGCATTTGAAAATGGACCAATGGCGCCAGAGATCAACCCAATTAAAGACGTCTCCCATGATGGTAAAGAATCTGTACCATGGAATTTTTGCAAGAATTCTTTTAGCTTGGAGTAAACGGTGAAATTAGCACCCTGGTTAGTAGCTTGTCTAGCAGCTGTCAGAGAGACTCCTCTATAAAGTGCACCAAAACCTTCTTCTTTTACGATCATATAGGCAGTGTGAACAGCATTTCTGTATCTAGGAGCCGCAGTGGCAACAGAACTAGATGTAGCAGATACGGTGGTGGAAGAAACAATATTAGCAGTGGCACCATTTGGAGTAGCAGCGGTAGCGACAACATTTTTTGCAACTTTTACAGTAGGTTCAGGCAAGTGCTGTGCCTGTAATCTAATTTTTACAACTTCCATCGGATTCACCACCATAACAGCCTCAGTAACACCTGCCATCAGCCCGGCAATGAATGTGTTACCAGTCGACACTTTTCCGGTTTCTTTGTCTGCCAGTAAAGTTCTATACCACTCATATGAGGAGAATCGGATAGCCATCTTTGGGATAATCCCAATGGCCACAGCACCTAGCCCTTTATATAATGCTAAGAAACCTTCATTGTGATAGATGGTTCTGCCGGTTTTAATAAAACCTGGTGGTTTGGTACCTGGATGTTCCTTTGAGTTTGTTCTTCTAAATATTTGCATTCTAACTTTGATTGTATCTAAAGGATGACAACATAATGCTTCAAATAGACCAGCTGTACCACCTGCAATTAAATTAATGACTGGAGAAGATTTTTGTTTGTTGTTTGACATTGTTACAGAAATAATAATTATATATGTGTGGATGTTATGAAGGAGAATGTGTTGACAAAAATTTTTTTCTTATTATGTTGTTATTATTAGTTTGTAGAGATAAATGAATTATTATAAAGGTATGCAGGAAAAGACTAACTTGGAATGAATGGTATATTAACAAGTTATTTTATGAAATTATGAATTATTCTTTCTCTTTCTTTTTATTTGTGAGTGTATGTGATTTATTCAGACAAAAATAGGTTGTAATCCTATCATTTAGCACAAATAATAACTAATATTGCTTTTGTTATAACAAATTTTTAAAAGCACAAGACAATGGAACAGAAAGGATAAGAAAAATCGCACAGTACCAAGATTCTAACTATTAATATATTTATATCTTTCTGTTAATCAATATACTTTATATTTTCGCCTTCTTTTTCTTCTTCTTTTTGTGTATCATGAGTACTCGCACAAACAAACGAAAAGTTCAAGTATATCATTATATGGTTGAAGATTTTTTATTTGGGAATAGTTCCCCATTAAACCGAGATGTGGTGTAGGATTATAAAGCAATTCAAAAAAAAAGGAAGAGAGAGAGTGTGTGTGTGTGTGAAGCCAAACAGAAGAGAGGAGTGTACAACGGACAACCACAAAAGCGCAAGTCTATGTCGTTAGACAGAAATCTGGACTGCAACAGAACAACAATTGGGACAGGATAACCCACAGGCGTACAGCACCACATGACACAACACAAGAAAGATCCAGAAGCAGAATTAGTAATCAATAACACAAATAGTATTCGTTCTTCTAAATCAATTATTTATTCACCAGTTCAAACCAATTTTTCCATTTTTAAGAATCATTATTATCATCATCATCATTACAATGGTAATAGCAATAGTAATAATAATAGTAATGGCAATATTTATCAAGTGTCTTACAGCACAATATCCTTTTTGCAACTATTTAGCTGCCTATGGAGATATTTCGCCAGTGGATCGAAATGACACAATAAAATGTTTTTGTGAAGTAAGCCTTATTCATTAATTCATTCATCCAATAACTTCAACAACAAAATAAATTGGAAGTGAAAAAAAAAAGATAAAAGAAACTCCGTTAGTCCGAAGGTGTTGGGCACAATTTCATTTTGTCTTCTATTTTAGCATCGGAAAACCGGCGAAGAAAAAAAAGGGGAGAGTTGAATGAAAACCTTCACATGGTCACTGAAGTTTTGCAGGTAATAAAAAAAAATAAAAAAATAAAGAGAAAAAAAAAACAATAATAATAATAATAATATATGATGATGAATTGTTTAAGATGACAACTTTTTTTATAAGAGCTATCAGTCAAATTAATACATTATAATGTTTGAATAAAGATTCATGTTATTCTTTTGCCTTTAAACTTTCACACAAAAATAAATATATATTTATATTTATACAATATTAATAATTGAAGTTGTATTGTGTGTTTCCTACTAAAATAGTTTTTTTTTATTATTTTCTAAATGAAAGGGAATTAATAATTTACTAGATATCATTATCGAAGGTGTCTGTGCTTGTTTTCTATAAAATAAAATAAAATAAAATAAAATAAAGATGTGTATAATTTACCGACTGTTTAAACGCGCTGTGTATTGTTTTGGTTATATTTAATGTTTTCTATTCTTTTTTTTTTCTTAAAATTATATATTAGTCTACCATGATCTGTTCCTTATACTTGTAGGGAACTACTTTTTTTTTAAATGGCCAGGTAAGTAGAGTTTGATGTTTTTGCAAACAATGAATAATGGGTAGTTTTTTCTTTTGTTAATAAGAGTATATTTAAAATTTAAATAGGCTTGGAGGAGGGAAAGAAAGGGAGAGATATTTAGGGCTCATTTGTGACTACTTAAAAAAAAAAAAAAAAAAACACTACTTTACCTGGATAAAAGAAAAAAAATTTTTTTTTCTTGTGTTAATTTTTCTTTTAAAAAAACATATGAGTGTATATGGCAAAGAAGGTAAGATTCTTACTTATACATTATCTACTTGAGATATGACTATATAGTAATACTGAATATGGATGTAAGAAGGTTTTATTTTTTTTTTCTTTTTTGAAAACACATACATCATTATTTATTCTTGAACTTCTATTAAAAACTGTTTCAGATTCACTTGCATTGAAACTCTAAACATGATTTACAAGGATAATTACAAAATACCCTAAATCAACATAATAGAGTAATTTAAATAGAAAACTATGTAAGCTTTTATTTATCATAAGGATATTTTAATTTATTTTTTTTCTTTTTATTTTTGCTGTATATAGACTTTTTCATAAGAGACAATAGCAAACTATCAGAGAAATTTAAACCATCGTTATTTCTGTAATTTCCTTTTTGTAATATTTTTTTATTAATATTGATATTGATATTGGTATTGGTATATATGTGTGTGCGGGTTTAAACAAGTCTTTGAATCGTTTAATTTGTGTTTTTCTTTTTTTTTTCACATTGTTAATGTTTGGATTTCGTAATTCTACTTAATTACATCACTACACCTATTATGTTTTGTTGCAACAAAATGTCATTTAATAATCGATGGAGAAGTTGCCTATTATTGTTTTCGGATGTATGTCGTTTTACTAATTTTGGTTTTAATTGATTTGTTTTTATTTTTCCTTAGCTTTTGTTATTTTTGGAAAAATAAAACATTTCTGATCCAAGGCGCTTAAATTTGCATTGTGTTTTTTTATTTTTTTTGTTTTTAAAATTTGTTGTTGTATTTCCACTAAAAATAGTGGTATCAGAAGATAAATAGCCGCTGTCAAAATGAGTAGTAATACACAACAACAAATATATGACTATAATCATTCATTTGGTTTGTAATAAAGAATGAAAGAATGTAAAAGAAATGATAGTATATAACTCATACGTCTACATGTACAAATCCCTATTTTTTTTGGTTTGTTTGTTTATTTGATATCGATTGATAAATATATTCAAATAAACATATTGAAGGTTATGTTCTAGAATCTAGGAGAAGGATTGGAGAGGGGGGACCAGCGATACTAACATAAAATATTATCACCAACTGTAATTGAGCAACGGATATAAACCAAGGTATATTAGAAAAGGAAAAAGAAGTTTACACAAGAAAATAACAATGGAAGAATGATCTAAGAAATAATCACAAAACTGAATCAGAGTTTCTTTGTTTGTTTGTTTGTTTTGTTATTGTTACTATTTGTTTTCAAACCCCAGCATTTTACCGAACGACTCTATCTAAAAGTCCAGTCTCGTTATTTCTTTATTGGTATATATCTATAAGTGTATATAAATATCTATATATATATATAGAATTCTCTAACAACGTATGTGGAAGTTGGTATGACAATAGAGAACAAAGAAAGGGATTTCCATTTGTGTTGACAGTTAACTTAATAATAGCCACAACATTGACAAAAATATCACAATTAAGAATTGGCGCACTTAAGTGAATTCTTAATAGTCTTGTTGTTCTTTATTGATGTTAATTTATATATTACCTTTGTTGCAATTTTGTATTGTTGTTGTTCTTCTTAAAACAAAAGAAGAGAAAAAGGCACAATAGAAAAAAGATCCACAATTTTAAAAGTTTTAGTTCAAACCTCTATTATTTAAAAAAAAAAAAAGAGTTTTTCTTTTTTTTTATTTTTTATTTTTTACCAAACTAAGATAGATTAACATATCTCTTAGATTCGTATGCATCTGTAAATTAACATATGGCCATACATAAATGTAATATTAAATATTATTTTTTAAAAAAAGATATAGAAAGGGATTGGAGAAGGGGTTGCACTGAAGGAACCTGATGATTAAAGGTGTAATTTAGTTGTAGTAGTTTTCTTCTTTTTTTTTTTTTGTTTTTTCATTCTTTATTTTATTTTTAAAAAGAATCTTGAGTATTTAAAGAACGCCAAATTTGGGGTTTTTTTTTATTATTCTGCTGATGCTTTCATGGAATTCATAGCACTTGATTATCTAATAATATGTATTAATTAAGTTTATTTTATTTACTTTTTTGTTGTATACTCATTTTGGAAATCAGTTCCATAATTGAAGCATAACCTGTCACAACTACATCAACAGAGTTGGGAAATCGGATAAAACAGTTGTCGTGTAATCTCATACTCTAATATCTTTTTTCTGGTTTTTTTATTTGTTTTTATTCCCCTTTATTTTTTTTTTGTTTGGAGCTAATGACTGACACTTTTATACTACAGTTACCTGATATCGATGATAAGGTATATTATATACCAGAATTTAAACAATGCGAAACACCGATTACAACATTGAATATTGCTGGTGCAACTACAGAGAAAAATAAAATCAGCGATAGTAATAGTAGTAGTAGCTGTAGTGATAGCAACAGCAGTGATTTTTTATCCACTAATGATAGTTTTTATTATGGGTTTGATTATTATGATGTTGAAAGTATTTATGATTCTTATAGCAGTATTACTAATACAACAACAAAAACAAAAAATACAATTATGATGGATATTAATAATAATAATAACCTTTTTTATGATAAAAGTTTTAGTTTGGAATCTTCTTTGAATATTGAAACACATGTGAAGTATTTGTCTCCATATATTCAAAATAGTTTTGAAGACGATTGTGCAGACATATCAACTAAAAAAACTCAATTCCAAACACTGCCAATTATAGATTCACTAACACCTTCTTTTGAAGGTTGTCCACAACAATTTACTATTTTTAGTCCCGCACCTTTAAGATCAAATGATATATATTGCTCATTACTTCAAACAGAAAATTTGACTTATGAACAATATTTAAGGTCGAATGAATATAATAATGAAAAAAATATTGTTACAAATGGTTGTCAATGTGGCAATGATTATGATTTCACTAGTTATTATTCCAAAGATTGTTTAAAAAGAAGTAATAGCAAAAGAAAGAATAAGAAAAGGGATAAAAAATATAAAAAAAAGTATCTTGATCTTGATATTTTATCTACTTTTTCTAATTATTCATCGTTGTTTTCAAAAAATGATCAAAAAAACACTAAAATTAAAAAAGAGATCTCCAGTGATAAAAATGCAGATAATAAAAAATATAAAAAAAACATTGAAAAAATTTCACATAACAATATAAAAGAAAATAGACTAATTTTAAAGGGATCAGATTCACAAAAGACTGAAAACAAATTGAGTAATAATGTGAACAGCAACCTAAATTATTGCTCTTTTGATTTTAATTTTATCACAATAATCGAAACTAAATTAAACCGATATAATACAAAAACTTTAGGTAGACTTATCAATAGTGATTCTAAAAACCCAGAAAATAGTATCCATAACACTAATCAAGACATTATGGATAAGATTAGATTACAAGAAGTTTCTTATAGATTTTCAAAATCATATTTTTAATTGATGCTCCTAGCATGGCATAAAAGTAACAAAATTTAAATGAACCAATGCATACAGGTTAAACCACAAAAAAAAAAAAACAAATAAAAAGAAAAACAGGAATGAGGTAGCTATTTTATTGTGTTTAAGAATAATGTCTTTTTTACACAGTTTAGCTTATACATATCTACATACATATATTTATATTTGCCTTAATGCCTTTTGGTGTTGTTAATAGTGCTTAATAAAAAAAACAATTAACAGAAAGGTTAATTTCTATCGAAAATTACTTACAGATATATTTCTGTGTATATGTATTTTGGTCAATATTAACTTTCATGTTTACCTTTTTTCATGTAAGGTACCAAAACTTGTAACTTTATTGAGTAGTTCTTTAAATTCTCAATATTACCACTATATACCCCCAAAACAAAGATTACTTATGAAATGCTCTACTTAAAATTTGCAAAAAAAAAACTGGAAAAGAGAAGATTTAATTAAATTTACTTTGTATTTTAATTGCATATCTTTGTGTCATTTGTTGTCTTCAATCTTTCTTATATAATGCCAAACACTCACCTCAGGTTTTGATTAATTTCTACTCTAAGTAGAAAAGTTCAAAAAAAAAACATTTAAAAAAGTTAAAAATTTATCTTAACCCTATATTACTAACACAAATAAATTCTAAATTTTAACAATACCCTACTTAGTCAGAAGAAAAAACAAAATAAAGAAATGAATTCAACTAGAGAAAAATAACACAACTAGCTTTGTTTGCAAACCTTCATTTCTTTTCTTTCTACAACTAAAAGAAAAGACAATTAAAAAGATTCCTTTAAAATAGGTACATAATGAAAGTTCGGTATAATATACTCCCGTATGTCTTAAATTAGAAATCAACCTTATTCATTTTTAGCAACTTCACAGAAAAGTGTAAGAAAAAAGCCAACTAACAATCAAATCAATTTTAATTCATTCGATATGGAATCTAGTGATGAGGATGAAAAATTTTTATATGGATCGGATAATGAAGATCACCTTGTGACTAATCAAAAGTTACACAAAGTTGATCATACTAATAAAAACGAAACTTCAAAAAATATTCAAAGTACTAATCCAAAAAATAATACTACCACAGCACATAATAATGGACACAATAATGAAAATATAAGTAATAAGGTATCTACAGATGAGGACAAAGGAGATGATATAGATGATATAGATGAAGAGATAGATAATGACGAAGAAGAAGCAGAAGAAGACGACGAATATAATGTAGAATTTATTATCAGTTTAGGTCCAGACACCACGAGATTGGATGCCAGATCCAAAAATATTACAGGTTCACAAACAGCTGCCAGTGAAACTATTAGTGTAGTTTCTACCGAATCAACTGATATATCAGGTAAAATTTCAGAATTAAATAAAAATAAAAATGATACCCTAAGTATAAACGAGAAAAATTTAGATGTAAATGGAAAACCTGACAATATTGAGGCTGGATCCATTGACCTTGATAAAGATGGTCTCTTTGATGGAAGACCAATTACAGAAATTGATCCAGAAGTGTTAAAAGAAAAACCTTGGAGACAACCTGGTGCTAATATTAGTGACTATTTTAACTTCGGTTTCAATGAATACACATGGACAGAATATTTGCATAGACAAGAAAGATTGAGAGATGAATATAATCCAAGAAGAATACTTATGGGTTTACTCACACTGCAGCAGCAGGGTAAATTGGATATTAAGACTAATTTTGATCCAAACAAAAATGTAAACTCTTCTACATCCTCCAATAATATGATTAATAATAACAGTATTAATAACACCAACAGTCCTTTAAATATCAATAACAGTAACAATTCAAATATAACTAGTGGCAACAAAAACATAATAAACACTGGAATTAATAATCCATCAATGATAAATACATCATCTCCTGCTATGCCTCAGGCATTTCCTACTATGCCAATGTTTGGTGGGTTTGCACCATTTGGAATGCCAGGGATACTACCAATAAATCCCCAACCAAATATTAGAAATAATAGTAATAATAATAACACTATTAATAATAATACAAGAAATCAGCAACGATAATAGTATTACCCATATACCATACTTAAATAGTTGATATAGATTTTTAAACTAATATATGCAAATTTTCTTGAAAGAAAAATGAAGAAAAATCAATAGAATACAATTAATAATTGATTAAATAGATAACAATATGAATATTCAGTTTTATATAATTATAATTAATGCAAAGAAGTGTCTTTTTAGTATAAGTCTTAATTTACCTTTAAAGGTCATCGGCTAATCTTTTAATCCATGGTTGATGTGTTACATTCATCTTAATAATATCCTTTAAACATAAATACCATTCTCTAGTCTCCTTTCCAGATAGTTGACAATTAAAGCTAATTGTTTCATTATTTTTAAAAATCAATGTGAAACATTCACCAAACAAAAATAGATTAGTGAAATTTCTATATGATTTTCCATTAAAATTCTCTTCATCCATAGTGCTTATAATTTCTTTAACGTTCAAAAGATTAATGGTTATTTTTGGTTTCATAGTACTTTCATTATACCCAGTCAGATTAGTTCCACAAAGTTTAAAATACCTTTTTTCTATTAAACCATTCAAATCACCACCATCTTGTACAAGATACCCTTCCTTTGTAACGCTTTGCTGTTTCTTGAATTTTTCAGCCATTGAAATAGCATCTTTTAAGGTTTTTGGAAATTTTTCTAATGGATCAGTTCTTTCTGCATAATATGCGTTATATTTTAATGAAGCGATAACAAATGGCTCACGACGTAAAAGATCTTTTGATAATGTCTTCTGATTACTGTCCTTATTCGGAATCACCTTAGCCCACTGATTTAGCATATTTTTAGTATCAAATGACTGTTTATACTTCTTATGGTCCTCTAAGAAATTATTGCTAATAGCAAACTCTACTCTAGCAAACGATCCATCTTGTGCAAATAAGTAATCCCATTCATCATAATTGACCTTTCTTTCAGCAAATTTTCTTTCATAAATGTATTTGCTTTTACCTAATCCGCCAAATGATTTTCCAACACGAACTTTTTCAACTACTTCTACTAACTGTTTCTGCGGTCTTCTATATTTACATTTCAATGTGAGGTATAATTTTTCTTCTTTTCCTTTTGAAATTGGTATGCATAATTGATTGTCTAGAATTAAACATTTTTCATTAGATACAGATTTCCATTCCGTCTTTGTGACATTGATACCATTGTCTATCTCTAAACTAAACTGGGCATCGTGTTGCTTTATACTGATTAATTGAATTGACACGCTATCTAAGTTAATAAAAAGATAACCTGTTTCAGGATCAGAATCAGGAATCCTTTCATTTTTGGTCTGGTAGTGACTAACAGTTTCTTCCTGGGTTCTTACAAAACTATCAACTGACTGTTCCAAACTGATTATTTCTTCATTACTTTTTTTGACACTCTTAGACTTTGGTTTTCTTTTCTCTTCTGTTATTACCTTAAATGGACTAGATATATGTCCAGTAACCTTATTAAATGCTCTATTAGAATACGGAGATTTCTTAATCGGAGTTGTTGGAGAAATACTCACATTAGCACTTTCTTCATCGACATGGAAACTTTTGACACTATCAGCAATATTGACCGATGCCAATTTTCCTGGTGTTTTCAAAGTTTCTGAGGAAAATTCTTCACCAAATACATCAACAACCGAAACATCTCTAGAATGTTGGCACATTTCCAAATTTGTATTACAGGTAGATTTTGGCCATATTTCTATTGGATGATGAATGATACTTGCTGATCTTGATGGAGGTTCTGCTATCAAATTATTCAAGACTATTTCAAATTCTTGGCTCAAAGAGGTTATCATACCATTTTCAGTTTTATTTTTTTCAAGGTAATTGATTTTTGTATTATGTATTAACTTAGGTTTAAATGAATAATTAATATTTTCTACCTTTAGGTTTCCTTTTTTGTCATTTCTTTCCAAATAAGCAGCTGATGAATCCTTTTTCACCTTTAAGTCAAGAGCTGGTTCTTTTTTCTCCTGAAGACGCCATATAGCTAGATAATTATCAGGTTTCATCAATACTTCTCTTTCAATAGTATATGAAAAATCATCTTCTGGGCTAAAAATATCATCTATAAACTTGGACTCCAAAGCAGGTTCCTTTGGAATTGATGGGATTCTAACATCTAATTGTTTTTCATAAACCACCTGTTCATTATCACGAAGATCCTCACTTCCAGATACATTCTTAGTATTATTCCCAATATCTATTTTTATTCTAGAGGTGGACAAAAATACCTTTTCCCCTTTCTCTTTGTTTTCCTCTTCTTCTTTAAAATCAACGGACTCAGAGTATTGCCTTACTGAATGAGATAAAGATTCATTCATTGAAGATTGTTGTCCTTCGATATTTGTTTCTACATTACTCATTTCTACAGATTTCAACAACACGTTATTTGGTTGCATTTTATAGGCAAAAGAATCATATTGTAGTTCAGAAACCATGGAATTTTCTTGATTTATTTTAGCATTGTTTGTAATTAATGCTTTTGATGCCAACACACCTTCTCCTATACTATTATCACGCTCATCATTAGCATTATTTAGAGATTGTCTTTTAAATTTCTCACATCCAGTAGATCTAGAAAGCTGAGAATAATTTGACTCTGAATAAAATGAACATGAAGAAGGTACATCAGATTTTACCATTTCGCTATTTGTGACTGATGTAATTTCAATATTTTTCATATTCGAAGATATCGTATTGAAAAAATTATTTCCTACAGATATATTAAGATCTGCTACAGATTCCTCTGTTTCTGAGACTGGAAGTGATTTTGTTTGATTTTCCTTAGCTGACTGGTAGTCACCAATTGAGGTAGCAATACTAATCATTCTATTTTTATACAATTTTCCAAAATTAGATATCACTTCACTGGGTATTTTCTCTTTATCTGAACTATGCATTTGTTCATTATCATGTTTAACTGGGTCTGTTAACAAATTAAACTCATCCTTTATCTGTGTAGTAGAAAGTTCTATTTTATCATCATTGTAAGATGAACCTGAAGAATATCTAGTTGTTGGTACATCCAGGTTAAATTGTTCAAATATTCTATCTGTGCCGTTAGCACTCTGTATCTTTGCTACCGATTTATTTAAAAAAATATTAGCTACATTTTCTTGAAGGGACATATTATGAGCTATTGGGATTCTAGAGGGTGAATGTAGTATTTCTGGAGAAGATTGTATATTATCATTTTTATAGATATTTATTGGTGATAATTGATCCGATATTTGATTAAAATTATTTCCCTCTATTTCTGGAGTCAATAATGGAATAGTAGAGCCAAGACTAAAAGATCTAGGAAGTGATGCATGTTTTCTAATCCTTTCTAAAACCACAACATCAAGTTTTTCAGTACCATCTTCTGTCTCTCTGCTTTTACATGTTTCGCTTTTTACATCAGATTCACTACTTTGTTCTGCTAATATGTTGATTAATTTAAGAGAATTAGGACTCATTTGTTTTGTACAGGATTGTGAAAGATTAATATATGTACCACCAGACAAACTTTCTATATTTACATTTCCAATACTAGATTTTTCAGAATCATTGTGAATCTTTGACTGTGAGTTATTTGTTTGTTGTATCTTGAAAGGAGATGATAGAAATAGACTACTATTTGAATTTACTTGTGTATTAACTTCATCATCAGGTATCTTAGAGTCTTGCGTTGTTAAGTATTTGTCTTGTTCTTTTCGATTTAAACTTTCCATTATCTCTTCATTATAACTTTTTTCATTTTGTAACATGGAATTATCCAATTCTTTGTACAAAAGCTCTAAGGTGGTTTCAGGATCCATTGTTGTATTTATGAATTCTTATTTTCTAATTGTACCAAAATTGTTTTATATGATCTCAAAAAAATATGTACATATATATATATGATATAGTTGTTATTACAATAAAAGAACAACAACAATAGTAACAACAATAATATTGGCTAAAAGAGCCTTATCTGCTTTGAGTTTTAATTAGAGGTGTCAACAGTGCACAAACATATTCAATATAAAAGTATGATTTTGTTTACTGTTTTTTTAGATGTATTTAAGATACAACTACTAACCATCTTGATTTGTAGTTATATTTTGTTAGTAGTCCTTCAGAAAGTAAATAAACAAGAACAAGTCGAAACAAAAACAAGTTAATGTTTATATAATTTCCTAAAAGGGAAAACCACCAAATGGACGGGATGTTTACTCAAAGAATTTCCCAAACTGGAAATTGAAATCTGGAAACAAAAAAAGAACAATAACCAATCCTAGTTACCTTATTATTTATATTTTTCCCACAACGTTTCTATTGTTTTTTTTTTGTAAGTAAAAACAGTAAAAATAGAAAAAATCTGAGAATTTCAATTTACTAATAAGAAAATTCCACTAGTTAAACAATGTATTCTGCCAAACAACTATTAACACTTATTTTCAATCAAAAGTAACCTGTATATATAAACAAACATTATAAAACATTTAGTAACCGTTGTAGTTAAATGAATGTACGGCGTTTAGGACTTTCAGAGATGTTTATTAAGACCACACAATAGCAAAGTTAGATAATTTGTATTATGTATATTCTTTTTACTATTACTTATGCCATTAATATTAAAAACAGTGGCATATTCCAATAAAAAAATATTATGGCACACAACTTAGTACCTACTATCAGGTATTCCTATATTTTGCAGTAGAAGAAGAAAAAAAGCACATAACAGATTGAAGTTAAACAAGCAGGCATTATGTTGAACAAATCTCAGTACATAATACACATTCGAATATATAGTAATATTGGAATGTTTTTGGTTCTCCGACCGCCAATGAGTAGTGTATCATACTAAAAAATTGGCGTTTCGAAACAACCTGAACACTCTCTTCCCTCTAGGCCATATAATTTTTCTTACACATATACACATATATTATTTGTAAGTATCTTAAGATGTGTATTTAACATTGTATACCAACCGGGATTGTGTATTCCGCAGCGGTTTATGTAAATTCTTCTGTTTATTCCGTCTAAAAAAAAAGGGGGCTGCAACTTTTTCCTTTTATTATGTGGCATCAAAATTAAAAAATAAGAAAAAGAAACAAAAAATTTTTTTAAATGGCGCAGTTCGCCTTTTCTTTTTTCTTTTTTTCAGTTTTTTTTACTTATTTATCTAATTTTAAACCTTGGATCATCTTTTACGAGATATTGAGAATTTAAAGGTGACATATTATTAAACAAACAAACAAATGAATAAGTGAATGAATGCATGAATGAATGAATGCATAGATAATTTATTAAGTATACCAAATTGCTTACGGTAGTAGTATCGTAGTTATTGAAACACCATTTTCTTTGCAAAGCCACATCCATAAAGAGAAAAAAAATAAATAGTAAGTAGTAACTATAAACTACCTTACACACTCCTTTTCGTTGTCTAATCCTTAGAACACTTTACAACTATTTTATTATTTGTTGTAATAGAATCATATCTACGTAACTTCTTTTTAACTTCAAATATTTTTTTTTTGTTTTGGTTTTTATATTTTACAGTTCCCCAGCAAACTCCCCCTGTCTCCTTTGTGATATAATTAACACAACTATACTAAATTCTGCTAACTGTACAATAATCACTAGCTAGCTTGTGCAAATATATTTACTTTTATAAAATAAAAAAAATAACAGAACATAGATTTAATTCCATTTTCTTTTTATTTAGTTATAATATAAACATATATTTAACTATCGATTTTTCAAGTTTATCGGAAATAATATCCAATAAGGTACAGGATGGTCATTAAAAAAAGTGTCTATCGACAAAACAGCCGTACAAGTAGTATTAGTAATACTACTGCAGGAAGTACTGATAATAATAACAACAATAATAACAATAGTAATAATCTCGATAACAGTAGTGGGACGGGCACCAATAATGTTAGTAAAGGCATATCGAATAGTATCCCAGAAGTTATCGATCCTGGAATTACTATCCCAATATATGAGGAAGATATAAAATCCATTGATATTGAATCTCCACAAAAAATTGGGTCTTACAGAACAAGAGCTGGAAAATTCTCCAATACATTAAGTAATTTATTACCTTCAATTAGTGCAAAGTTACATCACTCAAAGAAGAATGGATCTAAAAACGAGGATACTCCAACTAATAGCAATTCTGAATCCACTATAAATCTTCCAAATATTGTCTTAGAACAAAATACTTCAGAGAACCCTGTACCAATGAAAGATGATTCTATAAATGATTTTATATCTGGTCATCTGACTCCACCTAATGAGCCTATACAGTTTCCTGAATCAAGTAATCATATGTTAGGTGGTCCAAGGACATCAAATGATTCATTTGGTCTTTCTTTATCTAATCAATTAAATCCATCATCTATAAATAATCTAAATGGAAATGACAATATCTCCAGGACGAGGAAAAATACAGTAACTTCTCAAATTACTTCTATGTCTTCTACTACTCAAAATCAAACTATATGGACAAATGACGCAAATTCAGGTATTCACATGATTCATCCATTCCATACATCTATGATATCCAGTACAGGCAATAATCATAATAATCACAACAACAATAATAATAATTACTATGATTCTATTGTGCCCACACTCTCTGGCACAAATGTGATTGCAAATGATAATGGTTTAGGCAATACTTTATCAGTACAACCTTCCTTAAATCAAAACAAGCTATGGGTAAACAACTCTTCTACTCATAGACAAAGATCTATGTCCAATGCATCAAGCGTCTATATAGATGCTCCATTATATGGTGAACAAAACTTAAATAGAAATATAGTTGCCTCAACCAATTATATTCCGAATATAAATACCAATCACATTAACACCAATGAACCATCTGAGTCAAACCTTGATATACCATTTGTCTGCGACGATATGGATCCGCATTCTTTAAACTGGGTTTCCATGGATTTAAATGTACCATCAATAAACCAAATAACAAATTTACTTCCAACCGATACTATTTCAATTTCTAACATTTTTTCATTACAAAGACAACAACCTAACTTAAGTAATGCCATTAATTTGACAAGTACATCATTAGCAACGTTATGCTCAAAGTTTGGTAAAGTTTTGTCTGCCAGAACTTTTAGTAATATCAATATTGCTTTAGTAGAGTTTGATAGTGTAGAAAGTGCAACTCGTGCAATGACTTCTTTACAAGGTAAAGAAGTCTCTGTAGTTGGAGCTCCAAGTGAAGTATACTACGCTAAAATATTACCAATGCATAATCAAGCTCAATCCTTAGGTGGGACTGAACAATTTATGCTGAATTCTAAAGATAATGGCATACAACAATCTCTTTTACAAGAACAGTTACATTGTGGTGCAGTAACGCTCCAACAAAATGGTAATGTTTCAATTCCAGTATTTAACCCATACCCCTACTACTTGCAACAACAACAGCAATATACTAACATGAATTATAGTTCATATATGCATCCCTCACATACCACTATGGAAAAAGATACTTGCCCATTCACCTTACCTCCTCCATCTTTGAAAGAAAATAGGGAAGAATTACAGGATATTATTGATACATTTGATGCCAAAAGAGACGTTAAACAAATCCATTCTTTGTTACAATCTTCTTATAATTTCCATGGAACTTCTGATACTACTAATTTTGGTCCATTGCCCGATCCATTAAGTAATAAAGATTTTGATGCGCCTACGTTAAGAGAGTTACGTAAAGCTATCGACAACAACTCCTTAAGTGACTTAGAATTAGAACAGCTAGCAATTTGCATGCTGGATGAGTTACCAGAATTGAGTTCAGACTACTTAGGAAACACCATTGTCCAAAAATTATTTGAAAGATCATCCGATATTATTAAAGATATTGTGTTAAGAAAGACTAACCTTTATTTAGCCTCGATGGGCGTTCATAAAAACGGTACATGGGCATGCCAAAAGATGATTACCATGGCAACCACACCAAGGCAAAGAATGTTTGTGATTAGAGGTATCTATAATTATTGTGTTCCTTTATTTAATGATCAATTTGGTAACTATGTGATTCAATGTGTGTTGAAATATGGATATCCATGGAATAGTATTATATTCGAGAGTATTACTGCAAATTTTTGGGTTATTGTTCAAAATAGATATGGATCCAGAGCTGTAAGAGCATGCTTAGAGGCAAACGATATCATAACTACGGAACAAACATTGGTATTAGCTTCGATAATTGTGATATACGCCAAATATCTAGCCACAAATAACAACAGTACGTTGCTGTTAACATGGTTTTTAGATACATGTGATTTGCCAAATAGATATTCTATTCTTGTTTCAGAGTTATTAAATAATATAGTTGAACTTTGTTGTCATAGATTAGCTTCATTGACTATTTTAAAGATATTAAATTATAGAGGTGATTCTAAAGCTAGAATGGATATTTTAGAAGCAGTGTTTGATAAACTCTCTTCTAACGAACCACCAGATACTTTAAGACAAATCTTGAATGATACAAATAATGGTCCAACTTTTATTTACAAAGTTCTATCTATTTCATTGTTAGAAGAAGATATAAAAGCACATATTATTAAACAAGTGAGAAAATTGGTTATAGATATACCAAATGCACAACAACATCGTAAATTGATGGAAGAGATTGGATTTCAGCCTGTGCAAACCACAATGGTCAATGGTCAGTTAAAGCACAAACGAAGTACATCCCATATCCATAACATCGAAACTACAAACCATATGAGAGGTGTGTCTATGTCAAGTGTGCGCAGTTCCAATTCAAGACATAATACATTGATGAGTAATTTCAGTAATAACCCGTTATCAATGCAACAATTACAACCAGTAACTTCTAATGGTGGTGTTTCTTCGAATAACACTAGCTATTATAATTACCCAGGTGGTTTCCCTTCTAACAATTATTCTGGCAACAATAATTATGCATACGTTGCAAATATTGGGAAAGATGATCTAGTTTCACAAATGGATTCACTTTATTTGGGAAATGGGACACAAGTTTCATTGCCTCAATTAAGTATAACCAATCAAAATAACAACACAAACATTTTACAACCTAGTAGTAGTTCCAATCAATACCTAGATGTTACTAGGTATAATGGTTAAGAGATATTCAATCTTTACACTGTAACAGTATTGTACTGCTGTATTATGATTGAGGACTGGCTCCTCACATTTTCTGTTTTTTTTTTTTTTTTTTTTTTTTTTCCTTTTTTCATTCTAATAACTGTAAATTTTACAATTGTCAGTCTACATAATGCAATATTTATACATAACTATGCATTTACATACATTTAATAGATAATAAAAAGAATTTTCACATTCATTTTCACTATATATATTAAAATATTAATTCTGTTAGTTAGATAGCTAGCAAATGTTCTAGAGACACCCATTCCTCCACAGCAAGACATCTTTTTTACTGTCTCTCTTCCTTTACGCAATTGTACAACTGTAATTGCTGTATATATTCCACTTCTTTTATTGTTTCGTAAGATATGACCGTAAGGAAACTGTATTTTTGAAGTTTGAATCATTCCACATTTGTCAATTTTTCTTTTTTTTGTAAAAAAGTCAAACGGTTTATTATTATGCAATATTGTAAGAGTGGTAAAGTAAGGCGGATCTAGAAGATCGAAATTAGGACAAAAATGAGTCTGTAGTTGAAGGAAGTCGCTTGTTAATTTTCTATATGTGTTTTCGATTTATCCTCACTAAATCAATTTGTCGTCTTAATATTCTGGTCTATTAAATCATTCTAAAGGTAAAGAAAGAAGAAAATAGGAAACAGATTAAGATATTATAGTCAAATTATCCTAATTGAAGTTACAGAAGATCAGCTAGTTAACCTTAGAAACAATTTTTTTTTTTTAATTTTTGTTCTTTGATAGGTTGTTGAACCCGATATTTTGGCCGTAGTAATTAAATATTTTCAATCTTTTTGTATTCATAAAAACTCAAACATACATAAAGATAAGAAAGTAACGCAATTTGAGATTTTTGTAGTATATTTGTTACCTAATTTCATACTTTCAAAATTTCCTTAAATCAGACAAAAGTAGTTTACTTCCTTTTAGAAAATTTTAAAAATTATTAATAAATGGAGTCAGATATAAATAATAATAACAACTTTCAAGGTAGCCATGTTCCGTTACATAGTCAACAGATGCTTAATAATAGACAATATATAAATATCCAAAATCGTATACCATTATTTAGCAACTCAAGAATACAACAATCACAAAATATGTCAATGCACCAATCCGAAGAGAATAGGGATGTGGACATGGTTGATGTTATAAATAATCCATCCACTATAGTCCATACCCTTAATAATGATGCAAGACATGATCACATGGAAGAGGCAAAAGAATTACTGTTACATTACAATCAACCACTAATCGATATATCTTTGTATGCACCATATCTTACAGAAAGTGACATCGAAAATATTAAATTATTTCAATCAGCATTTGATGAAAAGATAAAATTATGTTTTGAAACGATTGACAATAGAAGGAAGGAAAAGATTGAACAAATTGAACAACATCAAATGATGTTAATGTCAATGGGATATATAAATAATCCAGATCTGATTCATCGCATTAACATTTTACAGAAGATTAGTTTGAGAGCAATGGAGACAGAGACAGTAGCTTTACAAAAGTTGAGAGTGAAAATTGCAGACATTGTAAATGACTTTAAAGGACATCTTGAGGTTTATATAAGAGCAAGAAGAGAAAATCACCAGATAGAAAACTTTCCTCTTCAACATCAGTCCTATTTGAATCGCCTTGATATGAATGAATTTGTTATGCCTTTTGAGAATACAGAACCTCAATTAATGCCTACGAATGTTTATCAGTCAAAAACAACAACAAATGATGATCAAGTTTTACAACAGTTGTTTTTAAGAAAATCTAACAATTCTACATTTCCCCTGCATAAACTTCCCTCTGAAATTCTTCATTTAGTTCTGGACAAGTTAACCTCAAAATCTGAGATTGTGAATTTACTAACTGTATGCAAGTTATGGGCATTAATAATTGTTAAAATACTTTATTATAGGCCGCATATTAATAAAAAAAGTCAGTTAGATCTGTTTTTAAGAACCATGAAATTGGATTCCAAAGATACAATGTTTAACTACCGTTTAATGATTAAAAGATTGAATTTTTCATTTGTTGGAGATTATTTATATGATGACTATTTATACTATTTTGTTGGGTGTTTCAATTTAGAACGTTTAACTTTGGTATTCTGTAAGCATATAACAAGTAGACCGGTAGCTGCTGTCCTTACAGGTTGCAAATATTTACAGAGTGTAGATATTACAGGTATCAAGGAAATTTATGATGATGTATTTTTAACATTAGCTGATAGTTGTAAGAGAGTTCAAGGCTTTTATGTACCGTCAGCTGGTAACATTAGTTTTTATGCGTTACAGATGTTCACTTCAAGTGTCCCTATGTTAAAAAGAGTTAAAATCACATCCAATACTTTGATGGATGATAAGTTATTAGAGATTATGGCAGATAAATGTCCAATATTGGTAGAAGTCGATATAACTAATAGTGTAAATGTTACAGACAAGGGTTTAATTAAATTATTTCTTAAATTAAATCAGCTAAGAGAGTTCAGAATTACACATAATTCAAAGATTACTGATAGAGTGTTTTTAGAACTTGTGAAGAAACTTCAGCAGCTTCCTGCATTAAGATTAGTAGATTTTTCAAGCTGTGAGAATATAACTGACAGGACCATTGAGAAATTAGTAGATTTATCACCTAAATTAAGGAACATATTCTTAGGGAAATGCAGTAGAGTAACAGATGCATCACTATTCAATCTAGCAAGGCTGGGCAAAAACTTACAAACCGTTCATTTTGGCCATTGCTTCAATATCACAGACCAAGGTGTACGAGTTCTAGTTCAATCCTGTCCTAGAATTCAATATGTTGATTTTGCATGTTGTACAAATCTTACAAATCGTACCTTATATGAACTTGCTGATTTAGTAAAATTAAAGAGAATTGGATTAGTTAAATGTTCTCAGATGACTGATGAAGGGTTGCTAAATATGATATCGTTGCGTGGAAGAAATGATGGCTTGGAAAGAGTACATTTATCATATTGTTCAAACTTGACTATCTATCCAATTTATGAATTATTGATGGCGTGTCCGAAATTATCCCATTTATCTTTGACGGCAGTTCCATCCTTTTTAAGGCCAGATATCACAGCATTTTGCAGACCTGCTCCACATGATTTTAGTGAGAACCAAAGGCAAATATTTTGTGTATTCTCTGGTAAAGGTGTTCATAAGCTTCGTCATTATTTAATGAGCCTTACCACACCCACTAATGGCCCTCAAACAGACATTGATGAAATATTAGCAAAATATATAGTAGCAAACAATATTATTCAACAGAATGAAAATTTAGAAACAGCTATAAATAGGGTCATCCATAACTTGAATCAAGATTCAGCAGCTATTTTGGCTGCAACGGGAATAAATCAGGGAAGTGAGATTTCAAATGATTTTACATTTCAGAATATCGACTTTGAAAGATTAGATGATATTTTCAATGCATTTAACGACCAATTTTTTAATTCATATTCAATTATACCTGAACATATAGAACATCTACAATCAAAAATAGATAGGAGGTTTATAGAAGATCCTTTTAATGAATCGTTTGAAGAGAGGGAACCTGTAGTTGTGCCACATGGAAGTAGAGAGATTAACAGTGAAATGTATCATATTGTAAGAAAATTCCATGAAATAGATGAAAGAATTGATGATTTTGAAGTTAATGTAGCAAGTCTTGCTAGGGTACAGTTTCAGTTTACTGGATTCTTGTTGCATGAAATGACGCAACTTTATTTACAAATGATAGAACTTAATCGACAATTAAGCGAAGTGCAAAATAGAGTCAAGATCTCAAATAATGAAAAGGATATAAAAGGTCTTTTCGTTTGGAGAATGATGTTCCATAATAAATTTTCAAAACTACTCCAAAAGTATAAAATATCGACTGTAGTTTTACGCATTTATTTAAAAGATAGTATTACATTTTTAACAAGACAAAGAGAGTGGGCAATCGAGATGGAGAATATGAATTTTGTGAATGCATCAAACAATAATAATGTCACAGAAAATAATAATGTCACAGATGACATTAGACAGTCCCCTCTTCTTAGACAGTTAGTTGGTAGAGCATCACTAACACCAGATCAGATTAGGTTGATACAACGTTCTATATTAAATCCATCAAATCTTAGAGGTGGTGCTACAACTAATCAAATAAGAGGTATTCAAGAAAATGTAAATGAATCTCAGACAGATGAGAGATCCGGGACACCTGTTGATTGATTATTTAGAAATTCATAATGTGACAAGGATTGATGTTAGAAATCAAATGGCATGTATATTCGTTGACATAGGCTAGATTGTTATATATAAAAAAAAGTTCTTGATTGATATTTTTAGCATTTTGAAGTGTAATTTCTTAAGGAGTGTTTTTGTGCAGCACATTCTTTGTTGAAATTTAATGTGCTTAAAATATGCAAAGTGACTAGAGAAAAATTTTTAGTTAGATCAAAAAAAAAAAAAAAAAAAAAAAAAAAAACAGAATATTAAAAAGCTAAGAAGTAAAATATCGAATTTTAAAAATTATATATGCTTTTTATATAGTAACATTTAATAGTAGTCAAGTTTATTGGTCAATATTAAGAATATAATCTAAATAATTGAGGAAGTAAAATGTTCATTTAGGTAAATCTCTATATCAATTATCGTAGTTTTCTAAAAAATGAACTAGTGATTGTAATGTATTCAAATCATGTTCATTGCTTGTATTCAAGCCATCTATAGTGCTCACCGTCTGCAAATATTCCCTATCCAATAATTCTAGTTTTCTATTTATATGATACTTGTAATTCTTAGTTAGTTGATCAACAGTAAAAGAAAGCCATTCAGGGAAAGTCATTTTAAGCTCGTCCTTGGAAAGTTTACTAATGAAAAAATTGAGAATACCTTCTGTATCATTTGAAAGTGTCGCACTATTAACTTCAATAAGTTTTAACAAGTATTGATACTTAAGATCATTCAATTCAAAACTTGAGTCAGAGTTTTCAACCAATTTGGAAAAAGAGAACGGTTCATCTGTATTATCATTAGGGGCTAATATTGTGTTTGTGTAGGAAGTTTCAATTTGTTTATTTACATTACAGTTAATCTCTGAGTTTGTGGTAAGTGGAGATATCATTTTATCTTCGGATTTAATATTAACATGAGGAGTACGGTTATCATTTGGTATAGTTGTTATATTTGTTTCATCTGTCTCAGGCATGCCTAAGCCGTCGATAAGACAACTCTTTCTCCTGTGGTAGTAAAGAAGAAGATGTTATATTTTTCTCCGGTGAAGGAATATAATGATCTAGTTCTTCTGTAATGGAAGAGCTAGATGTTAAAAAATCATTATTCGTCTGTATCTCAACTAGATTTTCCTTCATATTATTTTTGTTTATCATTGTATTTGGAATTTTTGTCGCCAAACTGGCCCCTGATAAAATTCTTCCAACCGGGTTGTTATTATCATGTTTTGGCTTATTCTCTTTTTCATCTTCTATACGAGAAACACTAGACTTCTTTCTCTTTTTAGTAGTAGACAGTTGTTGATCGACTAAATCTTTTCTTAATCGTTTAGAAGAAGTTTCATTGACTGTTTTCTTCACTGTCAATACTTTTTCAACGCTCAACTGTGCCTCAGAGGCTTTAGAATCATTGTTTGATTTATTCTCATTATTGAGTTTTGCAGATACATGATGTGTGTCCAAATTGTTTTCTTGTTGGATGACAAATCTTTTATTCTCTTCCGTTAATATATTCTCCGAGTCAATTTTATTATTTCCATCATTTGAATTCGTCTGTAATAACATTGTAGTATTATCATTGTGTATTTTTTTTGATATCATTTGATCTTTTTCTTCTCGGTTGGTAGATTCAGTATATTGCTCCTTTTCATCATCAATTAACAGTGTATTTTGTTGCTCCAGATTATGAATAATGGATGAGGGAGCAGAAGAATGAATATTCTTTTCAATACCGGGCACTTCTGAACTAGTAGAAGAACTTTTGTTATCGTCCATTTCATCGGGGCCCATGGGTGATCGTAAGTTGGTGCTATTGTTAGCTATCTCGCTCTTTGTTCCAGCTGTCTCAGGACATTGTAAATATTGTTTGTCTACTATAAGTTTTTCCTTATATATGGGACTCTCTAATTTTTTCAAAGGCGATAACTGAAACAAATGAGATCCATTATTACTAAAACTAAAATCATCGGCACTATCGTCTAAAATCTTGTTAGTTCTAGTGATTTCTTTCTTTCTATTAACATGGTCTGTAAAATTCAAAATCAAATCTTTATTCTTTGACAAATTTACTGATTTTTCTGAAGATACATCATCATTAAAAGTTGTATCCGTATTTGATACTATTCTTTGTGGTAATTTCCCTAACAGTTTCTTTCTTTTTTTTATATTAGTCTTGCTTAGATTGGTTGTTTCCTTTGTCTGATCCTGTAAAATCTGTGTCTTATCATTTAAGTTATTATTATTATCATTCCTATCATCCTTGGGAGAAGTGATGAGTGTAGGCTGTTGTTTAATCTTGTGATATATTCTTTCTTCCTTTTCATCACTTGTGTCCATATCATTCTCGTATGTTGGATCGCTTTCTTCTATGGGCTGTGATTTGTCACTCAATTCATAGTTATCTCCTGTTGATAATTCTTCAGAAGTAATATTACCCTCTTGTTTTGAATTTGAATCCATATTATTTTTATCTACATTTTGACTACGTTCTTCAATATTATTTGCAGACTGATCTAGATTTTTTAGCTCTTCTACTTTGTTCATCTGTTCAGGAGTAAATGTGGTTTTGTTCTGAATATCATATACATCTTCATTTTTAGACCGAGATATATCATCTTTAGTCAAGTTTTCATAAAGTAAAGAATTATGAATAATTGAATCCATAGAATCTGTTGGTTCAGTCTCATCAACGATGTTGAATTCATGTATATTTCTTAAATCTTTAAAATCTGGAAACATTTGAATTAACTTCTTAAAAAAATAACAATGACCGTTATGGCAGGCCAAAAAATGCCTTTCTATTGGTTTTAGAGTATCATTAAAGTTTAATCTGATAATAGTTTTACAATATATACAAAATACAATATCATATGAGGAAGAGGAAGAAGAAGAGGCAGAAGAAGATGGGGATGGGGATGTTGTGGGAAGATCTACTATATAATCATTATTATTAAAAGCATTGAATGAAAGATCGAAACGTATCAAACCAGCATTAATAACATCATTAATCTTATCTTTATTCCAAGTTTGATTTGAGTTCAAATCAAGAAAACTCGTCCTGAATATATTTCTTGTTATTAGATTAAAAGGATCATTGAATATTGGATCATTAGACCAATTTGACGTACCTAAACTATATTTAAAATCTTTAATTATTTTCAATCTAAGATAACTTATTGGACAATTTAAATTATCACCGCTCAAATGTTGCAATAAAACATTGGATATAGTTTCTAGTTTGTCTTTAGACTTTGATCTGCAATGTTTCAAATCGAAAGTGTGGCGATGACAATAGATACAATTGATGGCATCTTTCAGGATTAGATCGCTATTTTCTTGTTCGATTGGATCAAAATAAAATCCCATTTGTGCTAACCAATCCGAAGGTATCACGGTATATCTCCATTTGTAGTTTTTTTGACTAATCTTTTTGGACTTTCGAAACAAATCTAATCTTTGTTTGTAATTTGGAATCGTCATAAGGTAGTTTCAAAGATATTTAACGTCTAAGCACACAAAATAAAATAAAAAAAAAATTAAAAGGGAAGAAGAAACCAAAAAGAAAAAGAGATGTGATATTAGTTTGAGTAGTAAGTATTTGTTAATAAATTAGGTGCACCGTTCTTTAGCTAGATTAGTAGTTCCTATATAATTATAAAGCTTAAGGCCTCAGATTTGGGTAAGGTGTATGTATATAACTGACATAAGTTGTCTAAAAAGATTTAAGTTTGAAAATTGAAAAGAAAAATATTTCGAGGTTTAATTTTCATTTTTTTTACTTATTTTTTGTCCTTCAAATCATAAGCGCAACCCTCAAGCCACAGAAAGAAGACTTTGCAACACACACTCCTATATAAGCAAAGAAACTAATACTTAGATAACTGATGTTCACTTGTCTACACAAAATTCCATTGCAAGCAGAATACTATAAGAGTTTTTAAAAGGTATGAAAAGATAGCCAATTTCAGAATATTTACACCGTACGGCTAATTTTTGCAGCACTATATAGTTTTTTCCCGTAACAACCATACGACTAACATATTATTGGTATTATTCTAAAAATGTTATTAAGAAATAAGAGGAAGTTATTGAGCGTACTATTGACAATTGTATTATTTGTAGGAGTTTACTTTGTTAGTAGAGAAGTTAAATTGCAATATATATCTAAAAATATAATACGAGGACCTGATCAGGAATCGTCTACCATTCAACAACTAAGTAATTTATTAAAAACAGGTAATAATGATGATAACTATAATACAGGAGATCAAAACAGAATTGCTTATTATGAAGATAAAGAAGGAGCCTCAGGAAAGAATTGGGAAAGTATTATGCCAAGTATGACGGATCCAGATGCAAAGAAGGAATTGGGACGTGCCTCATGGAAATACTTTCATACATTATTAGCTAGATTTCCAGAGAATCCAACTGAAGAGGAAAGACAAAAATTGGAAGATTTTGTTCAATTGTACGCAGAATTATATCCATGCGGCGAATGTTCATATCACTTCCAAAAAATATTAAAGAAGCATCCTGTTCAAACCTCAAGTAGAACTAATGCCGCTATGTGGGGGTGTCATATACACAATATTGTTAATAAACATTTAAAGAAGGATATATATGATTGTTCCACAATATTGGAAGATTATGATTGTGGATGTGAATAGGAAGGAATATATTTATATTACTGAATAAGATTACATCTAAAAATGAACATATAGTTATATATATGTATATGTATATGTATATGTATAGTTACATGATTGTACAACATCCATTTGAAGAGTCATTGTAATGTTCATGTTTATTAGAATTATATCTATTATTATGGTACCTATTTGTTATAAAATGATTTGAATTTGGTGGTGGATATCCCCATATTTCAGGTAATGTATAGTCTCTTGTTGTTTGGATATAGTTAATTAGACTAAGACAAGCATTGGAAGCGGTGATTCTTTCACGACTAAGTTCTTCCCTCAAGTTTTTATTTAATTCATTAATTCTTTTTAATTTCAAATATTTGATTTTTAGTTGTAATTGTAGTTGTTGTTGTTGTTTAGATGACATGGTATACTGTAATAATGATAATAATGAATCATTGTATATATATATTTATAAGGGTAATCCAGTAATGAGTATTAGTTGACGTTTTGTTCTACAGTACTAAGAATGTATAGATGTCAGTATATATATTAGATAAAGATATATAGATAGTAATAGAGATAGATGGATGTATATGTGTCATTATTTAATAAATTTGAATTTTTAATGAGGTTCAAGTTCACAAATGTGACCAATTTTCCATTTCAGGTAATTTGTAGTAACATATTGATTTCATACTTATTAAAGTAAGAAAAAAAAATAAAAATAAAAATAAAAAAGCATAATACATGGATAGGCAATTAGCGTATTTTATATCAGTAGTGGTTGGAAAGAATATAACAACATGTAAAGATACTGATTGTAGATGAAAAATGTTTCTAAACTTAAAATGAAATGATAATATATTTTATTAAAAATATGGAATATAAAAAAATATATATATATATATATAAACTAATTTATAAGATATCTTTAGGGATATAAAAACTCAGCCGAATAGAAATAAAACCCAATTAAGACCAGTAAAAAAAATACCAATGATATGAATAGTAAAACTACAAACTTAATGCAAAAATGAAGGATATATTATACTTTTTTTTTTCTTTTGTATATTTAAATATGCTGTTTTCAATGTTATTACAACAATAATAACGGTGTTATGAGGTATTTATTATTATAATAAAGACAAAGAGTTGTGTCTTTGACGAGCTTGTCTATTTGCATTAATAGATTGAGTGGTAGTAGTAGGATCGACATTGGTGGTAGTCGCAGTGACAGTGGCAGATTCATGTAGAGAGTTTTTTCTTGAACAGGTTGGGGTAATTGGGGAAACACCATTAATAACGAATGGTTGAGAAACTTCAGTAGCTAATTGTAAAAAGGCCATTTTTTTTCTTTTAAACTTGATTATATATATACGTCTGTGTGCTTGTTGGTATTTGTATTTGTATTTGCTCTATTTAGTTGAAGTGTTTTGTGGATTGTTACAGATAGTTAAGTGGAAAGAAAAACATTCTAAAGTATCAGAAGTTTTAAAGTTGTTCACTTTATATATACATAAAAAAAATGTGACAAGTATTCACATTTGTCTATATGCACACACATACACACTCATTCAGTCTCTCACTCACGCACTTTACAGGGAAAAAAACTGACTTAGTCATCATTATTTGTGAACAACGTCATAGAAAAAATAAAATGAGGAGTAAATTGTATAAGTCATCCAACTCCACTTTTTCTTGTTTTCAACCGACATGTGGCTGTTATTGGCAAATAAAAATGAAAAATAACAAAAAAAAAAAAGTCATTCGAAAAAAAAAAAAATAAAAAACAAGAAATATATGACCCACTGTTTTCTCCTTTGATTTTTTTTTTTTTTTTTTGTTTTTTTTTTTCCGTTGTATTGTGTCACTTTTCTTCTTCGTTTTGGTTTCATGCCTGTACAGCAGATTCAAGTGATCTATGCTTTTTTTGTATTTTTTTGTTTTTTTTTTTTTTTGGTTTGGTATTGTTTTGATGACCTCGTCATCATTTAACCTTCCTCATTGAGTAGTAACAGAGATTAGTCATCAATGATATAAAACCCAACGAAACATTTAGAACAAAGAACTCTATGGAAATAGAATAAAAAGGAAAATTTAGTGACCAAATCTCGATAATTTCTATGAGCTGTTCTCCCCACTTTTAATAATAAGTGAAACTTGCCCATTGTTACTATTGTTGCAGCAATCTATTATTCTGTGTCTTTGTCGGTTCGTGAGAAAAAAAAGGTGTGAGAAAATAACAACAATAAAACAATGGAGGCGTTAGAAATTCCTCTATTGTATCTTTTTGTGTGTGTGCATACGTGCATGTGTGACTATACAAGAAACGCTATTTAAAGCGCGACAAATAAGTGACTGAGAAAAAACCAAAAAAAAAATAGTGGTGTAGGTCAAAGACAAGCCTCGGATCTTTCCGAACCATTTCTTACAATAGAGAATAATAGTAAGAACTATATAACAGTAATAATGATAATAATAGTAATAGTGAATTGATTATGTAATGGACGAGGTGTTTCTTCGCTTCTTTTATTAGTTTTTTTATTCGCTCTACCTGTATTTGAAATAATACAATACATATTTACATATATATATATATATATATGGATGTGTGTCTGTGTGTCGGTCGGTCTGAGCATAGATCAATGCCTCAAAGAGACGACTGTTTTGATGGAAATGGGGACGTTTTCGATAATACTAGGCATTGATGTGAGTGTGATATGTAGCCTCTAATATGGCCTAGGAAGATTAGGTTGGAGATTTGGCATTCACCAACTTCTGTTATCTCAGATAAGGGCAGTATACTCTTTTGACCTAGTCTATTCCACTGATACCTAATATGATTAATTTGTACTCGATGTAATAGCAGTTGCCATATGATATAAGTTTCATCTTTAAGTAATACTGTTTGTACTTCTAGATCGTTGACACTGCTTAGATATTGCTTGGCTTGGCCTGTTGTGATTAATTTGATTAAGTTATGATAGTATGTTGGCACACCAGATATATCAAATCTTTTGATATAGTCTTGTCTTATTAATAACCCCTGCACTAACAGTTTTAGAGGTATTAGTAATTTTAATATCGACTTGATCTGAGATTTGTACCTTATTGAACATTCAGATAATGCTATATCAAGGTGTTTGATGCTCTTCATATGATCGTTCGAATAATATCCATAATATAACCCCATGTAGTAATGGAATTGGACTATTTGAGATTTTCCAATTGGATATTTTACATTATCTTGAACAAGCATACCAGGAGTGTTGTTACTGTTACCGTTGTTCAAACGCCCTCTACTTTCATATACTTTGATTAGATTTTTAATCATATCTTTGTTATGTAATTGTTTATAGATTTTGAATTCCAAATTAATAAAATATAATATTCCACAACGTTTATTTTCAATGTCATTTGGGTTTCTATCGTTGAGACACATGGTCAGGCATTTGTGTATATTTCTAATACACCGTTCCATTAGATTATTTTGTTTTGAATCTGATACGACCTCAAAGACAGGATAATTCTCTGACTCAATAAAACTGTATAATAGTTTCGATACATTATACAAAGGATACACTAACCATGTCATTGTATCGTCTCTTTCCATGAGTCTAATTAGGACACGGATCTGGTTCTCTAAGGATTCAATAAGTTTCTCTTTTAAAGATAACAATTCAGTGATTTTCTTTTTTTGTTTGGCTTTAATTGCATTCTTGGTATCCAGAGTAAAGTTAATTTTATGTTTTTTGCTATTATATTCTGGTAGATGAATGTTCTTCAATTCCATGGTAACATTATACAATTCCAAAATTCTGGTATCTTTGATTTGATTTAAAACGAATATCAAATTGTCTTGTTTGGGGTTATCATTTTTACCAATATTCTTGATTTTATTACCAGTTGGAAATGTTAAGAATTTTATAAACTTATCATCCCATTTTTTATTCTCAAAATAATAATCAATATTGACTTGTTCCATTTTCGTTTAATCTTCTTATGAAGTATGTAAATGTGTTAGTATAAGGGAGAAAGAAAGTGAGTAAAAAAAGCTAGTAACAAAATCAGTCCACACGCACATTCATCTATATATATAAATGTGTGTGTGTATGTGTGTACGTATATATGTATGAAATGCTCGTATCCTTTACTATCCATAACCTTAATGTTCAACTTCAAAGTTGAAAAATATTTGAAAAAGTTTTAGAAAGTTTTGTTTTCTTTGTTTCTCGAGGACTCGAAGCATGCAGTGCAGTATAATTTCTGTTTGTGTGTGCACATAAATATATGGTCACTGTATATCTAAACCAGCTAACAAAACAAGAAAAGTCTCCAGTTTCCATCAACACATCATTAGAACGGTTACTTCTTTCTCCACAACACTTGTATTTCAATACATATAAAGATCAAAACACTCGTGAATAAACAGCTTACATACACATACACACACATACATACATATATATAAAGATATTAGATTCTGTGGAATATGCAGCGTAATGTCAGTACCCCATTGGAATTACATGAATTGAATATAGTTAATAAGTTAAATACTGATCTTTGTATGTCAAAAATAATGACAGGAAGTTCCAAGAACGGAACCAATGCATCGAGTGTGGCTCCAACTACCCCAAAGAAAGGGCAATCATCTGATATTCCAATGAGTGGGCCAAGATTAAATATAAAGACAACGGTTATATCACCAAAGAAAAACGAGTTGAATCAGTCAGATTCAGAGTTTGATGAAAGGGAAAAATTATATAAATTGGCACAAAAGAAAAGAGAGATCAGTGAGTTGGAGATGAAATTGGTGCAATTGAAGAAAGAACTGAAGATTATGGAACAAGAATTGAAGCCTATATTAAATAAGATTCATTCAAAAGTTGTGGACACGAAAAACAACAGAATTAAAAGCAAGGAGCAGGGTGGTGGTAATCGTGCTGATAGTAACCTTGACAATAGTAACCAACATAATGATGATAATGATAATGATAATTATTATGGTTTTGCCGATAATAATGACCCTGATAGCTCGTTAATCAACATATCTCAACATATACCAAGTAAATTCAAAGAAAATAAGTTTGTCAAAACTTTATTAAATAAATTTAATGAATTCAATGTTAATGAAGATGAGTTTGATGATCATGTTCGATCACAGAATGATTCAAGTTTTTATTTAAGAGAAGGTTATAATTTAGGTGAAGATGAGTTGGAAAGAGAGGCAGAAGAAGAGATCGGCTTTCTTCAAAAATTTAATAAATGGCAAAATAAACAGATTAACAAACAAGCAAACAAATAAGTAAGTAAGTAGATAGATAGATAGATAGATAGATAGATAGATAGATACGTTATTACTAGACGTGATCTTTCTCTCTTTCTCTCTCTCTCTTTTCCTTCCCCCCCTTCTGACGTATACATTATATATGTCCGTGTGTGTATGTTTGTATATTTTACTCATATTCCTTTTAAATCAAGTGAATCAAATAAATAAATGAAGGAAAAAATAAGAAGTGGAAAAAGTAAGCAAAAAAAAAAAAAATAAGTATAAATAAATGCTTGTGTGTGTGTGCGTGAATACATCTGTCAATAAGAGGCGTCAAATGTATGTGAACAATTAGATATGTTTTGCATACAGTACGATAGTATATGCTTTGAGGTAAACTTTTGCCACATATAAAAGGGGAAAAGTTCAAGTAAAAAACTACGACAGACAATGGAAGATAAATTAGAAGAATATAAGAAGTTAAAACAAGAATTAAAACAAGAGTTACAAAAGAAAAGGATATTGGAGGATGAATTCGATAAATTACAACAAGAAATATACGATAAAGAGACCGAATATTTTACATCATCCATATATATGACATCATCTAATATTCTTTCTTCTACAAGCTCCACTACTGGTACATCGTCAAAACCTCTGTTGATTCCCGGTAATATCATTAAAGGTTTTGATGGTTTCAATAAACCCTTGCATCATGCACACCATGATTATAATCAAGTGATGAACAATGACAATAGAATCTTTTCATTAAGTTCAGCTACTTATATCAAACAGGTATCTAATTTAGACAAGTACTTACAAGATTTACACGAAGATAAACAGAAAGTATAGACAGTACAATATCATCCCCACATTGTTTTTTAGTAACCCTCCCAATGCACGAGTCTTGATGCAGAATTTGTGTTTTACAAATATTGGACTACTTCGATGCCTCATTACTGCCACTATCAAATAATTCTTTTGATCATTTGTTTATTTATCCAATTAACATTTAACTCATTTCGGGTTTGTTTGTTTTTTTTTGTTTTTCTGTTTTCTTTTTTGTTCGCATTTCTTTCTAAGGAAAATGCAATGTAAAGTGAAGTGAAGTAAAGGAGGGAGAATAATGATGATGAGAAGAATAAAGAGATACACACATACTATTGCATGAATGAAGAGAAAGATATTTTATCGATTGATCGATTTTGTTTAGCTATGATCGATATGATTCTGTTGTGTAGTACTGTCTCGTTTTGTTTGTTTCACATAGTATAGACTTATCTATATGATTTACATATAATTGCATATATACATATATAATAAGTCACACGTTTGTCCTACATGCTGATCCTTTTTTTCTATTGAGGAAGATATTCTAATTTCATATTTCAATCTTCACAGTCAATAATGATTGGTTTCAATTTAATGGTTAAACGGTATTTATCCGAAACTAATCATATATTAGAACAGAATGTTGTTGAAAAGATATCATTGGGCAGGAATATTTCCAATCGCTTCAAATTATTAAACAAGTCTTCAACTCTAGCTCAAATTACTTTAATTAATAAAGATGTCCCAATTATGATTAGAAGAGGATCCCTTTTAGCTATACATACAGATATTACAGATGAGGACTGTTTGACTATCTCAAAGGAGCATATTAATCCAATTTGGAATGTTTTAAAATTTAAATCATTCAGATCCTCAAATTTTAATAAGATTCAATTGACAAAAGAGTATGTTACTTCAATTAATCAAATGGATGATTTTGATAATTGCAAGACACCAATTCAGTTGCTTGTGTCTTCCCATGAACAAAATAATTCGATATATCATCTAAATTTGGATGGAGCCTTCGATTGGAATGTATGGGGTAGTCAATCAATATTGGCCTTTGAACAGAATACAAGTTTAGAACTGATTCCCTCAAATAGAATATTGTTTGATAAATTATCGAGTATGGCCAACTTTAATATCTTGAAAGGCAGAGGCAATGTACTAATTAATGGTCAGGGAACCATAATCAAGATTGAATTGAAGAACTCATATGATAAATTACTAGTCAATTATAAGAATCTTTTGGCAATTAGCGGGAAATCACAAATTGATATCAATAATTCAATTAATAATAAATTACTGAATACAAGTGATAATTTTAAAACCGTTAATTGGCAAATTTTACCTGCTTTTAAGTGGGGTAATTATTTGAAATATTTATTTATTAGTTATAAAAATGTTGTCAATGGAATTTCTTATTACTATAATAATTGGAAATATGGGTATCCAAATGAGTTTTTAGAGATTAATGGACCAAGAACAATACTATTACAAAGCTTTGATACTTTTAAAAATGATGCACTTGTAAATTATCGTTTAGATAATATATTCAGTTCACATGTTAATAACAGTATAACTACTACTAATAATAATAATAATATTCAAAAAAATGGAGATAATGGTAAGAATTCAATTAAATATTGGAATGCAAGAATCTATGGAGATAATGAAAGGATACAATTTACTCCAACTGACAGCCATTTCAAAATAATGAAAAATTAACCATATATCTAAATCTGTATATATGTTTATATATACATATATTATCTATATTTAATCATAGTATAATTGATTTGAATAAATTTATTTTATATAAAGAATATTTATATGGATGTATATTTGGACGGGGAAGAAGGAGAAGATGAGTTTTTTTTTATATATATACGCCTTTGTATAAGATTATGGAGGGATCAGTATTATTAAAAGTTTCAAGGGTGACAATAAGTATAAGAGTATTTATAAAAGGTAATTTCAAAATAAAATTTTTATTTTCTTTGTTTTATTTTTTCCTTAATCTCGATACTATCCCGACTACGGTGGCAACCCCAGCAATAATTCCGGCTCCAATAGCTATACCCTTCACAGTTTCTCTTTGAATCTTATCTTCCACCATTTGTTTCAATATTTGAACTTGTTTATTATGGGGCTCATGCTCATATAAGGTATCTACATATCGTTTGGCCATGGTAAACTCATTAATTTTATAGCATCCAATTGTCAAGTAGTATAAACATTCTCTACGTCTGTTTGGTGATTCTTTGTAGATGTCTGTTAAAATTTTGATTCCTAACCGTTCATTATTAAGATAGTTTGATTTGATTAAGCCCCATGCATAATTAAACCGTGACTGGATTGTAGCATCATCACCACCTTCGTTAATCACCTGTTGACGTAATATCTCTAATTGTTGGGGTAGTAATGACTCATTGGCGTCTTGTAGCGTGGGTAAATAATCGATATGAGACATTTGTTAATGTTTATTGTTTTCCGTTTGCTTCTATTATTTTAAAAATCAATTGAAATTTTTTGTTCAATTTCTTTTGGTGATATATTGGTTACAACCGCAAATTACTTTAGCTCACTTTAGTAGAATTGGTTGCTTATTCAGAATTATTAACTGCTTCTTCTTCTTTTAAAGATGACTAAAGGTGGAAAAATCGACTAATGAAAACAAGAAAAAGAAAAAAAGAGAATTTCAAATATTTTCTCTGGTTTTGATTTGATTTGAAAGGCTGCTAGAGAAATGATATACTTTACATCACACAACCGTAGCATGTGTTAGAGAAAAACAGGAAGGGAGAAGGTTATAATAGCCAGGAAGAAAGCTGGTTAACATTTTAAGGATGGAAGATACCACTAGATTGAATACATCGAAACTAGGTACAAAACAGTATTGGGATAGTTTTTATTCTTTAGAGAGAAGGAATTTTAAGTCTAATCCTGCAGATACCGGTGAATGTTGGTTTAACGATAATGATGCAGAATCAAAAATGATTGACTTCTTATCTGATAATGTAGGTCAATATTTAATAAATGAGAAGTCATCTATTATAGATTTAGGTACTGGAAATGGACATCTATTATTTGAATTAAATGAGAATGGGTTTAACGGTAATATGCTAGGTGTTGATTATTCTGAAGAGAGTGTTAGTTTCGCTAAAGAAATTGCACAAGCTAAGGATCGTTCACAGACGATTACTTTTGAACAAGCGGATATATTCAATGAAGACTGGAACCCTGGTCAATTTGACGTTGTTCTAGATAAAGGTACATTAGATGCAATTGCATTAAGTGGGTTGAAAACAAAAGATGGAAGTCAGTCTATTGTTCATGTTTATAATAAAATTATCGAAAAGTTGTTGAAACCAAATGGAGTGTTCTTGATAACATCATGTAATTTCACTGAACAAGAATTGATTAAGATTATTGAAAATCACAATTTAAAAACCTGGGAGACTATTGATTATCCAACTTTTGAATTTGGTGGTATTAAAGGTACTACAATATGTAGCATAGCATTTGTTAAGAAGAAGTAATAGATGTATATACATATATATTTGTATATAGAGAAGGAAAAAAAATGGAAAGAAGAGAAGGGGGATTAAGTTCTATATTTTTTTTTCTATTTACTATATGTTTATATGTATATATAGGGATAAATAGATACAGATAGGTTCAAACCTTTTGTATTAATTCTTCAATCTTATCATATAGCTCATCAATTAAACTAGGATTCCCGCATTTTAAAGCATAGGTAACAGGTAAATTTTTATCATCAAGAGCAATGATTCTAATAAATTTTTCACTCTGCAAAGAACCTGGGAACCCCTTCTTGATTGAAAACCCCTTCAAAAGAGGTAAATTTAAGATGACTTTTAAAATACCTCGGGACCTCATAACGATTCTTGATTTTTGAGTAGTATCATCTTTATTTAATTTCAATGTCCCAACACCCTTCTCTTTCCAACCTTCTTTAATATTATGTAATTGGTATAGTTTCATATTGGCTTGGAAAAGGCAAGTTTCGGTCTCTTCACCAGATTTGACTTCTTGTTTATGTAGTTTAACATTTTTTTCGGGTTCCTTGTTTTCAGCAATAGATTTTTTATCAGAATCATTTTTATCATGATCATTATTTTTGGAGGAAGCAGGCTGTAAGTTTGCAGGCTTTTTTCCATCTAGTTTCTTTTCTTTTAAGATATTGAACCCACTGCCAAATGAGAATTGTGATCCGAAGGCAAACTGTTTTACATTCGGTGATATTATCTTATTATCTTTTTTATCATTTTCACTTGCATTTTTATTTTCATCATCATCATCATCATTACTATTATTATCATTGTTATTATTTACTATATTTTTTACAATTTTGAAACCAGAGCCAAAACTTGTTGCAGCACCAAACACAAATTTTGGTTTAATTTCAATTTTCTCTTTCTCTTGCTTCTTCTCATCTTTTTGTTTTTTGTCTTTATCTTTTTCCTCCACTTTCTTTTCTTTATTTTCTGTTTTTAATTTCTTAATCTCTTTTGTATCTTCATGTTCTTCTTTTCTTTTCTTGTCATCATCACCTATAGATCTTTTCTCACTTCTTGGTTTATTTTCTTTAGCGTCATTGTTATCTTCCACGTATTTAACTTCTTTATTATCGTTTGCTATTTGAGTGGTTGGTTGTATTGATTGTTCTTTCATATCTACTTGTTCCTCCTTTATCTGATCAGCCATGGCACTCAAAGTAATGATATGTATGTATGTCTGTGTGGACACGTATTAATCCTAGTGAATTATCAAATATGTCTTGATTGAAAAGATAAGAAGATGTGCATCAATTGATTATAAAAGAAAAGAGAGAGAAATAGTTATACATATATGTATGGATGTATTTACAAGATGTATATACTCGTAATTAATTAAATCTTTGCAGCTTTGTTTGATGTAAATCCCCAATTTTATGTTTTTATTTTTTCATTCACAAGTCTTCTAAATTTTTTCTTTTTTTTGGCAGTTATTTGGAAAGTATACTACACCCATACACTCATATATTATATGTATTCAGTTTTCTCCGTCATTTCCAACATATTAAATAAACTAAAAAAAATAAGTATTTGAAGACGTTTTGAATATTATTATTACTAACATAGCCATTATATGGAGAGGAAGATAAAAGTAAAGATAAAGATATAGATATAGATAGAGATATAGATAGAATTGTTTAAAGGGTTATTATACTCTATTCCTATTATGTTATATTATATCATTTTGTATTGGTATAGTCTTATAGTCTACGTCAACTAAAGCACCGTTATTATTACAAGAGACTTCGATATTGATATCAAATTTTTTATTTTTAATCTCGGTTTGATCTCTGTAAAACCAGGTGATTTTATCAAATTTAACATCTTTTGATTTGTCTTTAAATTTCAAATTTGGTTGATCCAAACAATGTTCCTTGATGTCTTTCAACAGATGTTTTTCAACATGTTGATGCAAATGCCTAACGAATTTCTTTGAGTGGCAATTTAACGTGTCCTTAATCTTTTCAGGGTCCTTATCTGGTGTTTCGTTCAATACAAATGGTGGATAATATTTCAGTTGACAATGTAGATTATCAAATTCACTATCATCGTCTTTTTCATTCTTCAAGTAGATTTCAAAATCATTTAAATCTTCAAAGAGTTTGATCTCTTCACCATCTTTTGTTGTAATTGTGTTAATTTTAGGACCTTTGTTTTTCTTATTATTTTTGGGCATTGGTTTTCTCTTTTATTTTGTTTTGTTTTGTTTTTCTTTAAAAAAAGAAAATAAATTTGGAGAGGGAGGAGAGTTATATTTGATTGTATATATAAATACCTATATACATATATGATTTAATACTGTTCAAAAACGATATTATTTGGACAGAGGAAAGGAATTAAGAGAAATACGAATATAAGAGATTAGTATCAAGTGATACATACATACATATATACATATATATATATAAAGAAGAAAGAAACAGAGGGAGATAGTTTATGTGTGTATGCGTGTTTGTTACAACTAATACTTATTTTAACAAAATACGTTGGGGTAAATTGAAAACAAGGAGGGGAGAATTAAATTGAGAGATAAGAGTGACAACATTTTCCTGGATTTTCATTGGTATAAACCCTTATATATATGTGTGTGTATGTATATATGTATGTATATGTGTATGTATATGTGTATATATATGTGTATGTTTATTTATTTTGTTCGTTTAAATGTTCACACGAAATTAGGGTATTAGGGATCTGATGCGGGGCTAAAGATGTTTTTTAATCTACTGAGAATATGTTCCTCCGTAAAATTTTTAGCGGTATTACGGAAACAGAAATAAATCACATGTAATGATATTCCAACGTATGGATGCATATATATTTAGATGTATGTGTGTATGCATATATTTATGTATTTATATACAGTTATATATTTATGTACGTGTTGCGTGTTTTATGTTTTGTGTTGTTTGTTTTCCGTTTTCTGAGGCGCTAGCATTTGGTTTGTCCGGCTTTGTAGTTCCTATTGTTATTTCGATGTGTTTTGCCATGTGAAAAATATATTTGAATTAAACAAAAGAATGAACAAAAGAAAGAATGAATGAATGGATGAAAAAAAAAAAGCTTCGTGATAGATTGCCTTCAGATATGTATAAAAGAATAATTTAAGAAGGAAACTAATGCATATATCAGTATTTATGTAGGTATATACGTGTAAATAAAATTGTATTCATAAGGATATATCATCATTATGCATGACTTAATATGACGAAGGAAAAAGGTGGTGGGTTTATGATCACTAAATATAATTTACCCAATTCAAAAAATTCATCAGGCACAACTTCCTTGATTAGAAATAAACTGAACTTTGATGACGGTATAAAATGGAATGAGTTTTGTAAAATTAGAACATGTTTGATTAAATCTTATTTTAAGTCTATCGATTTGGTTCATATCAATTTGACTCTCTCTGAAAATAAAATCAAAGTTAAACAGATAGCAGATTGTCTTAGAATCGAATTTAATTTCTCTGTAGATACTGGGCATTATTTCGAAAAGCTGGTTATTTTGGCTATACAGTCAATGAGAAGGAATTTAATTAGATCACAAAACAATAACAGCAATAGATTAAATAAATTAGATAAATTAGATAAATTAGATAAATTGAACAAATGCAAAGAGTTCTCGCCTTTGTCCAATGGAAAAGATGGTATTCTATCTAATACTAACCTTCTTTCTTTAGTCATTAACGATATAATAAATGATGTAGTTCCACTAAAGGATCAAAAGTCGCACCAAATAGATTCTAGCATGATTCATGGTGGGTTGCCTGATCTAAGTATATTTATAAGTGAAGATCCTTTATCTCGCAAAACTAAGAAAAATTCACAAAACCTTTTGGGTGATAAAAATTCAAAAGATTCCCCTTTCATCCCCTTTTTCTTAAAGGAGAAAATATTACGTAATATACAGAAATCAAGAACTTGTTACCAACTGTCGAGGATTGATAGTGATAGGATAAACATTATTGAACAACATCGCAATTTGATTAGACTGGGTCGTGACTCACTAACTTTGTCTAGTAGATACGTCTTTGAAAGATTTTATTCTAATTCAGATTTGAATCTAGTAGATTTCGTATTTGAACAAATCAATAAACCTAAGTTTTTATCTCAGTTATCATTTGAATTATTCCAATCTGCTATTACAATAAAACTCTCGTTGCATGATCAGGAAATGTTACTGTCTTTATTGAATATAACTTTGGGCTCATTGATTAAAGATTTCGGATTCGATCCAATCCTGTACGATATTAGTGAAATCTTGTACCATTTAGTTTTAATCAAGTATCCAAGATTATGTAAAAATAATAACTCTAATGGCGTAGAAGAGCATGATTATGATAATACAGTTTTGAGTGGTAGATCTTCTAAAGCAAATACCCCTGATATTGATTCGGATATGGAGTCACATCTATCAAAGAATAAAGACATCATTGTATCCTCACTGTCGATTAACCCACAGATTGCAAATAAAGAAGTGTACAAGAAAGTTCAAATTAAATATCAGACAAAGGTTCAAGATTTTAATTTTCCATTACTGAGTAATGCTACACCCACAATAAAGGAAATTGTTAATAATTGTAAGCAATTGTTTCAAATTAAAAAAGATTTAGAGTTAAATATTTATTATGATGGTACATTAATAAAAAGTGATATTAAGTTGGCGAATTTGTTTAATGATTTGAATATTAAAGTGTTGTATCTTGAATTGAGGTAGGCTCTTTAAAAAAAAAAAAAGCAAACAAATGCAAAAAAACGCACGCATGTAAATTTATATAATATTAAATATCTGGATAGAAATATATGCAAAATATAGTTGTTAATTTGGGTATTATTTTTAAATTGATACTATTTAATTTGAATATAGATTTATTTTTGGATGTTTTTTTTTGTTGTAAAAATATATGTTTTGTTCTAATGTGAAGTAATCGGGATAAAATTCCTTGAAGAGAGATCAAGAAAGAAAAAAAGAAGACTAAAAAATCTAAATACTCACATTACACTGACACATCACCTTTCCCACTTGTTACAACAAAATATAAGAAAAAAAAAAGTTTTCGGTTACTCTTTACCTTACGGATGAATATTTATATTTATTTAGTTATATGTCTTTTTATTTTTCTTATTTTCTTTCTTCCTATTTTTTTTTTATTTAAAAAATTTACTATTACTGTTATGATAAATTTAAATCACTAATTTCTTGTCTAATTTCTTCCTCCTCTATGTTGGCTTTTATATTATCGTTATTAGCACTATTACTACCTTCTCTTACCATCTCTTCCTTTTCTTCCTCTTCATTATAAGGAGGTAATTCAGTTACATGTAACTTATAGCCTAATGAATATTCTTGATCTTGCAAATTTTTGAGACAAATATCAAAATATTCTTTATTATGGAATCCAATGATGGCATTATATAAAATAGCTTCCATTTGAACAATTCTTCTACCCTCGTCAGCACTCTCATCCTCCATCTTATTTTCGGGTTTAATATCGACTATCATCTTTACTTCTTCTGCTTCATAAACACCAACATAAAATTCTCTTGTTGTATCACTTATTGATTCATTATGCTGACCTCTTAAATTCAGTAATTTAGGGCATTTTAATTTAATAAAATCCTTCAATATAGTCCATCTTAACTTTCCATATTTCTCAATCATATTGGTCACAATATCTATTTTAAGCTTTTCTTGTCCCAAGGCTTCAAAATTTATTGATGTTTCCGTCTCTGGCAAGAGATAAGGTGGGAAATTATCCAATTTTAATTGCCACATCTTTCTCTCTGTCATCTGTTTTCTAAAATTTCTTTCGTTAAATATACTTTTTAATTTCTTTGGTTGTTTAAATGGGTTTGCAATCCTCTTATGACCCATATAAGGATAAATAAATTTTGGATCTGTGGTCATCCCCATCATATCATTGGTTTGTTCAGGACAATAAAATGGAATACCCCTTCCAAAATCACTACCTCCAGCAGCAGTACTACTGTTAATCATTTCATTATTTGTATCATATGTATTTATAAAATGTTGTGGATATGAATATATTTTCTTAAAATTTGGTGCAAAACTCCTTGAAGATTCAGTTGTAGAAGGAGAAGAAGTTGTTGTATTAGCGGTGGTAGCACTATAGTCAATAGTAGACGCAGTAGATTTTGAAGTATTTATCACCTGTTTTGAGTTATATAGAGATTGATTTTGCATAAGTGGAGAAGTGGCCACCTTTGAGCCAAAAGTTTTATCCTGGAAAGGCTGTTTCATAGAAATTGATGCAGAAGTAGGTTGTGATGAAAATTGAGGCAAAGGAAAAGAAATTGGAGGAATTGGAGGCATCATGTTTGTAATTGTGGGTATAGGTGGGACTAACGATGTTTGGGGTAGCAACATGACTCCTGATTGTTGCAGTGACGATGATGGAGAAGATGTAGGAATTATAGGAATAAAAGAAGGGAAAGGTATCTGTTCTTGTTTTTCATTAGTTTTTATATTGGTAGTGTCATTTTTTTGAAAAGTAGGAATATTAATGGTACTAATATCATTGTTTGGCGAGTTAGAGGTTATAACTGGAGATAATAAACTATTAAGACTATTTTTCTGTGATGAAGTAAAGGACTTTTTTAAAAAATCGTTCTTTTGTTCTTTTCGGTACTGTTTTTGGGGTAAATACATTGTTGGAGGAATCATAGGATACAAAAAGGGAAGATATGTATATGGGGGAGACGAAGGATAATTTATTTCATTTTCCTTTTCTTTTACCTGTTTTAATTCATGCTGTGCCGCAATAGAGTAAGACGTGAAAGGAGAAGAAGAAGCAGAAGAAGTAGTAGCAGTAGTAGCAGTGGTAGAAAAGGAGGAAAAGTTAAGTGGAAAAGGAGAAATGTTAACGGGTGATATAAGATTAGGGATAACATATGAATATAAATCATAATTATCCCATGTGTAAGAATTCAAACTTAGAATCAAATCGTTGATCATGTCATCATTCAGTGTGTTGGTTAAAGTGACTAAACAGCTTTGCTGCATAAAAAAGGGAGAAATTAAAGAGGCCATCGGAGGTAATAATTTGACTTGAAGAACATTTGAATGGTGAATAATCCCACCTATTAAGTATTTAATTTGTTTCCAATTTTTATTTGGAGGTAAATTATCAATTTGGATTAAAATAAAATTATTATTATTATTATTGTTATTCATATTATTGATATTGTTATTATCGTTTATGCTATTATTACTAAATGAGGTATGTTTTCTTTTATGTTTTAACAAAGATAATGGTAATTTTGAATAAGAGGAATTATAATTATATTTAGAAGTAAATAACGAAGTGTGATCCTTCTTATAACTGTTGTTTACTGTAGAAGTGGTATCTTTTGCTGTTGTCAATGAAGAGGTTGCAGTTCTTAAAGGTTTAATAGTCTGAATATCTTCGGTTTCCTTATCATCCTTATTTGAATAATCCTTACCATCATTCAATTTGGAATTACTATTACTACTACTACTATTATTATTTTTATCAGTTAAATGTTTCTGAGCTAACAAATCCTTCTGAGTTAACAAATTCTTCTGTTTAGTATTTTTACTTTTATCGATCTCATTATTTCGAATTCTATTACTATTATTTTGAGAAACAAAATTTTTCTTTTGCTTTAATATATGATGGTCATGTGAGGCCATCGCTGTTTATAGTTTTTATATACAAGATTATAAAGATATAGTCATTCGCTATCAAACAAACAAACAAACAAACAAAATAAAAGAATGTACAGAAAAGTCTTTCTTTGAAATAATGTCATTTCAAAATTACAACCTAAGCTCTTATAAACAAACCGGAAAGGAAAAATTTACTATTAGAATTAAGGTTAAAAAAACCAAAACAATCTTTGAATCTTTCTTCTTCTTCTTTTTAAATTACGAAATAGAATCAAAACACAAGGGACAAAAAACAATTATGGAGATTACTTTTTACAGTTCTCATATTGTTGTATTTGCATATGGAATATATAACATAATATATCTTTAAACATAAGACAAACAAAACAAGCAAACAAACAAAAAAAAAAAACAAAGGAGGTAAAGAAAAGGAGAATGGGAATAGGAAGAGAAAGTTATTAGAACAACAAGATACACAATAGTAGCAACTACAGAAATTTACTATTATACTTGACAAAAGCTACAAGATAAAATGATATACCACTGAACAAGGTTAATTCTTCCACACACACGATTTCTTCTTCTTCAACAAAAGTGAATTATAACAGACTGTGTTCAGTGGGAAGTCTAAAAGCGAATTCTCTATTTTAAAATCCACAAAGTAATAATAAAGTTATTATGCTTGCATCTAAATATAGAATATCTACTATTTACAGCATTTCTTTATCCTTTTTTTTCTTTTTTTTATTTTTCATTTTTTATTTCTGCAGTCTTGGTTTATTCTGACACATTCCCTTTAAAGAAATTACGTCAATGATTAATTTCAGGGTTCTCTTTTCCTGATTTTTTGTTTTTAAAAAAATAATTTGGATTACTCCGAAATTTTTGAAATAATAAGATCCTTACACCCACATCATGTGAAATTCACGTGATATTTTATTTTCTTACTTTTTCCGTAAATATTTTCAGTATATGCTTTTACAGGAAGCTATATGATATAAACACCCATACATTTTTAACAAGGTGAATTTCCTTTTTTTTTTTTTCTTTGAAAATTTTATAAAAATAACAATAGCACTAATAGTGGAACCTAAAAAAACATTTAACCAAAAAAGTGGGACAATTTTGTCCCGCAATCATGCAAATACCCAAAGGGTTTTTTCTTTTTCTTTTTTTTGTTTTTTAATACCCATTCTCAATTTACTTTTTTCCAGTCAGTTGTTCTGAGACAAAGAAAAAACCAAAAACTAAAAAAAAACAAAAAACAAATAAACAAAAAAAAATAACACAAACAAGAAAAGTGGTCAATTTTGTCCATATCCATTCATTTCGGAACTCAATGGACCATTTTTTTTCTGATTGTTAGAGGGTTTCCTTTTTAGTACATCATGATTACTTTTTCTTTTCTTCATTTTTTATCTCACATTTTTTGCTTTTTCATATATCATGATGTATAAATTTTTTTCCCCCTCTCCCAGAGAACTTGTCCTTCGTTGTATTTTTCTTTTTCTTCTTTGATTAATTAATAAGGTATAGTAACATATTCTATTTTAACTTGCTTCAAAAAAAAAAAAAATAAACATGAAAAAAAATAACAAAAAAAAAAAATTTTTTTCAGTAAACATCATCGATGACCTTTCCTTCCTTGAGTCACTTTTGAAATTACATAAAGAATCTATACATTCCATAGAATTTAGATGAGCCTTCCAACTTTTTAGTTGTTTTTTCTTCTTGCTTTTTTCGTTTCTTTTTCTAAATTATTCATCCATAATATATATATATATATTCACAGAACTTGCTTTTGACTACGTTTCTTCTCTTGCAATTCTCTGTCAGCCCCTCTTTTTCCAGTTTTTTCCTCTCTTGCTACGTTAGTTTGCTTAATGCATATCTTGTACGAAACCAACAAACCAACAAACCAATAAACCAACAAGAGAGAATAGAAAATGCCTTTAACTACCAAACCATTATCTTTGAAAGTCAACGCTTGTTTATTTGATGTCGATGGTACCATCATTATCTCTCAACCAGCCATCGCTGCCATGTGGAGAGACTTCGGTAAAGACAAACCATATTTTGATGCCGAACACGTCATCCACATCTCTCACGGTTGGAGAACTTTTGATGCCATCGCCAAATTCGCTCCAGATTTCGCTAACGCTGAATACGTCGAAAAATTAGAGGGTGAAATCCCAGAAAAATACGGTGAACACTCCATCGAAGTCCCAGGTGCTGTCAAGTTATGTAACGATTTGAACAAATTACCAAAGGAAAAGTGGGCTGTTGCCACCTCTGGTACTCGTACCATGGCTACCAAATGGTTCGAATTCTTAGGTATCAAGAGACCAGAATACTTCATTACCGCTTCCGATGTCGAAAACGGTAAGCCACACCCAGAACCATACTTAAAGGGTAGAAACGGTCTTGGTTTCCCAATCAACGAAAAGGACCCATCTAAATCTAAGGTCGTTGTCTTCGAAGATGCTCCAGCTGGTATCGAAGCTGGTAAGGCTGCTGGTTGTAAGATTATTGGTATTGCCACCACTTTCGATTTAGACTTTTTAAAGGAAAAGGGTTGTGATATCATCGTCAAGAACCACGAATCTATTAGAGTAGGTGAATACAACCCAGAAACCGATGAAGTTGAATTGATCTTCGATGATTACTTATATGCCAAGGATGACTTATTACAATGGTAATTTTCCTGAGTAAAAAAGATTTATTAACATATGTTTTTTTTTTGTCTTTTGCCTCTTTATTTTCATTTTCTTTAATAAGCTATAATTAATGTATAATTCCATTCACACACGTACAAATAATAAAAACAAACAAGCAAACAAAAAAAAAGGAACGAACATGCACGGCCATGTAAACCTTTAACTAATGTTACAATTAATGATCTTCGCAAAACTTTTTTTTATGTTATTTCAAACAACAGTAAGAAAAAAAAATCAATATGTAAAAATTTTAAATATGTTATATATATTTTTTTTAAATTTTGATAGATACACATAGAAAATAAATAACTAACTTCTACTATAGTTTTTCGGTATAAGTTACAAACTCATATATATATATCTGATTTAATTTTGATCTAAATGACAGGAGACAAAAAAGACAAGAGTATTTTCAGCTATAGGTATATATATATATAAATACACGTGTGTAACTTATCTTATCATATACAATTATATAATAATATTTAGTTCTTTTCAGTAGCAATGACTTCAACTTCTAAATCCACATTTAATGGCAATGCTTTAACAGCGACACATGATCTAGCAGGCTTATGAACATTAAAATATTTAGCATACAGACCATTAAATTCCTTAAAATAATTGATATCGGCCAAAAAGACATTTACTTTAACAATCTTATCTAATGAAGAATTACTAGCTTCTAATATATTTTTAATGTTTTTGAAAACTTGATCAGCCTTTTCAGTAATGGTACCTTCAACTGGTTTATTATCTGGAGTATATGGGATTTGGCCAGAGACAAAAATCAAGTTATTAACTTTCATAGCTTGAGAATACGAAGCAGCGGCTGGTGGGGCATTCTTGGTGGCTATTGGTGTTAAAGTGTTTAATGATCTAAAGATTGATGGTCTAAATAAAGCGTTTCTAAACATTTTAATCAAATTATTGCCTATAATTATTCGAAGAATTTGGCGCGTATTCTACTTCAAGAGATATACATGTATACACGTTTCTAAAGTAAAAAGAGTCGAAAATAAAAAAGCGCAATTTATAATAGTGTGTAACACTTGAACATGAACTGACATACTCAATATTTATATATTGGTTATGACCTATTCTTTACTCTTTCCTTATCTTATTTCAATTATTCAAGATGACTGATCGGAATATTGGTCGCTCGAGAAAATTTTAATTCCAAGCGGTTTTCCCCCCATTTCTTTTCTTTTTTCTTTTTTTTCTTTTTACTCCCTTTATTTAAACAAACAGTGCTATATCGATGGAGATATAACTCCGTCATTATTATCAAGACGTCTTCTAGAGAGTAGATTGACTGTTATTATTAGTTGTTGTTAATATCACAAGAAGCACACATCCATCCGTAGAATTCCACAGGCTAATTCTCCAAATTCTCCAACAAACTCTCTCTTAAAAAAGAAAGAGAATTACATGGTTTCGGCATCGATTCATTATAGCCAGCTTTCACTTTTCATCCTTCATCCTCCTTCTCTCTTCCTTCTATCTTCTCGCTTCCTTTTTCTCCCTGACATATTTACTAGTTCACATTTAACCTCACACTGTATTATCATTTTAAACCATATATATTGACCGAACTATAACAATCAGAATTAGTAGCAAACACTTAAACTAATAATTAGTCAGCTCTGTAATATCACAGAGCATTCATTTAGAAAAAAAGATATCCCTCTTTCTTGTTTGCATATATATCAGTCCCTTATTCTTCCTCTTATACATCACAACATTATTTTTAACTACGTATTATTGCATTAAAATAATTGGATAATAAGAGAACAGAGATACTATTCTTTCTGTACACTACTTTAAAATAAGAAGAAAACTGTCATTTTCTTTTGATGTAAAAATTGACATGTTTTTTTTGTTCTCCTCTTCTCTTTTGTTTTTTTTTTCTTTTTTTTGATAGTTAATATTTTGTTTTTCTTCTGACATTCGATAAGCAGCTTACACAACAAAAAGAACATCCATTAATAAATAAATAAAGAAATATATACATAAACAAAGTATATAACAACATTTATACTAACATCATCTCATATATGACACTTTACAAAAAGAGTAAAAAGAAAAAAAAACTTCGTTAAAAAGACTAAAAAGGAAGATAAATAGTTCAATAATTTAAGAAAAATACAACTTCCGATTCTCTTAATAACTTGCTGGTATATTTTATCCATTTATCCCCCCCTTACTCTTATAAATCTGTTTTGATTTTTAAATAATACAGACAATTTATAATCTTTAGCAAAATACGAATATTATACAGTAAGACAGCCGCCTATTTTTGTTTTTAATCACCATTAGAAATCCTTTAATATATTTATCTCTATTCATATATGTCATCAATTGAAATTCATTCAAAAATTGGATCTATCCCTATACAAATTCCAAACAATCAATATAACAATATAAATAACGACAGGAAGGTTAATGCTACAGAAGACAACTATATAGTCTCTCACAACTCAATACATAATAATAATTGCAACAATTATCCAAGTTGCGGATCTATCTCAAATCAAAATACGCAACATGATCAAATATCAAACAGTTTCACAAATTCATACCCAACATTAGTATGTGTTGATCATACAATCTCACAACCGATTGTTATAAATCAAGAGAAGGTTCTAGAAAATTCACTCTCTTCATCATTCCAAAACAACAACATTCCAAACTCTTTTGAGTCTGGATCCATTAATAATGTTCTATACGGCTCAAACAATATGAATCACCTAAGTCAGAGTCTTTTTTCTGGTTCCTTACCAACCGGAAACTTAGTTACCAATAATAATGACATTACAGATAACGGTGCTACCAGTAAGTCATATCATAATGGAAGTGTGCCTAGTAAAACAACACAATATATTGAAGACTTTGGTACAAACGCCACAACCACCCCAACTCAATATTTTAAAGACCATCGAACTTTTCATAATCAAAGTAGTAAAGAACCTTTACAGCAACATCTGCAGACACAGCAGTTTAATGATATATATTATGGAGCCAATACAGTTAATGATTCTACGATAAATTACACACCTCATACTACTCCTACTTTGAATAATAAACAGAATGACAAAGATTTAAACACAAATAATAACAATCATATAGGTGCTGAGGAAAAAAAACATTTATTAGATATTGCTGAGTTTCCAACTGAGGAATTATTAAAAATGATGACTGCTTTATTAGACAAAATTGTAAGTTCGAATGATGAGTTAAATATGTCAAGCCCGAACAATTCCTCTCCTATCGATGACAACAATACTGCTCCTAGTAGTATGATCACCCCCACCACTACTAGTAAAGTCTCAGAAGATAATGATAGTGAATTAAAATATGCTATCTCATGTTTTGCCGGCAAACATATCCCACAGATATCTATTGAACAATATCTTCTCCGAATACAAAAATATTGTCCTACAACAAATGATATATTTTTATCAATATTAGTATATTTTGACCGAATCTCTAAAAAATGTAATAATAACGATATCAACAATGATATAAATCAACTGGAGAGCAAACATAATTTTGTTATGAATTCCCATAATATTCATCGATTATTAATATCTGCAGTCACAGTAAGTACAAAGTTTTTCAGTGATTTCTTTTACAGTAATGCAAGATATGCTCGTGTAGGGGGGATTCCATTGCAAGAAATGAATAAATTAGAGATACAATTTATGCTTCTATGCGATTTTAAATTATCCATTCCTATTGAAGAATTACAAAGGTATGCTGATTTGTTGTATACATTTTGGAATACAAATAACGATGAATGTGTAAATAATATTGCTTTAGATAACACTAACAATAGTAATGCATAACATTTTTCACCAAAAGGAGTCAATCAATCAATAAACATATATATATATATAGAGTCATGTAACCATATTCTTACAAAAAAATAACATTTTATATCTATTGCATAAAATATTAGTCAATGAACAACAAACAGAATTAGTTATATTTCCACTTAGATATTGTTTTAAAATGTTTTTAATATATTTAACCTAGACCCTCCTTTCTTCTTTCCCTTCTCAGTATTTTTTTTTGATGTAAAGTTTGACTTACTATGAACTGTGAAAAAGAAAATAACGAACAGGCATTATAGAGAAAATTATAAATATTTCTATTTTAAAAAGTTTCAAGTTAAATTGAATGAACAGTAGCTAAACGTCCAAAAAAGGTGATACTATTCATCTATCCCAGACATACGATAAACAAAAAAGTAATATAAATATATACAAGGTAATAAATATTATCAACAACTTCTTAATGTTAGATGATTTCACCAGCTGTATTATAGCATTGTATAGATTGTCTTTTGCTGTAGGAATAGCATCATTGTATATTGCCAAGGTATATATTCCTGACTTTTTAGAATATGGAAAAACTTTAAAGAATCATTCAAGGAAGGACATTAATCCTTTATTAGACCAAGTTATCCATTTCACTCTACCAAAAGCATATTTCAGTCATTTTTATATTTTGTCCCTTACTCTTTCAATAATCACTGTTGTGAGATATTATCAATACCCCATTACTTGGATTTTACTATTCCACTCTTCTAGAAGATTATATGAAACACTTTTTGTTTCAAAATATACAGGATCTAGAATGAATTGGTCACATTACGTCGTTGGGTTGTGGTTTTATTCTGTATTACATATTATACTAAATACTAAATTAGCCTCCAATGATATTAATTCTAATCTAAATATGATATCATTATGCCTCTTTTTGTATTCTTCGAGAGAACAATTTAAAAGCCATCAAATTCTGGCAAACCTGAAAAAATATTCTTTACCTCAAGATAGATTGTTTCAATATGTATGTTCTCCTCATTATCTTTGTGAGATTGGTATATATCTATCTTTTGTACCGTACAATCTCGAATTTCTTTTTCCATTAATTTGGGTTATTGCAAGTTTAAGTGTATCAGCTGCAGAAACTAAAAGATATTACCAAGATAAGTTCAAAGACAATGTGGTTCCCAAATATGCCATTATTCCGTATATTCTTTAATTATTTAACTGAGTAATAACATATTTCAAACAAGACCAAAAAGACAATTACAACAACAAAAAAATTATCTCAGAAGGTTAAGTTAGCTTCAAGGTTTCTTCAATCTTACAAATAAACATTTTCTAACCAACCTTCTACCTCATAAATATCTATAAAAAATAATATATTATTTAATAATATGTGATTATAAACTTTCATTATTTCAGATTTATTTTAATCTAACCAATTTTTTTATTTGTTTATCTTTATTTCTTTTTGCTAAACCTGCCACTAAAAGGGCGATCAGAACCGAATTATAGTCATTATAGAAAGAGCTCTGTGGCAATAACTTCTTTCTATTAGTACAACATTATAGTTTTCATCTTTTCTGTAGTTATCTCTCCTTCTATCTTGTTCAGTAAATATTTATCTGTACATCATCAATATGTTATTTATTACGATTAATATGTGCTCCTTACAATATTGTATTAAAATAGTGGAGTAGGCTTTTTCTTTTTTTTTTTTTTGATTTTTTTTTTACTTATTTATTATACATATGTAAAATAAATAGACCGTCGTAATAGATAAAGACAAAAAACAGAAGATATCTGTTTAAACAACGACCCAAATCTATTGAAAAAGTTCAATACTTCTCCAATATACTTATATCAATTGATGATAATTAGGGTATAAATTCGATTCTCCTCAATTTATCTCTTTGTCCTTTTTGCTTTTTACTTTAGTTTGCTAGATCAAATATTAGTAACACAAACAAAAGTTGTTGGGCAAGACTTGCACTTTTTTTTATTTTTAATCTGATTCAAACTTAACACACTACTTCTTCCCCCAATTTATGCCTAGCAGATATTGTCTCATAATTATACTACATCTATCCTAAGTTCAATGTCATCTAGAATTTTATCTTTAGAAAAAAGCAATAGATTCGATAATAATTTTCAAAACAATCCAGAGAATAAACCTTCATTACAAACACCAAATACACAGAGTGTTGATTCATTTGATTTCCATTTTGAAAACAACTTTGACGAAGCATTAGATAAATTAGAAATCAATCCACATAGAGATTCACAGAGTAGAAGAACACCAACTAACGATATCGCCACTCCCAATAGTGAAAATATTGAAATGAGTAGTTTAAATGATAGACTTGATAGCAATTCAAAAAATATTATAAGTGACAGAAATGCATTAATGTCTGACATAAGTGATGGTGAAGGTCCTTCAAATTACAACTATCACACAAATCAAAGATACAATTCTTCTTCGACCAATTTTTTAAAAAGTTTTTTCAATTACATAAAACAAACTAGTTCAACTTCCAGCTGGAGGTTACATTCGAATAACTCCTCTGTAACTTTAAATGAGGATCATATAGAGAGACAAATACACCCGGGAACAACTCCTGTATATGATAAAAATAAATACCCAACAAATGAGATATCTAATGCCAAATATGATGCAATAACTTTTATACCGACTTTATTATATGAGCAATTCAAATTCTTCTTCAACCTATATTTCTTAATAGTTGCATTATCTCAAGCTATCCCTGCTTTACGAATTGGTTATCTTTCTTCTTATATTGTTCCTTTAGCTTTTGTTTTAACTGTTACTATGAGTAAAGAAGCTTTAGATGATATTCAACGTAGGAAAAGAGATAAAGAATCCAATAATGAATTATACGAAGTCTTGAATCAATCTAGATTAGTTCCAAGTAAAGATTTGAAAGTAGGTGATCTGGTAAAAATGCAAAAGGGCTCGCGAGTTCCCGCTGATATGGTTTTATTACAATCAAGTGAAGGTTCCGGGGAATGTTTTATCAAGACAGATCAATTAGATGGTGAAACAGACTGGAAATTACGAATTGCTTGCCCTTTAACACAGCATTTAAAAGCCGAGGATTTGTTAAATAAAATCAATATCACTGCTTCTGCACCTGAAAAATCTATACATAATTTCTTAGGGAAAATTTCATACAAAGAGTCTACCTCCAATCCTTTATCAATCGAAAACACTTTATGGGCTAATACTGTTATAGCATCTACTGGATTTTGTATTGGATGTGTTATATATACAGGGAAAGATACAAGACAAGCGATGAACACGACAACTGCCACTGTCAAGACTGGCCTCTTGGAATTAGAGATTAACAGAATATCTAAAATCTTATGTGCTTCGGTGTTTATTTTATCTATTGTCTTGGTGATATTTGCAGGATTTCAAAACTCTGATTGGTATGTTGATGTTATGAGGTACTTAATTTTATTTTCTACCATTATTCCTGTCTCCTTAAGAGTAAATCTTGACTTAGCTAAATCTGTATATGCTCACCAAATTGAACATGACGATACAATTCCTGAAACAATTGTTAGAACTAGCACTATTCCTGAAGATTTAGGCCGTATAGAGTATTTATTAAGTGATAAGACAGGTACACTGACACAAAATGACATGCAACTGAAAAAGATTCATTTGGGGACTGTTTCGTACACACATGAAACTGATGATATCGTTATCGGATATATCAACTCATTAGGTGGTAAATCAACAAATAGTGTGAATATTACTACATCAAGAAGGGATATTGGTACTAGAGTGCGTGATCTGATCACTACTCTGGCCATATGCCATAATGTCACACCTACTTTTGAAGATGGGGAATTAACATATCAAGCTGCTTCTCCAGATGAAATTGCTATTGTTAAATACACCGAATTGATAGGTCTTTCACTGTTCAAAAGAGACAGACATTCAATTACGTTACTGCATGATAGCAGTGGCATCACTTTCCAATATGATATTATTCAAGTTTTCCCATTTACCTCCGACACTAAACGTATGGGGATCATTGTGTATGATAAGCAACATGATGAATACTGGTTTTTGCAAAAGGGTGCTGATACTGTTATGTGCAAAATTGTAGAAAATAACGATTGGTTAGAAGAAGAAACAGCAAACATGGCTCGTGAAGGTTTAAGAACATTGGTTGTTGGTCGTAAAAAAATATCCAAAAAGATTCTGGAACAATTCCAAAAGGAGTATAACGATGCGTCTTTATCAATGTTAAACCGTGATCAACAAATGAGTGCTGTTATTGGGAAGTTTTTGGAACATGATCTAGAGTTACAAGGTTTAACTGGTGTTGAGGATAAATTACAAAGAGATGTTAAATCATCTATAGAATTATTGCGCAATGCAGGTATTAAGATCTGGATGCTTACTGGTGATAAAGTTGAAACAGCCCGTTGTGTTTCAATTAGTGCTAAGTTAATTTCAAGAGGTCAGTACGTCCATACAATTACCAAATTACGTAAACCTGAAGGGGCCTTAAATCAACTGGAGTATTTAAAAGTAAATACCAATGCCTGTCTTTTGATTGATGGAGAATCGTTAGGAACGTATTTAACATATCATAAGGAAGAATTCTTTAGCATTGCTTTACAATTACCTACAGTGATTGCTTGTCGTTGTACCCCACAACAGAAAGCAGATATTGCGCTTAATATCCGTACAGTTACAGGAAGAAGAGTATGTTGTATTGGCGATGGCGGTAATGACGTCAGTATGATCCAAAGTGCCGATGTAGGCGTTGGTATTGTAGGTAAAGAAGGTAAACAAGCTTCATTAGCTGCTGATTTTTCTATCACACAATTTTGTTATTTAACTGAGCTACTTTTATGGCATGGAAGAAATTCTTACAAAAGATCTGCAAAATTGGCTCAATTTGTTATGCATAGAGGTCTTGTAATTGCTATTTGTCAAGCAGTATTTTCTATATGTTCTAAATTTGAACCTATCGCCTTATATCAAGGTTGGTTAATGGTTGGTTACGCAACCTGCTATACAATGGCCCCTGTTTTTTCACTTACGCTAGATCGTGATATTGATGAATCTTTAACCAAAACCTACCCTGAATTGTATAAAGATCTTACAGAAGGTAAAAGTTTATCTTATAAAACATTTTTTGTCTGGTGTGCACTATCATTATACCAAGGTTGTATTATCCAAGGGTTATCTCAGTCATTTACCAGTTTACTTCCAGAGGATTTCACGAGAATGGTAGCAATTAGTTTTACAGCATTGGTAATTAACGAACTTATAATGGTAGCTCTTGAAATCTATACTTGGAATAAAATGATGGTCACCACAGAAATTATTACCTTTTTATTCTACGTTATTTCCATTCCATTTCTGAGTGAATACTTTGAATTGAAGTATATGCTAAGTCCTAAATTTTATTTCGGATTATTCTTAATTCTATTACTGTCAGTGTTTCCAGTATGGGCTGCAAAGACTATTTATAGAGCACTACATCCTCCAAGTTATGCTAAAGTCCAAGAATTTTCGATGGTTTAGTAAATACTTACAGTTAAAAACCATATATAACATACATTAAAATGCATATAGACTTTTCTAAATATCTTTCTCTGTCTTCATTTAACTATGTATTACAACACTATAAATTGAAAAGATACTTAACTTAGTATCAAACTTGTAGAGAGTAAAATTACTATATACATACAGGGTTCATAAGTTAATTATTTTTTAAAACCTATAAAAAAATAAGAAAATTATTTAATACCAGTCATCTATTGGAAAATATGCATTTACTTATTTTCGGAGTATACGTCACAACTGTTCTTATACATACAATTTCAAAACAAATTATGACTGTATACGAATTTTTTATATCTAAATGATAACTATTCAATACACAATAGATTATTCAATTAGTAGATATAGCCTTCTCTATGAATCAGAATCACTTTCCCTCATATCATCATTACCATCTGATATGGTAATAACAGGCCGTTGAAAGTCTGTTGCATGGGCCCATGGTATAGTCTTTGAAAAACTACCAAACATACTAACTTTTCTCCTTATCATTGGGTGATACGCTGAGGAAAGTTCTGAAACATCAGAGTCTAAGTGATCTCTGTGCGAAGACAATGTACTTTTAATTGAATGATTACCTGAAGAAACATAATTATCAAGTTCAATGTCTATATCTGGATTAACTATCACAGGATATGGTAAAGGTGCATCAGAACTAACTTTAAATAAGTGCACGTTTGCTACATGTTCATTTTCAACACGAAAGATAATCCATATGAAACGTCTAAGAACTTCAACAAATGCAATAACAAATGATGTAGCAGCACTTTGCTGGATGGTAGATGGTGCTATTGCCCATACTATCCATTGGAATCTAACCATGACATTCCATACCATAGCTACATAATAAACTAACTTCCGCTTTCCATCATATGTTCCATCTTTCCAATTTTTCTTTCCAGCTAAATATAAATCATCTCTTAAAAATAAATTATGTTTAGAGGGTTGAAGTAGGGACCAATCAAACACTATATCCCAAGTAGAAGTGAATATAGCATTAATTAATGCACATACAATAAAGGGAGTACGAGCCTCAGGTGAACGATGTGCCATTCTATAAGCACATAAAGATGCATTATAGGCAATACCACATATATACTTGGCCCCATTAAACAGATGTGGGAATTTATCACCAGAGTCTGTATATCTTCTTAAACATTGAAGTAGTCTCCAATAACTGGGCAAACAAGATAAAATACCCATAGTTTTTGAATGAGATGATCCACAAAGACCCTTTTCATTTGTTGCTACCAGGCAAGAAAACATAGCAATATCGGACATAGAATATGTCAGAGAACAGAATATATCACCTAAGAAGAAATCACCGAATTCAACAGGATACAATGGCGCCAACACCAATCTAATAATCCTGATAAATAACCATTTTCTTGTAGAGACAACTTTATCCCAATATGGAATCACATCCTTAGGTAAAATGTACAATAACACTGTTCCACATAAACAAACATATGACCATGGAATCAATCTTTCATATTTATAACTCAAGGCAGCACATATAGACCCCCAAAGTACAAAAAACATGATGGTATACAATTGTAATGGAACACCAGTTGTAGCGAAATCATTATTAAACAATTTGGTTCCATTTTTAGTTCGAGTTTCTCCTAGCATAATAAATCTATAATTAATACCATTTCTATGCCATATGAAACAATCAATTTGAAATAAAAATAACATAAGTAACACCATAAACCAACCACCCCAGAGCGGGAAAAGAATTTTGTGAACATACGATGTCTGTGGAGAAGCAAAAGACAATGATAGAATATAAACAAATAAAGTCACGGAAATACCTAAAAACAAACAAGCAGTAGACATTTGAATAATGGATCTATTATTTCTATGAATAATCTGCTCAGTTAGAGTATATTCCACAATAAATTTCTTTAAAAGTTTTGAATGCTTTTTAACATCTGATGGAGAATTTGTGAGATCATTGATATACCATTGTTTAATTTTGGTCTCCCACCATAAGATTGGATCATCCTTTGGATTTGTAGCAGTAAGGTCTGTATTAGGCTGATTTGAAGTATTTTGCTGCATTTGTTGGGCCAATAACTGAATATTAATCGAGACGTGTTTGAAAATTGAATAATTGTCCTTTGCAAATTTCATAAATTTGTCTAATTCATTTGTTTGTAAAGTCTTATCGAATTTCTTAACCATTTTACGAAACCCTGTTACATTGGTGTCGCGAAATGTCTTGATCATTTGCAGATAAAGATAATACTCTAATAGAGCATCACCTAGCAAATTTTGAGCTTGTTTAAGAGTAATTTCAGAGTTTTGAATGATGTTATCATATGCGAAGGTCTCTTTTACTGTGTGAATACCACTCTGAATATTAGTTTGATCCCTTGAACGTTTTAATTGTGAATTTCTATACGTAAGAAGGTCCCTCCATTGACTAGATTTTTCTGGCCACGAGGGCCATAACATATTTTGTTTTAAAAAATCTTTAATTTTAAAACCCAAAGAATCTTCGTTTTTTGTTTTTCTTTTACAATTAGAAATGGATCCATATAGTTCATTTTGGCAATTGTTATTATTATTACTATTAGATAAAATTAAAGATATCTGATCATTTGGAGATGATGAAACCGTAGTTGCAAGAGAAACATGGCGAAACGAGAGGATGTCATCATTACTCTTTTTATCCTCAACATTATTACAGCCACTACTACCACCAGTACCACTACTACTATTAATGATATTCAAGTTCAAATTTGAATTATCATTAGCATTAAGATATTCATTTTGATACATTTGTTTCTGTAAATTATAGATCTGTAGTTGTGATTGTAATATGGAAAATTTTTTCTTTGCTTCATCTAACAACCACTGATAAAAGTCGTTACATTTTGTCAATTCTTGACTAATCAACCACATCTCAATAAAATCTTTGATTGCATGTTTTTGAAATGAAGTATAGTTATCATTAATGCCCTTATTATTTGAAAAATCACGGTAGTAATAGTGATTATATGACGAACTTAGTATAGAATCTTTCATAGAATTGCCATTTTCATTGAGTTTAGTTGTCTTGTCATTTATTGGAACTGCAGACGATTCAGCATTTGATACTATTCTTGTAGGATCCTTTGGAAATTTGCCATAATGGTATTTTAATTTTTTCTTACCCAATTTATAATCTATATATTTATCCTTCCATTCAGGAATTGCAGATTCAGTTAAATGATCTGCAAACTTCATTCTGATAGTCTATATCCAGCCGATATAGTATTTTTTTCTTTTATTTTCCTTTTTTCGATCTTTTCGCTGTTTGTTGTGCTTACTATTTCTTCTAATAAATTACCAAACCCCCTTTATAAAAGTAGCTAGATACACAAATTTATTCATTCATACATATATATGTGGATATATGAATATGGGTGTATATTTATGTGTAGATGTATATAAATACTGAAAAGATGAAAAAAAGCTATTAACTTTTTGTTTTTTTGTATTTTATGTATATTAGCTTAACATTATCTTATTAGATCTTTACCACTTATCTATCATTTTTCATCTTATATTCACTCTCCAACTAACTGGCTGATTAAATTAACACATGTTGATACCACGATAATGAGCGATTGTCAACTTTAGATCATTTAACAATTCTTTCAATTTCCCACATCATCGTCATCTATTATTATGTCTCCATCTCTTCGTTGTTGCTCGAGAAAACAACCAGCTAGAAAAGAAAACAAAAGAAAAGCAAAAAAAAAAAAGAAAAATACTGTTCACGTGGGAAAAAAAGGGGAGAATACCCAAAAAAACAAAATGACTTTCCCTCCATAAATTACAAGAATAAATAAAAAAAAAATTTAAAATAAAGAAATAGATATATAATAATAATATACAATATATATATGTGTCATGAAAGCGCTATATTTCTACGCATGTGTTTAAATACACGTGTATCCGTAGGAATTGGTATCAAAGAGTTTATATAACTGTATAGCTACACTTTTACAAGAAGTTTCTTTAAGATTTGCTACCATTATCCTTGGCGTTGCAAAGTTAACAACTTTTTGTAAGGTTACATTTTTTCTTGCAAGCAGTTGTATTGCACTTTTATCGTGGGTGAAGAGGATAGACACACCCATTCTCCTTTTCTTTTTGCAGCTTCATGTTTCAATCCTCAGAGATTCTTTCAGAGTTCCAGACTGTCGAGACAGATGCATCATCACCCACACACCCATTTACACAGTTTTTTCTTTTCTTGCAGAATTGTGTGGTGTATGGATTGTTTGTTCTCTGCGCAAGGAGAGGGAAAAGAAATCAAAAAAAGAAAAAGAAAACAATTAGGCAAAATATTTTGTTTTTTTTTCTTTTCCTCTGGATAAGCAGTCAAGTAAGGAAAAGAAACACCGTAACGTATCGCTCTCTCTCTCTAAGTGGATATGCTAGTGTCTGGGTGTGTGTAAGCATATGTTATCACTTGCGTAGATGTGTGCTTAGATTGTTTAATGGTTTCAGGCATTGAATTTCTGATCTGTTCTTCTCTCTTGGTTGATGTTTATTCTTTTAACTATACTCCACAGTTTTCCTTTTTTAATACACTTCCCTCATTCTAGTATTATCTTCCCATTTACATCTTTTCTTCTTGTTTACTCTTACATCATTTACTTAGATGAGCTAACGATTGTCAAGAAGGTTTTTCTTCTTCTTTTTCCTTATTTTTTTGTTCCTATCCCACGTACGACTTATGTTTTATTATTACGTTAAAACAAAAAAAAAAAGAACTGGATTACAAGGAAATATTAATACTAGATCACTTGAATATATACACCCTATCTCTAGCTATATATAAACTTCATAATCTATTATATCATCGTTTCTTATACTATTATCCTCTTTTTTTTTTTTTATTTTCCCACTCTTAGTTTTTCGAGGATAAATTTAAATATAACATTATTGCATATACCTACCCAAATAGAAGATAATAAAATCAAAAGGGAAATAAAGAAATATAGATACTGATATATTGATATTACCATGGAGAATCAACAAGAAAGAAAAAGAATAAATACAGAAAATGATAATATAATACACCACATAGAACCCCTCCGAAAAAAATATAAAAATAACAAGGACTTAAAGAAGGATCAAGACACTAATACAGCTAATACTAGTGCTATTATTACTAATAGTAATAGCAACAGTAATAGCAATAATAAAGTTACTAAATCATCAATACCCAAATACAATTTCAATAAGTTTTGTTATAGACATGATCCAGATATCCAATCCACTTTCACACATACCGCATGTCACAAACAAGACATGAAAAGACTCAAAGACATAAATGATCGTATATCTCAACTGCCGGCATCTGAACAGATAGAGATTCATCACATCATATCCAAATTCACCAACTCTAATGATAAAATACGAACTCTGATTATAGATGGGATCCTGAATTCCTGTTGTTTCCCACAACTTTCGTATGCCTCGACACAGTTGAAACAAATGATTAAAATAGACTTTATAAGTATATTGCCACAGGAGCTATCCTTGAAGATTCTAAGTTATCTAGATTGTGAATCTCTCTGTCAGGCTACTATGGTATGTAAACGTTGGAAAGTGTTGGCAGATGACGATAGAGTATGGTATCGTATGTGTCAACAGCATATTGATCGTAAATGCCCTAATTGTGGATGGGGACTACCGTTACTACATATGAAGAATAGAGTCAGAATGATCCGTGGTAAGAAACGTGAAACTGCACATGGAAATGGAAATGGAAACGATAAGATTGTCTCACAAGAATCAAATATTCTAAATAAAATGAACCCCTGGAAGATTATTTACAGAGATAGATTTAAAGTCGAATCGAATTGGAGACATGGGAAATGTATAATCAAAGAATTCAAAGGCCATATGGATGGGATCCTTTCTATGAAATTCAACTATAGATTACTGTTTACTGGATCCTATGATAGTACAATAGCTATATGGGATATTTTTACAGGGAAATTAGTAAGGCGGTTGACTGGTCACCAAAGCGGAGTCAAAACATTGTTTTTTGATGGATCAAAGTTAATAACCGGGTCATTAGATAAGACTATACGGGTATGGAATTATATAACCGGTGAATGTGTATCTACCTATCGTGGCCATACAGATAGTGTAATGTCGGTGGATTCATTTAAGAAGATTATTGTCTCGGGGAGTGCAGATAAAACAGTTAGAGTATGGCATGTTGAATCACGTACGTGCTATACTTTAAGGGGTCATACGGAATGGGTCAATTGTGTCAAATTACATCCGAAATCATTTTCATGTTACAGTTGTAGTGATGATACTACTATCAGAATGTGGGATATCAGAACAAACACATGTTTAAAAGTGTTTCGCGGTCATGTTGGACAAGTACAAAAAGTAATTCCATTAAGAATTGTGGACATTGAAAATTTAGTCACAGACAATACTCCAAGCAACAATATGGGAGATACAAATGAACAAGGACAATTAAGTGAAGAAGAAGAGCAAGACATGGATGGAGAAAATGTTAAATTGGATGAAAATATACCGTATCCAACACACTTGTTATCATGTTCATTGGATAATACAATTAAACTATGGGATGTTAAAACAGGTAAATGTGTAAGGACCCAGTTTGGTCATGTTGAGGGGGTGTGGGACATTGCAGCAGACACTTTTAGAATCATAAGTGGATCACATGATGGTAGTATTAAGGTATGGGATTTACAAAGTGGTAAATGTATGCATACCTTTCATGGTAAAAATTTACAAAAGATAGACAATGATGTAAATATAACGCCGAGTACATCAAATGATAACATTCATAATGGAAGCACGACTAACAGGACTGCGCCAATTGCATGTGTAGATATTGGAGACTCCGAATTTTTCAGTGGAGATGAGATTGGCTGTGTTAAGATGTATAAATTTGATTTAGAAGATACTAATATGGAATATTAAAAAAAACAAAAAAGACAATAAATAAATAAAAATAAGTTAGTATATAACTGAACAAATAAAGCATTAACATAGCATTTTAGCACACAACACAAATTGATAATAACAGAAAGAGTTTTGCTACATATCCTTTTTGTTTTTTTTTACATTCTCTATACATAAGCATATAAATCTTTAATAAGACAATAAAGTAAAAAGATACGGGCATGAAGATTTAAAATAGAACTAATATATCCCTATACAATAAGGGATATACAATAATTTTATTGTTTGTTTTATGAGTTTGTCTTTCATTATACCAAAAAACGCATATAACAGTATTTTTTTTTCACTTCTTTATATCTTCCCCCCTTCATTTTTTTCTTTTCTTTTCTTTTTTTTTCTTATTAACAGAGGAAAGAAGACAATTGAAAAGAAGTATTATGCATGAGTTTTTTCCTATATAAAATGGTATATGACGTCATAAGATGAGATATGGTAAAAACGGTAGTACTTTTCTACGGCAACAGAAAAGAAGATACACACAAGAAAGTCATTAATTATTTCCAAAAATAAATGCCCTTCATTCCAATAAATCCTTGGTATTTTATCCTTTTTCTATTAATATCTGTTCACTTTTGTAACACTGCATATTGAGTATTTCCAAGATAAAAAGATGGTGTTTTTTTTTTTGGTTTCATTATGGAATAGAATTGTTAATTAAATTGACAATTCATTGAATAGCATAACTCAACCCCTATTTATACTGCATTTAGATGGATCCTAGATAAAACAAAAATATAGGCTGATTATACGGATTTGTTGTAGATGAAACAGATATATCCTTTTGTCTTTCTTAATTATGTTTTTCTTTCGAGACTCTGTTTGTGTCTTCTTTGTTCATATCATCATTACTGAAAAATATTTATTAGTTTATTTATTCATTTTAGCTTTTTTCTTTGATAACTATTGCTATTACAAAGTCCAATGAAACAATGACAGAAATGGTGACAGATATATATAGATAAACTACATTAACTAGCAATGAATACACACCCACATGCAAACAGTCTTTCTTTCTCTTTCTTTTCGTGTATATATCTTTACAATATACACGAATTTCTTCAAATACCACAAGACACAGACACAGACACAATTTCATTATCTAGCCAGACGGGTACACCCATACACCCCATAAAAGCAACTCCGTTGAATTGTGTTTTTTGTATATTTCTATTATCTTGAATGTTTCCGTATCTGTCTAGATCTATTATTTTCTGAACTATCTTTACCACAGGCAAGACAATAAAGAATTCTACGAAGGAACGAAACAAAAAAATAAATAAAAAAAAAGTGAAAGGAGACTCAAAAAAGCAATTGTTTTTTTTTTTTTTTTTTACATCTTTTCATTCTATTTCAAGGACTCATTCCATATATAGTGAACTCTCCCCCCGCCTCTATTTCCCCCCTAGAGACTGTTTTAAATATTTATATATAAATATTATCATAAGGATGTGGATGTATCTTTATATCTATACTATTAATTATTCGCTTGAATATACCTTTTTTGTCTAGACATACCTTTTGTATTCCGCGATTTCTTATTTTCTTTTATCAAGATCCAACAACTACCTTTTCATAATTAGTCTTTATTATAAACAATATTAATAAAAACTGCAATTGGAAACCTCTTTTCTTATTATTCTCCTTTCTTTTATTGTTTCTTTTTTGTTTTGTTGCTGATAAAAACCAATGTACATTAACACATCTGGCAAACTTAATAATAATCCCTCGAATAGCTCTAGTAATATTGACAAAAACAACAGTTGCTACAATAGAAATGACAACAATACTGATTTACCCAAAAATATTTCGATGCCTGATGGCTCTTTGAGTGTTTCCCCAACTTCTGTGTCTCCAACCAGGATATTTCCTAAAGATGATTTCATTTTTAACCATAACTCATCTTTTTTTAATACAAATGCAGATAAAAATGGTTTACAAACTTCACCTTCTAAAGACGTTCTATGTTGCAATAATACCATTAGCAACACCAAAACTGTTTCAACTATTAAAATAGAAACATATAATTGTAGCAATAAGAACACCTTTCATAGGAATAACAGTATTTCAAGCCTTGGGTTTATCAATAGACCAAAAAGAATCAACGAGTTTAGTCAAAGATCTAAGGATGACGATCTGATAAAATTAAACACAGAAAGAAATAGATATATCCCCTCGCGTTCAAAATCGTTACCATTTAATTCATTGAAATTGAAAAGTAACTTAAAATCATCAAATGGTGAGAAGGGACGTCCGGTTAGATCCAAGAGTGTCCATTTCGATGAATTGTTACCGATTAAATATTTCCATAAATACGAATGTCCTACTTGTGTATCTAGGCAAAACAGTGATTGTGAAGTAATAGAAAAAATCAATTTTGATATTGTCAAACCTCTGCGCAGGTATCAGTCGGATAGTGACAGCGATGGTGATGGCAGTAATGGAAATAATAACACTGATACTGCTGTTACATTTATTAAAGAAGATGGTTTATTTGATATCAACTTTTCTATATTGAGCCAAACAAGTAACAACAGAGATCTTAAATTAAATGTTTATGCTAATAGTGGAAGTGACTCGAATGTTATGTTACAAAGTATCAAATTAGAGAAAAGAAGAACTTATAACAATTTTTTCGATTTCTTCATTTGGGGTAAAATCAGTGTCAAGAATATCTTTTATGAGAAATCGATTTATATTAGATACACCTTTAATCACTGGAAAACTTTCAATGAAATTAAAGCACAGTATGTTCAAGATATACTACTGAAATCTAATTTTAAGGATTACGATACCTTTGAATTTTCTTTGTATAATTTAAAAAATCTAATATTAAATGAAAATAGTAACAGTCCAGTTCTTACTTCGTCCTCAAATGAGGATAGTAACATTATTGAAGGCGATTTAGAGTTTTGTATTCATTATGAAACAGTGGATTCTAATACTAATAAAATGCTAGACTTTTGGGATAATAATAATGGCAAGAATTATAAAATCCATTTGGTGTTACATACTCAAGATAATAATAATAATAATAATAACAATAAAAATTCGTCTATGAATGTATCAACTACTTTACGTTCAAACAAACCCAAAAATAAAAATGATGATAATGATGATGATGGGTACTTTGTGTTTCAAACAGACAAATACTATAATATAGCTAATGAATTAGGTGGATTTAACAAAAAAAATAATAAATTTGGGGAATATAAGAATTCTTCTATTTTCAACAGTAATCGTACAAGGACTAATTCTACTTTCCTAGATGATTTATTAAATGAAACTAGTTTTCTTCAACTAGATGATTATTCTAATATAGATTCCACCACACCTACGAGTAAACTTTACAATTTCAATAATTATAAAAGTAATAACCTATTATTACAAAAAAATAACACAAATAAAATATTCGGTAATAGTAATGATGAGGATTATGCTGATGATGTTGATAAAGATGATGATAGACCATTGTTCTTTAAAGATTTCAGAAACCCATTTGCAAACTAAAAAAACATTGTAATTTACTAGATTACTTCTTTTGTTTTTCTCCACTAACATGACTGTTTTTTTTTATTTTATTTTTTTTTGATGTATTCCATATAAAAATGTTTTCCTTTTAATATTCTTCCTTCTGTTATTGTTCTTTTCTGTACAAATATTCATGCATATATCATATCATCATTCTTGCTGCTAAATAATTAAGTAATTAATAAATAACAACCTTATCTTTAATCTTTATACATATCACTTTTTACACTCACTTGTTTTAAAATGCACAGTTACCAATACAAGAAATAAAAAAAAGGAAATAGGTATAAGAATTAGTTATTTAACTTCTAGTATTTTGAATTAAAAATAAACTATTCTTTTGTCCAACTTTCAATTTAACAAATTGCGTTTTGTATCATAATATGTATACTAAAATTATGAAAACATAATCCTGTTCTCCAATTAATGCACATTAAATAGATCTATATAACTTTCAAATATATTTCAATAACAAAAAAAAAAAAGAATTATCCACAAAATATTCAAATAAGTGAATGTGATATTCTTTTTAAGAGTTGCATCAAAGTTTTCTATTCTCCAAAAGTGAAACGAGGGAGAAAATATAGAGTTCTAAAAGACGGTAAACTTAGAAGTACAAGTATAATTTTACTCTTAAAATGTATTGAAAATTATTCACCACAAAGAACTGAATAAACATTCTATTGATATCTGTGTTAAAGCATACATATACATTGGTGCATCCATATGTATGCTTTTTTTAATTTCTTTTTTCTTTATCTCAGAGAAAAAATAAAAATGTCAGGGAAATCTCAATATACTGCAGAAGAGAATAAAAGGCGCAAAAAAAAACTATTGTGTTTTTTTTTCGTATTGTTTATATTTATTTTAGTATTTTTTATAAAAAAGGAAAAAGAAATTTGAAATTTGAAACAATTAAAAAAAAATAGCGCTAATTTTCTATCACTTTAAAACAAATGAGAAATTATAGGCCAAAAATTTCTCATCGTCCTTTGTGTTTCTAGTTAGCACAAAAAAAAAAAAGGAAAACTAATTAGTATGTAAAAAAAGTAAGTTAAATTAATATGGAACGTAATATTTCTCATTAATCCTTACAAATATTATTAGATGTTCTAACAAAATATAATTATTCGGGTTACTTGACTATTACAGTGGTAGAATCAAAAAAAAACAACATAAGATATAAATGTTCAATATTCGTAATCAGTTGAATCTTATCACATTATACAGATATGATAAGACTATAATTAATAACTATATCAGCGAGTTACTAGGCTCATATGATGCTACTTTGTAACATATAACTTTACTTATTTTAGTATACACTATTCCTTTCCTCATTTTAATTACGCTTCTTATAATGGTAATAATAGGGAAAAGGGTCCTTGAAAGCTCATCTATTTTGGTCATATATAAAAAAATAAAAAAAAAATTATTTCTGACAATACTAGAAAAAATATTATATCCTTGGGTATTGCTTGTTTAGGAGTTGTTAACGGTTTGACAATAAGAGATAATTTATAGATCTATTATAAGTGCCTTTAATGGGGAGAAGGATCTCTTTCTTTTTTATTTTTATCTTTTTGCGAACACTTATCCCTAAAGAAAGAAAACAAAAGGAATAAGAACAATAGAAAAACAATTTACTTATATGAAAATAGTACTGGACTACAGGGATTTATTTTTCCTTTTGCGTTTTTGTGTATTTGTTTATTTATTTATTTCCTTTTTATTTTAACTAGTTATGCTGAAAAAAAAAGAAAGAAAAAAAAAATAACAAAGATTTATTTCGCGTAAGGGTTCTTTACATAGTTTTTTGTTTTTTAATAGATGTTACTGTTTTTCTCTTCCTAAAATAATTAGACAAAAAAAAAGTCTTTTATCGTCTATTTTTTTTGTCTTCTTGAGAAAGATTTTATGATATATTTTTAAATATTTCAAAGTAAAAGCAGTTAGGTTTTCAATACATCAAATGCTTCCTTATTACTTAATTTCTCCTTATACATTAGGTCTGAAGTATATTTTAGAAATTTCTCGAATATATAATCAACATAGAAATTTTGCAATTCACGATTAAAGATGGAGTTTTCTAATTCAGATGGTTCATTGAAGTATATCTCTTTGAATCCACTAAATTGTTCACCAGTTGTGTCTATTGATTAGGTTTGATATATTTTCCTTACAACACTAACAAAGATTGTTCGAAATTTTTCTTGGATAAACCTATCTAATGGAAAAAAAATTAAAAAAAAAAAAAAAAGAAAGAAAAAACAAAAACAAAAACAAAAACAAAAACAAAAAAAGAATATAGTCATACCACACGACACAGTCCCATTATTTCCTAAAATGGAAAGCACTTAGCTCTGGCTTTATTGTTTTTTTTTGTCTCTTCTATTTTTCTCTCAATTATTATTATTATGACAGGACAAGGGACAAGGAGATAGCGGAAAAAAAAAATTATTGTTTTCTACTGAAATTTATATTGTTATGCTACATATATATCCATTGTATGGAACAGGGAACAAAAAAAAAAACTGAACTAGATAAAAAAAATAAAAAAAAAAAAGAAAAGCATTTTACATCGGAGATCATCTATCCATAACAAAGAAAAAAAAAAAGAGCAAGTAACAATTTTTGTTTTTCTTCAATGTTTACCATAGAGTACATAGTATATATATATATATAAAGGCCCTGGACCCTTAAATGATTGTTTAGCATCTTTTCTGTAATTTTGCCAGCTTTAGTAGTTTGTTGGTGTTTTCTTATATATCCTTGAGAAGTCCACCATAGCATAAAGCTTCAATTAACCGTCCAAGATTTCCATCAAAATATCCTCTTCCTTATCTCATCAGTTGATTTTGGATATCATTGAAACATTCTAAATTGGCGTTAGGATCTAATAAAATTGCTTACAATATATATATCATAAATTGTATCAGATTTTCTTAACATGTTGTTTTCTTCTGATTTAAATTTATTCTTTACTATTTTCGTCTGTCTTTCATGTCTATATTTCTCTGCTCATAGTATAGCTATGACTCGCTACAAGAAATCTGTTCCATTTGAAATCAATTAATAAAATAGTTTGGTTTGAAATGTCAATTTGTTCTATTTATTTGGTTTTCCTGAGTCAAGAAATTGCTTTATTTATTTTGTTTATTAATTTTTATGGCATAATTAGACAAATTATGGTTTAACATGTATATGAATATTCACTACAAAAACATGAACTATTACAACTAATATTACTACACTTTATAATAATAATAATTAATTGAATTATGTGCTTCAATGTGCTTTTTTTTTTTCTTCTTCTGTTTATTTAATGTTAAATAAATATGGGAAACAGAGAATTTATTCTAACCGTTTATGTTTAAAGTTTGTCTGTCTTATATATATTCTGTTTTGATATATGATGTATCTATATAGTAATTATAATAAATTGAACTAATGCGTATATTAACAAAGGTTTTTTATGGTTTCTCAAGAAAAATACTAAGTATTATGTGTTTTCATATTAATGAGTATCGCATGCATTTTTTTAATAAAAGATATAAGAAAAAAAGTTCTGCTATGATATATAAAAGAAAGATCATATTACTTATCTGCGTATATGTACATATCTACTAACTATGCTTTTTTTTATTTTATTGCCAGACGTTCTTAAATAATTCATTGTCATCTAATGATACAGTTGAATTATTAGTGTTATTGTAACTATTAACACTAGTAGTGCTGTTACCACTAGTGTTATTTGTTGACATAATATTATTCGCTTGAAATTTAGTATCTCCTAATGATGGCATGGTCATTGAATGCATACCACTGGTTTTCTTTGGTTTAGAATATAATGATAAAATAGATCGTTTCAAATCTGGTCTATCATTTTTTGACATGATATTTCTATTACTATTAGTATTACTAGAGACTATATTTGGTTGCGATTGTGTGCCAATTTGATTCAATTTTAAATATGGGTGGTGGAGATTATTTTGATTAATTAATGTCGATTGAGCACTGGTGTCTTCTTCTACATTACTTTTAATAGAACCATTATTAATGCTAGAAACAAAGGTAGTGGTATGTTCTGAATTTAATAAATCAATATTTGATTTCTTTCCTGTATTTTTGTCGTTATCACTATTATTAGTATCTTTCGTAACTATTTTGTCCAAACCACACCATTTTTTATATTCGTATTTATTTCTGATAAATAAACTTAGCTTGTTCGTATCCATCAACATTTTACTCAATTTGTTTTGCGATTCAGTATCATGACTCAACTTATTCTCATAGTATTCATTAGCCAGATCATTATTTTGCATCTTAATTAACATAGTTAAATGTTCTTCTTTCCAAGTATCTAAATCCACAGATTTTACCTTCGATATATGAGTACCCAAAGATCTATGTATTCCTGCACATTTAATACATATAAACACACCTAAGGACCAGGAGGCCCATCTTGGATGTTGTTGTGTTTTACAATCTGCACATTTAGAGTTTCCTGGATCACGCAATAATGCATTTAATGCCTTTTTAACCTGTATAGATGTCATTATATTCACACATATATCTTGATGTATAGATAGTGGATGAAAAGTTTTGCTACGCTAATAAAAATGTTTACTAGTAGTAAAAATAGTTAAAGTGTACTTTCTTCATAATTAGTTTTGATTTTTTTTTTCTCCTTTCTTGCTTCTTTATTTTCCTATTCTGATTTAAATGTAATAGTTTGATTTTTTTTTTTTCTTATTACTTTTTGCTTTTTCTTTTTGTTCTTTATAATTCAAAAGTGAAAGAAATTTGTTATAAAAAGATAAAAGATGCCCATAGGTATACATACTTGGCTGGTTAATTTGAGGAATTAAACTGATTTAACTAATTTGGGAATTATGCATCAATAGATGAAAAAAAAAACTATGTAAATGTACATAAGAGTATATATATAAGAAGAGACTGAAATAAGATGATTAAAACACAAATATTTGGTCTTGCATCTTGGACACCGGACCACCTTTCTGGAAACCTATGGACATTGCAGTACGTTTTGTAAAAGAGATCATCTTTGGCGGACCACAGATTAATAATTGAACTTTATCCTTTGGTCCAGGTGGAGGTAGATGTGCTTCCATGATTTCACGTGTCACGTATCCAATACCACCTTCCCAATCATCTCTATCAGTCTGTTCAACGAGGTAATAAACATGGAATTGAGTTGGTCTCTTGGAAACCATTAAATCAATTTCATTCTTCAAGAATAAATCTGCTTCAGTGCGACTGCCATATACTAAATAGATTTGTGTCTTATCCTTAACATCATCAAATATCGCTCTCATCACTTGATATATTGGAGTGATTCCTGTACCACCTGCAACCATCCCGATAGCATTCCGGCAATTACGTGTGTAGTCATAAAACCCTTGTGGGCCGGTAATATTAATCCTATCACCAATAGATAATTCACCGAACATACGAGAAACGGTCCCTAACTCATAAGACTTAATCAAAAGATCGAAGTATCCTGGACAATCCTCATCCAGTGAGATCGGGGTATAAGCTCTAACAACCTTTTTGAAACCATCTGGAGACTCGTTATCTGGAACAGTGGTCTTAACAGAGATATGTTGTCCTATTGGTAAACCTAGTACATCATTTTCTTTTGGTAATTCGAATCTGTAAATTGCTGTGTCTTTAGTTAAGACAGTTTTGGTGACCAATGGGAATGATTTATATACACCACTGGCTTCTAATACTTTATTGTAATTTTTATGCTTCATTTCTTTTCTATACAATGGAATGAATGCTAAGATCAATAACAAAGAAGTGGAAATTATACCAACTTCATAGATACCAATATTCAATGCCATTTGAGTATTAATTTGAACCAGATATAGTTATATATATTACCCCAGAATATTATATGAAAAACAGTAATTTAAAGGTGTGAGGGAAAATAGCTTAAGCCCATCAGCGTTTAAAAACTTTATTCATATAATATATCCTTATTTTTTTTCTTTTTTGCTTCTTTATTTTTGTGATTCGATTGTATCCTCATTGTAAATCTAATAATTTTATTTTGTTTCTATTTCAAGATTTCGAAATAACTTTAAAAACAACAAAAAAAACATTCTTTTTTTTTTTTCGCTCCCGAAGTTTCCTCAAGATGATTGGAACAAAATCATCGAGAGAGAGAGAAATGAAGCATGGAAAGAGTTGAATGGCATTATATACAAATAATATTCAAAGATAACGATAGAAGAACAATAAGCAATATTTAGATGGGCGGTGGTTTATCTTTATATGAACCTACATATATATATGTAAAGAGAGTGTGGGTGTGGGTGTGGGTGTTTTATCATGTACTTATTAAATTGAATAGAAGAGTATGAGGAAGATTTACTTACTTATACCATTGTGGTAATGGAATAGTTAAATATGCATTAGTACCATAGCCATACAAATTTTGGATCTCTAATTTTCCACCAAACAATTTCAAATATAATTTACAAAGTGGTAAGCCAAAACCCATTCCAGCTATATTATTATTAGTTGGTTGAATATCACCGAACAGATTAGAATCCTCTTCTGATATGTCACTTTTGTTATCACTACTTTTTCTCTTCCGTATATGTTTGTTATTTAATGTTGTATAAGAGTAGTCAAAGATATGAGGTTCGATAGATGGTTTGATACCACCACCTTGGTCACTTATTTTGACAATTATTTCGTTTGAGTAATCTTTCCTTTCTTTGTATATATTTATATTAATTTGTGAGTTTAGTGGTCCAGATAATTTTTTCAGTTTTATGGAATTCTCGATCGATGCTCTAATTGAGTTTTTCAAGATTTCTGTCATAATATATTCGAATATTATTGGTACCATGGGCACTGTAATATCTTTATTTTTTTGGTTCGTTTCCTCTCTTTCTGCATTGATACTAGTGATAGTTAATTCTGGCAGTAGAGTTGGATCATATTGTAAATGGCACATATCGATAACAAAATCGAAATTATGTTTGATCAGTTTATTCACATTGACTTGCGAATCCAGGATACCTACCTGTTTTTGAAATCCGTCGCCAGAAAGGTTATTATTATTATTTTCTTGTTCCATCAATCTCAAATAATGTGTGGCAATCAGTTTCATTTTGATCCTGATCAACAGATGTTTATTCAAGAACTGTGTGATCAGGGATTCATAATTGATATTATTATTGAATTTGGAGTTATGCTCCAGGACTTCTTGTAGGCCTGTGCTCAGGGTGAGGAGTGTGTCTTCATGGTCGTTTAAGAACTGTTCCATGATCATTCTCATTTTTTCTTGGTCGTATAAGTCGTAGGGGTAGTTGAAGGACAAGAGAGATTGCAGAGTCTTTAGATACAAGGAGTGTGTTAATTCGATCTTTGGGTTCAGTAGGACGATATAGGGGATCTTTTGGATGAGATCCAATTGCTGACATGTCATTACTAATAGCATGTTCATGTATTGGATGTTCATTATATATTTTTGGTTGGGAGAGAATTTGTTATTTGTTGCTGGGATATATTTCATTAGAAAGTCGTAATCCAATCTTGGTAATGGTCTCTTAGACATATCTTGTATCAGGGATTCGATATTTGATCTAATTCTATAGTATGATTCAAATCCAATCCGTGAGAGGATTGTGCTACTATTAGCATTGCCGGTGTTGTTATATTTCACAGAAGATAATGAAGATAAACGATTCTTTAGTTTGATTATATGTAAACGTTTAACATTGTACAATATAATTGATGATGGTAAAAACATTTTATCTGAGAATATTCTCTTTGTAATAGACGACATTGTACATACACAGGCAGGTGTTTTTTTTTTTTTGCTTCTCATAGTCATTAGAACAGATATATATACCAATAATAATAATAATAATAATAATAATAATAGAACCAAGATATCAATACAAACCTATACATATCCGTAACAATATATCATCTACTGTATCATCGTTGCAGGTTTGTACACACCCATGCACCACAGAGGTGAGTATTTTGCGTGGTGTCCTGATGCAAAAGAGTTTTTCACCTTTCAGCAGAAAAAACGGCCTCTCGTTTCTGAGCAGCAGTCACGTGCCCCACAGGCAGTTGTCTCTTCTTTTTGAAAAAGAAAGAAAGAAAGAAAAAAGTGTGGTGTGGTGTGGTGTACTGATTTTGATATTCAATGAAGAGGCAAAGCAAAAGAAAATAAAAAAAAGGAAAGGGAAAAGGAGAAGGAAAACGTTTCTTTTGATTTGGTTTGGTTTGTTCTCTCCTCTCTCCTTTTTTTATTTTCCTTTTTTTTTTTTATCTTCACTATGCAAGGCTCTCTTGTTCGATTGAATTGATTGATTCTTTGATCGATCTGTCTTAGCTTTTACTTCTTTCTAGTCTGTGTATGTTTGCCTGCTTCCTTTCTTGTTTCCTTACTGGACATATGTATGTGTATCTTTGTTTGTTTAAACAAGGACTAAAATAAAATAAAATAAAAACCAAAATTGAAATTATATTTAAATTAAAATTAAAATTAAAACTAAGTAAAACAAATAACAACAATCTAGAAAATGTCAAATTTTAACTCATTCGCTAGTAGTTGGACCAAGAAACTAGAAGAAATTTCCTCCACAGTATCTCAAAAGACCCAAGAATTGTCAACCAATCTACCATCTTTTGCACAATCCACCCAGAGATTGGTTCAAGAAAAGTTCGGTCAGGTCACCGACATATCCCAACTACCACAGGAATATCTGGAACTAGAGAAGAAAATCGATACTCTGAAATTGATTAACGAACATTTCTTAAAGATTACTTCCATCTACGAAAACGAATCCTATGATTATCCTAAATTCATCAAGGACTCAGTCAACGACTTGTCTAAAACAATCTCCTCCAAGATCGTCGACTTGTCTCACGCAACTTCTACCACGGAGGCCCAAAACATCCTCTTGTCTCCTGGTCCAGTCAAAGACCCAATGACTTTGAACTATGCTCTAAGCAAAGTTGCCCTCACCTCAAGCGAGTTGATTAACCAATCCTCTGCCAACCTTTCCCCACAGGAGACTCAAACCTCTTCCATCCTATTGGATTTCTCTAATTTACAGACCCAAATTGCTCAAGCAAGGATACAACAGGACACGCTAATCAAAACTAAATTCAACAAAAGATTAAGAGAATCCTTGAAACAGGATATTGAGAGAGCAAATAGAGCAAGAAAGGAGGTTACCAACAAAAGATTACAATACGATGTGGCAAGAACTAAATTGATGAATGCTAAACCAGAAAAGGAAGCTTCCCTAAGGGTACAGATGGAATCCTTAGAAGACCAATTTGCTCAAGTCACCGAACATGCTACTATCGTCATGCAAGAAGTGTTGGCCAATTCAGAGTTTTTATTTGATTTACAATCTTTGGTTAATGCACAATTATCATATTTCGAAATGTCTACTAACTTATTGAAAAACTTTGTTAAAAATACTAATTTCCCAGAAGTCAATCCTTCTTCTCATTTTCCTCCTTCTTCTTCTTCTTCTTCAAATGAAAATACAACGGCTACTGAAACTGCTGAAGCTACTGCTGTCGACACCAATCCAATTGAATTAGATGATAATGATGAAGAATTGGATAATTAGACTATAAAAAAAATCAGATCATATAAATAAATATATATATATATATATATATCAGCAAGTAAATACGTAGAGATAATTTAATTTAGCTACTTAAATCTTAGTATCTGTGGCTAACAGAGATCAATAAATTTGTGTACCTTTTTTTTTTCTTTTATCCTTTTCTATATATTTTTTCTTTTTCTTTTTCTTTTTTGTTTTGTTTTTGTTTTTGTTTTTGTTTTATTACTACTTTAACTTTTATATATATTACAAACATAGACAGGTGTATAAAATAGGCAAGAGTTGTTTAAAGAAACAAACAAAACAAGAGTATATATATGTATATATTTATATATTTATATTTATATATTTATATACATATTTGTTTATTTCTTTATTTCAGTTATGGATTTCAATGAACAGGTATTAGAAAGAGATGCACAACGTTATGTCGTGTTGGTCTTAAATTTTTTCATCACATTTTTACAAACTTTGATACCTCTAGTGATAAAATTTAGTTCCAGTTACCCAAGGTTGTTCTTATATTCGACTATAGTGGTCATGCTATACATAACTTGGTCCTTTTTGACAAATTTGGCTAAACTGATTAAAAGGTTGTTTTATCTATACATAATTCTGTTTGTCATCACCATTCATCTTCGTGGATGGGAACAATTTTTTATTTATGATCTACCATTGGTCTATAGTCAATGCAGGGACGGACTTTACTTGTTTTCACAATCGGATGAATATAACTTATTGAAATCTCATACTCAGTATTTGGGCAAGCAGATTTATAATCGTTTATTCCAATAAATAATTCAAAAACTCATACGAATGTGCAAATATATATATGTATACATAAATATATGTACAGATGCATAGAATGTATTAAAACGTTTCTCTTCCTTCTCTTTCTTCTCTTTTTTTGTTTTATGGTTTATTTTGTTAATTCTAATAACGTAGTGACACTCGTTGAGATCAAATCAATCGACCGATAAGTTGCTTTAGTTTTTTTTTTTTTTTCATTTTTTATCTTTTTCTCTCTTTTCTCCTTTCCCCACCTTCCCTTCCTCTTCGCCTTTCCCCACCTTCCCTTCCTCTTCGCTTAATTTGCATCTTTCCACTTCTTTGATATAAACCATACTATGAAGTTAAAAAAATCGACAATCTTTATAACTTGATCTTTAATGAATACAATTATACATGTATGTATATATAATATGTATATGCATATGTGTGTGTGTTCTCGGTTTTTTTCTTTTTTTCTTTTTTTGGGTGGAGAGGTTTACTCAATCTACTCAAGTAGGAGACAGTAATACACTCTAAATTTAACGTTTGCTTTGCATGCTATGATGAAACTTTGGGTTAAAAAATTGGCTGTATTGGCGACGATTTTGGCAATCTTAAGTAATATTTTCATTTTCACATATCCTTCTATACATCCAACAAGTTGTTCCTGGAAATGTCCCAACAACCCAAGCGATACCCACAGTGGACCAAATCTTGCTGTCAATGAATTATCTCTATGGGATAAATCCATCTTTTATTTTAGAAGATACATCAATGATATTTTGGAACAATTCAGTAATTCCAATGCTACAGATACTAATGGTTCAAATAATAGTGATCAAATCCATCTTCTAGCGTTTGGTGATCCACAGATAAAAGGCATTTGGAAAAATACTCCATACAGAACAAGATTAGATATCTTTGGTAACGATTTCTATTTAGGCCATATCTATTCGATGATGCAGAAAAGATTGAATCCAAGTCATGTTGCAGTATTAGGTGATCTTTTTTCATCCCAATGGATCCCTGATGACGAATTTTTTAATAGGACCAGAAGATATATGACTAGAATATTTAATAGGAATTCCCCAAATTTAACAGAGATTCAATCTCAGAACCACGACAACATCGGTTTATATCAGGCTAATTGGAAGCTTTGGGGGGATCAGTTTGAATTGTTAAATAAGACCCAAAATTTTGAATTCGGTTACAATGATGTTTATTCATGGGACCCCGAAAACGAAGATTTTTTGTTTATTAATGTTACTGGAAACCATGATACAGGTTATTCAGGTGATGTCACATACCAACATTTGACTAGGTTTCAACAATTCTTTGGTAAAGATAACTATTGGATTGAATACAATAATAATGAGAAAAACAATGAAAAGACATGGAGACTAGTTGTGTTGAATGATTTGCTTCTTGAAGGACCAGCTTTACAATCAGAGTTTGTTGATTACACATGGGAATTCCTTTATCAGTTATTTGAAAGAAAATTTAATGGCAGCACTGTCCTATTAACACACATTCCATTTTACAAAAAGGAAGGATTATGTTACGATGGTCCAGAGTTTAGATACTATCCAAATGGATTCGAAAGAGAACCTTATAAATCTGGATTGTTAAGATCTCAAAATCACATCAGTGAAGAAACTACAAATAGAGTATTAAATTTGATTTTTAACAGTGATAAACCAGGAATTATCCTAGTAGGTCATGATCACGTTGGTTGTGAAGTTACATATAACAAAAATTCAAGCACTGGTAAGTGGGTTGCTACAAAATACCCCCTTTCTTCTGATGAATCCTTTAATTATCATGTTAAAGAAGTTACAGTAAGGTCCATGATGGGTGAATTTGATGGTAATACTGGGTTATTAACTGGTCAATTTAATTATGTAAAGAAACAATGGGAATGGACATTTTCTTTGTGTCCCTTTGCTGTTCAACATTTTTGGTGGTGTTCAAAAGTATCTGCACTTTTAGCTGGATTTTTATGGTCTTTGTATTTAGTATTATAAAAGAATCTATTAGCATAATGTTTCTATTCTCAAAAATTAATTTGAATATCACTATAGAACGTACATACATATATTTACCTATATCTTCTATTAACATTAATATATATGTGTTTTTCGTGGAATTAACAGATATTTTTACGGTTGTTGAAAAGGAAAGGTAATGATGGTGATTCATGATTACTATATATTAAATAAATCAATATATAACAGCAAATAAAAAAAATGACAAATAAATAAAACATAAAAAGATTTATATCTAATAATAATAATAATAATAATATAAAACATTAAATGAAACAATTATTCATACTAATCAACGTGTATTTCATTATTAGTGATAACGTCTTTTTCTTTTCTTTTTTTTAAGGGAGGGGGATTACATTACATTGAAATAGTATAACAAAAGCACAAAAAGTGACATTAACCTTTAAAAGTTACAACATAATATTTCAGGCATCCAGTGTGACTCTCCCCTGTTTTAGTTGTTGAAGTAGTTGTTGTCCATGACTTAAAGTATTTGGAGATGCAGAACTTATGGATGATGTATTAGAACTAGATGATTTTGTAGAGATATTGTTATGAGTGTTATCAATGGACTCGTCATTATGTTTATTGTTATCATTGATATTATTACTATCTATTTTGGTTTTTAAATCTTCAGACGTTAAACCATTCAATTGTGATGTTTCATACTTTTTAGTTTCTGGGTATTTCAAATTTGCATAATCTAATCTAAAATTGATTTTATCAATTACTGACCAATCAGTCAATTTGAAAATCTTATAATCGGCAATTTCAAATAGTTTACTTTGCAATTTTATATCACTTTGTCTCAAAAACCACATGGTTTCATCATTCCCAATTTTCCAGTTCTTTTCTCGAAGTAACTCAAATGCAATATTTTTTTCAACTGGTAAAATAGAAAAGTAATAATGGTAAAATAATGTAAACATTTCCAGTCCTCTAAATTTATCTAATATTTTATCAAATTCTGTTTCATCTTTTATACTCGCACGAATAACATCCCATTGTTGTGCAGATCTAAATGCATCTAAGGGATTTGGTGGGTTAACACCTAATGGAATGTCATAAAATCTAGGTATTCTGCACACGTCAATACTATGTCTGTAACCACCAAGCTTTCCATCATTAGGAAACAATTTATTCTTAGTGATTTCGTATTCCATTATAATTTCATTAATACCATTGGGTAGCGTCAATAAACCACAATCGTTACTAAAACTATTGGACAATTGTATACGTTTATTTTCTTTTGCTTGTATTTCATCCAAAGTTTCAGGTAAACACAGAGGTTCCTGTAATAATTCATCATCATCATTTATGAAGTCGTAGAATGAATCAGTGTCAGATTCAGTTTCAGAAACTTCTTTCTTTGTAACTAAATCAGTCTCATCAGATTTCTTTTCTTTTGATATCTTGTCATTATTTGTATTAATAGCATATTGTTCACTGTTAGCAAGGTTATCACTCTGACTTACGGTTTCTACCTTGGATTTATTTATTTGATCAAGGGTTGCGGACTGACCTTTTTGGAACTGCTGATTGGTTTGATTCACAGTTGTAGCCCCTAAAGTAGGTATAGTGGCAGTGGAACTAGTTGATGATGTCTTCAGAACAGATTTATTTGTATTTATGGATGTCAATGATTCTAATTGCCCAATTTTATTTAATGGAACGTTTGTAGTGACACTTTTATTATGTATTGATACAGGAGTTCCCACTCTTGGTGTTGTACTACCTAGTGGAAGTTGAGTGGATTCATTTAATTTGATTTTATTCTGCTGTGAAGATGATACTAATGATTGCTTAATTGTGTTCTTTTGCTTTTCATCATCCTTCTTTAAACTTTGCGCAGCTGCGGTAGACCATTTCATGTCTCCTACTGGTTTTGCTGGAATTGTGGCAGGTTTTAAGATAGTGGATCCAGTAACACCATTTGCCCCTTGGTGAATATGTGTGTGCACTGCATTGATAGAAGTATCATTTGATGTGTTATTATCATTCATTGTGTTCGGGCTTTTATTTGTTGTTTTTTTTGTTAACGGTGACGATGTAGCTAAAATAGACGTGTTATTAATACTGGTAGATATGCTAATCTTCTCATCACTACCATTAGTTTTGCTTGCTTTTTGAGTTGGAGTAGTATCTCGTATATCTTCATGTGGTACAGGATTTGGTGATTTTGTGCTCATCTTTACCGTAAGAGTCGGACCTTGCGATAAAGATTCTGCTGCTGCATTTTTGGCGGCCAATTTAGCAGCTTTCTTGGCTTCTCTTTCCAGTTTTCTAAGCTCCTTCTTTGATAACTTAGACGTATCTATTAGTTTACTACTATTCTCACTATTATTTATAGCGGTGCTACTACCACTACTACCAGAAATACCATTAGCAGTACCATCATAGGCTCTTTTATTATCTTCTGATAGTTGGTTTGAAAAATACTGAGACACTTCATGAGCAATGGCCTCATTTGATTGTAAATCAAGGTCATCATATATTGTTTCATCTTCTATAAAACCATCATCTTGATTATTTTCTACAAAATAATTAATATCATCTTTTATGTTAATAACTTGTTGCGGGCTTAATTCTTCGTTGGCAACAAGACGTAATGCCAATTCCATTTGTTGTTGATGCCATCTGTACCTTAGTTGTAAATCTTTGAGATTTTGAATCTTTTCTTCATTAAGTTGAGAAAATGTTTTCTTTTTCTTATTCAACGCTTGTAATCTATCAATTTCTACATCAAGCAGTTCATATTGTCTATCTAATTCGTCAATTGATCGTGAAAGATAATTTTCAGTCTCCAGCCTTTCCTTTGATTCAGGGTCCAAAGTTTCTGCTCTTTTCAGACTAATATTTGAGTATGCTTTCTCCTTTGATGCCTTTTCAACAGCTTTATATTTTTCCATGGCTATTTCTACTCGTCTTCTGTGTTCCAGTAGAGTATCCTTATCTTTAATATCAGGCGAACTTTGCCATGATTTGATTTGTTCTCTTAATCTTTGCAATTTCTTGACTTCTCTTTTCAAATCAGATTCTAATTTGTCCTTCTGGGAAGGATTATTTGTACAACTTTCATGTCTTTCATAATATGTGTCAAATACATCCAGACCTTCATTAATTTTTTTAAAAACTTTGTCTACTTCTTGTTGTAATTTTCTATGTGCCATGACTTATAGTTTACAGAAATTATCTTTCCACTTAAATTGATTTAATTTATTCCGAAATAAATAAATAAAAAGCTGTTAATAAATAGATTAGAGGATAATATATATATATGTATATGTATATTCCACTTGGTGGTTAAAAAGGAGTTTTAACAGCTTTCAATTCGTTGATATATTCTAGTAGATATGAGGAAATTCTTTTTCTATCATATACACTCCTATACTATGTCTTCTTTAATCACTTGAAATGTTAACTCAATTAGCTATTGACAAAAATTAGATATTTCAAGTTTTAAAGGTGTGTAGATAATTTCGTTTAGATAGTATGTATGTGGTTAGCGTTAAATGTATTTTAATGCTTTTAGAATATTTTACAAAGTTCTATCTTCTGGTTCTAATCTTTCTTCTTTCTTCGCCATCATCATCTTTCATCGTTTCTCTTAGTGAAATTTTTTTGTTATCTTTTTTTTTCTCGTATTTTGCTTTGCTAGTCTCAGGGTATGTATGGGTGTTACGAAGAAGGGAGAGAAGGAAACAAAAAAAAAAAAGAAACGTGGAGTTGGCGGATTTAAAGCGGACTTTACGAGGGTGTGTGGGTGTACATAGGTTTGTCGGATTTTGGATATCGCCCAGAAACCCGGATATTCCGCATCGAAATCCGCAAGATATTCCGTCATTCCTGCACTCTGATCTTCTTCAAGAGAATTCTAACGAAAAAGTTTCGAAGTAAATTTTTTCTTAGTCTATTTTTCCTCCATTAAAAATTACAAATAGAATGCCATGAACAAAAAGAAATAAAAAAAAAAAAAAAAAAGAAAGAAAGAAAAAAGAAAAGAAAAAGTCATCGAGCAATTTTTATTTTGTAGATGTGAGAATTAAAAGTTAGAAAGCGTTTTCTTGCTTTAGTTGATGTCAAAGTTATTCAATATTAATAGATAAATGTACTTAAAGAGGAACAAAAAATTAAATAAAAAAACAGTTACTTCTATTATAATATTTTGAAGCAAGAAAAGATTCAATTTACTGAGAATTTTATTATATATTTTGAGTGTGAGGAAGGGAGGGTATAATTAAACGAAGATCATTAAAAAACATATATCAAAAATCTATATTTATTTAAATTAATATAGATACCGATATATTATCAAGTTAGCATATAATAGTGTGATAATATATATATATATATATATATATATATATTAGGACCCTTTTTTATATTTTATCTTATTTTATTTTTGATTGCGGTTTTTATATTTATTGATCTCTATTGGGTTCTGTCATATTATTTATATCCTATATTGAAATATTATTTTTCATATCATTAATTTATTATTTCTTTTATTATTATTGAGATTTTGATAACTACTCCCAGAAAGATAATGTTGTCTGTTGAGCAAAGATATAATATTTGTCTTATGGCCGAAAGACATCCAAAATGGACTCAATTAGAATTGGCTCAATGGGCATATGAAGCTTTCCAGTTATCTAATATTCCGTCTCAAGGTACTATCTCAAGGTTACTGGCTAAAAAGTTGACTTATATGAATGCTAAAGAACACGAAAAGGATGCAAATCGATTAAGAAAACCCAATAATGTATTAGTACGTCGTATTTTACAAGAATGGATCTCTCAAAGTATATGGAATGGTATACCTATCACTTCTCCTATTATTCAAGACACTGCCCAAGCAGTGTGGCATCGTATTCCTGCAAACCAAAGAGAAGGCAATGGTTCCTTCTCTTATAAATGGATTTCCAATTTTCTTTCAAGGATGGATTTTAATATCTCTGATTTAGATGAAGAATTGCCAAAGACCCCCAAGATTTGGACTTTTGAAGAAAGGGAGCAACTGAAACAATTATTTTCTAACGTTAGACCAAAGGATCTTTTCACTTTAGATGAAACTTTTTTAGCATACAATCTACCGTTAGATTATGCACAATATGAAATGTCGCATATTCAAAGAAGAATAGAAGTGGCTACAGTAATGCTCTGTTCTAATCTAGACGGATCTGAAAAATTGAAACCTTTAGTCGTTGGCAAATATAATTCGTATAGAAGTTTTAGAAACTACTTCCCCGATGATCCAAGTAACCCTGTACAATTGTCCCAATTAGGTGAAAAGATGGCAAATAAATTTGAAATATCTTATCACAGTAATAGAAAAGCTTGGCTGACAAGTAATCTGTTTTATAATTGGCTGGCCAGATGGGATAAAAGACTGGTGGCAGATAACAGAAAGATTTATGTGGTACTTGATGATTCATGTTCTCATAGGATTGTTAATTTAAACTTGAAAAATATTACATTATTTTATACTTCATCAAATTCAAGATTTTTACCATTCAATTGGGGTGTACTAGATGAATTTAAGACAAGGTACAGAATACAACAATATCAGGCGTTGATTGAGTTACAAAGAAAAATTGAAAATAAACTTGGTAGGAAATATTATATTAGTTTTGAGCAAAGTCAATTGACGATGTCAAATGCATTTAAGTTTATCAAAAGAGCTTGGGATTCTATTCCTGCTAATGCAATAAAGGCGAACTGGAAAAGTTCGGGTTTAGTTCCACCCGAAATGCTTCCCTTAACACAACATATATCTATGGCTTTCAGGAAAAACGAAATCTTGGAAGCACATTTAAATGCTTTGTGTCGAGAATATCATTGTCAAAAACAATGGGAGTATGATATGTTATTAGATTTAAATATAGAAAATAAGAATACAAATTTCTTAAGTACAGAGGAACTTGTAGAAAGTGCCATAGTCGATGAACTGGAACCTGAAAATGAATATTATTCAGAAAGCGCTCTTTCGAGTACATCTACATCTCAGATTGGTATAGATGAACTAATTAACAGAATACCTGGAAATATGGTAGGAGATTATAAAGATGGAATTGTCAATGAATTAACCAACATACCACCATTGCATAGTGACCATCAACTTCAGCAAAGTTCAATGAATGCTACAGCAAAAAATTCAAATATGGATCATTTTACTAGAGATCCAAGTCAATTATATCTGTTGGCTACTCCTCGTGTTGATTCAGGAATTCAGTCTGATACAAGCAGGTATCTGTTAGGGAGGGATAACAGTACTATAGACCAAAATACAGTTACTAATTCTGTTGATAATGGTTTGGATAATAATATAAATGGATATTTTGCAGGATTAAATCAAGGCATCAATAATAGTCGTAGCGATAATAACAGTAATAATCTTTTTAATGTCAGTACTTTAATTGATAAACCAAGTTTGTTCTTTAATGGTAACCTAGACTTAGACTTACAAGATCTGGGTGTTGATATTGCTGGGGCTGACTATTTCGATGAGCTTTTTTCTACTTCATTTGATGTAATAAACAATAATGGAAGTAATACTCAAAGTAATGTAACACTTCCAAACTCTACAGAAGCAGTGAATGAGGCTACATTACCATGTAATATAAGAAATGGTACACCTCCGCCACCTACTATCTCAAACTTGTATTCTAATCCAAATATAGGTATGGAAAAAGCGCATGTCAAGAATAATCATCAAAATTTATTAAATAATATTCAATCTCATAATAATAATATTTTATCACAAGGAAATTCAAATTTCGAACAAAATGGTTTGAATAATTTAATCTCAAATAGATCAAATACTGACATACCTTTAACTTTTCCTAGTTTTAATCATATGTCTAATCATTTTCAAAATCATAATTTTTCTCCAGATATGTTGCAAACCAACATTGATATTGCTAAATCACTTGGTAATATTATAAAACACTCAGAAAATAATGAAATATCTCTTTCAAGAAGTACCATGAATGAAATTCGTTCTAACTATATGACCTTATTGAAAATGATTAAAAGAACCAGACAACAACTATATAAGTCTAAACTAAGAACAAGGCAAAATCACCTCGACAATGTTTTGTCTGCTACAACTGAGGTTTCGAATCTTTTACCAACCAATGAAAATGATAAAGTATCATTAGATAATAATTTGAGAAATACTACTCCATTTTTTTAGTCATTATAAATTTCATATTATTATATATATTGCATATGTATTAAATACTTTACTTAATACAAAATTATTTTTTGTCATTTCACAATCATTTAATATGTATTTCCATCTATAGTTTTTGTTTTTATTCAACTATACGTATCAGAATCAATTGGTCTTTATTAGGTGAAGTATGTAGAAAAACACTTTTTATTTCTTCTAATTTAAGATAAGACTCTATTACAGGTGAATATTGTGGAAAGTAACTGTAATATAATATATTTATATGGTAGTTTAATGTGTGGAACTAATTTTGTAATATATATATTATATATATAAAGAATTATAATGCTTTCTTTCAAATAATAGATCATTAATCTTCCTCAACATCAAAATATTTACCCTTTGCACTTAACTTCAAATATTCTTTAGCAGCATGTAAAGAATCATCAGTTACAAGTTGGAGTATATTGTGAATAACTTCTAAACTCAATGCTTTACTATTCAAAGTTCCATCAATTGCTATTTTGATATCTGATATGCATAAAGTATCAGCAATACCTGTTATTACACTATTGTATCTTCTACCCAAAATATCAGGATATTTTAATAATAATTGGATATATTCAGGTTTGTCAATGGTATAAGTGATCATAAAGTCCCATAATTCTTCGTCTTTCCAACTGATAACATAGTCAATAGCCATTTGTGGATCATTTAACTCATCTACAATAATTTTAAGTGCTTTTTTCGCCTCTCCAATTCTCCCCCATAAGTATATTAATTCATTGTATAATCCTTCAGTAGATTTGCAAAGCTCAATTGCTTTATTTATATCATAATGTCTTCTTTCTTTCAAAAATGGAAGTAATTTTGTTTTGTCGCAAGCTATATATAAGTCAATTATTTCATTTTCATGAGAGCTCATAATTCGAGAATCTTTCTCTAATAAAGTTTCCATCACAATTAAAAGTACTTTATTCAGATTAGCAGTATTTTGGTTTTTAAACATTGATATTATATCGTCTAATGGGATATATTTTGAGGCAACTACAGCTAATTCAATTGATTTTTGGAATATTCTTTGAATTGTGTCTCTAGTCAAAGATGAGATATTGGAAGGATCTTCATCATAAACCAGTAAAACTATATCTATAAATGAACCAATAAACTCGGGAATTAATTGTGGATGTTCTAATAACAAATCAATTGTTCTTTTGTCTTTCTGTAAAAGCATGTGTTTAATAGCTTTTGAATATTTCTTTGTTATCACATACAGATAAATAAGTTGATCTCTATAAGCCTTGACTTCTGTGTTATTTAAAGATTCCTTTATTAATTTTTCTAATTTCTCTTCTAAAGCATTGCATGAAAATATCTTAATATCCCAATTATGAAGTAATCTTGAAAATTCCTCAAAATTTTTCTTGGATAATAAATAATCTAAAATGGTATCAAATATTAAAGGATCGAAATTATAGTCTTGTGGAATATTATCAATTAGATCAGAGCTAATCTCTTGTGAGTTTAATGCCTTAAATATTAATGTTTGCCATTGTTCTTTGATAAACTCTTTGTGCAATGCATTATCTCTATTGGTATTTTTACTAATATTTTTTTCTGCTGTCATAAAAATTTTGAACATATTCGATCCTAAAGTATCCCATTTATTTAATTGAATTTCTTGAAGCAAATAATTTATACCGATATCTAGTCTATCCTTGAAACTTATGGTGGGGATATATTGTGCAATATCCCACGCCTTTAACAATTCATTATGTTTTAGAAACCATTCAAAATGATCCATTAAAGATAGTTCCTGAATACAGATGCAATCAGTGGTACTTATCAGATAATATTTGGGAGTTGAATCATTGGATATGAAACTAGTTAAAATATAATCATTAATTGATAATTTTTCATAATTTTTAACAATTACTTCGTCATTATTGATCTCTTCGCTTGATATTATATCAAAGATACGTAATTCAGGGATACCAGATTTTAACTGTAATTCATGGTTATTATCCTTCCATTTATCATAGCCTAAACAGATAATTTGATCGTCTTTAAAGGAGCAAATACCGGCAATTATCATTTCTACAGTGAAATAATGTTCTAATTCAACTTGACAATCTGGAACCCCTCTAAGACTAGATGCAGCACTTGAGAGTATTGAACCTATATGAGTAAAATCCTGATTTGACTTTTGATTAAGTGACACTTTTAGTGACCAAACATTACAGCCCCAACCGATTATAATTCTGTCACTTTCCGGGAAGTCAACATGAGGTATAAATAGATCAGGTCTTGAAATATCATTGTTCCAATCATTATTACTTTTGTTTACAGACTGCGGATACCCTATATTCAATAATTTGGATTTGGTAATACTATCAACAAATGAAATACCATCGTCATTAAACCAAAAAATAATATTACCTAATTTGTATATACCCAAGATAGAACCTTTACCTTTTGATAATGTTATATCGGATCTATTACCTAACCAATTCCTTTGTGAAAGAATGACTTCACCAGCCATACCACCAGATATAAATTTTTGATTGGATTTGTAATCATTATCTAATATGATTGAATGGACAGGTCTTTTAAAATCAAAGGCAGTCAATTGTGATGGATTATCCAAAGAACCTATTATTACGGTTCCATCCATTGAAGCAGTAGCAAAATTGATATTATCACAATATATGGATAGAATTGAAGATCTGTGACATTTCAATGTTTGAATTGATTTAAAATCAGTAGTTGTTATATGCAATATACCAGAATGGGTACCAAAGAGAAACACAGTGTCTGTAAATTTACAAGAAGATACACTATCTCTAGCAAAGAAACTTTTCGGCAATTTTGAAGTAATACGAGTATATTTCAACGTCGGTGGGTATTCTTCTTCTTCTGAATTTTCTGAATCCTCTGAATCTTCTTCTGTGTCTCTGGACTTATCACTATCTATGTTTATTTCATTTGTTTCAGTGAATATTTGACGATTCTCACTTTCTTTCTTATTAATGTCTGCACTGTAACTATTTATTGCAATATCTGTATTTATCTCGTTGAATTTGTGACTTTCTAATGCGTTATTCAATGATACTTTTAAACTAGAGTCCTTAGAAGTTATTTTTTCGTCCAAATTAGTAACTAAATTGTTTTCTGTCATCTATCAACTCATTCAGAAATACATATATGGTTATAATAATATGATCTTTTGAGAGCAATGGGTAATAAAAAGGTAAAACACTACCGATAATCAAGCATTATTATCAAATCCACATTCACATATTATACAAGGTTATTTAACATAGTTTACACTAACTGTTGCAGTTGGAGATTATTATAGTATGAGAGATTTTTAGGGTTTTTAACGCATATGGTTGATTAGGGTTTCCCGTCACTCCAAAAGAGGAAATTTGCTAAATGCATAAAATATCCAATCCAAAGTACCTTTTCATATCCAAATATCTAAGGAAATAGATGGATATACGTGTAGCGGTGACTGTGTTACGAAGATTGTGGGAGACTAACCATTTTAAAACTGTTCTGGAGGTTAATGTCAATATCCATGTATTGGTTCAATTACAAGTGTAGATATTGAGGTGACATTTAATGAGCGAGTGTGTGTGAATATAAAATAGATGATAAATTGTGTATAGAAGATTAGAGAAAGAAAGAAAGAAATAGACAAGGATAGAATAAAACATGGCAAGAGCTAGAAGAGGTATTTTACTTCAGTGTGATCCATCAATAAAGGCACTTATTGTACAGATTGACTTTGAGAGACACGATATTATACTAGAAGAGTTGGATGATACTCATCTACTGGTTGATCCATCAAAAGTAGAATTCGTTAAGTCTGAATTAAATCGTTTATTATCAAAGAATATATATAATCCGATGGAGGAAGAAGAAAATATGTAATATTTACAATGGATATATGTACATATATATATATATAAAGGGGAATAGAATAAAGGTAGTTAATAAATAATTAATATGCGTAGGATTTGTTTTGTTTGTTTGTTTTTAAATTTATATTTTAATATAGTAAGGCATTGTCAATACATAGTTAATCATTTACTTATCTGATTTCTTAACTCTTTTCTAACTTTCTCCTTCTCTGCTTCAAGATCGATATTGAATTCTTCTACTAACCGTTTCTCTAATTTTAAACGTTTTTCTAGTTTTTCTTTTTTCATTCTAGCTAACTCAGCTTTAATTTCATATGGTTCTTTTGGTATTTTGTTTAAACTCTCTGGATCTGGCCAAAACCCAGGAACATTTAATTTACGATCAGTATCTGTACCAATATAGTACATCACAGCAATTGGAGCTAATAGACAAAAAGAAAATCTGAATACTTCCAACTGTGCTCTTGTGTATTTAAATGGTAATCTAAATCTCATTTTTGGTTGTTATCTGTTGTTGCTTTCACTGAAAAAAATAAATGATTTATCTATTAGTTCTATTGACTTTATCTCTTTCGTGTGTAATTGCACCTACTAAAACAAGACTATTTTTTTTTTGTTTTTAGATATTCTCTTGATATACTAAGGATTCAATGGTTAATATTATGTCAAAATTATCTAAAGTAGTTATGGTACTGGCTATGGTTTACATTCACATGTATATATATGTACATACATATATTTGTATGTTTGAAGGGGGATAGCGTTTTCAATTTTATAATAAAAGAAGGAAAAGAAAAGGAAAATTGACGGATATTACCGGAATTTCCATTACAAGAAAAAAACAGAAAGGAAAAATTAAAAGAAGTTACTGAAAAAAATAACAACACAGGATTATGTGAAATGAATAGAGTAGGGCCGTTAGGTAGAGAATATGGCTATAATATTATTACTTTATATTATCATTTGTGAGGTAGTTTAAGGCGTAACAAAGAGTTTACTATCCTTTATAGAATATGAATTATATTATTATCATTGCTAGTAGAAGACAGACAAATATATATATATCTGCATGTAGATTAGTTTAGGAGGTGTTTTTATGTGATTGAAAAAAAAAGCAAAAAAGTTATATTTAATGTATAAATAGTATTCAATTTATTTAACTTATAAATTTTAAATAACCATAAGTATCTCTCCTCATTGAGCTATTAATTTTTTTATTTATTACTATCATTACTTGTTAGTTATATTTTTTCTCTTTGAAATTGTTACTTAGTTCAATATTAGAGTTATATATTTTACTGGGAAGAAGGCAAAAGTATGAACAATTATAATGATTTACTGAACATATCAGAATTGTTTGATAAGCTGATTACATTCAATAAGGGTATAAATAAATATGTGTTGGATGAAACCATATCCTCGTTTTTGTATTATCTTTTCCCAAGAGATCTTTTTATTAGAGCCTTGTCTCTTCTAGAGTCTAATGATATGTTTATATATGTATTGGAGAAAGATATCAGGGGAGAAAATAAGAGTCTTACTTGTACAGACAATAATAATAATGATAATAATGATAACGATATCCAAAATAAATTAATTGAAAATTTTTATAGACATTCTTTGCATGAATTAAGCTTCTTATTCAGATTAATAGTTAAAAATCAAATTGAATTTATACATGATAATAATACAAATAAGAAAAGCAACAGTATTAATAATAATAATAATAATAATAATACGCATGAATCTTTGATATATGTAGATATTTTACATTGGTCATGTTCTTGTGACGAATATTCTTCAGAACTTTTAAAACAGATGGACTACAAGGAAAACTTCGAGGAAGAGGACGACGTGGATATAGTTCCAAGTAGCATAAAGGATTATCTATTAATTGAAATAGATGATTTAGAAAAATTTTCAACAGACAGATTTTGTCAATTGGATTCATTCAGTCTTTCGAAGCAAAGATATTTTAAATATAATAAAGTGATGTGTCCTCATTTATTAGCATATGCCATTCTATTAACATCCAATGAAAATGTCTTAAAATTTTTCATTCAACAAGAAAGGACCGTATATTTATTATCCATTAATAATATTAATGAATGGCTAAAATTGCATATTAATATAATTATATAGTAAAACAATATAGTTTCTTTAAAAGAATATAAGGTATTATAAATTAATTGATTGATTAATTATTAATAAAAATATAAACAATAAACAAAGTTGTTTAATAATATATATTATTAAAAAAAAAAGAAAGTATTGAAACTATAAAATAGTTAGAATTATAAAATAGTAAAGCATAACTAAATAGAAAAAAGCGATAGTAAAAAAATAAAAAAAAAGTGACAGGAACAAAAGACGTTAATTTAAAGATAAATTAACGAATATAAAAAAATTAATGTATTAATTAATATAGTTTCAAATTTATAATAACATAATACCAGCAACAACCATACCCATTAAAGATGGTGTTAATCCAATGGCACCATTTGGAGCAACTTCTACTGTTGGTTTTGTAACGCCAGACTTAGTGCTGGTACTTAAAGTGACAGTTGCTTTGGTATGAGTAATTGTATTGCAAGTAGTACAAGATGGTTTAGATGGAGTGTGGGTTACACCTGGGACCTCAGTTGTTGGGCAAAGAGTTTCACAGGTAGTTTCTGTCTTACCCTTGGTTTCAGTGGTAACATGAAGTGGAATAGTCTTGGTTAAAGTACAAGGGCAATCGGTGATAGTAATTGTAGTTGGTTTGTCGACAGTGATTGTCTTACCATTGGTGATAATGGTGGTTGGTTCTGGACAGTATGTGGTAAAAGCAGTAACAACTTCAGTAGTAGTAGTAATGTGGATTGGAATGGTTCTAGTTAAAATACAAGGACAATCTGTGATGGTAATTGTGGTTGCTTCACTGACAGTGATTGTTACACCATTGGTGATAATGGTGGTTGGTTCTGGACAGTATGTGGTAAAAGCAGTGACAATTTCAGTCTCAGTGGTGTATTCGGTCAAAGTTCTATTGTGTACTGGATAGATATAGGTTATAGGGGTGGTGATTGATACAATAGGTGTTGTTCCATTTGGATAGGAGCAAATAAAATCAGAAGATACACCTGGTGTATTACAAACCGAATCAATATAGGAGGCTGGAGTAGAGATGCCTGGACAAACAGATGCACCTGGAGTATCACAAATAGTACTATTATTGGAAACTGGAGTAGTGATGTTTGGACCAGTGGAGATGACTGGGGCAGAGATGACTGGGGCAGAAACAATTACACTAGAAGAGATGACTGGGGCAGAAATGATTGGGCTAGAAGAGATGACTGGAGCAGAAATGATTGGGCTAGAAGAGATGACTGGAGCAGAAATGATTGGGCTAGAAGAGATGACTGGAGAAGACACAATTGCATCAGAAGAGACATTTGCATAGACAGCAGCTGAAGAACGAACAATATTTGGTTGGTCATACAAATTTTGTGCTGATGCAAAAGTAGCTAGTGAAGTAGTTAAAAATACTTTATTAAACTTCATGACTGTGAATCTAAATTATTCTGTTTTGTATTTTGTTCTGTATTTTTTTATTATTGTTTTTTTTTTTGGAAAATACAATCAAATAAATATTCCTGTTTTTTCTTGTATTGAGTATATAGAAAGGTGAAACGAGTGTTTAGTTGATGGTGTATTGCTCTTTTCTGATATTAAAAAGGGATAGATGTGAGGAGTAAATTCTAGAGGATCATAGTTATCCTTGAATATTATAACTAAAATTAATGTACTTTATATATGTTTATATTTTCTTAAACAGAAGAGATCTCTCCTCATAATAATTGCAATATTTCCTTTAGAAGTGTTTACTATTCTTCGTTGTTCTAAATTTGGTTGCAATAATTTAAATCTAATAATGACAATAGCAACAGTCATAACAGTCATAATAGTTACAACAATAGTAGTAACAGTAATAATAAATATTTAAATATTAGAAATAGAAACTTCTATATATAGTTTGGATGACGTAATAGGAGCTGTCAAAAAATAATGTCAAGCCATATTTTCTCCGCTGATTGTTATTTTTAAATTTTTGTTAATTGCAGTATTAACAATAGAAAAAGTTTGCAACCGTTGTGAAGAGGAGAGGCTTGAGCCGGGAAAAAACAGAAAAAGAACAAAAGAAAAACAAAAGAAGAACAAAAGAAGTAGTCTTCATTGAACAATATGTTTGTTAATAAAATTGATGTATGTTGTGCCAAATCTTTTGTTTGCAAAACTCAACAAGGTCAAATATTAATTACTTCAAAATGGAGTTTGAATCTTTTTTTTTTGTCTTGTAAAAGCATAGAAACATCGCTTCTCTCGAAGGTCAAAGGTCCAGGAGCATTCCATTTTTTCCCCTCCTTTCCCCCTCTCCCCCCTTTTTTTGATTATTATTTTTATTTTTATTTTCAACTCCACTTTAGTAAGAGAGAAGTGCAAGTTCAAGAGACTGAGTCAAGAAACAGGTATTTCTGTCTTCTTTTTCTTTTTCTATTTTTTTGTTTTGTTTTGTTTTTGCCTGGCAATACAGTAACAGTTTAATACAACATCATGATTGTAACGGTAATGGGAATAATAATACTAACTGCAATAAGAACACTTTTCTAATGATAAACTGAAACAAAGGATCTAAATTCTTTTTATTTTTTTTACTCAAAATATAGAATATTTAACAAGAAAAAGTACATAATACTTCAAATAGCTTAGGTTTCTTTCTTTTACAGAGGGGGATTTTGTTTATTATTGAAGCCTATATTTGAGTGTACATAGGCACAGTAACCTTTTATTGTTTACAAAAGAAGAAAAATTCGGATATTGTGGAGAAGGGTCTAAATTTGTTGTTGTTGTTTTTTTTTCTTTTTTTCTTTGTTGTAAAAGTGTCAAATTTATTTTTCCTTCTTTCCTTCTTCCACTTCTACAGATTTGTTTTCCAAAAAGAGTAAATTCAAAATAAGAATAGTTTTTAACACCAAAAATAGAAAATAAAAAATAAAAGATACATACATCTCTATTTATTTCATTTTTCTAACTAATGTAATACATTATGTAGAACATATGTGTTTGTCTTTAAATTACATAAGCCCCTTAATATTATTTGTGTTTTGTTTTGTCATTAACACGTCTTTTTTTTTTGTTCTGTAGCAGCAATAACAAAAAAATCAAGGACTACTGTAACCTTTTAAAAAACAAAAAATTGAATATATGATTACTAATAATATCATGATTATTATTCTTATTATTCTTATTATTCTGCAAAAATAAAAAGAAGCAAATTTCATAACCATTAAAACAAAAGTATAATTAAATAATAATATGGGTGACAAATGTGTTCTTCTATGTCATCGTAAGGGAGAGAATATTATGGAAGTGCTAGAATGTCTCAGTATTTGTGTAGTAACCATAAAAGTCTATATTGAAAGGGGAACAAGAATTATTTGCAACCTTCATTGTTATATATGTTGTGTATAGCAATTCTGTGAAGAAAAAATAGTATTCATAGAAGATTCTTGTTAGGATTTATGGCACTTTCAATAATCAACAACAAAGTGGAAGAAAGTTGAGATCCACAACAACAATTAATATTACACAGTATCAAACCTCCATATTTCTTTCTGTAGAAATATTCCTTTTTTTTTCCTTCTCTCTCTTTGTTCCCGCTCTCCCCCTTATCTCTCTTCAAAATTATTTTGATAAGAAAAACAGCAACAACAATATCCTTTGATGAAATTTACCTTTGCCCTTTTATGAATTTAAACGTGATAGTTATAATTCTACTAGGGAAATCTTATCCCTGGCTATCATATATTGTTTCCTCTAATTCAGGAATATTTAAAGATTCCATTGTAATCTTTGTCGCTGTTGTTACTTGTGATAATCTTTTGTTAATCATTTGACGTTTGTTTGGGTAATCACTATTATTATTATTATTATTACTATTATTACTATTACTGGCAGTAGAATTTGATACCATTAGAAACTTTTTTTGCTCGTTTGAGTAATAAAATTTAATAGGTCCGTTTTCGATATCTTCATTTAATTGAGACTCACTTAAAGTCGAATGGAAAATGTTTGAATTTGTTGGCAATGAGGAAAAAGAAGAAGAGGAAATAGTGGAGGTTGAAGAAGTTAATGATATACCTCTGAATGAAGTGGACTGAGTTTTATATCTCTTCTTGTTTTGATCAGTATTTGTGCTTATTATAGCAGTTATACATCTACTAGGTCTGTCTTTAATATTCTTTTTATTTAATACATCTTGAAAATTATCGTTTTCAACTGTCCAATTCCAATATAATCCAATTCTAGCTTTAAAATATATTTCCCAACTATTATCTTTGTTACCCATTGCACAGTTTGCAATTAACGAACTCTTCAGGCTTTGTACATTTTTACGTTTTAATAAGCTTTGCTTATCTGATACAAAAAAATTGTTTCCATTACTTAATATATCTAAATTATCCTCGTTATATATACCACTGTATATTTCATTATTTTCCCATTGATATGATGTGTTCATGCAATCATCTATTAATACTATTATAGAATTGTTTAAATGAGCATATTTGGTTAATAGGGTTAATATCACTATCAGTCTTTTACATTTGATATCGTGTAATTGTCTTTGATCAACACCATGATTTAAAATTATGTTTAAGTGGTTCACTAACAACTGAGAAAATCCATCAATTATGATAAGTGAATATTTTAAATTGTTCTCATTATTTAACAGTTTTTGTAAATAAAATATAAGTTCACTCAATTTTCGTATCCTGACATGGAAAATATTTCCACACACATCATCTTCACCATCAGTAGCAGATATCCATTGTTGGTCTCTCATATTGACTGTCTTATTCGTATCTATCCATAATATATTTTCATCCTTTTGATTTTTTAACATATTATTCACTAGGCTTTTACCTAATTGGGTTTTTCCTATTCCTGGGACTCCAAATATTTCATAGATGGACCTTCTGTAAAATCCATTATCTAAGGCTTTATCTAATGATGGTATACCACTAGTTAAGGGACGTGCATTGGAACTAATCAGTTGGGATAATGGTATACCTAATGACATTCCTCTTATCTACATATATCCTTTGTATAAGCTGGTTTTGCTTTTCCTTCCTTCCTTTCTTTCTTTCTTCTAGCTTGTAATTTTTGTGTTCTACTGTTAATATTTGTTTCAGTTTCTACATTGTTTCTTTCTTGGCCTTTGTCTATGTATGTGTGTGTTCCTCTCTTTCAATTTTTGTTTTCTGATGCCTTATTTTTTTTTTGTTCTAATTTTTTTTCAATAATCTAAGGTATCGTTATGAACATATAACATAACATGAAGACCAACACTGAATTAATCATGGATATATATTCATCATTTACTTATTTATGATTATAATCGTATACCTATATACATGTGGTGACATACATATGTGTATGTACATAATATACTTATACATCTCCTTTAAATACTTTAATGTCAGGTGCCGACATAAATTATGTTATTATAAGTATAACTTTACTGTTAGGTTCTTTACACCTCAAAGGCCCTTTTTTATGTAGAAACTTTGGTTACACTATTGGCTGAAGCAACTCTCTTCAATGTATATTTCTTAGTAGCAAGTTGTGATTTCTTACTACTTTCACTATCCTTCACATGACCTCTAGAATCGAGTTCCACAGTACCAGCACTCTGGAATAATGATATTTTGCCTACTAACAGAGCTAAAGTTTCAATAACTTGGCTTGGATCAGTCAAATGTGCTTTAGCAACAGTTTGTTTTGAAGCAGAACCAACAGTCACTGGATATATACCATAATGACCCAATTTATTTTTACCATCCGGGAATTTAGTCTCCCATGTGGCTTCAATAGCATTCAATTCTCTAAACATATCTTCATCTGTGAAATCATCACCCAGACAAAGAATGAAATCAGGCATGTCATCTCTTGAGATATTTTCGTTGACCGGATTTAATAAATCTTGTGGAGATCCATGTTTGTGCCAGACCAATCTCTTAACGATTTCACCTTTGTTAACAAATCTAGGTCTAACCTCCACATTTGCTTTACCATCCATGACCTCCAAATCGTAGTCATTAGTGAATGCTAATAACATTTTCTTTAATTTTGAAGCATTATATTCACCTTGCTCAGGGACAGCACGCCTATAATGCCAAGTTAAGGCGACTTTCTTTTTTTTCAATAAAGGAGCCAGGTGTCTTGGTGGTGATTTCTTCCATACATTTAGTGACTCGTTCTTGCCATGACATATCAACTTTTTCTGTTAAATTGACCCAGTCTTCACTGTTAACATCTTTGATAAAACATCCATGTTCTGCAGATAAACCAACATTTTTATTTTTGGACCCCCACCATTTATTAAGGAATTGTTGATCGCGGCCCGATATAATCCAAATTTGGTTTTTTGGATCCTCTGCTAATTTCTCCATAATATTGTATAATTTTGCAGTGGGGATAGCAGCAGCTGGATCTTTTACTATAGGCGTTAAAGTACCATCATAATCAAACAAGAATAGACGGCGTTGGGCTTCTTTATAGTTTTGTAAAAGGACAGGACGGTTCAAAGCAGGAGTAATTTTACGATCACTATTGTTGGTATTTAATGCTAATAAAGATTTTAAGAATAAATCGGTCCATGATTGGATAGTAGGGACTTCAGGGGATAACTTAGCTTGTAAGTTCTCTTTAACATCTCTTGGCATCTTTAGAGCCATATTGATTGATTTAGCTACTGCTACAGAATCCCATGGATTTACAATGATTGCGTCTTTCAAAAGGGTGGCAGAACCAGAAAATTCACTTAGAATCAAAGGACTTCCATAACACTTATGATTAGACATTTGTTTATTAGACTTAATCGTCACATATTCTAAGGCAGTTGTATTCATCCCATCTCTTACACTTGTAATAACACATAAATCTGCCACTCTTAATAAAGATAAATAGACATCCTTTGGGATTCTCATATAATAATGTTGTACAGGAGAGAAATCCAAACTACCATATTCGGAATTGATAGAATTGACTAAATCATTAACTTGTTGTTCCAGTCTGATGGTCTGTGGAGAATCTTTATTTGTTGTTGGCGAGGATACTTGAATCAATACTACTTGATCTCTCCATTCAGGATACATTGCCAAGAAAGTCTCAAAGGCTCTTAATTTCTGTACCACACCACGAACTGAATCGAGACGGTCCCTACCAATAATAATTTTTTTATTTTGATAAGCTTCTTGAATAGCACGAACTTTGGAGTCAATATCTTTAGTGAAGGCATCTTTCAATATCTGATTTTTGTCTACACCAATGGGTAAAGATCCGACAACGACATCACCACCATATGCGCTCAATTGATATTGGTCGAAACCATTGGAATTTTTCGATTTGGAAGCAGTACAATCCAATAATCTTTTGCAAGAAGATACAAAATGTCTTGAGAATTGCTCATTTTGAAAACAAATCTTATTAGCACCAACAAGACCATCCAATATTTGTTTTCTTCTTGGTAAACAACGGAAATATTCGTAACTTGGCCATGGAGCATGGTGGAAGTAACCAATAAGGACATTATCATTACTAAACTTCATTCTTAATAATTGTGGTAGTAACATCAAATAGTAGTCATGGATCCAAATGATATCGCCCTTTTGATATATTTCACCTATTTTCATTGCAAAGGCTTCATTAAATTTGACATAGTCATACCACCAATTATTCTCTTGTTCACCACTACCTTTAGAATCTGATTCGATGACAGATGGGTTTAAGATGTAATGGAAAGTAGGCCAAATGGTCTTGTCAGCATATTGTCTCCATCTACTTTGATCCTTCCGTAATAACCAAATTGGGTTGTAATTTTTTTCATCCTTTGAATTTAAAGCATTGTTCAAATTGTCCATCTGACTAGGTGTTAAATAAAATGGTTCGTCCGCTTCCAATGGGATGGAGCCAGTTGGGTTATCGTTGTTGCTTGTAGTAATAGTTGTATCTTCAACTATGTTATCTGAGCTCTGCGATTTGTCATGTCTTTCCTGTTGCTGCTGCTGTTGTTGTTGCTTTATCAACTGAGCAGTTAAATTATCTTCTCTTGTAATTTCACCAGTCCAGCCAACTATAACTTGTTCGTACTCATCTGAATGGCTTAAATAGTTTAAGGAAGAGTAAAGGGCACTATTGCCAGATAAAGGAAACAATTTCCAAGTATTTGATGTTTCATTCAATTGAATTTTATAAGGTAGTTGCGAAACACAATTAATTATTCTTTGTTTCTTGGTAACCGACATAATTCAGGGGAGTCGAATATTCAAAACAGTATTTCTAATTGCACAGTAGATTTATATATATATATGTATGTGTGTGTGTGTGTGTCTATATATATATATCTGTAGGAGTAGGTGTCCGAAATATTATAAAACTCAGTTGTTCACACGAAGAATATTCCTGGGTATAATTGGAACTATTTCCTTAAATATTTGTTTGTTTGTTTGTTTATCTGTTTGTTTTTAACTTTGTCGCACCTCAACGTGAAGTTGTCGAATGTCAGGTATAAGTAATTTGAAGCATGTACATACACATGAGGAGGGCCAGATAATTGACACAACTGATACAACAATCTTGCTTTTTATTCATTAAGTAAAAAGTGCCTTAAGTTTAGAGAGGAATCCTTACTGTGTTCTTGAAGAAACGTTTATCTGCGTGCAAGAACATCGAATAGGGGGGGGAGGGGAGAAGGAGAAGGCAGCAGGGGTTAAGTTAAGGAAAACAAAGAAGGAACGCCTATTGATTTTTAATTCCGTTGTCGACAAAAAAAGGGAAAAAAAAAGAAAAAGAAAAAGAAAAAGAAAAACAGAAAAAATCCGACGTCGAGCCAACTTCTGCCCCTTTTCTTTTTTTGTTTTGTAGTAAGAAAAAAAAAAGCAAAAAAAACATAAACAGTGGAAAATATTTGAGAATAAAGAGTAACGAAAAACGGAATGAAGAAAATTAGAAATATGTCGTATGGGGGAAGAGGGGATGGAACAGGATGGTTTTAATTGAAGTGGGGTCATAGCCATTAAAATATATACTTATATTGAATACATGCAGAGCTGTGACAGATTATGTAATATTACAAAACATTACTAGTTGAAAGCTTTTTCTCTTTTTCTCGACTCTCTTTACTCTCTTTCCCGAATATAACGTAATCGTTATTCATAGATATAAAACACAAGTAAGATTTGCCATATGCTTACTAACCGATTAATAGACTTCGATATATTGGACAAACTTACTTTCTATGTTTGTATATTCTTATAAATATATACGATTTATTGCTATTTGTAAATCCTTGGGATGATGGTAAATAAAGTGTTGGTTTTACCAAAATTCAAATATTCTTCCCATTAGTATATATAATTTCATTAAGATATCTTGTGGTGGATTATTGGAAGGGTTATTACTATTGCTATTGTTGTTATTGTTAAGGATCTCTGGTGGATCTAATATAACTGGTTTGGCACGTAATATACCTTGGTTTATTTGTGATATACACTGTAAATTGGCATGCACTCTTTTTAAACTTTGTGATATTATTCGTTGTATGGATTCAGGTACATTGTTATTTGAATTATTGTTGTTATTGTTGTTAGCAATATTAGTCAATTGTATCACTCTTGCTAATAGTACACTATTTATATGGAGTAATAATTGGATCTTATATTGTTTTTGATCTTCAATTGACACTATCTCGTTTGGATTTACTATCATATTAGGATTGATATTGAAATTTGGATTCAAATTTATTGGCGTTGGATTATTATAGTTGTTACTATTATTGATTATATTGATGTTATCATTAGTATTAGTACTATTATTGCTATTACTAATAGTAGTAGTAATATTATTATTGTTGTTGTTGTTGTTGTTGTTGTTGTTACTGCTTACGTTTACGTTAGGATTCGACGATACTGCATTATGGATAGTTTCTTGAGCTATCGCTACATTAGATGCCATACTATTATTTATATAATTATTGGAATTAATTGGAATATTACTCATCTTATGTAACCTGTCTCTAACTTATCTTCGTTCTTCCCCACTGCTTCTTACTGTTATTAAAATACATTATATCATATCGGATATTTGCTTTCGTTTCAGTTTTATTTCTTCTTAATCATTGAGTTCTTCTCTTTTTATCTCTTTTTGTTCTTTTTTTTTTTTCAAAAATTTTTTTTCTTTGAGAATACATAAAAGTGAAGTAGTTTAATGAGTGGTAATATTAGTGACAGATAGATATTTGTATAGTAATGGAATTATAAACAAATAACACTCTACATGCTGACCCTATATATACATCCAATAATGTTAAATTAAGAGTGTATGTTGCTATAATATATCTGTATGTTTGAATTTGAAACTCTAATTGTTTTAGGTTTTATACATGATATAAATAATACATAACGCTATGATGATATTACATACATATATATATATATATATATATGTGATACCAATTTATGTAAACTTCTTAGTAGGTTCTTTTTTTATCTCCTTTTATAGCTTAATTCAACTCTCAGAAAAAGTTTTCTCATGGTGTACAATTTTTTTTTTTTGCTGGAAATATTTTATAGTGCTTGAAGATAAAACAATAAGCATTATTAATCGTAGTAGTGTTAAAACTGTTGCAACAATTAGTTATTAAGAAGTAAGTTATTTTTATTTATTTATACTAAAATTGAAATTATACATTAGAATAGGGAAAATACGCTAATGGGACGATGTTGTTTACAATTATCCTGAAATATCTTATATGATTTTATTTTATATTTTTGTATATTTGTTTTTTGTATAATATATATATAAGATTGAAAAAATTTAATTATAGTAAATATGTTAACAAAATTATCACCCAAACCAGGATCACTAGCTTTAGTGATGTAAGGGTTAGTACAAGTAGAATACTAAAATATGGATATTAATTATATATATAAACACTTACAAATTATATAATTGGTTGATTCTAACTAATAAATAGATTAATCCTAGTTATTTGTGTTATTCTTCCTTCGATTAAACCTACTAGATAGAATACGAATGTTAATGTTGATAATTACCTCTGACACCATCTCTCAATAATCAAAGGTCTCCTAAATAAGCTTTTTAATAATTTACCATCTATTATAATTTGATTATTATTCGTTTGAATATACTCACAGCCTTGGGCTCAAGGTTTTGGTTGTTCTACGTTTTTCGCCTCGATATTCGATGTTACCTGTGGACTATGTATTTCATGATTCCCAATTAGGGCCTCTTACAAGTAATATCTTAAGTACATTTTCATATGAATTTTTAAATTAAAATAGGAAAATATTATTTTGCAGGGTACGATACTATGTCTTGGAACGTAAGTTAAAGGATGTTAAATCTCATTATCATAACTTGTTTTAATCTCATCAGTTTTTTCTTAAGAAAAATTTACCTTTACAATAGTGAAAAACTTTTCATTTTCTTGAAAATTTCTATAATTTCTATGTATAAAAATGAAAAATAATAAACAAAACACTAAAAAAAAGAATCCAACTAGTATGAAAAATAAACAAGTCAAACTTTCAAAAATAATATAGCTTGATCAAATATAAATCTAAAGTTATTCTTTACAATATATATTGTATAATAATGTTAATTTCTGACTATTATAACACATAAGGTTGCTAAGCATCTTATATTATGTATGATATACATGAATTCACAGATATATAGCTTCTCAAAAAATGATTTTCCCTAATGTTCTTTTTTTTGTACATCAGTAAAAAATATTTTTTTTACACTTCATCTCACAATATTACTAATTAATTGCCCTTTCAAGATTTACCTCATAAGTCATTTTTCCGTAACAGTTATCCTCAATATACATATATAATTAATATCCTTTATATTCAAAAAGAGCAACCAAAAAAGTTTCTTTCTAAATTGACATCTTTCCTCTTTTTAAAAATACTAGGCAATATTACTCATATTAAATATCCTCTTTATTTAAACATACAGTAAAATTTGTTTACTTGAGTAACAATCAAAAACCAGGATACCTTTTTTTTGTTTTTGTTTTATATCGTTTTTCCAACATAAAAATATTTCATAAGATAAATTCCTGTACACATCTTTAAACTGAAATATGGAAAGAGGTACCAATTATTAATCTGGGCTTATTTCCAAACAAAAAAAAACTATGGAGAGAAGTGTACCCCCTCGACTATATTAATCAAACAGTTAGACTATTATTTTAACAACAACTTACAATCCAGTAATTATTTTCTTAGAATAAAAATTATCATTCCTTTGTTACTTCTTAATAGCGTGTCAACTCTATCCACAAATTTTTTTTAATATACTTCAGTCAACCTAGAAAGATTAGAACCATTTTGGTGTTTAAGCGATGAATATAATTGAAAAAAAAAGTTACTTATGTTTCCAATGTCAACTATCTAACTTTTCAAGACATAGCTTACTTTAAAATATTATTATTTAACTAACCTTATCCTTAAATTTAATTATCACAACATATCTTTCATATAATACTAATATATCCTAAATTTTATATTTTTTGTATTACCATAAACAATATATGTGAAAAAGAAATAATTAAGAACCCAATGCTAAATGAAAGTATGGAAACTAGAGGAGAGTTGATACCTTGTAACATATTATGTGCTCATTAAAAATAAGAAGGTCTACTATTAAAAAGTATAGAAAAAAGTATAAATCATAATTCTTCTTCTTTTTTTTTTTCGACATAATCTAAGTTATTCCAAATAAACAAATTATTTAGATATACATTATCACTTAATAGTTACAAAGAAATTCTGAAATCTTGAAAATTGTTACTGACACATACATTCAACAATTAATAACGAAAAAAACAAATATATTAGCCGATCTGACTATAATAATAACAAGAAAAAAAGAAAAGAAGATAAACATACTACTTCAAGTTTAAACCTTCTTAATGACAGTCAAATAATAATACATATATATTTTATAGATAAAAACTAACAACAATGACAGTACCTTCTAATTATCGGTCCGGGTATTGGAACTAGAACCCGAGGATACTTCCACATACAAAATTTATTTCCACATTATTATGGCTAATAGCATTAACTCTTAAATACAATACATAATATATTAAGTAGTATACAAGATAACAATAACGCAAACTTATCTAAATGCAAGGCATCCATTATATTGTAAACTAAAATTTCAATAGACAATTATTAACATGAATTTATCTCTCTACTATCGATTTTACCTTACTTCAAAGAACGTCAGGTGTATTCAACAAAAAATACCATTTTGTGATATCCTCTTTTTTAAAGTTGTATTTTCCCTCTGCCAGCTAAAATTCTTATCACTTAAAATTCTTTCTTTAAAAGAACATCTGAAACAAAAAATAATAAACTTGAAGAACGCCTCGCTATTCTTTTTTTCTTTTCTTTTTTTTTTCTTTACAGTGAAAAGATCAAGGAAAAATCCCCGTTTATTAAAAGGGTATCAATGTTTTCGCGGATATAAAGTAATGATTGACAAAAAAAAAGAAATAAAAAGAAAAAATAAACAATAAAAAAATTTAAACCCGGAAAAATAAAAAATTTTCTCCGTTTCCGCGGAATCCAATATTTTTAACAACCAAACAAAGTAGAGTCCCAACAAAATAGGTTAGTTGGAAAAATGTAAGAAAACTAAAAACAAATCAAATAGGGTTTCTCTACTTTAATCATTTTTACTACCCTCTTATGTAGGAAATTATTCTTAAAAGAACTGCTTCTCCCAACAAATATGAAAAAAAATTTTCTTTTTAACGAAAAAAAAAAGCCAACTTCTTCTATTAGGGTTTGTTATTTTATAAATATACAAACATGCAAACATAAGGTTGTATCTATTTTTTTAGTTGCCTTTTTGAAAAATTCGTTTGACAGTTTACACTTTAGAGAAGCAAAACAAACAAACAACAAAAAAGGAATATGTTGCCACTTTCTTTTAATGTGATACTTTTACTTTTTCTTTGAATTCAAGACAATAGAAATAGTCGGTTGCTATTGGGAAGTTCACCTCTCGAGCTCACTAACTATTGTAATCCACTAACTCTTCTTTGGACTTCGAAAACTATTTCTTTTTATTTACTGATTTCTCCCACATTTTTCGACCTCAGTTGTTGGTAACGTAAATATCGGGATGGCTTGTCAAATTGTGAATAATTTTTTTGGCATTTGATTTTGTTGGACTCATCCCCAGATGTTTTTGTTTTGGAAATTGTTCAAGCCCTTGTAATACATACTATTATCAAATATAAATATAAATATATATATATATATTTATTTATTGTAAAAAAAAAGCCTACAAAGCTTTCAAGAAACATGATTTAGAAAGTTTATCTTTCTTTTTAGTGCTATTGTTGTCTTATCCCCGCATTCTTTTTTTTCCCCTCTCTCTCTCTTTCTTTGCTAAATATATCTATTTAATCTTAACTATTGAAATATATATATATATAAACATATCCTATCTTCTCTTGAAAGATTATATAGTCTGATTCACTATCACAACAGAAACATATCACTTATAACACTATTACATAAGGATTTATCTATTATTTTTAAACATATTGGTCACTGGCTAACCTTCGTTCATTTAAAAAACTGCCCACCCCTCCTCTTTCTATTAAATAACTCTGCATTAGCACGCTAGCTCACTATCAATAGCCTGGCTTCCATTTCCAATATACCCACATTCGTTCATTCCCTTATTTATCTATATTCACTATCAAATATATTACAAGTCTTCGAGTAAAGAGAATACTTCTACTAAATATATATTATCTATATTCATCAGTGTTCATTAATACTACCACAATTATTTCCAATGGTACGAGTATTAAAATATTGCCATTTTATAATAATCAGATTAGTCAAAGCTGCTTTCAATCAAAGAAATATAATTACTTTACCAATTGAATTTATCCTCAACTTTTCATTAATATTTATTTGGTTGAATCTGTTCTCATATGCTAAATATATTCCAACAAATATTAGACCCGCAATCCACTCAAAGTTTGCCTTCTTAATGGACTCATACCTTTTTGGAGATACATTTAAAGAATTAAATGCACAATACAATGTCAATGATCTAAGTATACTGTCCATATTTACCTCTTCTACATTTACAATCATTTGTCTGTTATTAATTCCACTATCTGTCTGGTATTATGTGTATTATATTAGAAAATTGAAATATAATTTAATTGATTGGTATGATCACATTTTCCACTTTGAAAACATCAACAACGTTAAAAGACTTAGACTTATTGTTTACCCATATTTGATACCGTTCCTTTCATTTACTGTCTTAAATATTTTGCATCTTTTCACTAAACAAGAAACAAACAATTTTTCAAAGACAAAGGACCTTTTAGCATGGACTTCGTATGTGATCTTACATATCACGGTCCCTATATTAACTGCCATTTATTTATATTTATTCCATGTTCCAGGTGTTGTCAAGTATTTCAGTCTTTCCTTAGGTATTCAAAATTTGTTAGGAATCTTCACACATCTAGTATTCCCCACTGCATCACCATGGTTTACCCATTTATACGGAATCAACGATGTTGATCATGTAAATTATGAACAAGAAGGTTTTGCTGCTGGTTTAGTTAGAGTTGATAAACATCTGGGGACCCACTTAAATACAAATGGTTTCCATCAGAGTCCTATTGTGTTTGGTGCAGTGCCATCCTTGCATTCCGCTATAGCATTCCAATGTTTTCTATTTATTATGACCAGAGCCTCCTCTTTGAAAAATAGATTTTCGTCTTCAAATGAGATACTGCCATTAGATGATGAACAATCATCAACGGTGTCTTCCTCTCCATCTTCTTCCACCCCTTCTTCACCCTTCTCTGAATCATTTGATTATGCTAGAAACCAACTACCAAACCCAATAGTACCATCTTTATCTTCTTCTACATCCTCTCTCTCTCTAACTAAAACATCTTCAATGTTCAGTAGTGATGAAGAGACGACTCATGAAGTTAGAGAAATAAGCAAGTGTCAAATAGATGAAAAGATTCATGATTTAGAACAATCCGTCAATAACTTAGCCTCCGAGAATCCATTAAATTATGTTAAATTATATGAATTTGACCAACAATTTGCCAACAGTTGGAGATTTATTATTTTCAACAAGGGTCTCATTGCTAAGATGTTAATTTCCGGTTACATCATATTGCAATGGTGGACCACAATGTATTTAGACCATCATTATAGATTCGATTTGTTCGTAGGGATGTTATACTCGTTGCTCACGTTTATTATTATGAACATATTTTTCATGCAACCAAAAGTGATGAAACCATGGATTGAAGTTAGATTAGGGGAAAGAGACGATGTCAAGAATGAGTCTAGAACTTTTGGCATGAGGGTGTTTCAAGGTTCGAGATATGAATGGTTTTTCGATCCATTGGCATAAAATAGAAGACAAAAGACTATTTATAATTCAGTATTAATTTATTTGTTTTCATATTTATTTGCACATGTACATGGATATATATGTACATACACATACACATGCACATATACATACATACATACATACATATATACATACATACATATATATATATATATATATATGACACCAAAAAGGAAAAATACAAAGACAATATAAGAGATTATTTCAAATAATATACTAAAATATGGATATTACCTGTATATATGCACTTACAAGCTATAAAGTCGTTTGTTCCAATTAAATAAACTAATTTACTTTTATTTGTCTTTGAGACGAACACGTATACCGCAAATAGTCAATTGTTTCTTAGAATAAATTTCTTAATAAGTTAATATCACTGTTAATGTGATAATCGTTTGTACAAGAACACTCATAGTTTGCCTTCCCCCCCGCAGTTTTGGTTGTTCCAAGTCCTTTTAAAATACATATTTTCGGGATTTCCAATTAGAGAGCTTCTTATAGAGAAGAACAGTAAAGAAAAATTCTGAAAGAAAAAAGAAAACAAAAAAAAAAAAACAGAACGGGAAGAACACAAAATAAAGAAAAAGTAATATATATATATATACATAAATATACACACATATACACATACATATGTAAATGTATATCGAGACAACTATACGCGACAATACAAAATAAGACGACCGATTATTGAGTTTATTAATAGCATCAAACACACACATACACGTATACTACAGAAGAACTTGTGAGAAAGATATATAATAACACACACACACACAAAAGAAAACGATGAATAATACAAATAATAATAACAGTAGTAATAACAGTAGTAATAACAGTACATTGCCATTGCATATGTATATTCGTCCCTTAATTATTGAAGATCTTAAATCAGTTACAGATTTAGAATCTTTGTGTTTCCCACCAAACGAACGTGCATCTCGTGAAAAGATTGAGTATCGATTAAATACATGTCCCGAACTATGTGCTGGTTTATTTGTCAGAGATTTTGATTCGATCACGAAAGAACTTAAAGATGAAAAATTGATTGGCCATATAATGTCAACAAAGATTGAAAGTGATTACATTACGTTGAAATCGATGGAGATAGGAGAACATTATGAGTCGAGTGACGTTATTGGTATCCATGCGTTAGTGATTCATCCAGATTATCAAAAGAAGAACTTAGCTACGTTGTTGATGACAGATTATATACAAAAGATGAGCAACCAAGATATCGGTAAGAAGATTGTTATTATCAATCACGAACATTTGGTACCATTCTATGAAAGATTGGGGTTCCATGTTGTTGGTGAAAACAAAGACGTAATAAAAGATCCAGATTTTGGTAAAGATAAATGGTTGGATATGGAAAGAGAATTAATTAAAGAAGAGTACGATGGTTAAAAAGTAAGCCAAAAAAAAAAAAAAGAAAAGAAAAGAATAGAAAAAAAGAAGAAAAATATAAGAAAAGAAAGTAGATTTATCTTTCTATCTTTCTTTCTATCTATATATCTATATATGTATATGTAATAAATGACCACAGCCATTATTATTAATAATAAATAAACAAGTACATATGTGAATAAATATACTCTGTTGCAAAAAAACTAGGAGAAGTACAAATTCATTAATCAATATACGTATACACAGACAAACGAATACGTTCTTCCTCTCTCTTTGTATATATATGTATGTATATTTAGCTTAGAATAACTAAAAGGAAATCAGCTGGGACAATTCAAAACGCCTCTATTCCCCAGAGGCTAATGTATTTTCATAAGATGCGAGAAAGGGAAAAGAATGCCCCACCGAGACAAAAACAAAAACAAAAACTAAAAAAAAGAAGAAACTCTTTAAAACTATTATTCATAGAAAAAGAGAAAAATATCTTCTGTAACAAAAGACACACCCATTTTACCTGCGACCGGGGCCAGAACTAAACCATTGCTAGGGTCCCTCCCCCCCTCAGAGACTTTAAACATGAAGTCAACCACGTCTGAATACAGAAATATTCTTCTAGAAAAAACAACCCCTCTCTCCCTTCTCTTCTCTTCTCTTCTCTTCTCTTCCTCCACTAATGAGACTCCCTCACATCTACCACTTTTAGATACAGCCGCCCAGCAATTGAACTAGATGATTGTGTCATATCATACATAACATACATCTAATTGCATATATATATATATAAAGTGAAACAAAGTGAGGAGAGGAATAGATAGGAAATCTCTTTTGTTTTTTATCTTTTCTTTCTTTCTTTCCTTTTTGTTTTTGGTTTATTTTATATTAACAATAGGGTAATCTCAAAGCCTAACGTTGAAACCTGTTTGATTTCTTTTTATTCTGCCCTTATTAAAGTTGGGGTATCGGTTTTTTTGCCTTTCCTTTCCTGTACCCCTAATATTTAATAGGCAAAACTTCTAGCCGTTCGATATTTTCATTTGATATTCCAATAATCTGTATTTTCACATATCCACATCTCTTTCTCTTTCTCTTTCTTCTTCTCCTTCCCTTTCCATATCTATATACATATACATACATACATATATATATATTGAAAGGTTGACTATGCAAATTGTTTTGCTTGTTATTTTTTCTTTCTTTTTTATTTTATTATAATAGATTCTCTATATCTATATGCTAACATTAGTAATAAAAATAATAATAACATAAATCTATCCACCAATTCACACACACACACATATATATATATATATCTATTACTTAAATCAAAACTAAAACAAAAAAAGAAAAAAAAACGAGAATATGAGATTTATTACTTCCCCTTCAATTAGACAATTTTCAGGTCTAGCTCATAATAATCCATTAAAGTTTAAACAACTAGGAATACTTTCAACCCCTTCAAATTCAACTTGGAAAAGTTCTATCTCCCACGATAAATCCCATTTAAAACCTGATCAATCTGTTGAAGAAACCAAAGAACAAAAATTATTTGATAAAAACCAGGATTTCTTAGATAGAATGGAACATGACCCAAGTTTTAATCATTGGAAAAAGCCAAACGATGAAAAATTGAAAAAAATCGGTGATGATGCAAGAATTGAACAAAATAGACCTGATGATGGTGTTTATTAAATTAAAATTAAATTAAATTAAAATTATCTACACTACACACACATAAACTTTGCTTCTCTATTTCTCTCTTTGTATATATATAAATTCTCATCTATAGCTATCCGATATATTCCTCTACATAATTAATATATATATATATATATATATATATATACACTTTTAAAAGGATTAAATGTTTTACCTTTTTTTATATTATCAGGGTTCAAACCTGTTTGTTTTCTTTTTCTTTTTCTTTTTCTTTTTCTTTTTCTTTTTGTTCTTTCCCTTTTTGATCATTTCTCTCTATATGTAAATTCTTAAAAAAGAAAGCAACAGCAATACTAAAACAAAATAAAATAAAATAGTGATAGTAATAGTATTAGATACTAATAATAATGGTATTGTTTTTTTATATGTTATTTATTTATTTATTTATACTTACTTATCCCTACGTACATGTAAATACAAGAATATTGATTTATAGATCCATTCTCTCTCTCTCACTCTGTGTGTGTATTTTAATTTGTAATTTCCATATAAATAGATAACCAGATTGAATTAAATTACATAACCTTTTTTTGTCGTTGTTGTTGTTTTCACCTTTCTAATAAATAAATAGTTGATGATAAATAACGATAAAATTGACTGTGAAAATAATACTACCCAAGAAGAACTTTATTATTGTCGATCTTTATCTCAACTGACTAATGTAGCTGAACAATTCATTATTGATGATTTAAAATTAGACCAACAAACCCTCCTAACTTCAAAATCAACTAATAATAATAAGTTACACTTGAATCAAAGAGATCTGAAATATTATCTAAATCAATGCATCCATATTTTGTCAAATTATAAAGATCAATGTAAATTGCTAAAGGAAAAGTATAACATTTTTTTGTCGAAGGAAAACTCAAACGATTTAGATGAGGCATTCATTCATCTGAGTAAGGATATTTGGATCATTCTGGAGACGTCTTATATCTATTACAAAATTATTCACATCATTATACTAAATAAAATACCTAATTTGAAAGAATTTATCAACATTAAAAATGGCATTTCAAATAATAACAACAACATGTCACATCTTAGAAAGGATAAAGACTTAATAGAAATTTATAACGATCTGTTGAAAACTTTATTAAACGATCAAAACATTTTACAGATCAAATGGTTACTAAAAAAAAATAATTCCTACCATAATAACCATCCACAATCTCCACAGGATTCAAACATGTCTAATTTGCCAAACACCGGCTCTACAATATCTCCTGATTTTCTTTTTAACACTTTATTAAAAAAATACAACCCAATAAGTTTCTTATTCATCGATGTTAGACCAAAGATTAAATATAATACTAGCCACATAGATATGCCAAACATTCTTTGCTTGGAACCTGTATCATTTAAAGATATTTATTCGGATTATGAATTGGAGAAAAAATCAATGATCACTTCAGATCAATCGGAGATCGATCGTTTCAATAAAAGAAACACTTTTAAGTTTATAATATTATATTCTGATGATCAGTCTTTGAAAAATCAAAATATTTTACTTAATATTTTACTAAATAAATCTTTTGAAAAACCTATTGACAATAAGTTGACGAAGATTTACATATTAGAGAATGGTATCTCAAGTTGGATTGAATTTGGTGGGAAAATAATAAAGGAAAATAATGATTCAAATATAACTCTTAATAAAGATAATAAAAATGAGAATAATAAGAAAGCTGATGAACATGACCTAAACTATACTCATAGTGTCTATCTAAATGGAGACACATCTGGCTTACATCTTAAATCCTTACCTAAAATGACCCCAAGTGTATCCCATTCCATGGATCAATCAATGAAAGCTATGATGTCAAGCAATACCATCTTTTCTTCTTCTGTTCCTACATTGGGAATCACATCTCCCCCCTCAACGTTATCATACCCATTCGTTACAAATAATCATTCCAAACACTCCACTTTTACTAATTCATACACTTTAATGTCAAAACAAACTTCTGGACCTAATTCACCTATTAACTCTTCTAGCACAAATAACTATACTAACAATGATCCTAAAAGATCATCAAGTCTAAAGAGACTTTCTGCATTGTTACCATCGTTCAAAAATTCAACATCGGCACCATTATCATCTTCTTCCTATTCGTTTTCATCACCACCACCGCAACTGCAGCAATCATCATCATTACCATATTCTTCTTCTTACATAAAGAAGGATTCACCTAGATTACCACAACTATATTCAACTCCAACTTCTGCTGTTTCATTATCTTCCTCCCCAAGTTTACTGTCTCAGAATGTTCTCCATAATGATAATACGACATATACAACATATCCAGATACATTTAATTTATTACAACACAACAATTTAAAAAATTCAACCAATAACGGCCCTGAACGCACCTTATCTCCCTTACCCCAATTACCAAAATTGCCTCAAAAGGTTATGTCTACAACGCAAAATTTTATTGGATCTGCGTCCTCATTATCTAATTCAGATATATCTTACCCTGAGAACTCTTATTCTTCATCCCCCTCATTATACCCATCTTATTTAGTATCAAATTATAGAAGCGATAAGAACACTTTCACTAGTCCAAGTAATAACAATGTTAACACCTCAATAATAGCAAGAAAATTACAGACGGAGACTTTACAGAACCCTTACAATTTAGATTTTATTGTAGGTCTAGAAAATATGGGAAATTCTTGTTATTTGAATTGTATTATACAATGTCTATTAGGTACACATGAACTGACTAAAATTTTTTTAAATAATTCGTATGAGAAACACATCAACTTAAAAAGTAAATTGGGTTCAAAGGGTGTAATTGCTAAAAATTTTGCAAGATTAGTCAATACAATGTACAACCATGCTACAGTTTCGAATGATCCTATCCCATTAAAACAATTTACGAACGGTATCAGTAACAATTCTTTTGATGGAAATATTATTAACCAGCATAATAATAGTGTTAGCAATATGAATCGACCAAACATGCTTAATTCAAGTCTATTAACTAAGAAGAAAGAAAATCACCATAAAGTTACACCAGTACGACCTCAACAGTTTAAAGTTGCTTGTGGTTCTGTTAATTCTTTATTCAGAGATTGTTCTCAACAAGATTGTCAAGAATTTTGCCAATTTTTATTAGATGGTTTACATGAAGATTTAAACCAAAATGGTGGGAATCCACCATTAAAAGAATTATCTAAGGAAGCGGAAGAAGTTAGAGAAAAATTGTCCTTAAGAATTGCATCATCTATAGAGTGGGAAAGATATTTGACTACAGATTTTAGTGTGATCCTTGATTTATTTCAAGGACAATATGCCTCAAGATTACAATGTAAAGTATGTAATAGAACTTCTACCACATATCAACCATTTTCTGTGCTATCTATTCCAATGCCACATGATAAGTTAAATTCTAGTTGTAGTATTATTGATTGTTTCAATGAGTTTACTAAAGTCGAGAGTTTAGAAGTTGATGAACAATGGTCTTGTCCTACTTGCAAAAAGAAACAGCCTTCCACTAAAAAACTTACTATTACAAGATTACCTAAAAATTTAATTATTCACCTAAAAAGATTTGATAACAGATTAAATAAAAATAATAATATGATTACATATCCGTTTAGATTAGATCTAACAGAATTTTGGGCAAATGATTTTGATGGAAGGTTACCTGCAGGCGTCACCAATGAACTACCAACAAGAGGCCAAGTGCCACCATTTAACTATAAACTGTATGGTGTTGCTTGCCACTTTGGGTCTCTTTATGGGGGCCATTATACTGCTTACGTTGATAAAGGTATCGGCAAGGGTTGGTACTATTTTGATGATACCAATTATAGAACAGTAAAGAATCCAAACGAACCTATTACATCTAATGCCTATGTATTATTTTATAAAAGAATATATGGTGATATCTGAATAACAATAAGCATCATGTGTATATCCATTATATATTTCTTTCCTCTTTATGATATATTTAAATAGATATGTCTGCTACGCAGCTGATATATTCAAAAAAAAACTAATAACATTTCTTCTAATGATTAGAAAAGAAGTATGGTACCACAAAATGTTTGCACACATATATTAGTATGTTATGCAAGTTACTGTCTTGTAGCAATAACATATTTATTCCCAATCATCATCATCATCATCATCATCATCATCTCCTTTGTCATCCATATTATTTTTCTTATTGCTTTCATCTTTCTTCATATCTTCTACATTCTTTAGGTAAGATGGTTTACTGCTATCTTCGACATCTTCTTTCTTTACAATAACAACCGAGGAGTCATCATCATCATCATCATCATCATCATCATCACCCCAATCAACTTCCTCCATCTCTTCAACTTTATTAACACTTTCTACAGGCGGACTATTCTTGTACTTCTCCTTAATGTCTTTGTCTTTAGAATACTCATTTGCCAATAATTTTAATCTTTTATCTTCCCTATCTAGAATCCTTGCTCTTTCATATAAATAAATCGACCAAAATTTGGTATATGTGATTGAAGCCGGGACAAGTTTATTCATCAACGTTTCCAGATCTTTATCTTTTCTCAAAATTTGATCAATTTCTTGAGTTCTATCCTTAATATTTGTGATTTCTTTAAAATTGTCTTCTGGTTGATATTCTAAATATAACAATTTATTATTTGATAAATTCTTTAATTCAGTTTCTGTTCTACTACCACCTATAATTACCTTGCCATCCTTCTCATCATTCTTAACAGTAGCATGTTCCTTTGAATTAGTATTCGGGAAATCATTGTTTATAACATCAGACACAAAATTAACAGTATTTTCAAACTGAGAAGTCAAATTTTGTGTAACATTTGACCAAAAATTTGACTTTGACATTTTATTCCAATATGAAGTTGCTGCATTTTCCATGCTAGCTAAATTATTGTCTAAAGTTTCAATATATTTTTGAGCCTTAGTTGAAGCCTTTTCATCAATCAAAGGTATTGGAATAGCTAACCCTTCCGTATTTACATCATTAACTATTTCCTTCAATTTGCTTGCTGTCTTCTCATAGACATCACCTATTTGGTCTTCTAATTTATCAAATATGTAATTAGTTCTTTCATCTTTATTCAAATGGGGAGACTCAATATCATTATCATGATTCTTTTCTTTTCTTACACCTATTTCTTTGTCAACTTTTTGTTGATCCTTAACTTTATTCAATACCTCTTCTTCATAGAAAAATTCCATCTCTTATACTCTATCTAAATGTATATATAAATATATTTAGTTTGCTATATTCTATTATATCTCAATTTATATGTTTACATATATATATACATATAATGGACTTACCTATACATAAATGTGTGTATATACTTGTGTGTATTGGTATATGTATTATATAGTTAAATTTATTTACCTTAATTCAAAATTATCATAAGATCAATTTTTTTTTTAAATCAACTTTGCTTAATTAGAGCCTAATAAATCAGTATTGATACACAAATACGTACACATATATACAAGAAAGGGCCAATTAAAAGAGTATGGGAATTAACAAGAGAATATATTCATAAAGTAGCTACCAATACTTAACATTTTAAGATTTTGATACATTGGGAAAAACTCTAAGGATAAGTAAAACTATAGATCATAATAACATATATACCTATATACATGACATACGTTACGCCTTTACATTACAATACGGTTCAACCTAATCTATATAGAGGATCCTATCCAAGAGAAATCAATTTCTCTTTTTTGAAGACGTTACAATTAAAAAATATTGTTTCACTGACTCCCAATCCATTAGATGAAACAGTACAACATTTCTGTAATGAAAACAATATTAAAATGATACATATAGAATGTAATACCAAGAAAAATCTGAATAAGATCAAAGATAAAAATAAAAGTTCTAAAGAAGTTAAAGTCAAGAGAAAGAAGAAACCGGTTCCTATAGATTACAATGTGGTAATTAAGACTATTACTTTCTTAGTGGATAAAAGGAATTATCCAGTTTATATCCATTGTGAAACTGGTGACCTAATAACTTCTTTAGTCATTGCATGTTTGAGAAAATTCACATATTGGAGTACAGTATCGATCCTTAATGAATTTCTGATCTATAATTCAAGTATTAATGTCTATGAGAGAGATTTTATTGAAAATTTTAAATCTGAAATTGTGATTGAGGGATTAAGTCTAGAAGATAAAGTACCTTGGCTAAGTGTTCAGTTTATTAAAAAAAATAGTGGTAGTAATAATAATAAGAATAATTCAATTGAGAAAAGTAGTCAGAATAATGACAATAAAGAGAGTGTTACTGTAAGCGGAGTTCCAAGTATACTACCCAAACTGAAATTTCACAGTCTTTAAAACGTATAGCATTTAACTTCTTCTCCTCCCCTTCTTACTTTAACTATAAATATATGTACTATTATACCATCAATTATAAATATCTCTCTTTCTGTAAATTCGAATAACTTGGACCTGCTAACGTACTATAAAAAGATCATCGGAGTTATTAATAAAAAAAAGAGAAAAATTACAGAAAATGAATTAGATAGGAAATGACCAACATAGTAGTAACTATTACCATGGTACATCTCAGACTAATATAAGTTATCTATCGATTTATATATTTCTCTGTGTATGTGTATCTATATATAATGCTTCCATATATCTAAGCTGTGTAGCGGAAGATAAGAGGCAAGCACTGAAGCAAAAGTTATGATTGTGACGGTATTTGATATAAATAAATATGCTTTAATGCCACATCAAACACATGCAATTATCTCTAAAAGAGAAGGTGAAATGATAACCAACACTATTACATCTATGTTAGAGGATTCATATTGCATGGATTTTGAAACTTTAAACTATATGACCAGATTTTATACAATGGACGATTTTGGTAAACTCATATTTAAAAGAAATCAACACAATAGATGTGGATATCCATTATGTAAACAGCTGTTATCAAATACATCTATAGGATTAAATAATTGTGGGTCCTTGGATAGTTATTGTGACGAATCACATTATGATTATACTAATTTTATTATCTCACAATTATACGACATACCAATCTATAAAAGAGGCGGTATACATTTGATAAACAGATATGATTTAAATAAAGTGAATAGAGAGAATGACTTTTTTCAAATAAAGCTATTGGAAGAAATTTTACAGGAGAAAAATACAGAATATGATTTGGATAAAATGACTGATGAGCTAAACAATTTTGAATTGAAACTTTGACACTATTCTTCACCTACATACATGTTTATATACCTTCGTTTTTATTTGTCAAAAATCTATACACAGTCATCTTTCAAAATGTAATAAAATGATTGTCTTTTAGAATGGTTATTAAATTGTTCTCTTTATTCCTATAAAATGGACTGGTAGAAGGAATCCTTTCTATTATCATCTTCTCAAATCTTTCCTTCCTTTTCCAATACATATTTTCGGCTTCCTTCTTATAATAATCATATTGACCACCGTCAATCAATCTATTCTTTTTGAAATCTTCGAAATATTGGCTCCTCTTTCTGGAATCTTGTTCAATTTTTTCAATCACCATTTTTAAAGGTTGTAACCATTCATTTACAAGTGGAGATAACTGACTATTACCCTTCAATTTCATATACTTATCTAACGTTATATTGTTATCCTTTTGCGCTGTTTTATTATGTAAGCAATTACTATTTGTATCTATCATTTGTTCCCATTTGGCTTCTTCTACAGCCCAAAATGCATGAAATCTATGGCATAAATCAATAGAATCTATCTCGGACTGATGCCGACGTCTAGTCTCTCGAATTATTCTTCCTAAGCCCTTGGATTGGTTTTTATGCTTATTTACTGCTGATCTGACAAACCAGATTTTACTTTTACCCTCCATTGTATATGATAGATAGGTAGGTGGTGGTCCTTTTGCCAATTGCCTACTAATTTTGTTAATTTGTTTTAAACCATACTCATATAATACTATTGGTAATAGTAGTTCTCTTTTATATTTCTTCAAAATTCCTGTTGGTAACAACTGTAACTTTTGTTTCTTTTGACAATAATCCGATAATATGTTCATTTGAGTCTTATATTCCCTGGTATTTGTCGGATTCTCTGATGGAGTCACCCAGGGTGTCAACTGCTTCACTATATTGTGAAGAATAGCCAACTGTGAGTCCCTCAATGTTTTTGGTTTCATTTGTAATCTAGAAAGCCTCTGCTTTCTTGACTTTAATATAGTCTTAACTTCATCCAAGTTATGATCTATAATATTATTATTTAATTCATTTAGATGTTTCAACTGTGCATAAATGGTCCATGATGATTTTTGATTCTTAAACCTTCGTATTGTTGTATTTAATTCATTTTTAATAGCATTGGCAAACCCAATAGAATACAGATTATGATTAATGTTCCTTAAGACATGTCTATATAGGGTTAAAACCGATTTACGATGAGCCTGTAAACTACTGAAATGTGACATAACCTTTATTCTCGTTTTGTCTGTCACTTAAACCGTGGTCTACGTTCTCTTCCTAAGACCTACAATATATTTTTATAAAAATACTTTTGAAGTGTTTGTTATATACACACTTTAATGATAGGTAACAACCTATTTTCTTCCCATTCTTGTAATTGGTTATTTTGGTTTTTATTTCTTTAGAAAATAAAACAGACATTTGAGTTGAACCATATTCTCAAAATCATATAGGAATAGGTTCCTGCGAGAGGGAGGGGGAAAAGACTGAATATTTTGAAACATAGACAACTTTTAAATAAGAAAGAAATAAATTAAACGTAACTAATTAAAAAATATATAATACGACTTTATATTTACTTAATAAAAAAAATACTATATTTATAAACATCACAATTTAATTAATAACCTTCTTAGTTGACTAAAGCAGAAGCGGTAGCAGATTCGTACTTCCAGTTTGGTGGTAAAACAGCAACCTTTCTGTAGTATCTAGCTAATCTATGGATTCTAGATTCGATCAAAATTAATCTGAACTTAGCATCCTTGTCCTTTCTGTTTCTTTCCAAGTGCTTTCTGACAGAAACAGCCTTCTTGATTAAGAAGTATAAATCTTCTGGGATTTCTGGAGCAAGACCGTTGGATTTTAAGATTCTCATGATCTTGTTACCGGTAATGATCTTAGCTTGAGTAACACCGTGAGCATCTCTCAATAAAACACCAATTTGAGATGGAGTTAAACCCTTTCTGGCGTATTTGATGATTTGTTCAACGACAGCTTCAGAGGATAATTTGAACCAAGCTGGGGCATTTCTGGAGTATGGAATAGCAGAAGAGGAGATACCCTTACCCTGTTTAAAAACAAAACGAAAATAAATACACAGGCGCAGACAAAATGACCATATATCATTAACATTCGCCAAAATCAAATTTTGTTAGTCAAAAAAAGAACTCACACCTCTTGAAATACATGAAATACTTAATATCAATAAGACAAGATCCACATCAGCTTATGATGACAAATACAAAAAAACTATTTACAAGATCACAGTCAATCTCAAGATATCTTTTCCCTTTCTTTATCATCTATTAGCTATTAAAAGCATACCCATTTTTTCTAAGAACATCACCAAAGAACACATCCATTATTGCCCTTCCCGAATCAGAAAATGAATAACAGATATGACTTCTAGGCTGGGAGTTAACAGGAAGAGCTCTGTAGTACTTCTACACCCTCTCAGATTTTACTCCACTAATAATACTAGAAAAATTGGAATCACCCAGCTACTATATCGTGACAAAACCATTAAGAAAATGGTTACTTGTCAAAAAAAGAAAGATAAAAACAATCTTTTTATTATGATATAGACCGGCAAAAAGTCAACTGATTGAACTGTGATCCTAAATAGAAATTGCACTGTAGCAACATTAATACGATATGAATCTCTCATCCCATCGATATATATCCATATAAACTAAAAATAATCAATGAATAAACATACGGAACTGTGCATACGACCCATGGTGACTGATTAATTTATTGATGGTTTGCTGAGCTATTTTGGACGAGCAGTACAAGTAAAAACAAGCAGTATCGAAAATGGCTCAGGAGGATAAATACGCTAAGTGCATCAACATCTTCTTTAAATATATTAAGTTCTTCGAAAAAAACATTGTAATCTCCCTCTTTCTCTTTCTCTTTTTTTTTTTTCTTGAATTTTTCGAAATTTTTAAATGCTGTTGCGTGGTTCTTTTTAACTTTTTTTTTTTATTTTGTGGGACTGTCTACTTTCCTAAAATGGAAAACGAGTTAAAAAAAACCAACAAATCTTCAAAAAGAAAAATGTTAGTTTTTTTTTTGGTTCGAACATGAAAGGAAAGAAAAAGAAAACAGTCCTGGAAATTTGTTGCTAAGACACTTTCAATTGACAGAAAATGGTTTTTTTTGTATATTCTATAAGTAAAGCAAATAAGGAGATAAACAAAGTATTTAAGAATTATTCACGATACTACATACAGCATATGATACCTGTCGATCTATCTACGTGTTTCAATCTCACAGACTAGTTCCTCAACTTCGTCATCGTCCTCCAAACCCGATGTAATTTCGATAGTTTTAGAGGGCCCGCATAAGTTTTTAACCATTTCCAAAGCACCTGCATATAACATTTTCCATTCAGAAGATACCACTGTTAACGGTTTCCAATATAGTAGAATCAATGGTGTTTGTTTGATCCCGTCTTTGTTCGTTAAAGGGTAGGCCGTTAAAACAAATCTTGGTGCATTATCCGGTAATATCTCTGATAGATCACCTAGCTCATTCAAATCTTCGTCGAGCTCCTCTTGTTCCTCTCTGTCAACAACAATAGCATAAGATGGAGATGGTTCAATCTTGATGGGTAGACACTTTATTTTTTCAGATCTGGACGTAGAAATTCTGAATTTTTGAATTGTCTTTTTAGTGTCTTCTGACACCTTATATAATGAAGCCATTTTTACCCTTCTCTACTATATATATTTTTAATGGTAAAAGGATAAACACTATCGATAGTTTATCCTATCTATTTTTCTATATATCGTTGAGTCTCGACACTAACTCAAAAGTGGAGTGGTTTGAAGGTTTCCTACAGTGTACCCTACACTTTAATATCTTTTTCCCTTGTATTTACAAGATTTTTCATTCTTTTATGCCATGTAATGGATTTTTTTTTCCTTTGATCCTCCCCCCTTTTGATTCTCCTTCCTTTTCCCTACTAAAATTGTTGAACTGTCTTTCAAGCTTATATAGATAATTGCACATTATAATGAATAATGCTATGTATTAGTTTATTCATTTGATCAGCATCATATAATATTAACATAAATTAGCAATAGTATATATATCTATATATATATGTGAGTTCTAAAGAAATAAAGAAAAAAATATATATTAAAAGGAAAATAAAAACAAGCAAACAAGTTCAATCTATCTAACACACAAAATATTTATCATCTTTACAGTCCTCTGGCGTTCTCTTGATAACTTCTTCAATGTCCCATCTCTGTACTTTACCATCCCAACTCGATTTACCAGAGTTTAATTTTAAATTTAACATCTCGCCAACCTCATTGACGTGACGTAAAACATAATCAATATCTTCCTTTGTCAATGATGCAGACATACAGAATCTGACACGTGATTCAATTAATGGTGTGGCTGGATATGCTACAATAACAACAGCGATGTTTCTTTGCAACATGATTCTTGAAAACGCAGGCATCTTAGATGGACAATACAATAGCATTGGAATCACAGGCGAATCTGCATTACCATATACTATGAACCCTAATCTTTGCAAACCAAGTCTCAAATAACGTGAATTGAATGCAATACGTTGTAATCTTTCTTGTCCTTCACCTGGGTTTATATCACCGATAATAATCTTCAATGAAGATATAATCTGTGCTAACACAGGTGCAGGCATTGGTTCAGCATAATTTGGTGTAGTCAAATCAAGCCTTAATCTGTCAATAATCCACTTATCACAAGCAATATATCCACCTGCAGCACCGAACGATTTTGTTAAAGTACCCATCAAGATATCGATATCATTTGGATCCACACCAAATAGATCACATACACCACGACCATTTGGACCGATGGCACCAATTGAATGTGCTTCATCAACGTACAAATAGCATTTATATTTCTTCTTTAATTCAATTAATTTGGGCAAATTACATAACGTGCCTTCCATTGAGAATAAACCTTCAACACAAATCAAGATTTTCTTCCATGGACGATTAGTCTTTGGTTGGCCCAAAACGATCTGTTCTCTAATCAATTTCTCTAAACCTTTCATATCACCGTGCTTAAAGACTCGGACTGTGGCACCCGATAATCTAACACCTGTTCTAATGGATGTATGGTTTAATTCATCGGAGATAATTAAACATTTAGAATCTAAGAATGCATTAAAGAAATTTGCATTTGTCCCATACCCCATAGAAAATAACATTGCGTCTTCTTTACCAACAAATCTTGCAATCAAACGTTCAGCCTCCCTATGTAAATCAGTGGTGCCAATTTGAGTACGTGGGCCACCAGGGTTGATACCATATTTCTCAACGGTTTTGATGGCATAATCAGTGCATTTCCCCTCACTTTGAGCAAAACCAAGATAATTATAGGAGGAAAGGTTCAAACACATTCTTGTAGTACCAGGATAAGTGAAGTATTCATTAAACTTATGCGATACTCTATTAATACATGTAATGAATCTACCAGGGACACCAGTAGCTGGCCTAGAAAAACAATCGTCAATTCTCTTTTTCAATCTTCTAACATAGAAACTTTCCAAGACAGAATACCATGGTGCCATACCATCCTTCTCGATTAAATCAGTGTACTTATTTTTTTGAAATCTTATACCTAAGAAATCATGAACATGACCAAAAATAATTAATATTAAATAGTTGACATAAGTTATGATTGAAATATAATAAGGTGGTGTGTCTATCACAGGATCTGGAATCTCTTTCCCTTCAAATGATTTAACTTGATGTAAATAAGTTTTACTAGTTAAAGTACCAAATTCATTTTCTCTTTTTATTTCTATTGGTAAATTTGGAGGAGTAATTAATGGGACGTGAGTTGGATCACGTTTATCTTCTTTGAAAGGCATTCTTATTACCTATCTTTTTTAATATTTTTGAGTATTTTTTTTAAAAAAGTTTTAATTAATCTCTTAATTTCCTGTTGCTAGGTTTATAGATAATTATGTTCTTGTTGAGCTGATAGAATAGAAGATCTTTTATGAGAAAAGAAAAAAATTTAGATAAGCAATCGATTAAGTAAATGGACGGGCTGAAACACAGAAGGCAACAATGGATTATCTAATGAAAGAAAGGAAAAAAAAATAATAAAATAAAAATCAGATTATATTTATCTGTTATTATCAGTTTAATTATGTAGTTCGGCAACCTACTATGCTGCCAATATTTATAATCCAAGTATTAACTTGATTTTTTTTTCTTTCTTCTTCCAACTGGCTAAGCCAACTAAAGTTCGATTTTATATGGTTTTGTGCTTTATGAATAGGCCAAACACAGATATAGAACGATTTGACATAGTTTTTTTTTTCTCTCTTCCTCTATTTGTTTTTTGGTCTTTTATTTTCTATTATTTTACGAGGGAGAGAAAATGGTTCTGCGAGAATTTGTCACTAAAGATGGTGGAAAGAGAAAAAAAAATGTACGGGCTTTTTAAGAGTGCTAATTCGTTGATGAGCTCTTTTTCTCTCTCTTTCTTTGTATACATATCTACATTTATACATATATATCTGTATATGTGTGTGTGAATGGTAACGATGAAAGAAAATATGATACTGATCGTGTAGTGTAGCGGACAGTAGTTGGTGGGTAATAGCTGGACCAAGAGATATTAGAAACGCATAATAAGATTATTGAAATTGTATGTAATATGAGTATTTATACATGTTTACTTCTCTACATCCCCAATTATATATTTGCCCGGTTCCATTAATTTAATAAAATGGTCACATTTAGGTGTTTCACTAGCTACATGTGCAATAACAAGAACAGTACCTGGCCAAGATTCTAAAAATTCATGACAACGCAATACTGGTTCTACTTCCATACCAGAGAACGCCTCATCCAGGATTAACACCTCAGGCATCTTTACCAAAGCTCTAATAAATAACACTAGTTTTTGTTCACTAACAGTTAATTGTTCAAATACTTTTTGATCTGTAATATGTTGAATTCCAAAGTAATCTATGTACATATTAATAATCTCTTGTTTTTCTTTGTCCAATTTCTTCCACATCGGAATAAAATTGTTTGCAGAACCTTCATGGAACCCAGATGATATACATTCTCTAACAGTTACACCATCATTGATTTTCTTTGCAAAAATCACATGTAATTCAGGTGATGACATACCAATTCTTTTATTAATGTCGAAATAATTTGATTTACCTGTTCTTCTCTGCTGGCCATTTTCAATAACCTTGGAATTCCATGATTGAGGGTGTTCTGCTACTACCATAGATAGTAAGGTTGTCTTACCTGTTCCATTATCTCCTCTAATATGCCATTTGGCTCCCTTCTTTACTACCCATTTCAAGTCTTTTAATACAGGTTCTCCCTTGTATGAAACATTGACACCTTTAAATTCAATACTAGCTGGCACTTTAAAAAGTTCATGTTTATCCTTGCCGTAAAATGGGTGTGCTGATATTAAGTCATTAATGGAATATTTATTTGTCTCAAGTAATTTCCTTTGACTAATTTCAATCTGTTTTTTAGTTTCAGTTTGTAAGGATTCAATTTTATCCCGAACTTGTGATATTGCACCTTGAAATAAAACACCATATGTTTCATCCACTGTCACTATATGATCACACCAACTTGGAATTGAATCCTGGTATCTGAGTCCAATAATCACAGGGATATTAAGATCTTCTCCACATTTAGCCAAAAATTTAGATATAATGGAACTAGCAGTTGAATCTAATCCTAAGAAGGGATCGTCTATAATTACCAGATCTGGCTTCTTCAAAAATGCTTTCGCTAATCTAGCACGCCTCATCTGTCCATTAGATAAACCCATAGCCCATCTGTTTTGTAACTCGGTTAACTTTAATTCATCTACCAACTTCTCATATAAGGACATGTCAACATGACGATTAGTTGTTTCCACAGAATAACTTACATTGTTAGATCCAATAGAGTTATCTAAAATGAACTGCTTACAAGTCTGGTCAAATTCATCTTTGAAGTATTCATAGCGTGCGCCTAAATGTGCTGTGGGAATAACACCTTTAAATTGAACTTGTTCGATTTTAGGCTCTTTTGAAATAATCCAACGGAATCCCAAAGGTGGATCACACAAAAATTTGTTGCTTAAAATATCAATTAATTTTGATTTGCCTGGACCCCAAATGACCCATTTTTCATTTCTATTAATCGTCAGATTTTGTATTGGAACCTTGAATACAGGAGGCGATTTTTTATTTAATGAAGATCTGAAAAGAGCATTAGATATTTGAAGAATCAATCCATTACCCCTCGACATTACTAAGGTCTATTTGCAATTCGTCTCAGAAAACTGGTATCACATCGAAAAGTGATTAATACAGATATCATCTGAAATAAAAAGTATTTACGAACAATCATATAAATATTTATCCACACACACACATATATATATATATATATATATATATATATATAAACGGATAATTGATACAACTTTGCAATATTGCTAAAAGAGATCGATGGGTTAAGACTGACTCATTAGTTCTAGAGAATTATTGCTTCTAAAGAATCTGCAAAAAAAAATTTAGATGATCTCCAAAAGAGAAAAGAAAAAAGAAACGAACAGGAAAAAGAACCGAAAAAAAAGCAAATCGAAGATATTCCAACAGTGATAAAAGTATAAAGTTCGTAGAAGGCTCAAAACATATGAGTTCATGCTGTTTAAGTTCTTGAAGAAAAAGTAAAGATAGGATATAAAATCTTCAACTACAACACGCATTCTTTGCAAATTAATATTCGATTCATTCATTATGTTATTTTTTTCTTTTTTTCAAAACTTTGGTAGATCAAGAAGTGGTTGTTCAGGTATGTGTTAATAAAATAGATAGTTGAGAGTGATAGATAATAGAGATTTACTAACATTTATTCAATGTGTCCTTTTATAGTTGGTTTCTTTTTCTTTTATCTTTGAATATGCTTCATTCCTTCATTAATATGATTCTTCAGGTAATGCTGAGCTTTGATATGGTGTCGAGGAGAATAAGAATATGCATGTGGTGAACAGTATTACTACAAGCTTAAGAAACTAAGGATAGAAGTGACAATTTGATAAAAATAAACTTTTGACAAAATATTTGTTGTCTATTTCTTTTTTTTTTTTATTTTTTGTTAGTTAAAGAATGATATTGAGATAAAGGGTATTTTGCAATCAGTGGATCAATTTTTAAATCTTAAATTAGATAACATTTCCTGTACAGATCAGACTAAATATCCACATTTGAGTTCAGTAAGGAATATATTTATTAGAGGTTCCACAGTAAGATATGTCTATTTGAATAAAAATATGGTAGACACCAATTTATTACAAGATGCAACAAGAAGAGAAGTTATGAGTGAAAGAAAATAAGATGACTAGGATGGTATATGTAGGGGAACAAGTAAGACTACATTGTATTAAAAAAAAAAAAAAAAAAATAAAAAAAAGAAAAAAACAATATTTTCATGAATATATAAGTCTATGTATATGTGTGTATAGATATATGTGTCTATAATTTGTATTTTAATATTAAGAGATGTTGTTGCTAATGTATATTATATAGTCGTTTGTCACAATGTGCTCTTGTATGACCAGGCTGGTTACAGAAAGAACATGGAATTTTGTTCTTCTTCTTTTTTCTAGTTTTTTTTTCCGGTTTGTTCTTATCCACTAAGGTATCATCATAGACATTATTACCTGTGGTATATTCTTTCTTTACAGGTATCAAAGCAAAAGACTGACCATCCTTTTCAATGATGTCAATCTTATCTTTCAACAAAGCATCTAATTTAGTTGTATCCACAATTGTGTTGATATTTGATTGATCATTCTCGTTCAATTTTAATATTAGATTAATTAAAGTGTTTAAATGGTGCAATCTATTATTGTATTCAGTTTCTATGTCTTTATTTATTGTTTCAGTTTGTTTCCTTCTTGCAATTATCAATTTAGCTATAGAATCCAGTGCATTTGACATCTTTATGATATCATTATTGGATGCATCATGCTTGTTTGTTCGATCTTTACCTTGTAAACCATCTTTTTGACTTGAATGTTTGTCACTATTCATAATTTCTAGATTATATCCATATATGTGGTAATATGTGTGTGTTACTTTTCTATTTTAAAGAGTTAACGAAAAAAGGAAAAAATTTTTCAAAATTCCAAGTAATATTTTATATTCAATCTTCTATTGTGTTGATGGTATTTTCTTTATCTGCCATTCAGTATAATACTAATAATATTTTTTTTTCTTAACCTGTTAGTGCTACCCTTTGTGATTCTGTCTTTTACTCGTTATTCTTATTACATTTTAGATAATATTAATTTTTTTTTCTGTTTTCGTTTTTGCTATAGTACCAAATATCATATCACACGAAAAGCACGAACTGCTGATGAAATCTAATAAAATCAAGAAACCTCATTAGAGAACATGATGAAATTTTGCATATTCTGGAAGCTAATGACAACTGCTTATTGTAATTATGTTTTTAAACCATTGTTTGTTCTGTGTTTTCCATATTTTTTTTATCAAAAAAAACAACATTTATACTACTTAAATAACTTTCTTTCATGTATATATATATTGTATATAATATATTCTTCTTATTTAAATTCTCTATTTGCGCTCTCTTGAGTCACGTGATTGATCAATGCATTACTCTATAAAGAGGAGTTTTTTGTCTTGGTTACTCGTGACTGTAATGGTTGAGGGGACGCAGGTGGTTGGCGTGGACTGCCCGGCTTGGGAACGAATGTTCCTTGCGGTCGGCTGTGGGATTTGCTGTCTGCCTTTGCTCCTGTTCGGGGGTGGGGTGGATTTCTAGATTAGCGTCTAGCGGCACCACGGTCTGGGCCCTGTGTTCTTCGGAGCGCAGGGTCATCTTACTCCAATGGGGTCCTTTTGATTAGGACGTGTTCCAGTAAATCGAGCTTGGCGAGTGGCTCTGGCTTAACAGCGTGAGAAATCCGTTGATTTGGGTCGATGCCGTAAACTAGCAAAGTAACCTCTTTTCTTCTGTGAGTTGTGCTTACGTTTCGTACGTTGTGCGGTCTCTTCAGAAGGGGAGTATATGGGCTTCAATGTAACTGCTGTTAGGGGAGCTTTATCCAGCGATGGCAACATTGACTCGTTAGGAGGCGACTGGAATGGCACAGTTCGCTAATCGGGATTTCTATTAAAAAAGTTGGATACTCAGACAGTCAAAGCTGCGTAAGTAGCGGCCAGTCACAAATTCAAGAATTGGCGGACCCCATGTCTCTTTTTATCTTTTAATTTTCATTATGATGGTGGTAATTTTGTGGCTGGAAGCTTCAAATAATTGTTTTTGGCTCTTCTTGTTGGTCCCTTCTGCTCTTAACACAGTTGTCTCACTTATTTTAATGTATACTTAACAGAAGGAGATCTTAACAACAAACGATTCACAATCAATTCTTCATACATACATACATACATATATATATATATATACATTTTTGATGAATAATTGTAAAAATATATTATTTTATCTTGTTAATGTGAAGTACTTTCGACCTGATTAGAATTAAGAGGATTGTTCAAAAAATGATTTTATATCATCTTCCCTAACAACCTTGCCTGTATCAGCAAATGATTTTAAAAAATTATTCAGTTTCGATTTTAGATTATGGAATGCTACAATGTTCTCTGCCACTTGATCTCTATTCTGTGATGCTTGTAAAAAGTCTTTTGTTAATTGGAAAATGTCAGTCTCATTCTTTTCTTCTTCTTCTTCGCATGGTTCGTATATTGGATCATCATCAATTAAGAATGGAACAATTCTGTCTAAAAATAGATACAGTTTTTCATCTTTGCCTTTAATCGACTCTTTGATACTTTTCAAAGTTTTGGAATAATCTTTCTTAAGAAATAAAGAATAATATTTGCATGTTTGAGAATTATTCATTTCGTTAAAATCACGTTTCTTTGAATTATCTTTTATATCTTTCTGAACATTTATATTAGGGTCACCATGAAATAACTTTTGACTGAATAGTTTCTCAGCTACCTCATGAGATAGTAGTTTACTGAAATAGTATGTATATTTAGATATACATTTCCAGCAGATAAAAGAATCAAAGCTTTCTAGATTTGGGAAACCATCTGGAGCCTCCTCTAACACTTCTCGATCCTCTTCACTTTTTCTTCTGATTACCTCCTCATTTTTTTTCCCCATAATACAATAATCATGATACCAATCTTCATCACACTCCAATCCCAAAATACATTGTAACATAACTGCAGGCGAATCTGGGTCATATTCCTTAGAACAACTACAGAAAAGCCCTTGGAAATTTTGATTGTATACATTATCCGACGCCGATACATCATCAGACCTATTTTTTCTAAGCTCACATCGAATTTGGTCATGGCCTTCAACTCGATTATCTCTATCAGTGCCACAATCACACGTAAAATGTCTCTTGGTAAATAATTCCACAATATCACAGCTTGTATGACATAATATGGAACAAGAATAACATATGCCAATATTATTATGTGTTCTGCATGCAAATATTTGTTGTCTGATTGGACCTATGTTGTAAGTACATTTTTTCGGAGTCCATGGCATTAACTCTTTTGCTTCCTGTTCTAACGCCAACTGATTCGATATATATTCAGTTACTGTTAAGTCATCATTTTTTAATAACATGGTAAACCTGATTATCTTGATTTACAGGAACTGTACTTATTTTTTTTTTTTGAGAAAAATAGATCTAAGCCTATATATTTTCTCCATTCATACAAACAGCTCACGAACCATGTAAAATACATGGAATTATCACTATTGATCCGAGTATAAGCTTTTTGTTTTGGTTCTTCAGATATTTTTTTTTATTTCTGGTGTTTGGCAATGTTAGTAAAATTCATAAAAAAAAAAAAGAGATTATTCGCTTTGAATGATAAATCTTACAGTATTGTACACTTTAAATATATAAAAGAGTTTATATAGAAAAAACAGCTCTAGTTCGCTTTTGAAACCATAGCTTCTGTTGAACATTATTTACTTAGCCACAGCTTCAACTTTGGTTTCATTATCATTAGTAGAAATCTCCTTTGGTTTTGGGGCTTTTGCATTGTCTTTAGCAGTGGTTTCAATGTTAAAGATTCTGTATAATAATTCATGTGAATCTTCTTTAGAAACCATCAAGTTCATACATTTGGTTCCTTTCCAAACAGGTAAAAATAAGTCTTCTCCATCTTGTCTTTCAAATTTAATAAAGGCACAACCAGAACTTAATTTCTTGATATCTTCCAGGAATTTATTATCCACATTTTTGGCTTCTAAGTCTTCAATCTTAGGGAATGAATCAGTTAATAAAAGTTTCAACATATCCAAGTTTGCTGATACAACTCTGCTACCACTCATGTGGTGTTTCATAATTGGTAATGATTCCCCTTGTATTCTCCATGAACATTCAATATCACTTCTTTGAGACACAAATAACTTAACACCTGCATAAATTATCTTTAATCTATCATCGTTGGCTTGGATAATATCTCTTAATGAAGGGGAAACTGTATAAATAACTCTTGTTGGTTCACCAGTGGCATTACGAACCAGACATGTATTTCTGTCAAAGTTATCATCAATACCATAAAACTTCCAACAAGATTCAATGGCTTTGTGATTTGGATCAACAAAAATGAATGGTTCTTCGTTTGCATCACGTGGCAATCTCTCCTTCTTCTGTGGAACTACAGCAGCCTCATCGTTGCTTTTAATTTTCTTTTCATCCGACTTTTCAGTGGAGTTATCAGGTAGTCTTTTCTTGTCGTCATTCTTTTCTAAATCGCCAATCTTCTCAAAAACAGTGATAAAGAAACCACCAGTATTTTGTTGATGTGGGTATACTCTCATACAGTTTTGTAAATTAAACTTAGAAACTTCTTCGGCACTTGGTGGGAACCAACTATCTAATGTATTTTCATCCCCTTTAGTTCTGGGTTCCATGTTTCTATTAATAACAGGCCATGAAGTGATACCTTGACTTCTGATAAGACCAGGTAATTGATCATCACAATTAACTAATCTGATGGAATCACCCCATTTTCTTAAAGCTTCGGCTACAACAGCTTCATTTTCAATTGGATTTAGGGAACAGGTGGAATATACTAATCTACCACCATTCTTCAAAAGGTGTAGACCACGATTCAAAATATTGAATTGGACTTGATGTAAACCAAGACCACTTTGAGCGTTCCAATCCTTCCAAACATTGACATTCTTTCTCATCGTACCATCACCAGAACATGGTACATCACATAAAATTCTATCAAACTTTAACAAGTCAACTTTTCTATCAGACCCAGGTACAGTCTTGATACGTGGGAAAAATTGGGCATCATGATTGACTACCATTAAATTGGCGCTATTTAAACGTTTTAGTTGATGAACTAACATATGAGATCTCTTAGCATCTGCATCATTAGCCACAACAAACCCGGTTGGTTCATCAGAATCCGCATGTAAAGCTTCAATTAATTGAGCAGTCTTCGAACCTGGAGCGGCACACATGTCTAAAACAGTGTGATGAGGTTTAACACCTAAAACGATAGGTGGGATCATCGAGACTGCTTCTTGTCTAGAAATATTACCAACTGCATTTTCTATAACAAGGAATCTTTGTGTCTTTGCAAATTGTTCATTCTTTCTGATAACGGTCTTTGGAACGTCCAGTTGCCAAGCTAATTTATTTGGATACCAATGCAATTCCAATGGGGTCCTTAAAACTTCACCTTCGTAGGTTACATTGGTTAAATTAGGTAAATGTCTTTCTCTGAAAAGGTTTAAAACTTCTTGAGCATGAGCTCTAGAACCTGTAATTCTGAAAGTTAATGGCAATGGAGTTTGACAAGTCTTTTTAAAACTTTCCCATTCATTATCTGGGATAACATCTAAAATATCGTGGTAGTATTGTTCCCATTTAGCATTTTCTTTAACTAAATCATTCCAGTGATTTTGAGCTCTGCTATCATCACGAGCACCAAAAGTCTTCTTGTTGCCGTTTTTCTTGTTATTTCTTCTTCTAGCCATACTTCTTGATATTCGAGACAATATCTTGAGTGTATACACAAATAATTGAAAAGCTTTTAAGAGTGTATGAATCTAGCAGATGATACCAACAAAAAAGAACTATAGAAAGCTTTCTGCTATTTTTCGACTCATCTCGTGCTGTGATTCATTTTGAATTTATTCTATTTAATTGTATTCAACTTTATTAGTTTTTTTTTTTGGCGTCTAAAATTTTCCAGAATTTTTTATGGAAAGGGCACTTGGGAAATTTATGAACAAAAAGAAGGGTAATATAGAATATTATCATTTATTTCTGGTGCATTTTTAATTTTTGTATAGGGTGTAAGTTGGTTTGTATCATCTTCTTTTAATTCTCTTCACTGTAAAGACAATAATGAATAAATATATAAATAAGTAAGATAAACAAAAAGGAATTGTGGAGACTTTGTTAGTGTTGATATCTAATAACATATAAGGTTCTGCTGCAGTGTTTTTATAATTATTAATATATAAATTATTAGAAAGATTAAAAGAGTGAGTATTTATAACACTATCTTAAATAGATGTAAAAAATCTATTCTCTGTTAAAAAATGAAAGGCACACACTCCTCAATTGTTTAGTTTATTCGAGTTGTGTTTTATGTAGAATTCAATAGAGTTTATTCAAAAATAAAAAATGTCTATGCTACTTATAAGGAGGAACTCAAAAAGTATATTCAATAGTATAACAAAACCATATTTGTAATACATGCTCTGCATTCTTTTTACAGTGGACATTTTTTGTGCAGATAATTAATGATTGTTTACTGTATTGTTATATTCATATTAAAGCTTTCATTTACTTATAAAGTAACTTGAAATTATGTCCAAAGGAATTACCAATAATTGTAATACTGAGAAAATTATATGATAAATGATTATTTATAAAAAAAATAGTGTCTTTAATAGGTAATAATCAGTTATAATATATTTTGAATAATGTTTTTTTAATATTTAATTGTAACCTAGGTTATTTATAACAAAAAAAATTTTTAAAGTCCTTAACATTTAATACTATATATATTCTTAAGAACAAGAATAAACTTATTATTATTTAACTAACTCTCTTTTTATTCAATACTTTATTAACTACAGCTTTTAAATAGTTTTCCTTTTTACATAGCTATAAAATCTGATGTTATAACAGTAGAAATTACTGTATTTACTAGTTACGAAGATAGATTCATACTTTTGGGATATTATTGAATGTCAATTCAGACAGTCATAAACAATTTTTTTTTCAGGACTTATTATCATTGTAACTTTATCTTACTAACAAAAATTTTTAGAAGGTAGAAAGACTGAAAAAAATCTTTCTTGGTTTAGCCGTTTCTGGTAATAATCAGTGCTATAGCATGATTTCTTCGAGAAGAGAAAGATAACTTGGCCCTTGAGTAATGGAAATGTATCACTGCATAAACATATGAGTATATATATGTATATATATACATATATATGTGTGTGTGTTTAATAAACACCCCATAAAAAACAAAAACTGAATATCACTTAGTTGAAGTTTCTATAAATAGTAAAAAATGACAGTTACTTATCCAGAAGTTGCAGCATTTGATTTAGATTACACCGTATGGCCTTGTTATTGTGACACTCACTTATTTCCACCTTTTAAACCTATTAAGAGTGCAAATGGAGAAGTGTTAACCGTTGAAGATACACGTGGTTTCAGATTAACACTCTACAAAGATATATCCAGAATTATTTTAGACTTAAAGGAAAACGGTGTGACAATTGTTTCAGCATCAAGAACTTGGGCTCCTGAGATTGCTCAAGAGTTAATGGGTGTTTTCAAAATTAAATATAATGGCAGATTAATAACTTTAGGTGAATTATTCGATGCAAGTGAATGGGGTGAAAGAAGTAAAGTTGGCCATTTAAGAGATGCAATGAAAAGTTTATATGGGGATGATGACTTAAGAAAATATAAAATGTGTTTATTTGATGATGAGAATAGAAATAAAGATGTAGAAAGATATGGTGTCAAATTTATTGAAGTGAAAGATTCTGAAAATGGACCTTCTTGGAAATTATATCAACAATATCTTTCCTCATGATAAAATATTGTAATAATAAAACATATTTATTATGTTTCTCCATAATTCAACTAAATTTAGCTGGACTATTCCTTTAAGTTATTATATCAATAAAAGATCAGATGGAATTTTGATAACAAAAGAGAAAAAAAGGATACAGAGAATGAATAAAAATTATAGTATTATAAAAATATAAAAGAATAGTAATTATGTTTATCGTTATTTCTTAAATTTAGAAGTTTTCTTATAAAATTCTAATTTCTAGGTTTACTTTTTTAAAGTTAAGGATAATTGAAAAGATATTTGTATTTTTCATATAGGTTAGAGATTTTTTTAATATTATTGAGAAAATAGAAGACAATATATAGAATATATGCATGTATTGAAGGTTACTTCTATATAATATATACCTTATTTTTCAATGGAATTATGTTTAGATACGCTGGTATGTGAATGTAGGTACAGCAGGTTTAAAATCAACCAGTATCATTATTTTATACAAATTATTAGATATATGTTATGGCAATATACAAACGCTTCTCAGAATTGAGGACGAATTGTCAGTTGTACACTATCGGATCATTATTTTAGAGGCACATAGTAACAAAATATCAGCATGCTTACTTACTATAACTCTATAATAACAAATAGCCAATATAAAACTAGAATTTTCAAGTGTTATTATATAAAATGCTATTTATATTGATAACACTTTTTTAACATCTACAGCTTATGAGCTACTTAGCTTTTAATATTACACTTTTAAAAGGGTATGCAATATGTTTTGCTGCTATAATAAGAGAAAGTTATAAATCAAACATATGTGTCAATAATATAGAAAATATAAACTATGAACTTTTTTCTATATACTTAACATATCTATTTTATATGTCTTCGATTATCTTAGGATGGTAGATATCGGCAAAAAACTTTGGAGGGCCTGAACTACAATTGTTTTGTATACTCAGATGGTTAATTTTTCAATTGGACAACCTTTTTTCTATTTAAAGATATTCATATTTTAAAATTTGCGTTCTTTCCAAGTCCAAAAATAAATTTTAAAGCTAAGATCTTATATTCAGTAACCTTATTTGTAGGATCATAATGAATTACTAGTTTTATATTAGATTTTTTTTTACAATGCTTACAAAATTTTAAACAAATTTCTATGTCAAATCAAATGTTCTACAATAAAACTAATAGACCAATCAGATTTGGGCATATATAAATCAATCAAAATTGTGGAGTAATCATTGTTTACTTATCGTTAAACGTTAACAAATCTGATTGGAAATTTTTGCCTTCTGTAGAAGAGGAGTAACAAATTCTAATATATATAAATCCAAGTATTTTTTTGTGTCGTACCAGTACTTAATACACAGATTTTGTATGCTGTTATTTCAGTGTTATATAGGCAAAGAAAGAATAAAAAAGTTTACGTTAATATTGTACATCTTAACTCTGTAATGATTTTAATTGAGAATGTATACAACATATCGAGTGAATAAAAGTATTAATTCTCAACACAAACATATACAGCAAAAAGAATTAATAAGAGGAATCAAGAACAGAAAATTGAGGTTATTGTATAGCTATAATTTAGCTATATTTTTAATATTATACCTGAAGATATAATGGGAGTCTATATTTCAAGTCTTGATAAGTGGATTATTATTTTTAGTTCTAACTTGACTGTTATCAGACCCTCACTGGCAAGGAATAATAAAAGTCAATGTGACAATTTTGATATTAATTACAAATATATTTTAGAAGGTTTTCAAAAGAAATAGAATAATAATGTTAAAGGATAAAAAAATTGAATAATAATAATTAGGGTATATATTTAATATACATATATATATATTTCATTTCTTGCCTATCTGTCTATAATGTTTCTTTGTTTTTTTTTTAGGGAAGTCTTGTAAAATACTATTATTATTTCGCATGTTTCTAACCACAAAAAAGCATCTTTTAAATAACACTTAGTTAAATAGTCAATGCTTAGCCAGCTCCAAACCATCATATAAGGGATTGATATAGAGTTTCAATTTTCAAACTAAAAATATAAAAAAAATAGTTTGGAACAAAATTGAAAATATACAAAAGGGATATCTAAAATCAAACTTAACTATTTGGGTTTCAATATCATGAAGTGCAGAGCCAGTTTGATGAAAATATGAAAATAAAATAGTGAAAATATTACATACAAGTCAGTCATCAGAAAATATTTCAGTAGTTTATAATTACACTAGTTAATCTCTATATTTTGCAAAGACTGTGATTAATATTAAATGGATATTACAATCATTGAAGATAATAATTGTTATAAGTGGTAAAGCAATCACTAGATTGTCTCTAATATATTAAACGGCTATATTAAGTTTGATATTTTATTTGTTTTATTTTATATATATGATATAAATTATTTAGAAGAGAGGAGTTAAAGAAGATAGTTTTATCTCCAGATAGTGTTGTCTTTTTGCATGTTTCTGACTCTCGCTTAATATTTCAATTTAGTGTATTTGTGAATCAGTAATTCATACCCTAATCGTTAATTGTGATAATTCAAAAGAGCCACGTAAAACATTTAGAATAATAGGTAATTGTAAGAGTTGTTGTATATAAATGGATGAATCATATCAATTAGTATAAGTATAAACACCCTTACATAAGCTCTATATATTACTATTTAATAACCCTGATGTTGTATTATTACCTCTTCTTGTATGATATTAAGAGTTGCCTCTTAATATCATTACTAAGATGTATTTAAATAAGATGACTACCCCTGGCATATCTCTCAATAATCAAAGGTCTCTTGACAAGATTTGATATAATTCTCACTCCCTGGAAATCCTCCAATCAGATTCAATACCTTGTACGAGCCACTGCGCACATGGCTGTACCAATCCTCCACCCAGACACTCAGATGTTACCCTCGGAATTGCGTATCTACTGGATTTCCAGTTAGGTTCCTTACAGAAATGATGAGGCAGTGACACTTAGTGAGATAGTAATATTTTTAAGTTTTAGTATTTTATGTTGTATAACAAGAACGTCTTTGATAAGAAAACATATAAATTATGTATAAGAGAGGAGTTATGGAAGATAGTTTTTTATTTTCAGAAAACGTTGACCTTTTATATGTTTTGTGAAACTCAATCAACCATTCAAATTAATAGATTAATGGATTAATAATCTAAACCTCAGTTTATTCATCGTAATAATTTGGGTGCACTAATTATAAGTGACACAGTTATTACGATTATTGGTAGTAAGTCTCAAACTTACTACCAATAATACATAATTCTAGATTCGCTCAGAATTTTATGTTGTCTTGGTGGTAATAACCTCTTTATTTTATCATGTTAACTGTTGTAATATGAAATGGTCAGATTCTTTTGTATACTTTGGGAAAGTGCAGATAATATTAACAGTTATTCAAATAATCGAGACAGTAATCAACTATAGGCGATAATATAATTACTAAAACGGTCTTATATACTGAGCGGCTTTTATGGTGCTAATATATTTATTCAAAGTTACTTCTTGTTACTTGCTTGTTGTTCTATTTATTTTTATATATAATATGTAAATTATTTACAAGAAAAGGTTATGAAAGATGATCTTTTATCTTCAGAAAACGTTGTCCTTTTATATGTTTTCTGGAGCTCGATCAATTATTCAGATTTGTACATTAATGAACTTAGTGATCCAAACTCTAATATTTATTACACTAATTCAGGTACACTAGTGAATTAGTAACTGCACCCCAATTCACTAGTTATGGTAATTAGGTGCACTACTCATAAATAGTACAATTATTATGGTCATTAGTAATACACATGGGACTCATTAAAACAATAGGTAAATTCTAGATTTGTCAGAACCTTATGTAATCTTACTGGAACTAATTTTTTTATTATACAGTATCTAATGTTGTAGCATGTTTATGAATTATTAAAACAATAAATAGTTCTAGATTCATTCAGAATCTTATGTAATCTTATTGGCCATAGAGTGGTGGTTCCTTGGCCCAGTTGGTTAAGGCACCGTGCTAATAACGCGGGGATCAGCGGTTCGATCCCGCTAGGAACCATTTCTTGGAAGTTATTTTTTACCATTGATGTGATAATCCGGAGGTTATGTGTCTCTGACAACGGTTAATCTTGTTGAAATCTCAATAATCTTTCACTTGGATAGATATAAGATATAGACTCTTTCTATATCTCTAGATATAAGATTCCTATATATCTATATATCTATATCCCTAATCTAAGATAACCTAATAGTATACACTTATATACTATATATCTAAACTTATGTAATCCTTGGTTCCTTGTACTTTATTCTTGTTCGTTATTGTTCATTGTTGTTCGTTCTTGGTTGCTCTCTTGTACTCATTTTGGTTACTCCTGTTTTTATCTATGTTTGTAAAATTTGCAAAAAGGAAAGTTTAGAAAAATATCGTCAACCCTCATTTTTCTAAACAAACCCTAAACAGTAATATCTCTGATATTACAGATTGAGTCTAGTGTATTTATTGCAATTCATGTTGTAAAATGTTTTGCAACACGTTATTGTCAGATAGCAGTACAAATCTATTAACAAATGCAAAAAATGCATTATATTAATTATTCGTTCTATGGAAGGGAGGAAGCATGACATAACATGTTTAATAAATTATCTAAATAGAGTTCTTTTCACTAAGACTGTTTCTAAAAGGTTATAATAATTATCAGTCTGAAAGTATCAAATAATTGTAATAAGATCATATAATTAATAATTTCATATATAAATATACCAAATAACATTAAATAAAAAAAAAACCTAGCATTATGATCTTGTAAACAAATTTTTTGCTTTGTATACGGATCATCAGTTGTTGGAAACAGTTATAAACAGTATTAAGCAAGAAACCAATAATTTGCAGAAGTAAAGTCAATAAGTTTGAACCACTTATCACTAAAAGTATATTAGAATAAACTCATAGCAAGTGATGGTTTTAATACTTAAAAGTTTCCTGGATTTTTTGTTATAATACATACCAAGTACAAATGTATAAAAAGATTCGTTTTAAAAATAAAATGGACCTTCTCAGTGAACATGTATATATAATGAACTTGTTTCCACAGTTCTTTTTATAACCTAATTATTATAGTATAATGTAGAGCAATTGAACAAAGGATCAAACTCATATTGTCTTTTCTTTATATAAAGAAAAAAAATGGAAATTTTGGCTCTTCTATCTTTATATATGAGCTTTTTTTATTCAGTAACGGGTGGATAATGAACAATTCTCTTTTCCTTATCTAGAGCAGTTATCGAATTCTTGTAAGACAAGAACGCATTCCAAAATATAGCAATCACATTGACCGCCAATAGTTGATGTTGCAAGGGTATAAAGGAAAAATTTATCATTTGAAATAAAGGCCATATAGTCCAGTTAACCTTTAAAGTATTCCACCATTCAACATCCAACTTTTTCTTAGCAACAGCAATGGATTGACCTTCCATTATTGTCATACAACAAAAATAAAATGGCAAGGAAATTGGAGCAAACAATATTTGATCTACTGATACTCTTAGTATCTGATTTTTCCAATGTGAATTATGTATATGTGAAAATCTTACATTGTAATGTAAAATGTTATACCATTTCTTACCAATAAAAGAAAATATTAGAGAACCATATGTAATAGCTCTTAATGTCCTTAAATAATCATAACTGGTTAAATCTTTTACATCATTATCGGAAACAATATTATAGTTGTCAGATGATGGGTATTCTGAATGTGAAAATAATAATTGAGCAACGACATCTCCAATCCCAAAAAGAGATCCAGTCATAATAGCATTAGTTATGTGAGGTCTTTTCGTTAGTGAATGCTTGTAGAGTTCTAGCAATTTAAACATTTTAACTCTTTCTTCCCTCTTTTCTTACCTAATTCCTTATTTTCATGCGAGACTAGAATAAGAGAAAAAAAAATTATATGCTAAATTCTAACTATTCATGTCTATCTGATTGATCTCTTGAGTTTTTAAATATATAAATAACTTGTAATCTAAACCATTTAGAGCAATTCGTTGTAATGTGTAATTGAAACCTTCTTTCCCCTGTTTTCTTTTCTTTTTTTCCTATTTTTTCTTCCTTGGTTTATTTTACTTCATCATTGACGTAATTGATTAGTGAAGATGCTCTAAACTTTATTCCAGAGGCTCAAACAACAAAAACCCTGATAGTGTTGAATGCTATTTTTAATAGACTACAAAAGGTATGAGTGGGACTGGACCATAACCTGGCAGTAACTTATCTTGTCTATTTCTGTTTCTATCTTTTTCTGTCCCCACTGATCAATACAGAAATGGATATAACCTTATTTTCTCTTTCTATTTAACATTAAACTTAAGATTGAATACGGTGAATTAATTTTATAAAATGGAACATAACAGGATTATAAAAGTAAAAGAAAATAGCTTAACAAGTTTAAATGCTTAATTTGGAACATTAACAAATAATATTATGCACGTATTATGCCAAATTCTACAGACGAACTTTATAAAATCTTGTCAATAAATTGCAAGAACAAACAAAGATACTTAGCCATTTGAAATAAAAAAAAAGATAATTTGCATTTTGTATCTCTGTGAATAAATAGATTATTTTTACCAATACAAGTCAGATCTATAGAATATATCCAATTATCGAACTCTCAAATCAAAAGGTCTTTGTGAGTATAACTCGTATAAATTCTAATTTTATAACTTTCTTTCCTCTAAGTTCTACTTAATAATATTATATAAAAAATTATTAACATCCGTACCAATCACGACTCTTATTACCTTTCTAAGTTCCTAATTCACTAATTATGAAGATTAATTATATCTTATAAATTATTAATTCAGCCATGCATCTTACCTATTTTCAAAAATAATTTAGTAATTTTTTTTTAACCAATCTCTTTCAGAATTACGTTGGTTATTTTCTACTTCACTATGAGTTCTAGCGATCAATACTAGAAACTATACTAAAATTGATTTATCATAATTTCGACTTACCTCAGTCTATATACGTTTTACTTAAATTACATCAGCTACACACAATAATTGTAAGTACATATCTATATTTAAACAGTGCCCTTATTTCAGCTTTCAATTAAATATTCAAGATTTGAAATTTACACTTCTCAAGGATTTTGTGGAAAAAAAAAAAGAAACAAAGGCATATCTTGAAAACAAATCTTACTGTGGAACAATAAATGCAGTAATACTATGCAAATAAAAAATAGGCACATTCATTGTCGTTATTATAAAGTTGTTTAGAGTTGTGTTTAAAGATTAATGCTTAGATCTCTAACTTCAGTTATCAAAATATCCTAATGAATACAAGATGAAAGCAAAATTGTTAAAAGACTTGGTTGTATTAAGAAAAGAGTTTCAGCAATGGGATCGAGTACTTACATGGAGTGAAGATGGGACTTTATACTTTAGTACTATTCCAGAATTTACCGTTGGCCAACCTTTATACAGTAAAGATATAAAACGGTCAAGTAAAGATTTATTTCATTTAACAAGCATTGACTTTCCAATAATGGATAATAAATTAGAATTTGAAGATTCTAAAGATAATATTCTGTTAAATTCTCAACCACAGTCTTATATCAGAATGTGCAAACCTTGCCCTTACAATAGCAGTTTAATTGCTGCAATAACAAATAATGGAAACATTATTATTTATCATGATTATAAACCAATTTTGAACATGGATCAAGAAGGAAGAAATTTACAAGAGAGAACATATCATAGTTTCGCATGGGATGTAAAGGGAAATACTCTAGCAGTTGGGAATGAGTCAAGTGAGTTAATTCTATTTTCAATTGATTATTCCACAAATACATATTCTTCTAAGACAGTGAAGCTTAGTGACGGTAATGGGTGGATTACAAAAATAGTCTGGAATAATTTTGGTCTCATTGCAGCATCTTCGGATAATACTGTGTATTTTATGCAGGATTTAGATAAACAAGAGCCTATCTCTACAATAATATTACCTTCTTCAAGATTCAAAATAAACGATCTTTTACTCATGAAAAAAACAGTTTTTGTCTCTGTATGCGGTAATATTTTCAAGATTAATATTTCCACTGGCCAGAGAATAAATGTTGCAGTAGACCCAACTTGTGAATATCTATTTATACCATTATATATGAATAATGAAGTGATTTTATTATCTAATAAAGCCAGTCATATTGTTAAACTTTTAGATGATGATATTATATTACACCCAGATAACATAGTATTTCCATACCTGAAAAAAAAACGTCAAAAGTGGCAAGATCTTGGAAATCAATATAACAAATATGAAATAGACCTTTCTATCTATGGACTGGCCCTATCATTGGATCAATATTCTGTTGCTATAGCCTATAGTATTCAAAGAGTCAGTTTTAAGTATAAAATTATGTCAGAGAATAAATTTAATGTTATGTTTATTCCACTTTATGAAAGTTGGAGTTTATCTTCAAAAGGTTCTGGGATGTTATGGTTTCAAACATATAATATATATGGAAAACAGTTACCAGTCACACCTAACAATTCAGTAAATACCACTGAAGATAATAATATTGATACTGATCTCGAATTTGTCGATTACTTAAATATGTTGGTTAAAACATCTGCAATTATCAAAAGGATGTTTCAAAATATGATTGACCCAGATTCTATATCAATGGTATTATTTAGAGAGTCTATTCTTAAATATGCAAAAGCTCATAAAGATAAGTTAATTAATCCTATGGACAAGTTATGTGTTGAATCATTATTTGAAATATTACGAAAAGAATCCATTTTTGAAATTAAAAATGATGATACAATAGTTATAAAAGGTGAGTTTATAGAACAGACATTTAATATTTTTGGCAATGGTAATCAACAAATCATTAATTCTATAGAAGGAAATTCATGGAGAAGATGTTCTTTGACGTTATTACCTTTGTTAACCACTAATACAAAAATATGTCCAGCTAGTAACCAAAGAATAATAAATATAAAAAAGGATATACAAAATGATTATGGCTGGTTCACTCGGACTTTGCTAGAATTTTTCAATGATAAAAGCCCGTACACAGGTGGTAAGTTTAGTGAAAGTACATAAAGAATTATATCATACAGTATACATATTTATATATGTGTGCATGTTTGTACCTTTTTTTGTAAATTTTGCATTTTCTATAAGTGAAACGGTATCAATACACTTTATACTGTGGTTATTTTACGTTGATGTTCATCAGATATTGATATTCCTATACGTAGCACCCTATTTTCTTTTATTTATCTTCTTATCATCAAAAAACTCTTTTACATTATGCATAATTGATTGAACTGATCGTTCGGGTTGAATTCTATTTTTGACCCAATGTGATAATTTGCTTTTAATATTTTCTCTATCATAACGACTATCTAACAGGATAATTACAGAGTAATCATTTATATGTCGAATTGATCTCCCTACGCTCTGATTAACTGCCTTCATACATAGATTATCCAGGAAATCTTTAACCACAACTTTAGGGTCTCTAGGTTTCAAATTAGGATGTTTTTGATTCAAATCATCAACCTTCTTTTCTAAGTGTCTTCTCTTGATCTGTAATTCTCCAGATTGTAAATTAGGATAAGGTAATCCAACCATAACAATTGCTCTACATAAATTATCCTGAAAATTTATACCTTCTGACAATTTCCCACCAACAACAGCAAAAAGTATAGCACCCTTATTCCCATTATTATTAATAATCTCTGAGTAATCATCTAATGGGTCACCGCCATTTTTTGATTCATAAAATAGTGTTCTCTTATTATTGATCCTTTCAAGTAATCCATTTTTTTGCCAATTCTGAATAACATTTGCTAAAAATTGATAACTTGGGAAAAATCCGACTATACCACCATTATTTGGAACATTATCAATTAGGCTCATAAAAAATTGGAATAGAAAATCATTGATTAGTGATAAATTATTTCTATTTAAGTAGGTGAATTCCAAACCTTGTTGATTAACGATAAAGGTTTCCAAATTCTGATCAGGGATGATATGATTGCATGAATATTTCACAATTTGATCATTTCTCAAATATGGGAACAAATAGTCTTTGAATTCATCCATTGGTTCCATCGTACCACCTGCAAGAATAACGCATTTAGCTTCTTCTATAATAGGTTGGAACAATTCGCTTGGTTCCAGTAGCATGTATTTTATTGATGGACCCTTATCAAAGAAAAATTGACCCTCTTTTGATGGGTGAGTCAATGAAGTTAAGAAGGACACGATTTTAAACAATATGGGCTTGGAAGAGGTTGATTCATCACTTTTATTATTGCAGTTATTATTAGCATTACTGGTAGATGTATTTTTAACTTGTTTTTCTTTTTCCAATGATTCCATGTAGGTATTGATCTTATAAGCCACTTTGGAATCATTTATGTATTTAATTAAATGATAGACATTTAATGTATCTGTATTGTTTTCATTGAAATAATCAATAAAGTCATTTATTGGGGTGCCCGGTTTAACGAAATTATCATTGATATATTTAATTATAACATTTAGTAATTTCAATAATTTCAATAAGTTAATTCTATTTCCTGGGTTTAATCTTAATTTAAATTTTTGTAAATATTTACTTAAACCAATTTGACAATAAATCAAATCATTTAATGAAACTTCTGACGAATAAATATTGTTTATTGTCTCAATTAGGTTATGTGCTTCATCAATAACAATAATGTTATTCCTCAAATTCAACTTCATTGAATTTCTTGCTGTATCAGATAATAAATACTGATATGGCAGTGTAACTACTTCCACACCTTCTAAAGCATATCTGGAAGCATAATACGGACACATCTTTAAGTGTTCACCAATTGTTACTAAATCTTCGATATCATGAATGGAATGATAAATCTGATCGGTAAACGGTGTTGCAGTATTTTTATCAAATTGATAAAAGGGACAACCAGATATATTGTTGCCATTATTTTTATGTTTCGAATCGGTTTTTTTCTTCCTATGTCTCAATTCATAGCATGCATCATTAATAGCTTCCAAAGATCCCCATTTTTTAACATCTGGATTTATGCATAATTGTTTTTTAGAAGCTAATGGTAGAAATTTAATTCTTTCCTCCTTTATCGATTGTCCAAAAGAAGATGGAAAATGTGGTAATGTCAACTGATTAGCAAATTGGTTTAATTGTGAATGAGTTCTTGATGCAAAGATAATTTTAATCGGATTATTTAAAGTGTGTGGGTGGTTTGAATTATTTGTATTATTATGGAATGTATCGTTATTATTAGTAATATTAGTAGTATTATTATTGTTATTAATTTTGTTTAGTAAGATTTCAATTTCATTTGACAAAAAAATCTTGTTTGATGGATTATTTTTCTTTAAATCAGTGTCTTGAGTAATATTTGTGTTATTATTGTCATATGGATCAGGTATAAATTCATTATCTTCGATAACTATAGGAATATGCTTTTGATTTAGTTTTCTTTTCTTTATGTAGGACTTATTAATATTATTCTTAAGATCGATATTGCTAATCTTTGTAGTAGTATTATCGTTAATATTTAAATTATCTAAATACATTTCGAATTGTACAAATTGATCAATTTTTTCACTAATTAGACTTTTATTAAATATTTCGTTCACCCAATCCGGTTCACTATCCTCATCGCTATCTGTATTATTATTATTATTATTATTATTAGAAGTAGCAATGGTAGCAATACTATCATTATTATCATTTATATCATTAGAATGTGTATTAGTATCAATATTTTCTAATATTCTTTGTTTATGATCTCTCAGCCATGTTATTGTGGAACATATAAGAGATAAAGTTTTCCCGGTACCGGTTGGGGATTCAATTATACATATTTTTTTACCATCATCATTACCAGTAAGATTGTTATTGTAAGACAATGTGTCATAGATGCATTTCATCAGATTTAGTTGAATATCATAAGGTTCAAAAGGATGATAAAATTTATCATGGTCAGATAATTTGTTACCTGGACTCATTATATATATATATATTTGCTTACTTGCTTACTTATTTATTTCTATTGTATGGCAAATAATAATAGAAGAAAATAATTTTTGTAGATTAATAAATCATTATAATTATCGCCAATTATATGAATATTAGTAACTATCACTTATTCTATGTCAGATCAATTGCGATGTGATAGACCATAGTAGAGGGCTAGTTATGATAATTATTTACGAATGATAAAACGACGGATCAAGACCATTGTCTCTTTAAATCTTATTTTTTTTCTTATGTTTATTATTTGAGGTGAGCATATTTTCTTTTTTTTTTTCCTTATCCTTTTTTTTTTATTTTTTACTTTCTGTGAGGGTTTAATGTACAAAGTCTACCAAAATTTCAGAAATATAAGGTTTATATATCAGGGTTATAATACATTTTCCTGTTTTTTTGTCTATTAACATTAAAATGTTTTTGACAAATACAAATCCACTCCCCTTTCAAAAAAATAAAAAATTAAAAAATTAAGAGATAATAAGTTTGCGGGATTAAGAGAAAGAATAGTGTATTCTTTTCTGATTTCTCTTTATTTATTCTTGTTTCCTTTTTGATAAATAGAGTTTACTTTTCTTCCTCTTTAAGAAGTCTATTCTTTTATTTTTTTTTTTTGTATATATATGTGTGTGTGTATTTATGTATCTTTTGTTTTGGTACTTATGTGTCATAATATCATATATAATACTATCAAATACCATATTATGTCATATAATATTGGGATTTCTTCTCCTGTTTTTCTCTTTCTCTCTTCCTCTCCCTATCTCTTTATCTCCTTATTTTTCCCTATGTTGTTTTATTGATTAACTCCGTCAATAGAAAATAATCTTTTCATCTGTATGTTTCTTATTCTTCTTTTCTTGTTTTCCCCTCCCCTCCTCTTCTTTTCCCTCCCGTTTTATTTTTATTATCTTTGTTTTTCTGGTTTGCTGCAGTTCACAATAAATTTTTTTTTACCTATTTTGTAAATGACACACGTTCGTTTACCGAGAAATAAAAATAAAATATAAGAAAAAAAAAAATAGATATATTTAAATGGAACAGTAGTCGGTGTATGGCGTTGTCTATTATTCACTCAAAGGAGTTCCGGTTTACAACTCGAACCATACGCGTTGTGGTTTGTGCTCGAGCTTTAGGTTCTGCAGCATGTCTTTGTTTTGGTTCTTCCCTCCTTTTGTTTCTTGTCTTTGTTTCTCTTTCCCCGCTTAGTGTTTATTCAGAACTGGAATTAGAACTACGTTTGAATTCTTTATGCTTGTTATAACTTCTCCCCCCTCCGCCCCTTATCCACGTATTAAGTGTATTTACTTTGTTTATGTATCCAGTTATACGTTTACTTATTTAAACTTTCTTTTTTTTCTTTCATATATTAATTATTCTTATTTATTCATTTTTTTTTTTTGTTTTTCTCTTGAGGCAAACATGTATACATCTTTATACAAACTTTTGTACTTGGGTATACAGTTGGTAGAGTAACTTAAAGGGTTATAGTACGGTTATTAGTACCATTTTTACTACTACTACTACTACAATAACAGCAACAACACAAAAAAAAATTTATTCATCATGCTATTATTAGATAAATACCAGAAAAAATTCCATATGTTTTCAAATAAGCATAATAATAACAATAATAATAGTAATATAAATAGCAGTGATACTAGGAATACATCTATTGCTGATACCACTGCCGTTGAAATAAACAATGATACTAATCTTAACAACAATAGCTGCAGCAATAATAATAATAATGTAAATGATTGTACGGATACTAGTACACCGGATATGAGTACTTTTGTAGATCCTAGACTACAATACAATATGATCACTCCTGTAACTTCACATAATGTATTATTCTCGATTAATAACACCAGTAGTAACCATGCCTTCTATAACTTACAACAGCCACAACAGTTCGGCTACAGTAGATATAATGGTAGTACAACATCTCTAGCAAGCTCCATAAATTCTGATATTGCATTACCCATGTCTGCTTCCTTAAACAATATGAATATGAACAATATTTTATCTAAACAGTTTATTAATTTGTTGATCGATACATATCAAGTATTATGTTCAGATCCAACTATTACTCCCTTCGACACAAATAATCCTCCCTCTGGTATACTTAATCGTGTTGGTAAACTTTCATTGAAAAGAGCCAGCTCAGTTAATATGGAAATATTCAGTAGTACCACCAATAGTAAACATTATAGTAATAACCATAACGTTTTATTATCGATAATTAGACACAATTTGTTATCAGAGATCAGAAAAGACGGATACTATTCAAGAAATGTTTCTTTGACTTCATTGATGCAACCTTCTCTGCTCAATAACAACTACAACAACAGTATCAACAGTCCTTTATCTCAACCACCCATTTTGAAAAGAACTAATACCATGGACAGGGTACAGAATAATATATATAATATCACAGGATCAAATAATCCAACAAGTATAAGTACAGAAAGTATCATAATTAATAATAATAATAATAATAATAATAATAATGGTAATAGTAACAGTATCAATAATAGTAATAATGGTGGTGGTGGGCTAGGGATTGGTTTAGGTTCAAGCATTCACCTGAATTTGTATCCAGGTTTAGCAAACAGTAGTAACAATAATATGAATAATAATAACAACAGCAATACCAATTTCAATCCATTGTTAAGTCGATCATTAAGTAGAACTTCATCCCCATTGATGACAAAGACAAAAAATCTTTAATCACGTAATGTTATTGATCTTACATATATTGGCAATGGGGAGAAATAAGGAGGAGAAATAAATAAATAAATAAACATAGTAAGGACATTCAGATAAATATATATGATTCAATTTTATCGTTTTCTTCTGTTAATAACATTTTTTTCATTATTCATGTATTATTAAAATATGATAATTATTAATTAAAGTATTCCTTATAATTATACATCCTTTTATTGTAATGATTATGATAACTATTTTTTTCTTTTTTTATTCTTCTACATCTCTTACGACCAATATTATCCAACTTTATGATATTAACATTAATATTAGTAGTAGTTGTTGTATATATATATATATATATACTAATTTGATCTTTAATATACATTTATATTTAAGTATTGGAATAATCTATTTACATAAAGAAAACTTAATGATAAGTGTATATAATTAGACACTGTTGCTTTTTTATTTCTTTTTGTTTTATTATCATTATTATTATTATTATTATTATTATTATTATTATTATTATTATTCATAAACTTCTCGACGAGGGGCTATAACTTCTCTATTACTATTTATATTGTTAATCTTTTGTTTGCCCCATGCATTAGTTAGTATCCCAGCTTTATTCAATATTCTAATAACTGTATCACTTGGTTGAGCACCACAACCAATCCAATATTTTGTACGTGCAAAATCTAATTTGATATCTTTCCATGGGAATGTATTATTCTCTATACTTGTCTTGATATCCTGATTTTTAAGTTTATTTTTATTTTTATGACTAATATTGGCACGTAAACCAAACGGACGTGGATTATAAGTACCTAAAACCTCAATTGGCTTGCTATCTCTTGCTTTATATGCTTGCGTGACTACAATATTATAGACTGGACTATTTTTACGTCCAAATCTAGCTAATCTGATCCTTACTAAACCCTTTGTCATTTTTTGCTCCTTTTATCGATTTTTTTTTTTTTACTTTGTTTTTCTTAAGTTATACTCTTTATCTTTAAAATGTACTTATATATATATTGGAGATACATGGGCTCGTATGTGTACGTTAATCCCCTTTTTATCTTTTCAACAAAGTAAATTAACGATTCTCTTCCTTTATGGAAAGGGAAATCTACCAACATCGAAATCTCTTTTCCATTTCATTTCTGTTTCTTCTTTATGACACCCATACATCCTTTTTTGCTTTTGTAGAGATTCATTTAATCTTTCTTTGTTTTTTTTTTTTTTTTTTTATTTTTTATTTTTTTTAGATTTTTCTTACAATTTCACGTGGTTTGTCCAACCTGCGGGGTGTGTGGATGGATAATAAAAAACTGGGTTTTTTTGCGGAATCTAATCCTGCCAATGTTTCTACAAACAATATATCACAGGTCACGAAACTGCTAAATATGCAGGTGTATGGGTGTTTTTTTTTTTCTTTTTTTTTCTTTTTTTTCCTGGATGGCAGTTTGGGTTCTATAGTTTGGGAAAAAGAAAAAAAAAAAATTTTTTTTCTTTTGTTTCTTTTCTAATTAAACGTTTATTACCTTCAATCTCATCTCGTCTCATCTCTTTTGATCTTGTCTAAAAAATTAAAACGTATAATCACCGTAGGGTCTTATACTACTATACTCATTAACTTATCTATACACACATATAAGCATTAGAGATATATGTTTGATACACATTTTGTATAGATTATACACTTCTATACTTCATACCTTACCTTTTTTGTTCTCACTAGGCCCTTTTACCAATATATATACAAAACTCACCACAATAATGGACGCTGATCAAGTCGCCCATTTTATGGAACTGGAAGATAAATTGTCTAAAATTAGAAAGCAATTATCTTCTAAACTAGACAATCAAAAACATATCGCTATTATATTAACTTCTGTGGAGGAAAATATCGAAGGTTACGCCACTAATGATCTAACCAAAAATATTGTTCAATACATTATTGCATTTATGACTCTTTTAGATCAGGCTATGGATCAAAAGAATCATTCAGTTATCAATTTACAATTGGCTACTTCTGCTACCTATCTTTTGGATATTGTTTTCCACTATACTCCAAAATCTCTATTGAGATCAAAATTCATTGAGGTCCTAACAAAGATTGCGCCATGTATCACTGACCCAAATAGTGAACCTCTTTTGATTAGATCCGCCATTGGTGCTTTGGAAGCCTTGTTAATGGCTCAGGATTCTCAGACATGGAACAACACTAATAACTTATCTATTACTCCAAAGAGAGGTTTACAAGGTTTATTAGAATTGTCCTTGGATCCAAGACCAAAGATTAGAAAAAGAGCTCAGGATGCTGTATCGCAAATCCTATTGAATCCACCTGTGGCTCCTACTGCAGAGCATGTTGCTTCAACATTCATCGCTGATTTTATTTTGAAACAACTGATGGCAACAATCGATGAATATAATTCTTTATCTAACAAAAAATTGAAAAATGATTCCGTTAAACAAGAAATGAATGGTAGAATCATCAGAATAACTAAATTGATTAACACTGTTGTCTCCACAGGTCAATGGCCGTCACATTTAATTGAACCTTTATGTGACTATTTATTAGATATCATTAAATCCTCAGAGCAAATCCTTGTCACTAGTGCATTTCAATGTTTCGAGAGTTTATTTAATTCCATGGCGCAGTTATCTACATCAACAAAACTGGCAGAAAATAAATACATTAATGTTCTCGACACAATTTTCGCTTTGAAACCATCCAACTCAGATGCCCAATTGACTGGTTCTTGGATCGCTGTGGTAGTTAAAGGTGTTACCACATATTCAATTCACCAACCTTTAAAGTGTTTACAAAAATTACCAGAAATATTTAAGATTATGTCCATATATTTACAGAGTGAAACTCCTGAAATCTCTTTCAGTGCATCCCAATGTTTAATTGCAATTTTAAATCAAGCTGTTAAAGACGATATTTTATTGACTCAAAATGTGGATTTGAAAATTGTAGAATCCGTTAGTGACATCATTGGTCAATTATCTGATATCTTTGTGGAATTCTTATCTATTAGATACACTCATTCAGCTAAAGAAATTCTAAATATTATCTCTATAGCATTTCAAAAATTTAAATATAGATCAAATCCTCACTTAATTAAACCTTTACAGATTGTTGATAAATGGAGAATTAATGAAGAAAATTATTTAGATTATCAAAAAGAAGTAGAGCAAGTTATTGGATCATCTATCACTGCAATGGGACCAGATGTCGTCCTACATTATTTACCTTTAAATTTGATTAACCCATCTAATGATCAACCTGGTAGAGCTTGGTTATTGCCAATCTTGAGAGATCACATCAAATATGCAAAGTTATCCACTTTCATTAATGACATGATTCCAATTGTAACCCATTTCCAAAATTGTTTTGATAAATTACCAAAAGAATCCGTTCGATTAAGAGTCTTTCAAACAGTAGTAGACCAAACTTGGTCCTTGTTACCACATTTTGCAGAGTTACCAAGAGATTTAAGAGAGTCATTTACTGATGAATTTGCACAAGAGTTATGTTCTTTATTATACAGCACACCTGAATTAAGAACTACCATTTGTAATGCTCTAAAAATGTTAGTAGAAAGTAATCTGCTATATATAGATGGTGCTCTTTCTGAGGATGTTATATTACAAGAACAATTCCCTGTGGAAGAAGCCAAAAAGAATATTGAATATTTGGCTACAAAAGCTTCTAATCTTCTAGCTGTTTTCTTCAACATTTACACTCAAACATCTCCAAACTCAAGAGGCTATATTTTGGAGACTATTGAATTTTATTTGAAGATTACTAGTTCAGAAGATATTGAGAAGACTTTTAACAATGTCTGTACTTTATTAAAAGATTCTATGGACAAAGGTGCTGCTAATTTTAGTAATAACAATAGTACAAATAACAAGAATAAATCTGTTCCACAATTGACCTCTACATTATTAGATATTCTTATCACAATGGTAAAGTATTTACCAACATCATCATACTTTGCTTTATTTTCTATATTCAATGCTACTATTCAATTACCAAACAATTTAATCCAAAAAAGATCTTACAGAATTATTAGTAAATTATCTGAACTGCCAAGTGGGTCAGATGCTGTCTCTGCTCATATCGCTGCTATTGAAGATACTATAATTAACAATTCACATACTGTACAAGCAGCTTCTCGTGCTTCTCGTTTAGAGGCTATAAAAACTGTGATAAACTTATTACCAAGTGATCACTTAAATTTTATTGTGAAAGTTGCTAGTGAAGTTATTTTAGCTACTAAGGATGTGAATGAAAAAACTAGAGATGTTGCATTTGCTACTTTAATTACCATGGGCCACAAGATGCAGAATGAGACCGGTGTTGGCATTATCAAGATTGATGAAGAAACACATTCAGCCAGCATCTCTGAATTTTTTAAGATTGTTTCTGTTGGTTTGATTGGTGAATCACAACATATGGTTAGTAGTACTATCACTGCCTATTCTTGTTTGATGTTTGAATTCAAAGATATTTTACCAGCTGATATCATTATGGATATTTATGATACAATTGAGTTGTATCTAACATCTAATTCCAGAGAAATTGCCAAGAGTGCAATTGGATTTGCCAAGGTGTGTGTTCTTGGCTTACCAGAAGAGATGATGAGAAATAAAGTACCTGAATTATTGCCAAAACTTTTACGTTGGTCTAATGAACATACTGGTCATTTTAAACAAAAGGTTAGACATATTATTGAGAGATTGATTAGAAGGTTTGGCTACGAGTTTATTGATCAGCATTTCCCTGAAAACGACAGAAAATTATTAACCAATATTAGAAAGACCAACAATAGATTGAGACGTAAGGAGGATAACACTAAGGATGGTGTTATACCGGCTGCAAACTCTAGTCGTCAATTCTTGTCTGCATATGATGAAGCTATATATGATTCTGATGGTGAATTGAAGGAAGCATCTGATGAAGAAGAGGTTATATCAAGTAAGAAATCTTCTAAACGCTATATTATTGAAAAATCTGGTGATAACCCATTAGATTTATTAGATGCAGAAACATTGGCACATATTTCTTCCACTCAACCAAGAAAACTAAAGAAGGATTCGAAGAAGAGACTTGCTGATGATGTTTTTAGTTTCGATGCTGAAGGTAAATTAATCCTAAATAATAAAGAAAAGGAGCAAAATGCGGATGATGATGACCCATTAAAGGAAATTTCAAGTGGTATTAATGCTTATCTAGAAGCCGTTAAACAAGGGCCTGTTAGAGGTCAAAGAAACAGATTAAAATTCAAAAAAGGTGCTAGGAAAGAAGAGGATAACGATTTTAGTGATGATGAGAAGTTACCGAAGGTGAATAAGCCAGTTATAAAAAATAAGATTGGAAAGAATTATAAGAAAACAAATAAATATAAGTCCAAGAGAAAATTATAATGATGTATATATATCTTGCCAATGTATATATTAATAAAATAGTTGTATAGTAATTGAAATGATAATAAATGGAAATATAGACATTCTCCGTACTTTGTGGGAAATGTGTTGCAGTGTTGGCTGTTCATTATTATAAAATATACCTTCCAATGTATTTCTAAAAAATATTAATAAAATAATATTCACACAGTACAAGTTGTTTTACATTCATTGATACAAACGTACAAACGATCAAAAAATTATTGAAATCTATAAAAATGACTGTATATAAATACATAAGAATATTATATGCAAACTTTGTCTTTAATGTTTTATCATTAGAAAGGTTGGCCAAAGTCTAATGATTGTCTTCTTTGGAATGTATTATCCATATCTTCCATCGCTGCCAGCTCTAAATTATTAACACCATTCGTTTCATCTGTAATATCACCCGTAACAGATGTAGTAAATTGGAAATTGGACGATTCCACAATTGGGTTTGGAAATAATGGATCATCTACATTGTTCCCTATATACTGTTCGTTAATATCGTCACCCTCATTATCGTCCATTTCAACGTCATTAGGATCAACCGGTTCTTCTAATTGATTTTCATTAGCGTCCATTTCTTTGGCACTGACTTCACCATATCCATTATTATTTTTATAATCGTTTTCACTTTCACTTTCACTTTCAAGTAAATCATTCTCAAATGATAATTTTATCGTATCTAGTCTATTTTCTTTGTCCATTGCAGGTAATTTTTGCATATATTCTTGTGATTTTTTAACAAGGATGGTATTTTCCTCCAATGATTCTAAGTTACTCTCATTATGATACGTTAGGTCACTATTTCCATTATTATTAATACTACTCTCTGATATTATTGGCAAGTAATCATTGTTTGACTTTGTTGGAATAGTTTGTAGTTTATTGTTACTATAGTAATCACAATCTTCTTTTGAAAATTGCAGCATGGAATGTAACAAAGAATTTTTCAGTCCGCTAACGCTAGATAATTGGGAAATACTAATTGGTAAACTATTTTGATTTTTTTTATTCCAAAGATTTAATCTTTGTCTAATCAATATAAATTTGATCCAATTATCTGTATCTCCATTATTGAGAATCTCATCTATTAATTCTTCTTGTTTGATTAACTCCTTCTGAATATCTTCATCAAATGGATTTGTTTGTCCTGGATTTAACTTATTAAGATAATCATTCATATTACTGTAACTATTCGGTATAATATTATTATTGGTTCCTAAATTATCATTTGGACCATCCTTTGTTGGACCTATTGTAAAGCCATGTTTTGTAGTTGCCATAGTCTCGATTTTTTTAGTTAAATCAGATTTAATGACTTCAATTGGGGGTATTGATAGATTTTTTACATATTTTAATTGCATATCGTGCAAAAACCAATTTTTTAATAGTAATAAGCCTTTATCACTCGGCAAAGAAGGATTTTCGTCAAATATATCAAGTATATCTACTGGTTTGATTTGTCCTAAATTAATCATTGCCTGAACAATATCTTGTAAAGCAATATTATTATTATCATCTGTCTCAGTGGATTGTCTCGCCATTGAAAGTTTATTTATTTCTTTCAACATAAGTTCCAACCATTTAATGTATAAATCTGTAAAAATATCTACAGTTGAGGGTTTTGCCCTATCAAACCCAATCGATTTTAATAATTGTAACATCGAAACACGCAGTAAGGCAAAATAAAATTCATCATTTACAGTCATTTCTATTTAGGTTTTCCTATGTTTATGTTATATAGAATATTTCTATTCTTGGTTTCTTTACAACTTTTAACAGAAAAGAATATAATTAATGGTTTTATATTCAATGCTAATCAACTAATGCAGCTGGAATGTTGATCGAAAGGGACTTCGATAAGTATAACACACCAAAAATAGTCACTATTCAACGATGGAAGTGCAACTCTGAGTGTTGTTTTGGTTCATAATTTTCTATTTTTTTTTTTTTTAAGAAGTTACCAAAAAGTTACACGAAGAGATTTAACCTTTAGAAATGATATTGTTTCTTTCAAAAAAAAAACAATTGGTGAGTGAATTTTTTTTACTGAATAGAAAATCCTTAGTAAAATAAACAAAGGAATTAATATATGAATATAAATAGTCGGACAAGCTTGGATATTAAAAAAGCTTCTTAGACTAAACAACTCAATTAAATAACAGAAGAACGAAAGACATTAAGACCAATTATGAATGAGCAAATATATCCTTTATTTCTTCAACATTACAAAATTTCCAATGATTCTAATTCTGTCCTGTACTAGGAAAACTACCTAGTTTGCCAAAAGTATTTGCACTATCTAATCTCCCTTTCCCCCCTCCCTCCTCACATATACATGTACTTCCAACTACCATTTTGTTGTGAGTACCATTTTTTTTGTTTAAGGAATTCAATAACGTCATTTATTAATATACCTTAGGATGTTTTATCAATATTTATAATAAATTGTTACTATCATTATGGAGTTGGAAAGCGTCTTGATTTAACTTTTGCAAATTATAAATAGAACTTTCTCTTAATAACACGGCATTGTGACCTTCAGGTTTTTCTAACTATGATTCACATACACCATTATCTTTGTTGCCTTTATCATTAAGAATATTTTTGACTTTTATCTGTATCCACAGTATTAAATTTTTTTTTTCATATCGAATCGGTATTGAGCTACTACTTTCAAGTTTACCATAGTTCAAATCTTTATTTATTAATAATGGCAATGCAATTCGAACTTGAAGTCTAAAATTTAAAAATGGTATCATTTTGATGTTCAACTTTTCAACAAAATGTTTTAATAGATTTTTTTTCATAAGGAAGCTATTAAATTTTCGTTTACCACAATCATAAAACCAGAGATCTATGTTAGCATGGGAATATTTTCTTATTGGTGTCATTCCTCTTGATTTTTTTTTTCATAATCGATGCATATATTTTATTATATTTTGTCTATCAAATAAAAGGTTTGCTGATACGCTGTCTATATAATGAAGATGAATTAATTCTTTTGTTAAGGTTGGGAATATATTTCCCACTGCCTTGTCATTTATTAAAAAAAAAAAAAAAAAGAGAGGAAGAGAGAAAATAATACTCGATCTTAATATTCTCTTGTATGAGAACTAATTGGTGATTTATTGATGTAAAATATGATTCGATAAAAATGTTAGTTGTTGTTTGATGTCTGACGTTATGAATTATACTGATGCATTGGTAAGTATTGTCTGAAAAGATATGGGAGATAAATCACTTTTTTGTTTTTTTTTTCATTAATACATATTCATATATCTGTCTTAAGGTCGATTGATATATATCACAAAAAAATTTATTGTATTTTATTTTTATTTTTTATTGGTATTGTTGAAGTTCAGTTTCGACAGACAGAGTAGTGGAGAATTTCTCACTGTTCTTGTTCTATCTTGAAAGCGTTTAAATAATTTGCTAATGAATTTTTTTGTCTTCGTTTTTATATTGCTATATGAAGAAATAACGTGAAAACTAGTCATAATCAAAATTGACACGATAAAATTCATAAAAATATAATTAATTTTGTTATTATATATCTTTGAAGGTAATCCAATTTTTTTTTTACAGAATAATGTTCAATCGTATCATAAATCAAGTTATTTTTGTATTTGCCTTTCTATAGGGTTGTATATAAGTCTTCAAATGAATAAATACTGTCTCCGAAACATTACAAAAAGCAATTTTCTTTGATACTATAAAATAATTTAGTAGATGTAACCAAAATGTAGTCAACTTCGTCATCTTTGGCTGATCTTGTTTTTTTTTTTTTGTGGATTTATAAAGTAAGACAAGTGATGTTCGCTAATTTATATTCTTTAAAATGCAGTTCAGTAGACAAAGATTATTTTTATTGCTAAGGTTTGGTATTAACTTAGACATGGATAAGAACAAGTTTAACTAGTTTTGGATGCTTCTCCAAAAAAGTTATAAAATGAAATTTTAAAGCTAATCCATTTTCAATCATTTTTCAGAAATTTTTTTTTCTTCACTATTAGACAAGAATAAAATTCTAAAAAACTACTGGAAATTCTATTTAGGATCCTTGATAACTTCTATCTCACATAATTTATGGTATTTTTAGTTTTACATTTTCATATGTTTTAAACAATTTTTTATATGGTTAAATAATCAAACATAACTATTTATGAAGAAAAGTTAAATTTGAAATTGACTTGGTAAAACATTAAACTCAAAACACATATTAAACTAGACTATCGAATATGTCCCAATGTAATAGAACTTTTGTTTCTTAAACTGAACTTAGAGAGAAATCTTTACTAAGAATATTTCTTGATAAATGCAATAGACAATCTTACTTGAAATACAATAAGCCAATCTGCAATTACATATGCAAAAGAAAAAAAAAAACAATATGTCATCATTGCTATTATTATTATTATCAGGAGTTTTATCAGCAGATTTAATGAGATATGTGAATATAATTTTAGGTCGTGTCATACGAAAATTTTTTTTATGGATTTTCATTTTTTATTTTTTTTTTTTTTAGGTTTCGTCGGGTAACTTAAATTATGTCTTTATTTTTTTTCTTTCTTTTTATTACTTTTGTTGGCAAGGTGAAAAAAGATTCGAGTAACAACAAAAAAGATAGTATGGAGAGACACCTCTCACAAAAACGTGACAACTGTGAAAGTATACCCATTCATTGAACAAGTCTTTTGCTGATTATCTCCTGCAGTTGCCGTCTATATTAAACTACGATTTTAGTGAACTAAAATTAACTATATCTTAATTGTTGTTATTGATTATATCGAGCCATATTTTTGTCTACCCCTTCTCTATCATTCTCTTTCCTAATTCCTTTGGTACAAAAGATCATACAACACAGAAGCAAAGCAAAGAGAAAAAATAGAAGAATTTCTTTATACTAAACTGAACAAGTAATATTTTTTGCATATACTTTTTATTAGTATTGATAAAGATAAATTAAAGCAAACAAAGAAGTCAAAAAAAAAAAAATACAAAAATAAAAAACATACATAATGTCTGGTCTATCATTATATTCTGTACAAAGCATTTTGATACTTGATTCCCAAGGTAATAGAATATATGCTAAGTATTACCAGCCTCCACCAAACGTTTTAGGACATAACCAACATGCTGCTTTCACATCCTTTAGAGAAAATGAATTATTTAGTTCCTTGAAAAAACAAGAAGATTTTGAAAAGAGGTTAATTAAAAAGACTCATAAGCAAGATAGTGAAGTTATGTTATTTGAAAATAAACTTGTATTTTATAGAGAATATATTGATCTAACAATTTATTTAATCGGTGATCCGAATGAAAACGAAATCATTCTACAAACATCTTTCAATGCTTTAAAGAATTCCTTAGAATTGATATTAAATAATGGTATTGATAAGAAAAATGTTCAAGAAAATTACGATATGGTTCTTTTGACTATAGATGAAATCGTAGATAATGGGATTATCCTGGAGACCGATTCACAAACAATTGCATCTAGAGTCAGCAAACCACCTACAAATGACAACCAATTACCTTTAGACTTTGATAAAGGATTATTGGGTGCATGGGGTTTTGCAAAGAGCAAATTACAGGAAAGATTACAGCAAGGTTTATGAAAGATATTGAAATAACATAAAAAGAGGGGCTGTAAAATAATAACTACACTTTAATATACTGTGATATGGAAACTTTTTTTTATTTTTTCGTGATATATTTATGTGTATGTATATATATAGAAATGCTAGTGTTATTAGTGGTTATATGATACACCTCATTAATTTTTTTTCCTCTATCTTACTTTCATAGATAGAACATTTATTCTCATTACAAATATATATTGGAATTTATAAAAAATATGTACTGATCACTTAGAGCCCTTTAGGAAAGTTCTGGTTCATTAACATATAGACAAATGTATACTGATAAATAAATATATAAATTGGCAGGGGGAAATAAATAATTAGAAGACAATAATATGTTTTTTTTTTTTTAAAAATATTTTTCAAACAAGAGCGTGAAAGTCGGAACGTCTTTTCTTTAATCCCTCAGTGACAATCTTTTCAATTTCGTCAGGATCAGAGGTAACACCAGTTAGGTTTTCATAACCATCCTTTGTAACAAGAATGTCATCTTCAATACGAACACCTCCAATATACATGTATTTTTCTAAGATATTAAAGTTAACCATAGCTATTCTTTCTGGATGTTTGTTTATATATTCATCAATCAAAAATTTGTTGAAATAACAACCTGGTTCATTTGTAACCACCATACCTGCATGTAATGGTAAACGTAATCTCAAATATTTGAAAAGATCATCAGGATCTTCATAATTAGGTTCACCACCAACATCATGGACATCAAGGCCCATCAAATGACCTAATCCATGTGGATAGAAGGCACAAGAAACACGAGATTCTAAGATTTGTTCTACAGAGTACTCACTTTTAAAGATACCTAATTGGAGTAAATGCTCAATAAGAACTTTGTGAGATAAAAGATGTAAATCATCCCAGGAGACACCAGGTTTCATTAATTTCATGGTAGTAGATTGCATATCTAATACAGTTTCATATATTTCACGATGCTCTTTAGTGAATTTACCATCAATTGGGAAACATCTGGTAACATCACTAGTATAGTTGTTCCATTCACTACCAGCGTCAATTAAAATGGAATGTTTCTTTTCAATATCTTGATCATTCTTAATGTAGTGTAAAGTACCACAAGCTGGACCTGAACAACAAATTGGATCGTAACCTAATGTTTTAGCGCCTTGTCTCATTGAATGATATTGAAATTCAGCTTGAATTTGACATTCATTATTTTCAATTGGTAGAGCAGACATGACAGCCATATGGTTGATATCAGTAATATGTGCCACATGTCTTAGAGTTTCAATTTCATATTTATCTTTGATAAGTCTACAAGAGTCTAAACTTTTGAAAAATATGTCAGCACCAAATATAATCTTTTCTCTTAAACATTGCATACCTTGTTTTAAGATGGTTTCACAATATTCCTTATCAGTGGAATAGAAATAATCAATTTTAAATAGTGGGTTCTTTGGATCAGTGACCATATTGTGGAAATCGTTGACATAATAAACATAATCTACATCATATTTTTCTTTAGCCTCTTCTAAAGATAATGGCATACCACTCCACATAATGTCTTCTTTGTCAATATCAGGCAAAAATAATAATAATTTAGATTCTTCAATGTTGTAAACAATAAAAGAACCTGGGATATCACAACCAGATAAATAGTAATAATATCTGTCTTGTCTAAAAGGTTTTACAGTATCACAGTATTTTCTTAATTCCATAGATTCACCGGGAACTAAAAATGCAACATTATTCTTTTCACAAGATTTGACAAAGAGCTCAGCAACTCTTTCATTGTGTCTTTTGGCAGGATATTTGTGATCCTTAAAGTATTGTGGAACCTCTAAAGAAGAAGCAGTTTTTTGACTCATTTTAATATTACTTCTTTTTATTAATTTACTTCCAGTCCAGTAACTGATAGCAGAAGTGGCTACTGCAATTGATAAAGGATTCAAATATCCAGATAAATCCATAAGGTAACAATGACTTGATACTAATATATACAAGAATGAACAAAGTAAAAAAGGAGTAAAAATCCAGAAGATGATTAAGAAACAGTGTGTATACAAATGTTAGAAAACAATGAAAAAAAAGAGACTATATTTTACGATGACCATAAAGTAAAGCTCAAAACGTGAAGAAGTGGATCTAAGGCACTAAAAAATTGAATGGCATCACGAATATTTTCGATTCCATATCTTCCGATTGTGCTATATATATTATTTATTTGTTTATTTGTCTACATTCTTTTTGTCAGAAGTCGCAAAACATGGAAGACACAAAAAAATGTGTCAAAGAAATTTTTTTTTTTTACTTTTTTTTTTTTGTAAAAATCATGAGAGGGGGAATTCCAAAAAAAAAAAAAAAAAAACATAGAGTACTTTTTTTAGGGTATCAAGAAAAGGGTTTGTACAAAAAAAAAAAGAGTATTCTAAATTGGTTGTTTCTTCTTTTTTTCTCTGAAACCCTAGTTTATCTGTTCTAAAACATATTCAAAGTTTGTGATGAAAATCATCTTTCTAAAAAATAATTTTTGAAATGTTCTATTCTTAGCCATATAGAGAGGTCTTTACTATACTATTACTATCATCATCGCATTCTCTACCAAATTAGGAAACAACAACCGTCTACTTTCTAATTTACTTTTATCCTATCAACAAAATAGAGTATATTTTTCTATAACTTTAGGATGCACTAACACCTAATTTGTTTCTCTTTTCCTTTCTTCCTTCCTTTCTTTTTTTGAATACTCTTACATATCCTTGTGTAACAAGAATGATCATCTTTCATACTTATAATATAAAAAATTTACATTTTTTTGATTTACTGTTTATTAAATATATATAACGTATATAAGTGCTTTCACTTTTTGCGAAGTGTTCTTTTTTACAGAAAAAAATGTTTTCTAAACCCTAAAGTAAATATCAACTTTTTCAGTAGATATGTTTGCAAACCCTACTTTTTTCAGGAATAAGTTACCAGTCTATTACATTATTTTTTAATTTTCCGGCCTTAAACTTGTCTCCTTCTTGAGTGTAAACCTTATCTTTTCTAAATAGGGGACTTTTTTCTTTCAAAGTATACTTTTATTTTTTTTTTATGCGAGATCGAGAAGATTAAAGAGCCTGCAGTATGATACGAGCTATGAACAATATACTGACTAAAAAAAAAAATGGTAGGGGGGGTCATAGGTAACAGAGAATTATTGTGGTAGTTTTCAAATGGACATAGAGAAGAAATACTCCATTTCTGAAAGCATGTATGTAAGAACAAAGGAATATATTTAACATAAAAGTCATTAGATAAAAACCATGATGAGAAATAAAATAAAGAATTATTTGGAAAATGAGCAGGAAAACAGGGATATTACCCCTAAGTCCAAACGGATAAAGACCCAACATGCCTACGACATAGTAGAACTTAAAAGAAACATAAATTTACAAAAATTAGACCTTGAGTTGCCTGTGTACTGTTCTACTAACCATTCCACAAATAATATTTATTGTTGTTTACAGTGTGGGAACTTTTTTCAAGGCCGTAATCAGTACTCGCCTGCATTTCAACATTCAATCACCTCAAGAACAAATACTACACCACACAATTTGTTTGTCAATCTTCAAACAACAGAGTTTTTTTGGTTACCTCAAAATATCAAAGTTAATTTAGATGAAATTGATAATGATAGTTTAAAAGCTTTACTTATACAATTGAAATGTTGTATAAAACCAACTTTTAATAATGGTCTGATAAAAAAAATGCCTTACAACTGTTATACTTTAATCGATAAAGATAAATATATTACGGGATTCATAGGTATAAATCAATCACATTCTTCTAATTTGTCTATAGGACATATTAATGTCATTCTTTTATTATTAGCACATATAAAGCCCATTAGAGATTATTTTTTATTGAACACAAAGATGGAGAACGAGATATCAAATAATAGATTAATAAATATTGTCTCTCTTTTAATACAAAAATTATGGTCACCAGTTTTACTAAGGCCACATATTTCATCGTCTAAATTAATTAATAATTTGATGATTGAACATAATTCCATATTTCTTAAAGACGGGATAAATAATAATAATCCAAGGACAATTCTAAATTGGCTAATTAACAAATTTTCTAACAATGAAAATAATAGTCCCTTAAAACAAATTTTAATACAATCATGTAGAGGCCATCTGATACAGTTTTTAAAGACAGAAGAAGTGAAATCAATACCTTTTTGGAATATTACTTTAAATCTACCACGTCTTTCCTACTTTAAAGATGGTAGAAATGTTAATGATCTTCTTCAAGTTAAATTAGAAGATTTAATTAAAGAGAAATTTTATTCAAGAATGACTGAAAATGAAAAGAAAGAAGAGAATGATAATTCTAATAAATTGTTGCCTGACTACGAAATCAAAGTTTTGCCTAAGTATCTGATTATTTATTTTAACAGATATGATTCTATTTTAAATGGGAGTAATATTAAACAGGAACAATTTCCGATAAGGAATAGAAATCAAACAATAATTGAGTTTCCAATGAAGATGTGTTTAACTTCAAAGAATATTATAAATAATCAAGATCAAATATTGAAACACTACTATAGATTACAAAGTAATATCATAAATGAAGTAAAGGCTAATGCAGATCTATCCAAAGATGATATAAATCATTGGAAGATCCAAATATATAATGAAAAGAATGCTCAGTGGTATGAAATCTGTGATCTTAAAACCACTTTGATTGAAGCAGAGTTAATGTTTTTAAAAGAAACTTATCTCCAAGTGTGGGAAAGAATAGAATAAATACATTTTCAACAGATATTATCTATACTTTATTCTTATATAATATGTACATATATTGCTTATTAAATAGCTATAGAATCAACCCCAGATGTTAGGACAGATACAATATTGTCCTCTAATAATGCTTCAGCAATATCACTTAAATGCTTCTTTGGATCTTGTTTCCCTACATAACGTGTTTTTAATTCGGATTCTGTCAAAGTCTTTTCTTCCTCAATTCTTTTAGAATATTGTTGTGCAATTTTTACCATTTGTTTTGTGGCTTTCAGATTTTTATCTTCCTTAATTTGATAGTCGTATAATTTCAAACCAGACTGCCATTGTTCTTTATGTAAATTCATTAACATCTTTGTTTCAGCTGGAGTCTTATGATAATCGATATTTAAAGAATAGTAATGCCTATTTAGACCATGGATCAAGGCTTGAATATTTGGTTTATTCATTAACCCAACATTTGATGTTGTTTGTCTTGGTTCTTGGTTATTTATTAGAGCACCGGTATCGATTAATCTAAAGGCATCGATGACAACCTTGCCTTTTACAGATTGAATTGGATCGACAACAACGGCCACAGCCCTACTATTTAATTGTTCAAAAGATTTTTGAGTGTTGACATCCACGCTTGACAACCAACAACCGAAACCTGGATGGGAATGATACCAACCAACGACCATCTGATCTCTACCTGTTTGTTTTAACATATCCATCATTTTAGCTTGAAAGACATCATCTACTGCTTCAACAGAAACACCAGTACCACTCTGAGGCATGGCAAATACATCAACGACATTAACTGTATAATCATCCACGAATTCACCTAACATCAATCCCATAACTTCCATGGGCACACCTGCTCTACCATGTTTTAACATCTTTAACAAAGCAATCGAAGAGATGTAAATAGTTTCCTTAGTATCATCTTTGTCAGTATCAGCACCTGGAACACCTCCCATCTTCCCCATGGAATTCATCATCAATCTTTGCAATCTTTCCATTTTGTATTATTCTAAATATATTTGTGTTGTATACTATTTCGTTCCACTATATGATGTCTTGGATTTTATAAACAAATAAATGTTCAGAACTTGATTTAGTTCTATGTTATTACCTTTTGTAGCACCCCACCACTAGTCATACATGTACACAGACCTAATAAAATAAGTTTGATGTTATCTTTTGAAAATAGTACACCAGACTACTATTCTTTAATCAGTTTCTATTAAAACGATTTGGACTTTTGATTATTTTTTTTGCCACTTCATCATCCGGAATTGGTATTTCCGTATATCGGAATGCTTCCCGTGCATTCTATTCCGCCATTTGTTTTTTGCCCCTTATTACTTTACACCCACACACCACATTCTTGGAGAAGAAAATACTACTTCTATGTGGTGTACGAATGCTTTTTTTTCTTTTTTTTCTTTTTGCCAAAAAAAGGGGGGAGAAACAATCAATGGGTGTGTGGGTGTATGGAGCTACACTGTAAGCGAAGCGTCTCATTTACTTAAAAAGATTTTTTTTATGTCATCTGATTTAAACACAATGTAGGTGAATTGAAATGAGCTTTTGGCTATCAATGAGTAAATGCAAATCTTAACATCACATTTAAATTACACAGAGAATGCCTGCGCTATTCTATATTATATAAGTGTTTGGTATTATAGCTAGCATCTGCTACACTGACCCATTTAGATTACATCTGATTTATTTCTGTTCTTTTTTTGTTTTATCCTTTTTTTTTTATTACAATATACACTGTGAAGTTGTTTAAAATAAATCTGCAAGGCGAATAGAAACACGTTCAAATATGTCCTATGGAAATCGAGAAGTGGAAGGTTCACAAACCATTTGTCTGCAAGAAAGTACACCTGTGTTGACTCTCCGAGCAACTTCCAATTCTCGAGATGATAATGCTGATAATGATAAAAATAAGGAAAAAGATCACAATAATGTTCGATGGAAACAAGATGTTATAGATAATGAGCATATGAATAAGAAGAAAACGAAGATTTGTTGTATATACCATCCACAAGAGAGTGACGAGGAACAGGAAGAAAACACTGAATCAGATGGTCATCTTCATCTTCATCGTCACAAAGATGACAAAGAACCTTCTGATTCAGACTCTAGTTCTAGTTCTGAAAGTGATAATGATAAAGGTTTGAATAAAGAGGAAAGACGTCAAAGACGAATAATAAGGCGTCGTGAAAAATTAAATAACGAAACTGAGTATAAGACTAATGCATATGAATATCAACCGAAATACCCAAATAAATCATCATTAAAAAAGTAGAAGTAAATAGAGAATAAGAAACCTACTAAATCATTTATTTTAATTACACCCCCCCTTCTTTTGTTATTAAATCTAATTACAACTACAATAGTAATAATAACAATAGTATTTATGTCATACAATAATATTTATATCAGTATATATACATATATATAATATATCCTGTGATTTATTTGTTGTTTACTTTACAATGCAATATCAATCTGAATTAATGTGCTATATGTTTCTCTAGGCATTTTGTATTGGATCATACCAGCGTAAATCATACAATTTCTAGCAAGTTTTTTCATTAAATTAATTTGGTCCATCTTATTATTATCATCAACATTTGAAGGATTATTTGGATTAGATCCTGATAATGTAACATCATTCCGGATTTGGTTCTGTGAAAGAGATGATTTTAATCTTTGAATAACTTTATTCACCGAAATCATAGTAATAACCAATAAATTTGGAATGCATTTCACAATATTAGGATCAATTAAATTAAATTCCTCTGCTTTTTTTCTAATACTTATCTCTTCACTACCGCTGAAATCATCACCTATGTCTTCATGATTATTCATATTATCATTATTATAACGACTATTTTGATTCACTACTAGCGGTAAAATGTTTAATTCTATAATTTTATTCAAGATTTCTTCCCATTGTACAACATTTATATGGCTTACCTCATTTCTATCAATAGAAATGATATTGAAAGCATTGTTGTTATCAAATAATTTTCTGATCTCTACTATCTTTAACAACAATAAACATGTTTCTTTATTTTTAAAGCTAATAACCGACTTGTTGCTATCATGTCTGTTCAAATGTATATCGATCAATTTTTCTGCTAACAAAATTGGATTTGTTTCACTATTATCATTAATATTAACTAAAATGTTACAAGTTAAGTCAGAATCACTTAACAAATTACTGATGATATTGTTGATTATCGAAATGACAATATCATATTCTTCAGCTAATTGGTATAGTAACAAACTATCGTAAACTCTACCATCCTCGTCAGCTTTCAAAGCTGCTTGTTCTGTAATCACTTTCAAAAATGACTTGCTATCTGTCTCATCATTAATCAACAACAATGATCTTCTTTGTTCTATAACACCTGGAATACGAGATCCATTACGACCTATTTTTCCTAAAAGAATAGTGAATTCTTTAGTTTGTAATATCAATTCTCTTATACATTCATGCATAAATAATGTTTGTAAGTCATTCTTATCTCCTTTAGAATTTAACCCAATTAATAATAAATATTCTAATGCAATTCTAGGATCAGAATATTTATATGATCTGATGTAAGACGTAATAATCTTTATAAAATTTATGGAGACATCACTCTTACCATTTGCTAAATTATTATCGTTTTTATGTACAATTAAGGCGGAGGATAATGGGTCATTACTAACATTTAATAGTTGTTGGTTACAAATACCAATTGCCAGATGGACCGCATCTAATTCACTGATCTTGTATGCATACTCGACAGCATATTCGAAAAGACCGCTCAATAACAGAATTTGTAAATAATCATTATTAAATCTTTGAACACCGTATGATAAGATAAGTTGTTGAAATTCCTCTAATGTGTAGTTTTTGTAGATGGTATCATTAACAACGATCTCATTTGGCAACTTACTATTATGAATATTTTCTTCTTTAATCAACATAAAGTGAATCCAAAGCCAATCCTCAACGTTTAATGTTATTTCAGGGATCGATTTCTTTGTCAAATCACATCGACCAATGATTTTATAAACAGCCAATCTATAAGGATCACCATTCAAAGAGTTCTTTATATGTTGGTTGTATTCATTATGCAATCTAGTCATAAATTCAACAGGTAATTCATTGTTGCCATTAGATTTAGCATGAATGTATGCCTTAAAATAAGTAATAAATGACTGTTCAATTTTTTTAAAATTTGACCTATTATTTATCATAACATCTAATGCTTCTTTTTCCATACCAGCTCTTAAAAGATAGAAAATCAAAGCCCAAATTGGTGTTCCATTTATAATAGTTAAGTTGCTAACTTTCCAAACGTCACCAGAAGATGTACTCGCATTTGAAGTGGTATTATGTAACACTAAATTATCAATGTTTGTATTAATACTGCCACCTGGGCTATTTTTTAACTTCTTCTCAATGAAAGATTTTATTTTGTTAATATTTGTTGGTAATCCTTCATCCATTTCCTTTTTATATAATAAATCAACATATTCTTTAAATTGACTTTGTAAGTATTTTCTGGCATTAGTAATGACTAGATTATTGCGAGAAAAGGTAGAGGAATTTAGGTTACCAGAAGCAATTGACATTTTGTTCTTAACTTCCTGAAAAGATTCAATAATTTTCCATGATTCTAATAATTTTCTTGATTTCAAATCATTTGAATTATTATTTAACAAAGATATAAACTCTTGATTCAAAGGAAATTTAGTATTTTGTTGCCTAGCATTATTAAATCTATGAATAATTTTGGCATTCTTTTCAAATTTGTCCCTTAGCATATAATGTTCGTTTACGTTTAACTTAGAAAAACCGTCATTATTATAATTATCATTTAAAAGATCAATCCCGTCTAATCTATTTCCAGTAAATTTTTTACTCCAGAATTTCATCAAATCATCATTATTTAAGATTTTATCCGATTGAATTGATTTTAAAGAGTTTGCCTGGGTTGATTTTTCGCCAACCAAAATGCCAAAATTTTGTTTAATAATATTCTTTCTTTCGTTCCAATTTAAATTTAGATTGTCATTAACATAATCATCAAAGTCCTTTGCAGCATTCGATAATAGCATTTCAATAGAGGCTAAGATATTTTCGTTTTTTTTAATTTTTAGATAATTATCAATCTCTGTAAATTCAACCTTATTACCTGTAGAATAAGCACTGGATGCAAGATCAAGAGTAGTCAGTTGAACATTGGTACCAGCAGATTCCATCAGGACGGTTGAAGCAACATTAGATTCAGTAGAAATAGAAGGAATATTTCTGGTTAAGGTAGAATTTGATAGAATTTGGTTTTGTTCTAATGCTTTTAATGAGGTATCGACTTCATCAAATTGTAATCCACTGCCAGCCAATAAGTAATGGGCCTTTGTATGGTCTTCATGGGGTTCGTGTTTTATAACAGATCCATTATGTGTGGTATTAGTTGTAGCATGTGCTCTTAATTCACGAGCTCTCCGATTGATTTCTTGAATGGATAACTGGATTGAACCTAAATCAGAGGAGGTGGTTGGTAGTGCTTTGGATGATTCCAAAAGGCTGTTAAACAATTTTGAGGTGCTATTTTTTTGGGGTTGTTCTGAAGAGATTCCTCCGTCTTGGTTTTTTTCATTAACTATATTGATTAAGGTCATCCTTGATAAACCTTTTTTTATAGGCTGTTTTTTTTAGTCTTGAATCTGATAATATTCTAGAGATAACTTGTATGACAAAACAGAACAACGAAAACCAGAAAAACTAGCCTCCCAATTATAAACAAACTGCAAACAAATACACATAGTTGAATCCCATTAATAATAGTTAATCAATGTTGTTTAACAAAACCCATCGAAACAGCTTTAGAATTTTTTTTCTTAATTTTTTTATTAATAATTTAAGTTACCCGACGAAACCTAAAAAAAAAAAAAATAAAAAATGAAAATCCATAAAAAAAATTTTCGTATGACACGACCTAAAATTATATTCACATATCTCATTAAATCTGCTGATAAAACTCCTGATAATAATAATAATAGCAATGATGACATATTGTTTTTTTTTCTTTTGCATATGTAATTGCAGATTGGCTTATTGTATTTCAAGTAAGATTGTCTATTGCATTTATCAAGAAATATTCTTAGTAAAGATTTCTCTCTAAGTTCAGTTTAAGAAACAAAAGTTCTATTACATTGGGACATATTCGATAGTCTAGTTTAATATGTGTTTTGAGTTTAATGTTTTACCAAGTCAATTTCAAATTTAACTTTTCTTCATAAATAGTTATGTTTGATTATTTAACCATATAAAAAATTGTTTAAAACATATGAAAATGTAAAACTAAAAATACCATAAATTATGTGAGATAGAAGTTATCAAGGATCCTAAATAGAATTTCCAGTAGTTTTTTAGAATTTTATTCTTGTCTAATAGTGAAGAAAAAAAAATTTCTGAAAAATGATTGAAAATGGATTAGCTTTAAAATTTCATTTTATAACTTTTTTGGAGAAGCATCCAAAACTAGTTAAACTTGTTCTTATCCATGTCTAAGTTAATACCAAACCTTAGCAATAAAAATAATCTTTGTCTACTGAACTGCATTTTAAAGAATATAAATTAGCGAACATCACTTGTCTTACTTTATAAATCCACAAAAAAAAAAAAACAAGATCAGCCAAAGATGACGAAGTTGACTACATTTTGGTTACATCTACTAAATTATTTTATAGTATCAAAGAAAATTGCTTTTTGTAATGTTTCGGAGACAGTATTTATTCATTTGAAGACTTATATACAACCCTATAGAAAGGCAAATACAAAAATAACTTGATTTATGATACGATTGAACATTATTCTGTTATTGAGTGGCACAAATACTAACTGTACAAATATCGATTCAAATAATAATAAACTATATTTAGGCATTTTATTGCCAGTAATAAATTCATAAAATACCTCTAAAAAAATTAAAAATTCTGAAAATAAACTCAATAATCCTTTAAGATTAATCAATTTTGGAGATTTATCAAATGATATTTCACATTTTAGCAAAGTTAGTGAAAATGGTGACGTCTTATATAAAACATCAAAAAAAAATTATGTAAGCTCAATTCTATTATAAAACAACGATATTCATAACATTTCTTTTAATGATTTCAACAATATAAATTTCACAACAAATTTCTTGAATTATATTAATCAATTGTTAACGATGCGTAAACTATATAAGAATGAATATATACAGTATAAATACTTCACTTCCTGGAGTACAAATTGGCTTTTTTTAACTCAATCTTATTTCAGATATGTGATGAGAAAACAGCAAAAAAAGCATGTATGAGGCTGTTTGTGGAGTAAACTATATTACTTTTTTTGTATAATGACTATTATGGAAATTATTGTATATATATGTCTACATTTTACATTTTTGTTGTAACATAATAAAAAGAAGTTTATTTATTTAATTGCATATTTCTTTTTTTAGCAAATTTTAGAACGATTTCGGTTATTTTCAAATGTCATGCATTTTTTCATGAACTTATTGTTTTTGTTGCATCTATTGTCGCTTTCGTCCTGAACAATGGTCCTATAGTAAAATGTTTTTTTTTTTCATTGTGAAAGGACCCAACCCATGTCCTTTCTGAACTTCGAAAAAGTGTTTTTTTGACTGTTTTAATAGAAGAAAATAAGGATTTAGAAAAGGGAATATATAATATTATATATAAAAGACCCATAAATAAAAGGATATATATGCTATGTCTTGTTTAAAAAGAAGATCATCCTCATTTGTTAACATACATATCAATATATTCATCAACTGGCATTTCACCAAATTTATCCCCTAAAGATATATCCAAGATATTTGAGGTACGTTCAGATTTATTGAAATGTTGTTCCAAATGATTAGTGAATTTTTGTAGTAATAATGGAATCCCTTCTTTACGTCTTAAATGGTGTCCAATTGGATAATTAACTAAAACTTCATCTAAAATTGTTCCATCCTTCAATTTCACAAGTAATGCATTAGATATTGCACGTTTCTTTGGATCATGATAATCTTTAGTTAATTGCTTGTCAACTTTACATTCCATCTTGTCTCTTAAAATGTCAATATCTGGATTACTTAATGCAATATCATCCATGTAATGGGTTGCCTTTAGTTCTCCATAGATTAAAGGAATGGCAACCATGTATTGAATACAATGGTCTCTATCAGCATAATTGTGTAATGGACCAGATTTGTTGATTATATCCATAGCAGCTTGTTGGGTCCTAATTATGATGGATTCAATATCAGAATAAGTTTTGCCCATTGAATCTAATTGTTTTTTCACAATCAAAGCAGCTTCAACAGCAGTCTGAGCATGGAATTCTGCTGGAAAGGAGATCTTGAATAAAACATTCTCCATAACATATGAATCAAAGGTTTTACGTTGGCTAAAGATAAACGGTTTACCGTCATTTAAGACGTCATAAAACCCCCACTTTGGAGCAGATAAGATTGATGGGATATCACCTAATTGGCTCTTGGTTTGTTTGACCATAAATGCTATTTTGACTGCTCTAGAAACAGCATCACCAGCAGCCCAAGACTTACGAGACCCAGTATTTGGTGCATGACGGTAAGTTCTTAAAGATTGACCATCAACTAAAGCATGGGAAATACATTGTATAGTTTGCTCTTGAGTAAGATTTAATAATTTGGATACAACACTAGCAGTGGCTAATTTCACTAGTAAAACATGGTCCAAACCGTGAGCATTAAAAGAATTATCTAGAGCCAACACACCTTGGATTTCATGGGCCTTTATCATACATTGCAAAATATCATTTATGGTTAATGGCATGCCTTGACCCTTCAGATTACGATTAATATAATCTGCTACCGGTAAAATACCACCAAGATTATCTGAAGGATGGCCCCATTCAGAAGCAAGCCAGCAATCATTGAAATCTAACCACCTAATCATTGTACCGAAAGTAAAACTTCCATTAACAGGGTCCATAGACCAATTTGTTCCTGGAATTTTTGCGCCACATGGAATTTGAGTTAACTGTTCTGGCATTACTGGGGTCATTACTTTTTTAGCCAAAGGGAAATTTAAAGCGGCAAGGCCACATCCCAAAGTATCCAACAAACACCATTTAGCAGTTTGAATAGCAACTGGAGAAGTAATATCCTTTTTGTGAACGTAGGTAGCAATGTCCTCAATCAATTTATCTGTGGCAGGTCTTTCATTAAGTGTGCAGGACATTGTTCTGTTAGTATCAGCGTATGATCTTTTAGTTAAAATAGTTTTTGTAAATTTGCTAGAGGCTGAGCGAAACATTGAAATTTAAAAATACGAGTTAGTTGAGGTTGTGGATTTCGAAACAAGTTAAAATAAGAAGAAATGAGAGCAACAAATTAAGAATAATTTATAAACAACTCGATAATTTAAACATACTTACAAATATAAAGTAATATATATATATTTATATAAATAAAAAAGTATTCAAAGCTCATAAAATTAGACTAATGGGTTGAATTGGTCGATTAATCGATTAATTTGTTTGTTAACTATTCCAGGAGTAATTAGGTCAGCAAGGGTATGAAGATATGACCGAGTAGAGAATGCCTCATAAAAAGATACATATGATACGCTTATTTCTTGATTATCAAAGTTTTGAAAATTTTTTCAAGTAATTGAAGTCAACGCTCTTTGGTCTTTCAATAGGCAACCCATATATCCTATCCCAAACTAACTGTGCACAGGGACCCATGGCCCTTGAACAACCAAAGATGACAGTTATAAAATCTAATTCCTTCATCCCATAATGATAAAATAAAACTCCGGAGGCACTGTCAACGTTGGGGTGTGGATTTTTACATTTTCCCCACTCCCCTAAAACCCGAGGCGCAACTCTAGACAATAACAACATTAAATTTACGTTTGGATCATCCTTAAATTGTTCGCTTCTTTGATTAACAAAATCAAGCATAGCAGAAAAACGAGGATCTTCACGTCTTAATACAGCATGACCGTAGCCGGGAATAACATGATGGTTGTTTAAAACAGACCATAAATAATCTTCTACTTGGGTTTCATCTTTTGTGTTTTCTACTTGTTTTTGGGTCTGTAACAAAAACTTAACTACATCTTGAGCTGCTAATCCATGCAACGGACCTGCTAACCCCAATAAACCAGCCGAGTAACTTAACATTGGATCACTCAATGCAGATCCAACTAAATGTGTTGTGTGTGCTGATACATTACCGCCTTCGTGGTCTACATGCAAACCAGTATACAGTCTTATCAAATTGGTAATTTCTTTTGTGTCATCTTTGTCTTCTTTCGTTGTTTTATTACGCTCTTTACTTAATAGACCCATCATAGAGGTCAAATTTTGAGCCCAATCTCCACTAGGATCAAATTTACATACTTCTTTTTTTGTTACATTGATTTGTAATTCCACGATAAATCTTGCTTGCTAGGGATGGTAAAAAGGCAATTAAGGTCATGACATCATCAAAAGCATCTTCCCACATTGTCAATTTGTTATTAACTCCACGAGAATAATTATCCCTAAATTTTGAAAAGTAACTTAATGTTCCCACACCAATGGAAAATTGGGTCATTGGATGCATGGTTGCAGGTAATGAGTTCATAATACTATTAACCTCTTCAGGTAAATAAGACGTCTCAACAGAAGAGTTAGAAATAACAATAGTATTCCATTGTTGTATCAAACTATTAACTTGTTTTTTAGTTGGAATTTCACCGGTTAATAATAGCCAAAACATAGCTTCTGGATAGAAAATGTTGGAAGAATCTTCAGGACCTGGCAACAATTCCTGACATTCTTGAATTGTATATCCCCAAAACTTGATGCCTTTGATTGGATCCAGTGTGGATGATTGCCAATATAATAATTGACATCCTCTCATGCCCCCTAATATAGATCCTACGGTCAATTCATTGTTAGGTAACTGAACATTTTGTAATTCTTGTCTCAATTTTTGAAATTCAATTCTACGTTGGGGTACTAATTTTTTTAAGGTATCCTTAAGTGTAGTCTGGGCAGAATTTCTTCTTACAGTAGTATGTATAAATCTTCTCATAATGGCTCTAAATAGGCTAACTTTTTTGTTATTTTTACCCTTGTGACTTGTTCTAGTCTTATCTAGTTTTTTTGGTTTACATGGTATATAGCAAGAATGAGGCAGAGTAGTACTATACATATCCAGTTCAATGAATAAAATGATATGCTCTTTATATATGCGTTTGCATTTATTTCCTTTTTAATATTAATAGCTGTACATACTTTGAAAATATAAAATTTGTTGGAGTAAACAGTTTCTCTTGTTCTTTTGTTTATATTATTATTATTATTATCACTATTATTACTTTTATAGTTTAATATAGCCTATATCATAGCTATATGTTATTGTACAATCAATGTGTGAAGTGGGGAACTTTTAATTAATCTATTTATTTATGCAAAGGAAACAGATTTTTTTTTAGGTTTATCTTGTTTATCTTTAATTTCATTAGCTTCTCTCATACCTAGTCTTTTATTCTTTCTACGTAATGATCTAGCTAAAGATGCTTTATTCTTAATTTCATTCTTTTTCTCTTCTAATTTCTGTAATTTTGCTTGTTCTTTTTGTTCAATTTCTTTTCTTTTAACTTCTCTGATTTCTTCTAGACGACGATCTTTTTCAATCTTCGATTCATTAATTTGATCATATTTATCACCAACAGTTTTAACCAATCTTTGCCAAACAAGTGTATCATTATCATCAATAAATTTCTTACCCTTTTTACCACGTTTAATTTTGATACCAGGTATGATAGATCTATTCAAGTTAGGAATATCTTTGCTTTCATCAATTTTAATTTTTGAGCTATAATCTCGACCACGTGAAACAGCTTTTTTACCATATAGTCTAATCTTTTGTTGCTCTTTTGCAGTAGCAAGTTTACTAACCTTGTATTTTTGGTTTTGTTTAGCCTTTAATAATTGTTCTTGACGTTTCGATTCACCTGATATGATTGTGTCATTTAACTGGTTTCTTGATATAGAATCAGCAAACACTTCAGGGCGTACTTCTCTTTGTGTAGATTGATACTTAGATTTTCCTTTCTTATACTTTCTAGCTACCATTTGGAATCAATTAAATAAAGATATATTATGATAAAATATAAAAATATGATCTAATAAGGTGTATGGAGATTATATGTTCGTATAGATAGGAATTCTATATAATATTTTATTCTTCCTAAATGTTGTTTTCGTCTTTTGAATTTGTTAAGATACAATACATAAGATGACATATATTAATAGCTATTGATGAATACTTCTTTATTTTTTTAAGCTCATCGATACTCTTATATTATTTTCCTTCTTTTTTTCCAAGAAAATTTTCAGTGAAAAATAAATAAAATAAAAAAGAGGAAAAAATAATTCTTATAGTACGAGACGATAAGACAATTTAACTAATACGAAAAAGATAAAGAGCAATAAAATAATTTATACAATACTATACATATTATTTTATCCCTAAAAGTATCAGATATAAATATATATACGTATATATCCAATATTAACATTATTTTAATTTAGCAAGAACAGTTTAAATATCATATGATCTTTGTAAAAAAATCATAGAAGAGCATAAACATTCATTTTAAAACACAATCCTGGGTATTATTTCCTTAAGGTTCAATAGTTAGACTTTATGCAGTGTTAAAAATTAAGTACTGCATGAAGAGTTACTTTTAAATCTCTCAATATGTATGTTTATAAAGAGGGCATATGTACGGTCGTAAATAGGAGGGCTTACGTGAAGGTAATAATACTTTATATCTTTTTTTTTTTCCTGGTATATTTTTTTCTTTTGTATTTTCTTGAAAAGTTGGAAAAGAGGAGAAGCAACACAGAATAAAGAAATTGAGGTTTTGAAAAAACAGTGATGTCCAAAAGAAGTAATTCTTGACTAAATTTAGAGTAGGCCTGGAAAGAAGGCACATTTAAATCTGGTGATAATTTTAAGAGTTATCGAATATTAACTATTTTCTTCTTAATTTGGTGTAACGACATACAGCAATGACGTAATCACTTATAGATTTTTCTTGCTGAATATCTTTTACTGTATGTTACATATATATTTATTTACAATCCAAGAAGATAAATGCTGTTCGGTAAATGTGTTCCCGTATTAGAGTTATTTTTGCAGATATAAAAACATTTAGTAGTTGGTTTTTTGTTCAGTGTTTACTTTATAATAGAAATCTACTTCACTTTTAGTTATATCTAACAGAAAAATAACATGAAAATAAAACATTGCTTGGATTTATAAAAAATCTGTCCTACTCTGCATTTTATTCGCTTTTTTACATAATTCCTATTTTCTGTCCTGATATTTTCATATATAAAAATAGTTATTAATACATATGAGTTTCGTAAACAATTATAATATGAGAAATCATAGATCTGATATTAATAAGTGTCATCTTAGTGATAAAAATGATAACAATTACTCACATAATGTGTCAACATTAGAAAACATAGGTATTTCTCAGTATAATAAAAAAGACAATAAATTAAATAAAGATCTTGATTATTTTGATTGTTATGGTGACAATTATTCATGTATAAACATGAATACTACTACGAACAATAGTGTTAATCATATTCATTTAAAATCCATTTTGAATTTACCGTCTCAAAATTATAATACACGTTCCTCATGTCATATTCATATTCAAACACCCGGAGTTTTCATTAATCACCACCATAATAAATCTATTAGGAAGACACCAGTACCAAAGGAATGTTTTTTTGATAAAGATGCGTTTAGTTGTTGGGAAACGTATTTCCATAATAGTAATACTATCAATAATCGTGAAAATGATAAGTTTAAATTGGATCTGGGTCAAAGTTCTACTTTAAAACGAAGAAATCTTCATAAATAAGATTACAATAAATATATAGAGGAGTTATCTGCATTTGTTACGTAACTAACTAATAGATGTTTATTTGAACCAAAAATGTTATCTTTTTGAAGAGTTGTTGTTTAATTTATCTATTCATCATCTTATTACTTATGTGTTCCTTTTGTGTGTCCTGGCTACTGTGGTTAGATGTAAATGGAAATGTATGGGTGTTAATCTTTATTTTTTTTTTTTTAGTCATTCTTTTTTCTTTTGAGAAGCAGGAAGGAGAAATTTGAGAAAACGAGTCAGAAGAAGAAAATAAGACTCAATTATCATTTCATTTTATTTTTGTGGAATGTTCATAAATATAACCCCAAGATGCAAGCTTCTCGAATAACAATAAAAATTCAAGAGAACCCCGGTGTACTTTCTGTATTTGTTGGATTGCTCTTGATCTTCCAGAACGTACTGATATTTTAATACTATTGAATATATTCAATTATTTTACGCTTTCGCTAGAAAGATATTTCATATACTTCAAAACGTCTATATAACTGTAGATCAATATTGAATATTATCTTATATTATATTCAAAATGTTTAAATTACAATCAAAAAAAATATTTAAAATACCTTATTTGACAACTAAATTTTCAAATAGATTTGCTTCTACATTGACATTTCTGGAAACTACCTCTAATGGGAACTTTACTTCGTCATCCTTAAGCATTTTAACTGCAGCAAAAGAGTTGGGTAATCCAATAATTGGCCTTGTGTTAAATCCAAATTTGAAACAAAATCAAGTTAAATCTTTATCAGTCTTTAATAAATTATTATTCTCAAATGATGCTGCTTTTAAAGATAATTTACCAGAAGTCATTACACCATTATTATCTGATCTAATTAAAAAAGAAGATATATCACATTTTTTGATTGCTAATAATATTCTAGGTAAGAATATTTTACCACGTTTAGGTGCATATCTAGATATTCAACCAATTTCAAATGTGATCAAAATAGATAGTGGTAATAATACTTTTTATAGACCAATTTATGCTGGGAATATCATCTCCCAAGTAGAAACCCAGCAACCTATTAAATTGTTATCCATAGGTACATCATTGTTTCCTGAATATTCAATAATAAGCGAAGACATTGTTTCACATAACATTAAAGAATTGAGTTTATTAAATGATGGTACTAAAGAAAATATTCCTCAGGTAATTGATCAAGAAAATTCAGTTGTTGACGAAAATAAGTTGATAGACTTAACTTGTGCTAAAATTGTCATCGCTGGTGGTGCAGGCTTAAAGAACAAAGAAAATTTTAATAAACTATTGTACCCATTGGCTCAAAAATTTGATTATGCTGCAATTGGGGCTACTAGAGTGGCCGTTGATAATGGATATTGTCCAAATTCTATACAGGTTGGTCAGACTGGTAAAATTGTATCTCCAAATTTGTATATTGCAATAGGTATATCTGGTGCCATCCAGCATTTAGCTGGGATGAAAGATTCAAAGGTTATTGTGGCTATTAATCAAGACTTAGATGCTCCAATATGTAAGATTGCAGATTACTCTTTACAAGGTGACTTATTTAAGATAGTTCCAGAATTAACTAATAAATTGTGAAGCAAGAAAATGTGAAGGAATATTTCTGTAGTTGGTTATTATCATAAATATGCTTACTATAGTTAGTCTTTTTCTTTTATTGATGCATGTAAATATTTGTTTAGAAATAGATATTCACATATGTATTTTTTCAATGGAAGCAGAATGCTATAAATTTATATGAAATCCAAAAATGTCCTTGTCTGTTTTGTTAGTGTTCACTATTATAATCTTACAATAAACATATCTTTATAAAGTTATCACATTTGTGTCTTTACTTTTTTATATTCAACTACTGCTCTACTACCTTGTCTTATCTAAGATATATAGTCTGTAAAAATCTTTGTTCTTCAGTAAAATAGAGTATTCTTCATAATATTAGATAGTATAAATATTTATAATAATATATAGAGTTCGTAATATATATTCTATTTAAAGGTTAGTTAGCTCGTATACTATAATGGTTTTAGTCTTTTTCTAACTACTTATATCTCTGTGTTCTAATCATTTTTCAATTGACTAATTCGGTAGTTTAGAATATAAATAAAGCTTTTTCTTTTACAAAAAGTAGATGATAATAAAACTTAAAAAGCCCGAGTTGTTATTTTTCAAATATAATATCTCTATTCAAAAGAAATCTTTATTTAATAACAGAACAAGACAAGAAAACTGAAAACGTAACTCAACATTGCAGTCTACTAATAGATCTAGTTCTATTGAGGGGAAAATAGAATTAATTAAGATACCAACTACAAAGTACAGCAAATATAGTATAATCATTAAAAAAGTCATACATAAAATGATTTTTTATTTCTATTCTGTAATAAAGGAATATTAGAAAAAAATTCATATACATAAGATATTATCTACCCTATCACATATTCATAGAGGTACTACCTACATTAAAAATGGATTTGAACTCTAATTTATTGCAAAATAAATCATCAGATATTAATGTGTCTCAAAATTATGGGACTGACCCTCACTTAACATTAATCAACAATAAACAGTCATCTGCTTTAAGTGAGGATAGGACTGATTTTAATTTAGGATTGAATAATAATGTTTATGTCAGCAGTATTAATAATGGGTATTTCCAGACAAGGTTTAAAACATTAATTTACTATTTACCTTGCACCGCATGGATAACTACATATGGTTGGTTGGATTTTGTTCACGATTTTGTAGCAGGATTATCCTTAGCTTCGTTTCAAATCCCCCTAAGTATTTCGTATGCATCATCTTTAGCACATGTAGATTTACTATCAGGTTTGTATTCATTGGGAGTTACACCTTTTGTGTATGCTATGTTTGGTTCAACTCCTTCGATGATTGTAGGCCCAGAAGCTGCCATATCTTTGGTAATTGGTCAAAATATAGAATCTATAACAACTTATAATGATAAGGTAACTGCTATTCAAGTTACAACAGTTACAACTTTCCTAGTAGGTTTAATTTTATTTTTTTGTGGGATAATAAGATTAGGGTTTATGGGATCAATTTTGAGCAGGGCTCTTCTAAGAGGATTTATTGGTTCAGTCGGCTTTGTGATGGTTCTTAATTCATTGATTATAGAACTGAAACTTAATAAATTATTGAGAGATGTCTCAGATCATTATAATACACCATTTCAAAAAATCATTTTTTTAATTAAATATGCCCCCGAAAATTATCATAAACCAACATTTATTTTCAGTTTTATTGTATTATTCATTTTATTAGTATCAAGAGCTTTGAAAAATAGATTAGCGAAAAAAATTAAATGGATTATCTTTTTGCCAGAAATTTTATTAGTAATTTCTGTGATGTCTTTTATTTCTTACTGTTATGACTTCAAAAAAAGATATGGTATGTCAATTGTAGGTGATTTTAATACAAATGGATTTGATGAATTCAAGAATCCATTATCATCGAGCTATAGGCAATTAATTCCATCTTTGGGACAACTCTCTACTATTGTAGCTACCCTTGGGTTTTTTGAATCGATCACTACCTCCAAGGGGTTGGGTGGTATTAATAATTCTGTTGTATCATCAAATAGAGAATTAATAGCATTGGGCCTTATGAATTTGGTGGGTTCGGCCTTTGGTATTTTACCAGCATTTGGTGGCTATGGAAGATCCAAAATAAACTTGAAATCAGGTGCTAGAACTGTAATATCTGGGGTCTTTATGGGGTTAATAACGCTTTTAACTACAAAATACTTTTTGCCAATCATTCATTATATTCCAAACTGTATTTTAGCTGTTACCACAACATTGGTTGGATTAACACTTCTGGAGGATATTTCAAAAGATATTTTATTCCATATTCGTTGTTATGGGTACAGTGAATTGTTTGTTTTTTTTTTAACGATAGTTTGCACTTTGTTCTGTTCTATTGAATTGGGAATAATTATTGGCTGTATGTATTCTATTGCATCTATTGTTAAGCATTCTGCTAAATCTAGGATTCAAATCTTAGCCAAAATTGAAGGCACTAATGACTTCATTAATGTTATTGAATGCATGGATGTTGTTGATTATGTTTCAGATATCACTTTGGATAATCTTGAAGGATGTTTATTAATAAAAATTACAGAGCCTCTTACTTTTACAAATGCAGAGGACATGAAGGACAGATTAGATAGAGTTAAACGGTTTGGTTCTATAAATGCACACCCAGGTTCTAAGGAAATACGAGAACAAAATATTGACTATGTCATATTTGATCTTCACGGTATGACTTATATTGATTCTTCAGCAACACAAATATTATATGAAATTATATGTAGATATCAAGAAGAGAAATCATTTGTATTTTTAGTAAGAATTCCAAAGAAAACTGTGATAAGAGAAAGGCTTCAAGAATCTGGTATTTTTACTTTGTTAATAACACATTTAAACATATTAGAAACACCAAATTTTCAGACTTTACCATTTGATCCATTTTCTCTTAATAGCGTTCAAGAGGCCTTGCTTTTGGTTACCACTATTAAACAGCATATGAATCAGTGTAGAGAATCAAATGATGATAATAGTGTATTATCTAAAATCTTGATGAATTCAAATCTGGTTTAGTATGTCTATTTTGACTACAATCAGATAGGCAGCAGAATCATTTTGCTAAAACACTACAATATAAGTTAGAAAAAGTATTTACATATATATTTAAATAATAAAACCTATTGTATATAAAGAATAATAGAAAGTATAGTATACTTAATTATCTTCTAGTGATAATATTATAGCAGAAGTTTTTGAGGTTAGTTGTTGTAAAGAAATAATTTTGTTTTAAATATAATGATTTTTTACAGTATCACATAATGTATATATTAATAATAATTTATATATATAATAAATTTTTGATATATTTAGTATTTATTCTATATAACAGTAATAAGTATATTTGGTATTATATATTGGAAGTAGATAGATTTTTTTTAAAGGAATTATTTTTTTTTGCATTTTTTATTATCATTATTATTTTTCAGTTTCAAAGTGTAATAAGCCATTAGGTAATATTCACTGATTCTTAAGTTACGAATGCTGTAATTTAAAAGATATGAAATAATAATTTAAATATTATAACAAAGTAGTATGAACTGCATACTTTGTAAATAGTCACTTTTATATATTAAACAATATAATTATTATATACCAAACCATATAATGTTTATGTACATTTTTAGATATCGGAAACTCTTTTATTGTTTCTATCCTAGCTGATTACATATTTTTTAAAATACATTTTAATGAAAATTTGGTGAAAAAAAATTTTGTTGAATATTTTCCAACAATGAGAAACTATTCATAGGGCTAGAAATAATTCAGAATAATTTAGACCTTACTTTACTATTAATACTCTCTTCTGCGATGAAAAATTCTGACAATTACGTTAAGCAATGATTAGGCCGGCCATTCTTTTCTATGAAAATACAAAGTAATATGCTCATTGAATAAATATAATATACAGAAGTAATAGTTTATAAAGTGTAATAAGAAAAACTCTTGTAGGTTTTTAAACAATTTAACCTATTTTATTCGAATTATAATAATTGATATAAATTGCAAAATATATTGGGTTTTGTTATGAAGAATTTTTTATTGTTGAATTATTAATTTTTGTAGAAAAAAATTATGTGCAGCAATAATAATAATTTTATAAAACTGTATTTTAAATATTAAAATCAATAAAATTTTTTAAAACTTGCTAAAAATAAAATGTTTAAGAAAATAAACAAACATTTTTCTATTATATTTTAATATATACATAGACATATCTAGGATGAATTGTATAATAACAAAAATATTAAAAAAGTGTAAAAATTTGAATTTACCGATATTTTTTATAATATAGGATAGTAGATATGTTGCTAATAAACATATCTTATAAATCTTTTATTATATTCAGTATCTACTAAACAAGCGAAACTTAATATATATTACAATTGAATTCAACTAGGATAAACAAGATATTCCTTTACAAAATCTATTTTATATATTTACTTTTTTTATATTCCGATTCTCATCTTTTATAGAAAGATAAAAGATTATATATTACATCACACAAAATAATATATATGTAGCTATTGAAAAATTTTTTTTACAAATATCCAATAATTAACCAGATAGTTGCATTAATATTTAGTCATTTCTAAATAACAAATATTTAGAATATTATTATTCCATTCATTTCATTCTAAACCATCTTATTTTAGAAATTTTATATTTGTTTATTTATGTTTTAGTTTTTATTTTCTAATAGAAAATTAAAAAGAGTTATTATATTAGGAATAAGCGTTATTTTTATAAGGTTTTTTTCAATTGAATAGGTATAGGTTTGCGAAAAGTATTTTCTATTGTAAAACAAAAAAAAGACTATATATCATATTATAATTTAATACGTAGTGTAATATTCACGTGTTATAGATTCTATTATATTGGATATTTTCTATGATTTTTTATATTTATTTTATATTTTATTTCCGATTTGATAAAATTAATATGTATTTTCGTCTTATATGATAGTTTTATAAATTTTTAAATTTTATAAAAATATAATTAGTAAAAAACACAGTATATAATGTTGCACACAAAGTGTTTTGTTGATTATAATTAGGTAAGTCGTATGCTGTGATATTTTTATTTGTATAAGAATTTTGTAGAAAATAATATGATATAATATATGCTCTCTTTTTTTGTCTTTTATGAAGGGAAATATTTTTCCACAAATCTTGTTAAAATATGGATAGTATGTTTATTATATTTCTTTATTAAAAACTGTTTTTTATTATATCATCAAGAATGATAATTAAAAAGAAAACATGTTCCTCAATAAAAAAAATATTTACGAGGAGAATAAAAAAGATGAATGATTGATTTGTATTTATGTATAGACATAATATATAATTATGCATATTATTTATAGAGGATCTCAATAAATCAGATATTCAAATCACTAATAGCTTGAGTTATAAAAACAGTAAACACAAACAATATTATTCTGTACAACATCTACTGGTGTAGAAGAAGGAAAAAGTACTGTAAGAACAGCGATTATTTATTTAATGTAGTCACCTCTTTTTAATTTTTGATGAGAAATTGAAAAGTAAAAAAATAAATGAACATATATATATTTTGAAGTTCATAGAATTTTCAAAGTCATTTTAAAAAATATATTTCTTTTTGCATTAAAAATTTTATTTACAGAAAAAGAAAAAAATAAAAAATCTTTATCATTTTTTTTAAATACTTGCACATTAGGTATATTATCTTGTATAATTTGTAACATTAAAACATAAGTTATTTAATCTTATTTATATATTTCAGTACATTATTTTATAATGATAAATGACAATATTTACACTAGCACCTATGTAAAGCCCCAGCTATTTGTTTTTATTAATATTTCTTCTGTTTGGAAAAAATACATTAAACTATAATTTTAAAAAATGTTTGTTTGTTTTCTGGTAAGTTATTTACGGTTGTAAAACTAATAATGTTAAATTAAATAAAATACATATATATATATATTATTATTATTCCTTGTTCAGACAGGATCTTGTTAAAGATGTTTTTTGGAAATTCTCAAATATTCAAAAAATGAAATAAAGAAAATTTATTAAGGTTTTCATATGTAACAAGACTTTTATTGCAATTAACGAGAAGTATCTGCCTTTCTATAGATTAACTTTGGGGCAAACCATTTATAAGGAGCCCTAACTGGAAATCCTAAAATAGGTAGTATGCGGGTAACGCCTAATGTCGAGGCGAAGGACTTGGAACAACCGAAACTTTGGGCCCAAGATTGTGAATGTATTCGAACGAACATATGATTATCCGATGGACATTGGCGGTAAATTACTATGAAGTTTACTTAAGACACCCTTGATTATTGAGAGATAGTACCAGAGGTAATTATTAGCATTAATATTTGTATTTTATTTAATAGGTTTAATCTAAAGAAGAACAATATGAATTGTTGAGAATGAGTGCCTTTATTCATTGGATATATAGTAAACATTCTCAATATTATATTAAACAGATTTAGTATACAAAATTATAATAAAGTTCTTCGCTCTTTTTCTCTATATATAACATAGAAATAATAATATACAAAGATTGTAAATAAGATAAAAATAATGTATGATGAAATCCTTGGCTTTATATATGTTAACATTTAGCCACTTTCCTCTACGAACAGTAAGATATTTAATAAACAAACTCGACAACCTTTGGTGACCTCTCAACAATTATTACTCAACAATTTATCGTTTAGTGTCTGCTAAAATCTTATTGTTCTATCTATTTCATTATAGAACATTTTATTTCAACATGAATAACTAGGACTAATCTATTTAATAATTAGAATCAACCAGTTATATAACATGTAAGTGTTTATATTTATAATTAAAATTCATATTTTAGCATATTACTTGAGATAACTCTTACACAATATAGTGAATCTTTCATATTATATTTTATGTTTCTAAATATTATTTTGTTTTTGTCCAAAAAAGTTTTCGAAAGATAAAAAAAATTACAGAAAGAACAAAATAACACAGACAATTTGAAGGATTTTGAGAACTATGTAAACTGTTATAATTAGAATATGTTGAAATTGAATGTTATAGAATAAGTAGATAAACAAATTAGATCTTAACAAATGTAAATTAATATCAGAATGCAGAGAATTTACTATTCGCTTATCAGTAAATGTAAATATAACATATTGATAAAAGTAGAGCTATTTGCAGACAACATATTCTCACTATAAAAATACATAAAATCAACATTTTTTTTATATTATATTTCTTCATTTGTGTATCTTTTATACATTATCATCTATATATCACATATATAAAAACAACGGAAAAACTTTAATATAATTTTGTACACTATAACTGTATGGCTATAATAATTGAGAATACGTACTATTTACCTAATAAATACATGCGCTAATTCTCAATAAAATATTATGTATAAATTAGGAGATGAATAATTGAATATCAATCTATATTCTAGATAATAAGAGTATACTACCCTAGTAATTTCTAACCACAATGAATATGAGAAATATCTTTATATGCAACTTATATTTACTCAAAACATAAAGATAAAACAATTGTTGCATAAAAATAAAAAATTTTACATATTTGAGGTTCAATTAAACTGATATTTGCCATGATTTCATGTAAAATTACTATTTGAATTCAAAGTGTCTTCACACAATCACACATAGATTCTCTTCATACTATATGATGTTTTTTCTAAACTCTTGGTTTAAAATAACTTTAAGCTGTAATTAACATTTTATCTACATTTTGATATATAGTAAAGTATACAAGAGAAAGCAGCTCACCTATTATAATTTCAATAATTAAAAAAAAAAATTATAACCCAGCCAAGTATTTAAAATGCTATACTTCTTGACTTTTTTAACAGCATAATAGAATTGTGATACTGTACAATTATTCTGAATCTATTCTAAGTTCACATTAAGAAACTTATCAATTAGGTCAAATCTTTTAATTTGTGAAGTTTCCCCAAATAGTTTTTTATTTTCTTTTTTCTTTACTTGTTGAAACAATTACTAGTAAATCCATTCATCAAAATATCTGTCTATTCCAAAACATATATTTTCTATTACCAGCCATTATTCTTAAAGGGAATGGACAAATTACCCCTGTTTTAAGAAAACAAATAAAACAAATATTGCTATATAATCAAAGTTAATCCAAATAACATATTGTTGACAAATAGTCAGAAAATATTGTTTAAAACTACGCCTCTCACTTCTCACACGTTATTTACTTCATAATACCATCTATCATCAAACATTAATCATTAATTTTAAAAATATATATTGCAATCGCTCATGTAGGCAAGAAAATATGAAGGACCTTTAGTCCTTCTGTCATACGCACTACACTATAAAGTCTAGAATTATTATTACCAAACATTAGTTCACATAAATATCCAAATTGTTTATTTTTTTTGCAAAAACATTCTACAAATATTTACAATCTAGTTTTTGATATCAACATAATGAACCTCAATTAATTCTAATTTCACTCACACTCTCACAAAATGATACCTTACTTTAATATATTCTATTTTTTAAGTAAAAAAATGGACAATCAATAACCTCTCTATAATAGCAACCTATAATCAGATTTAGCATCTTAACTTAAATTAAAAATATGAATGTTTATTAAAAACATTATATTAGTCCTTGACATGAACTTCAATCATGAAGTTCATTTTTAACAGAATTAATTTGTAACACCTTTAAATTTTCATCTAACTAAGTAGATCCCTTTAGCGTTTTATTGGCTGCCACCTATTCTGCTTCTATGGATGATTTTATAATCAAGAAATCTTCTTAATGCTCTATAACATTAGAACTGAAGCATATTTAACAATATATCCACATATTAATTTAGTATCTAGTAGTTTACATATGATACATTTATGCATATATAAAAAAATAGTTCTTTTCATTCTTTTGTTTGTACATTAAAACTCTCGTCTTGATGATATAGATATAGATTAAGATCCTCTTGGCAATTTTTACATAAATCTCTTTTGCCTGCTTTAAATTTTTTAATAAAATAGATAAAAAACTTTGCAGTATCTAATCTTTCAGTATTTGTAAAAAACACCAGTGCACCTATTAGGTTTTGAAACAATGTAACATTATCCGATCTAAAAATTCATTGTAATAACTTGTGCTTAATCAGAAAGGAATTCATATTGAATCTTCCAAAATTAATCTAGTTGTTCCTTTACTCTGCCTAATGTTTATGGCTAAAATTTGTCCAATTTGTCCATTTTTCTTATTTTATACTCGAATAAAAAATTCTTGACTTAAGGTATAAAGACTAATCGACTTAAGAATTTAAAAATTCTATAACCATATCTATTTGATGAATTATCCTATTTTGTTTTGCTAAAAGAGTTGGGAAATATTTAACTTATTTGTATCTGGCTAACGGTGCAAATATAATATTGTAATCGATATTCTCCTTCTAAGAAAATCTGTAACTTACAATTATTGCATTATATAAGTTATTGTCTTTTATCATAAATACTAACTTTGTGAGAATTATTTTTTCTGTCTAATAGGCGTTTTACCTGTTCAAATGTATCTATGTTAACTAAAGCATTGTATTTTATCTTAAAAGCTTTAAAACCTAATCATTTATCTCTCCTTTTAGACGATTGTTAGATAATATTTGACATTATACTAGAAAACCCCTACCCAACTATATGTGATAGAATCAGTCGTGATATGCTTTTCTAAAAAAACGATGAGGAGTTTTGACAATTCCACATGTCACTACAACATTATCGAATCAACATAATGGTATGAGACTGCTAGATAAAATACCATATTATATAAAGGGAACAAAAATTGAAGTAACCTAAATAGTAAATTGACATCAGTATTGTTTATCATAAAGCAGAGTTTTGGGGAAAATATTAAAGAATAAACAAACAAATTCATATTTTACCTATGAATACGTAAGTATAATATGCAATTATAATAGTCTATCTAGATTTAGGAGTAAAGAGCCTTTGTAATTTTTTTCTACAAATACTAATTTTTCTTAGCAAAGAAATATTTTCATTTTAATCATGATCATTAAGGTCTATTTTACCTTCAAAATTATCAATAGAAGAAAAAAATAATAGAGATAAACTTCTTAAAATGTATTACTTTAGTTTATAAAAAACTTATCCGCTAATAATACTTTGTATCTTATTGAAATATTTTTGTAGATAGATATCCAGGATAATAACATCATCAGATTCATGAGCTTCATAGATTTTTTTAGGAAAGAGAGAAACATTAAAGTCGCAGGAAAAAATAGTGATACTAATTAATATTCCAGAAGTTAAGTTAATATTAAAGAAATAAACGTTTGAAAAATCAGTAGTATATCTTGTGATAGTAGCTTATCATAGTATTCAAATTGGTAAATAAATTTAACCCATTGTCTCAAAACGATACAAACGTTATTTCTATTCACATTAAATATACACAGTTTAATTTCTTGTCATATTTACCACTATTCCTGTATAAAGTTCATCTAATTTGATTCTAAAGTCTGTATACAACGTGTTATTCTCAGAAAAAAACAAAAATATTATCACTAAGGACAGGTTAAATGTACGTGTTGAAGGAGATTCAAGATTAAGGGGAAAATAATTCATACAAAGAAGTAGTCTGGATTACATGTCCCTAAAAAGAAAATAAAAATCAACACACCTTAATAAAGCATCCAACTAAATATTTTATGGAGATAATTACTTATTAAAAACAATTTCTAAGCCACTATCCACATTAAAGTTTTTCTTGTACATTATTACATATATATTACTATTTTATGTCAGAGAATAAAAAGACCAACATGCCTAATTTGCCTTTAACATTAATTCAAAGCTTCTTATCATATGATATATCTATCATTCTTATTCTAACCGTAGAATTTCTTTATATAACGTTTGCATATTTCAAAATCTTTCAACTGTTATACCCAGTCATAATTCACTAAGAGACAAACAAATAAAAGAAATAATCTCATTTGAACCAAATACAATTGCAATAAAATATTAAATGACTGATAATAAATACACTAAAATTTGATCGTAGAAATTATCAAAATATCAATATGACTATATTTTTATCGAAGATAATCCAGCTGAACATTATAGATCATTAAAGTAAATAAGGTTTTGAGGTTGAGTAAACAGTAGATAAATTCAGTATCTTAATGTAAAATGTGGCCTAATATAAAAATTATAATGGGAAGAATAATATTGATACTACGCTTTAGCCAGTAATTTCTATAGAATAATAATAATTCTACATTCCCACAGCCACAAGCATAAGATACCTATCAAAGGTCTTTACAAATATCAACAAACACAGCATAATGTGTGTATCATTTCTATATTCCTTATTGGGCATAATCAATATAGCAACTATTAATTTTCATAAAATAATATCAAACAAAAAAGTAGCTCTAAACGGTGTTGGATTGTAATAGTTTAATATTCTTCTATAAACAGGTCGCTTTAACTCCAATGGATGTGTTAGTGCTCAATCAACAACCAACCGAACCTATTTATACATAATTCTAGATTTTCTAATGAAAAAAAGTTTCAAACCAAAATCAAGTTCCATATTTTTTCTTTTTCTTTTTTCTATTTAACAACAATGACCTTAAAATGAACTGACAGAATCTATATAGATGTTTTTTTAAAAATTTTCTTTAAGATTTATAGAAACAAACATTGATCATATAGTTTTTACAAAAAGACTCTTAAAATAATATACTCATGTAATAGTAAAATTCAGCAATTACCAGTCACTCTTTGATGTAAGACCATTATCAAGAAGTCTAACTTATGGCCCAACCAATATTACGTATTTGCATATGTATATGGAGAATTCTCTAAAGAACTATGCAACATTTTTTCAGAGGCCTTCTCTAATGTATCCACTATTTCTTATATTCTTCTTTTCTTTCTTTTTTTTTCTTCAACAAAAGAATAAAAAAAAAATATATCGAATAAAAAAAAAAAGAAACGTGAAAAAATTTTTGTTTCTTTTTTTTTCTTTTTTCTTTTTTTTTTGCTTCCCCGTTTTCCCTTTCTTCTCTCTTTCAAATCTAAATTATAGGAAGTCCCTGATATGTAATAATAAAGGTGAATAGCTGTTCTTTAAGGAAGACGGGACTTTTTAAACAGTCACACAAAACATATTAATGGGAAAATAACAACCTAGTACCTAAATACCATTCTGTTAAGTAACTCAACACCTATTAAGCTATTTATCATATATTCCTAATCTATACTATATTATTTCAATATTATTATCATACTACACAACATAACATTCCATCCTATTTTATTATAGCTATATATATATTTATTAACTTCACCTTTTTATTGTTTTAAAAATTACTCATGGATCATCCAAGAACTTCCAGTATTGCCACTATTTCAAGTAATACTGATAATACAACAACTGTTTCTTCTATTGCTTCGATGATGAATCAAACTGATAATTCACCTAATCAAACTGCACCAGCAAGTAATAATACACCTAACTCTTCAAGTATAAATATATCTAGATCTTCTATCTCTAACACAAATAATAATGCTAATAGAAGAAGTATCGATTCGAATGATAACTCCAACGTATACAAGACCTATGACAATAATACTGGCAATGCCAATATTTTGACATCAGAGCCTTACCATTCCATGGAATTACAAACAAATAATAATACAGGTACAAACATGAATTTGAATTCTAATACAATTATAAAATTTGACACTTCTCATCAGCAAAATAATAAATCGTTATCTACAAACTTTCCTCTACATTCTGAAAAAACTAAAAACGATGCTAATATACTACATAATATTGAAAACGATTTTTCATCTAATTTATTTAAAAATTATGATCCAATAACAGGTGAATTCTTAGGAAAAAAGGAAAGAACTAATACACCATCTGGCTTTATACAAAACGGTTCGAGTGTTAATAATAGTTCCATCTCTACATGTGCACATCAACAAGACAAACCAGTACCAATTGCAACATTATTATCCACTCCAATACACCCTGATCCACTTTCAACAAAATTACCACCGACATCCGACAAGATCATGCTCACAGCTATACCACCAGCATTGAAAATTTTAACGACTATGAAGTCTAGATCATATTCAGTACCGACAATTTTACATTCCTCAATGAAAAAATTGTCTAATAATCACGTTATATATACTCACTCAATGAGTGGGAACTCCCACGGCCCTATAAAAAATAATAAGGTTACAAAATCTATTTACAACAGTGGCAATACAAATAATACAAATAATCACGAAATCATTAATCCAGGAAGTTGGCGTCGTCACTATCAACAACATCAACACCACATTATTACCTGCCAGAGTAACCAACATAGTAATCCTAATAATAACGGTACTTTAGCTACAAATGTGGTCATCCCTTTAGTACCACATTCCAAGGCACCAAATTCTACATCTTCCTCAAATATCAACTTAAAGATAAGCTCAAATTCAAATTCTACTGCAAAATCATCTGCACAGAAAATTGATAAACAAGAAATTATTAACAGCAATATACTCCCTGTTATGTCTGTTCAAGGTACTAGAACTTTTGATAATAAAGATTCTGTTTCACCAAATAAAATACGAAGGGATAATGATGAGTCTTTAATATCAAAAGACAGAATAAATTACTTTATTCAACAACGGTCTTTGCAATTGAATATGATATTACCTCCAATCAATTTACAATGCTTGAAAGAAATAGATTTACAAGAGATAGTGAAAAACCCACAATTAAGACATGACATCGTATTTGATCCACTTTTACAATTTCGACCCAATTTAGATGGTGAGAGGGGGATTAAGAAAAGACAAGTATGGGATAAATACTGGTATGATGTTGAGAATGAATTAATTATTTATATGAATCAACCTAATATGTTCAATTATAACCATACAAGATTAGTGCCGTTATTTGATACCTTAAAGGAAATTCTACTCACTATTGTTCCACAAAGAGAGTCTCAACAGATTGAAAATATCTTGGACACAGAGCTAAATGTTCAAAATCTAGTGAAAAGTGGTAATGTTTGGTTAGCTATGAATGATTTAGCGTCATGGTTAGCCCAATTATTTAAGCACCATTGTGCTCCAATGAGAGATACTTGGGTAGACAAAATGAAATGCAAGTTTGATAATGCCAAGGAAACACAATCAATGACAGAATTGATGGATGGCTTTAAGTCTATATTTCAAATTTTAGAAGCAATGAAATTAGATATAGCCAACCATCAAATCCGACTATTAAGGCCTGCTATACTGAGTAATGCGGTAGAATTTGAAAAGCAATACTTCAATTCATTGATGGAAGGAATTTCTTTAAGGGAGGTTAATACCAATGAAAATAATATTAATGATGATAGAAAATTTCTGTTAAGGTCATCATTAATGTGGTTCAAGGATAAATTCAGTGAGTATTTACCAACGTTAGAAAATAATAATATGAACGCAAAAGTTATGATTCCTCAAGTTTACAAAATTTATATTAAATCAATTATCAGTCTATTATCATGCAACAAAATGGTAAGAGAGTATCCAACCTCATTATCATTCGATCATGCAAGGTTAATATTGCTAAGAGCTGATATTAGACAACTAGTTTGCCTTCTTGTATGTAGATTACATTTCCAACAATTAGTAGCCAGTGATAAAAATATCGATCCACCAGTAAAAAAGTATATCTTAACTAATTATGACAACAACAAATTACAAAATGAAATCATCAGTATAATTACTGATGAACATGGAAATTGTAGATGGACAAAAAATACATTATCAATAGCAATCCATTTGTGTAAAGTGATTAAAGATTTAACATTAGAATACAATGCTCACAATAAGGATAAATCTGAAAATTTGGCGACAAGAAATGACATTGATGAAAGTGGAAACACCAGTATAAATGAATCCTCGATGTTACTATCTAAGAAAGTGCCTATATTGGATAACCAAAAAATATCATTTTCTAAATCGTGGCTATCCAAACAGACGCAACCTTTGAGTGAAATATATAGTGTTCTAGAGAAAAGGGTTTTTTCTTTGTTAGAGGAGACAATTTTCGACAACGCTGAATGTACTATGGATGGAAGAGTTAATCAAGAATTTGTATACTCGTACAATCCAATTATTTCAACTATTTCGTCTAACAACAATAAAGAATTTTCTACTATGGAAAGGGTTATAAATCAAGGAGAGACTAGCAATAACAAATTAACATCGTTTAGAACTTTGAAGAAGAATTTCAAAACTAAAACTAGTAATAACATTATGGCAATTGCTGATATGGAACAATTTGAAAACATCTACCGCCATTTAAATACAATTATCAATTTCCATTGGTCTGTTTTTAATTCACATTACATTGACATGGTATCAGAGAGTGTTCAAACTATATGAGACATCTTATACTTATCATATTTATTTATTCATACATACATATATATATTTATATGTGGTATCATAAGTTTTATTAAACAATACCCGTTTTATCCGGGAGATATATTTAATGTATTACTTCGTTGTAAAAGAAATCTTTTTTATAAACCTGAATCGTTTTAAAATGAAATGATGTCTTAATATAAAATTTATGTATTTGAAAAAGCAATAATTTATGCCTACTCTCTGATTGTTCCTCTTCTCAAAGAATAACTAAATTTGTTTTTTTGCACTCGGATCACAATGCTCAAGCCACGTTATATGGAACTAAAGTAAAGACAACAACAACTGTTGAAGGCTTATAAATTATTCAGTAAATATATTTTCTCCAATGTTTAATTTTGAAATTTAAGAAAATACCTTTTTGCTAACAAACTATTTATTGTATAACCTTGCTGATATTAATGTAATTTAATAGCAAACAGTAGTTATAAGACAATAAAGAGTATATGATAATATTGAATGACTACTACAGAAAATCTACAAAAAAAAAAAAATAGAAACAAAACGCTCAAGAAATTATAACAAGTTACACTCAAATAAATAATATCCTAACAAAAGAAAAAAAATACAAACCAGCCACAAGAAGTAATCAATAGCAACAATGTACATAGCAAGTATTTTCCATGTTAATTTTAACATGCAATTTTATAGATATATGTACCCATGAAAATATATATATTGTGAAACATCAATGACTCTTTAGAGTCTATATAATATGTAGCTAGACTCAATCCTTATAAAAATAGATAAACAAACAAAAAATTAGGACAGATTTCAACTAATTTAGTCTTATCACACTTGCTACCATTTATTTTATCTTATGCTTTGAACTGAAATAGAACTGTGATAAGGAAGAATGAACCCTTTACTTTTTTTTTTCATGTTTTTGACTTCTATGGAAGATTCGGCATTTTGCTAAAAAAAAGGCTTTTTCATTCTCCGTTTTCCGTTTTCGGATTTTGTTCTAATTGACTTAAAAATTACAACAACAACAACAATAAAAAAAACGGAAATACAAAGGAGATTACAAATAAAAAAGGGGTTTTTGGGTGTGGATGAAAAAAAAAGAAAAATAAAGATAAAGATAAAGATAATAAAGATAAGCGAAAGATTAAACAGACGTCAACTTAAAGATGGAATTAATGTAAACAAGATTAGAGTCACGTTAACACAAACCGAAAAGCCAAACACCACTCTAAAGTAAGTAGAAATATTGGTATTAAAATCTTTCCATTTACTATTTAAAGACAAAAATTTGAAAAAAAATACCAAAACCTCAATTATAATATACGCATAAATAAATAAACATAGCGAAAAGGAAAAAACCTTTTTTTTTCAACACACTTCACCACAAAAATCTGTTTCAATTTAATATGAAATTCATTGATGAATTAGATATTGAAAGAATCAATCAAACATTAAATTTCGAGACATCTGATTGCAAAATTAGTGGAGGATGTGATATTTATACTACAAAGCCTGTTGCATCTGACAAAAAACTCTACAAAAGAATTGATCATCATTTGGAAATGATTTTACAAGAAAATGAAAGTTATAATGCTGCTGTACAACAACATATCCTCAATGAAGTCAATGGATATTTATCTTCACCTATATTAACTGGTAAGAACAACAACAGTAACAACAATTATGATGATAATTCTACAGTAATTGCTCATTCTGAAGAGGCCGTCGATTTTCATAACAGTAGAAGAAGTAGTCTTTCCTTCTGGGAACAAAAGAGAAGGATGTCAATCACTGAACCAATAAACAATTCAACCAACAATAGTGGGAGTGTTGTCAACAGTCCTTTATTATCCAAAATAGATATAAATGATTCAAATACTAATCTTATGCACAATCACGTGACAAAAACATCTAAGTTAAATGATCAAAATTTGAAGGAATTAGTTATGAATAATTACCAGAATCTAGTGAATAAAGATAATGACTACCTAAGTTCCTCATCAATAAATAAAAATATACAACCAAAGAAAAGACAATCATCTTCAAGTAGTCTTATAAGAAGAAATAGTAGTTCCAGTAGTTTAAAGAGCAATTCTAACTCCAACTCTAACACCCCTGTATTAAAGTCACCAAGATTAAGAAGATCTTCTCTAAATGATATAAATAACAGTTCAATAAACATCGGTCCGTTTGGTCCAATTAACGAACCTTCAAGCAGGAGAACATTTGCATATCTTATTGCAATTTTAAATGCTTCTTACCCAGATCATGATTTTTCATCATTAGAACCAACTGACTTCACAAAAAGTTCATTAAAATCATTTATTTCTAAATTTGAAAATTCTTTGTATTCAATGGGTAAGCAATCAAATGAACAAGATTGGATCTGGGAGATAATCAACGACCATATGACATTGTCTGACTGCATAGTATACCAATATAGTCCCTCAAAATCTTTCTTAGAGGATGAACCAGGCTATCTTTGGAATCTAATGGGATTCCTTTTTAATAGAAAGAGAAAAAGAGTGGCTTTTATATACTTGATTGCATCAAGATTAAACAGTGAAACACCAATTAAAACAAATTATGTAGATGTTGATACGGGGCATGGATTAACAAGTTCTAATACTAATACTAACAACGACAACGACTATGATAATGATGAAAGTGGTTCTTATTTTACTTTTTCAACCAAAAAGTCAAAAAAAAATATAGATATTTTAATTGATGATACCATAGACCAATATGAGGGAGAATATGATTTAAGAGATGATGAAAACGCTATTCAAGATGATTCTGAGGATGACTTTTGAATAAAATACAGATATAAAATGAAGTAAAAGAAAAGATAGAAAATAATCACTCATCTCTAAAAGTGATTATTACTTTACTTAGCAAGTAAAAATTAACATGATTTTTTTGTCATGTTATATATTAGTTGAGTATGCTTATTTACTTATTTATTCTTTGTATGTAATGTATTACATTTATCTCTTCTATTGTAATCACTTAAAAATCCAGTACCTTCACTCAATAATCAGTATATTTTTGATCTTCTTATCCTACTCCTTCTTTTATGCAGTCGTTGATATGTTAAATTTCTATAGCTTTAATACCTTGCTTTGTAATAGCATATGTAATAGATTTGGGCTCACAATATGATGAAAAAACAACAGTCAAATCTCTCTTTACTTGCCAAAAAGAGCTCTCATCAATTCCTTGATAAATTTTTAATTCACCTCTTTTAATCATGGGTGAAGCCTTATATGATTTTTTCAACAGTATTCTTGTTGAAACATAATTAGCCCATGATAAACCTAAATTAGGTACAATAGAATCCAATCTCCTTTTTTTTCTTATTATTACTGATTTTTTTTTATTAATTTTCTCTTTGGAATATTCAATATCTGCTGTATTTAAAGTTAAATTTTGTTTAGACTTTCCTATACTATTCATATCGCTCATATTATAGTTACCATTATCATAGTTATTGTTAGGATCTGATTCATTATTTTCTAATGATCGTATTGAGAGTGCTGATTCTGAGACGGATTTGATTCTGTTTGAAGCCTCAATGAATTTATTGACTTCCTTTTCTATTAACATAGAATCTTCATCATCAGACAAGATGGTCTCTAACTGAAATGAATCAACCTGACTAAATCTTAGATTATCACTATTAGTATTACTTTGATGTAAATTTTTAGAACTATCTTTATAATTCATGGCACCATTGGACATAGTAAGGTTACTTGTTGAGATATCCATTGAATTGTATTTGTGTCTATACAAGATACTGGAATCCTTCCAACCTACTAACCATCCTACTTGATAATCATAGTCTGTGATAATCTGACGAACAGGCTCGGCATTTTCCAATAGCGGTTTATTACCTACTTGATTAGCGACTACTACAGATAATTCGTATTTGTTTGCTAAGTACAATAATTTTTCAGCTAATCTTTCAACATAAAATCTATTGACTTGAGAATTTTTAATTGATGTATTTTCTAATTCAACTCTTAGATGATGTGATATAGAATCTATAATAATTAATTTGATAGAATCTTTATTCCTATCTAACAAGATAGGTAATTGAACATCAAGGATATGTTCCTGAGTAGTTAAATCATTGCAGGTCACCGTGAAGATATTATCTAGTGATACATTTTCGTTATTATATAAAGGGTTTTCTGCTAATATTTGTTGTATTCTTTGTGTAGTAAGATCACCTTCAGTAGTAATGAAGACACATTTCCCATTCAATCCATAATTTTCTAAAGGTAGTTGCACTGTTAAACTCAGTTGCATTAACAATTGAGATTTACCAGTTGAAGATTCACCGAAAATTTCAGTGATTCCTCTTATAAATATTCCACCACCCAATATTTCATCGATTTTAATATCACCAGTAGTAAACCAAGCTGGGTTTGTGTCCTCACTTGAAATAAACTGTGAATGTAATTTTACAGAATTTTGACTATGAAGAGGAGTTAAAACATTTTGGGATTTGTATTGACCATTAAATTCATCTACTAATATTGATTGAAATTTATTAACTTCGACTACTGATCTTTGTAATATCTTTGATAATTCAGATATATTAAGAGTTAAAAAATCGATAGTTGTAACATTATTCTTCTTAGCATTATCTAACAACTGAGAAAATTCAAGTTCATATAATAACTTACTTTGAGGTAATTCATCATAGAGATCCATTCGACTTAATCTTATAAATGACCAATATATTGAATAATAAATAAAACAAATAAATAATATGATTAAAAGTTTTCCTGTTTGATTCGATATTACATTGATATAAACGATTGGTATCCAATCTCACTTTAATTCACTTCATTTCATTGGATTAATTCACTTTCCTTATTAGATAGACAACATCAAGTATAAATTCAGTAGAACTGATGTGTGATCCCGCATAGTTCTAAGTCAAAATACATACATACAGTCAAGTTTCACAATATTTTTTTTCTGCAGATATTCTCTTTTTTTTTTTATTTTTTCCCTTCTAAATTCAGTTATTCTGCAATAATGAATGAAATTGTTAACTGAAGGACCATAATAACATAACATATTATAACATAATAAAAGTACACTTAAGTTAGATAATATACAATATAATTTAAGAGTCATAGAATTTGCAGCAATATTTCCAGCAAGTCTATAAATAACTTTAAGGAATGTTTCTACAAGAATATATATATATAGATACATACAGATATATCAAAGAAAAGATAGACGGGAAAAAATAGTAGATAAAAAGAAGTTTGTTTAGGAATAATGATAGGAAAAATGGGTATGATGAAAATGCATTGAAAGGGGAAAACTTTTTAAAGATTATTAAACTAAATATGCTGTAGTGCTCTCAAAAATGAAAAAAAGTAAAAATAAAAACAATATCTTGGTCTAATAAGTAAAGAAAGGAGAAATAATGAACTGAAAGAGGAAAACAAAAAGTTTACTGGATGAAAATAAAAATCAAATCAATAAACGAGTGAACAATTTTTTAATTAATTTTCTTTATTGACATTTGCTTTAATACTAGTCTTGTTCACGTGTGTTGATATTGTCGTCTCTGATGAAAATTGAGAAGTCTGTGAAGTAGCGTATTCTTGTATTCCATTATTTTGATCTATATGATTTGCTTGTGATTCTCTAGCCAAGGGATTACCCTGTATTGGAGGAGACATATTATAGTATTGTTGTGCTGCAAAACTTGGTCTAGTATAATCAACCTCATTTTCATGTACAACCGCTCTACTAGGTGTCTCGATATTTATAGTATTCTTATTAATCCATGCAGATGAAACAGTTGGAGATGACGTAAGATTTGGTTCCAAAGGTGGAGGTGGTAAATATTCTGCTTTAGTATTTGGGTGGAATTGCCCTCTTTCATCATAGTAACCTAAATCATTAATATTTGCCTCTTCTGTATATTCTGGCACATAATCTTCTACTGCACGTTGTGTAGTTCCATGGTACTGTTGTTCTGATTGCCTATATGAAGGTGGTGTGATCCATGAAGTACCTCTAATTGGTGCCTCACCCCTATTGATTCTTCTTCTATTTGCTGTAAAAGTTAAGAAAAAGACAGCGAAAAACCCAATAATAAATAGAATAAACAAAATCCAGCGTCCCCACTGCCAACTTGAATCACCAAATACATCATTCATAGCCATAGTATCACCATCACTATTAGTGTTAGTATCAGAGTCATCTCTTTTGTATAAAGCTAAAAACTGTGAAGATATGTCATTAATTAGAGATCCAGCCACCACCGTAGATTTGTTTGAAAAAATTAATAAATTTAAAAGTATTTCAATAATAATGAAATGTCTTTGTAACAATATCATTTTGCAGGTTAGCTATATGGACTACAAATTCCTTTTTTTACGTATCTGTACACATATGACAACAATGTGAATAGTTTTGATGTATTACTCATGATCGAACAGCTGTGAATTCGTATATACATGTACATATATATACACATATATATCTTATCTTTGTTGTATAATATCAAAAAGGGAAAAAAAAACAGAAATAGGAACAAAAAGAAAAAAGAAGTGGAAAGACAAAATTTAATATTCCCTTTTTTTTTTTCTTTCTTTTGTCTGTTTTTATTTTTAATCAAGATCGATCGACATTAATTAGAAAAAAAAACAGATGGAAGATAAAACTGCGTTACACACCGTCTAATGCTCCAAAAATCTACATGTTTTGTACTAACCATAATCAGCATTCAAAGGCTGGATGCCATTACGAGTTCTCATATACATGTATTGTTAACGACATTTATCAGGTGGAACAAAAATAAAAAAAAAAAAAGAACAGAACAAGAAAGATACTTTCAGAGGAATGAGGAAAATGATATATATATGAAAAGTACGTGATTATATTAGACAAGAAGGTTCTATTATTTATAGATATTAGTATAATTTCCCAACTTTTATTTTCTTCTTGTTAAGATTGAGTTAGTTAAAAACTCTAATGCAGATCTTGAGTCTGATTCAGGCAAAGCCTCTCTTAGATTCTTTAAGGCTTTATCTCTATACTCACGAGCCAGCTCATAAGTTTTCTTTGCACCATCATATTTGTATACCAACTGTAAAGCTCTTTCTACATCGCCAGGCAATTCAAAATTTCTTTCAATTAAATCCCCGAGACTTGGATCCTCCTTCCATGCAAATAAGACTGGAGCTGTTGATATGCCTAGTTTCAAATCCACATTAGTTGTCTTCCCCATTTGTTTACTTGAACTTGTAAAATCCAGCATATCGTCAATCAACTGGAAGCATAGACCAAGATTTTTACCGAATTCATAGCATGATTCAATGACGTTTGGTTTGACACCAGATAATATGGCTGCACTTCTTAAAGACATTGCGATTAGAGAGCCAGTTTTTAAATAGGATTTGTGTATATAATAATCGAAGGCTTCGTCAATCTTACTGATACTAGTTGACTTTTTACCTGTGTTTGGTTTTGGATCATATTCATCGGTGTTGTGTAATTGCATAAACTCACCTTCTACAAGACTTGCAATACAACTTGACATAATCTCCACTACCTGGGGATCTCGTAATCTAGATATAGCCACAGTGGCCCTTCCTAAAAGGAAATCACCAGCCAAGACAGCCATTTTATTGGTAAAGACCACATTTCCACTTGGCTTACCTCTTCTTGTATCAGCATGATCAATAACATCATCGTGCAACAGGGAGGCAGTGTGGATCATCTCTACAATTTCAGCTAAACGTCTCTGTCTTGGAAGAATCCCATTCTCCTTGTCGAAAGATTCAATATTATTATTTTTAAAGGATAAGCTTGCTTGCGTCAAAGGATGGAACCTAGAATGTTTTATATCAGCATTAGTGAGACCTTGAAAGATATTCAGTGGTGTAAATGATTCGACAGGTTGTTGTTTTAACCATTGAATGGAGTTATTCAACGAGGTGGTTATGTTATCATTTGATAGATACGGAGGTATTTGTCTTTTATCCATTGGAATTTCACTTAGTGCACGGGATAATAAAAGGACTAATAGAGGTCTAACTTTTTTACCTTCGGTCTCAAAATAATAGCTTGATACACGATCCAAATATGGGTTACCAGTACCAATTAAAGCAATGATATTTCTAACAAGATTATTCATTTCATTTGATACCAGAGATATTGGATTATTCAATAATGACTGTGGTGTGACTAACTTACTCACCGCATTCAAAGCTACTGCAAAGGAAGATTTATATCGGCATGAGTTTCTTGTCAAAAAATGAATTCTATTTAACATAACGAATGGAGTATAAGGGGAAGAGCTAGTAGTATATACATATATATATACAAATATATATATATATATATATATTTGTATATATGCAATAAAGATTGTATATCAACTCAAATATTGTACAAAAAAAAAAAAAACAAACTATAATATTTTTTCTGTTTTGTTTGTTTTAATTTAGTAGCTCAATTAAATATTGGTAATTAGTGACTTTTTCTGGAGCTTCTAATGCATACTCTCTTCTTTTTGCTTGCATTCACATATATATATATATATATATATATTTTCTTTCTTGTCCTTTGCCCTTTGGCCTGCTCGACAGACAAAGCTGCTATCTTAAAACTTTTTTTTCTTTTTTTCTTTTGTTGCATGGCAGTTTTTCAGTATTATTGAAACTGTTTCCAGGATGAAAGAATGGGAACTTTAGACTACGGCTATGAAAGAGACCCATACATCACAGATCTCCAGGTCTATATGTGTGTGTGCACCGGTTGGATTTAGGGTTTGTGAGGTTCCACGGGCCAAGGGCTTTCAGGATTTTTCTAAACGAAACAGAAAAAATGTAAGAAAAACAAAAAAGAAATTCAGTAAGAAAATTCAGATGAGATTCGTGAATCTGTCGCTTTAATATGGTTTTTGTTGGTTGCTGCAACAACAAAAATAATGTTACTACAACAAAAAATTACTTCTACTACTAGTACTACTACTACCAATCACCACCGCTATCAGTGAGAAGAGAGAAGAGAGAAGATACTATTTATATAATGTTTTTAAAAAAGTTGTTTGTCTCTTCTCATTCTCTTTCCTGCAAAATCATAACAATAATCTAGACACTAAAAAAAAAAATTAAAAAAAAAGCAAAAGATATATCTTACAACATATATACATACATATTTATAGGAATCATGGATAATAATAATAATAATACTGATACTAATAATCAAACTCATAAGGACACCACTTCCTCCAATGTTTTCAAATTCCCCGGGCACGAATACAGTATGTCATTAATCAAAACAGTGTTTTCAAACGTAATAAAGACATCAAACAACATTCCACAACATATTGGATTTATCATGGATGGTAACAGGAGATTTGCAAGGAAGTCAGGTATCTCGATTAGTGAAGGTCATGAGGCTGGATTCCACAGTATGAGTCAGATCCTAGAATTATGTTATTCATCCGGTGTTAAGGTAGCCACCGTTTACGCATTCTCAATTGAGAATTTCAAAAGAACTTCCAAGGAGGTTAACAATCTAATGAAATTGGCACACGAGGGTATAACACAGTTATGTGCAAACGGGCAACTGGCTAATAAATATGGAGTACGTATCCGTGTCATTGGTGATTTATCACTCTTGAATACAAGTTTACTAAAAAATATTGAAATGACAACAAAGATGACACAAAATAATAAAAGAGCAACGTTGAATATATGTTTTCCATACACAAGTCGTGAAGAGATGTTCCATTCGATGAAAGAGGCTATTGAATTAACAAGCATAAATGAGGAAAAAGGAATCGATGCTATAAAAGATATAGATGAATCAGTAATTGAATCACATTTGTACACAGGAAAATTACCACCTTTGGATCTGTTGATTAGAACAAGTGGTGTTTGTAGATTAAGTGATTTTATGATATGGCAAGTTGTTAACCCAAGAACTCATATAGAATTAATCGATTGTTTGTGGCCAGAATTTGGTCCAATGAAGATGGCATGGATCTTACTAAAATATTCATTTAATAAATATTTTACATCTATTGAAAATGAAGATGAAGATACAATAATAAATAATAATTGTACCACTACAACCACAACCAACCGTAATACTACTGCTAATGATAATATATCGTCAGTGGACTCATTTTTAACAAAAAGGAAAAGAAGAGATAGAGATCAAAATATCAGTCATCCATCTCAAGTAATAAGAAAGGAGAAACTTCAATGAAAATAAGCAAACAGATGTACAAATGTCAAAATGGCTATATAAATAGATAAATAAAAAAACATAAACATAAACACACACATACACATATATATACCATTAGATAGATACCATTATATATTTGTTTTGACCTTTAACTTTTATAGTATGCTTACAGATTGGAAAATATACATATATCAGAATTTTCATTTCTATATATATCTGTGTGTGTGTGTATGTATATATATGATTGTCTATTTTTTTTTATTTTTTTTTTTTTGGGCGGCTAAAATTGACTTTTATATATATATATATATATATGACACTCTTTATACAATCATTACTTCTTTTCTATTTTTCTTTCTGTACTCATCATGAATCTTCGAAACAATTTTGGAATGTTGAAAAAGTAGAAATGAGAAAAAGAAAAAACTAAGAGAAAAACAAAATTGTTTATGGGAGAGAAAAAATTTTTTTTCTTTTATTTTTTTTTTCCTTTTTTTATAGAAGCAAAAATAATATGCGATGAGCTTCTTCAAAAATCAAGTTCAAATGATTATTCGTTTATATGTTTGTTTTACTGAAAAAATATAGACAAGTATCCTCTCACGTATATTTCTGTATTTGCAATTCATCCACTACTAACTATTTTGAGCTCTTCATTTGAACGGAGGTTTTATACGTGGAGAAAATTAAAAATAAAAAAATAAAATAAAATAAAATAAAAGAAAGAGAAAAAGAAAGAGGAATTAACTATATTGATTCTCTTGCCAAAAACTATTTTCTTTTTATTTAAAATATATATAAATATATATACAACATCACTTCAATCCTCTTTGCTATAGATCATTATGGTAAAAAAAGAAAATACAACAAAATCCACAAAAAGATTTAAATACACGTCTTTTAAATCTAGAATAGATGATTTAAAAATCGAGCCAGCTAAAAATCTTGAGAAAAGAGTTCATGATTATGTGGAAACCTCCCATTTTTTAGCCTCTTTTGAGCATTGGAAAGATATCAATTTAAGTGGTAACTTCACTGCATTCGTGTCCGAAGTTGAACCAATTATTCAAACATTACCTCAAATTTTATACCATCAAAATACGATTTACCAAAGTTTAATTAAATATATCGCCAAAAACGATGAAAAATCATTACAACCTTTACTTGATCTGTTATCACAATTTGTTCATGATTTGGGTCCTGATTTTATGTCCTTTTACAACAAAACAATCGATGTCTTAGTCAAATTACTGAATGAGGTTATTGTATTAGAAGACTCCAATGTATTTGAATGGACTTTCAATTCTTTGGCTTATATTTTCAAATATTTATCCAGAATCCTTACTGAGAAATATCTAATTCCAACTTTTGACCTTTTATTTCCTTTATTGTCACATTCAAAGGATTATTTATCCCGTTTTTCTGCTGAGACTTTATCATTTTTAATAAGAAAATCGAAATCTGATAAATTGACAAACTTCGTTCGTTATATTTTCAATAAATTAGCCACATTTTTACATTCAAATTCCTTGTCAGAAAATAATTTATATGATGGTTTATTGACCTTATTTACAGAATCCTTAATTACAACTTCAGGTTCATTACATTCTAAAACCAAAATTATTTTAAGAATCCTATTAAACGAGACATTAAATAATAAGGAGAATAATAATGGAGAAAAAATCATCACATTAATCTGTGATATATGGATGGAGATATCTAGACATGCTTCTTATGAAAATCTTTTAGAACCAACAAATTGCGTTCTAGAAATATTGGAAAATTCAACAGATGGTTATAACCTTATGTCAATATTTTTGTCTACTTTACTATTTGCAGAGAGCGGTCAAAAGATCCCAGATTGGAGTAGAATCACAAAATTGATAACAAGATTTATGGATCAAATTGTAGAATTTAATAATAGCAACAACATCAAAGATAAATACTTAGTTCAACCAGATGTTGTATCTTTATTGTTTATTCTCTATTTCCGTAATTGTGATATTAAAAACTTAACTCAATTTCATATTAAATTATTTAATTTCATTTTAGAACAATATTCTGATATTTTTTTATATTTCTATATAAATGTGTGCGAACTGGTATCAGAAAGATTGGTTTCGTTTAATGGGGTTAAATTCTTACAAAATTTTATCGACAAGAACTGGGAACAAAGTTCCGAAAAAATTGCACTATTTCTTTTGGATATAAACAATAATAATAAGACTCCAATTTTACATAAATTTCAAAATATTACAATTCCAACAAAATTTGCAGATAATCTTTTATTATACTTGTCAAATATTAAGAAACAGGATGATCTATTTCAAATTTATTGGAGACTATCTTTATTGTCATATGTTTTTGAGAAAGATAACTACGAAGTGCTATTACCTCTATTGAAGTTATTAACAGAATCATTTTCATCGCAGCAAAATGAATCAGATTTCTTGATTGATACTATTGGTATATTGATTGGTAATATGACAACCAAGACTGATGATCAAATACTTGAAGTTTTACAATACATTTTACCTCATTTCAAATTGTTACAAACAAGTTCATATTTCATTAATGGATTGCTTCAATTATTACAAAGGGTAAATGGTGATAGAAAAAATGAGATATCTCAATTTTTTGCTCAGAATATTCAAAAAAATGAAGATAAATCTTTATTGCTTGGCTTAACAGATAATTTAATAATTCCTGATAGTAATATGCGGGTTTTGACTTTGAAATTATTAAACATTATTATGGAAAAATTTCAAAATATAACTCTCCCACAAGTTGTCAATGAATGTAGTCTTATAGAACAGATTCCTTTAACGTTGCAGAATGGCAGAATTTTGACAGCTAGGATTAGATCTATGGGTGAAGTATTCAGCAAGATTGAACCAACAGAAATTATCACAAATATTTTCTTGAAACATTTGTTTGGGTTATTAACTATGAGATTTGCTCCAATTTGGGAAGGAATTCGTGAAATTGTACCAATTATTTATAGAAAAAATGCTTCTTTAACATGGTTTTTACTCTATGATTTCTTAAAGGTAAATGATATTAATTATCAAATAAGCTATCCAGATAATTCAATGGATTACGATGTCGATGGTATTCTTTGGAATTCTAAAACTCCTAGGTTAGAAAATATCTTACAAAATATTGCATCAAGATGGGTGAAATATACTTGTGTGCAAAACTCGATCATGGATATTGCTAAAAATGGAAGGGCACAATTGCAGTACCCTCCACATGTAAGAGCAGAGACTTTAAAAATAATGTTACTAGTTCCACAGTTGGTTGAATCAAATTCTAGAAATATCGTTCCATTTTTGTTTAATGAAGAAGAATTTGGATCTATTTTTGGTACTGATGTTCAATATACAGCAAATAAATGGTCAGATTTAGAGAGAAACAACTTACTTAGAGTATTTGCTAAATTTAATAACTCCAAAAATATTTATAAGAGTGAGGCAGTTTTCCAAAGATTATTAGTACTATTAAGTAGTAGAACTGTTGAAGTGCAAAAATTAGCTTTAGCTGCTATATTACCTTATAAAGTACCTGTTGTTAACAAATTTAAGGATAATTTGAGAAATTTACTGGATGATACTTTATTTAAAGACGAAATTATGACTTTCCTTTCTGATAATAGTTCTAATATTATTCAACCAGAAGAACGGGAAGAATTGATGGTTTTAGTATTACGTATACTTTTTGGTAGAGCTCAGACTCCAGTAAGTAGTGGCATTAAAAAGAGTCGGAAACATGCTGTATTAAGTATTCTTCCTAATTTAGGTGAAACTTATATCACTAAATTTTTTGAACTCGGTAGTACAAGATTTAAATTTGATTACTTTTTTTCTAACGGTTATCAAATAAACGAATTAGAGCTTGTTACCACTAATATTAGAAGAATGATAGGTTATGTTACTATTATTAACCAAGCATTAGCTATTTTAGGATCTAAGTATCTTAATGCCATCCTATCCACATTAAAACCACTATTATATTGTATTGCATTTTCATATGCTTTTGGTAAAATAAAGAGCAGTGACACCTTTATAAATAAACAAGTTTCTAACTTAAGGCAACAGTCTTTAAGAGCATTAAATTCGATATTCCAGGTTATAGGAAATGCAATTTCATGGACGGAGTACATTGATCAGATCTTTAATATTGTTATCAAACCTCGAATTCCTGATTTTGCCAATGAAAACTTGCAGCAGCCATCTTCCTTATTGAAGATTATTATTTTTTGGACTACAGGAAAGGAATTTTATCCATTTTTATATTTTAATGATTTTTCATGTGTTAGAATTATTATGGACACTCTTTCTAATGAATATGCAAAAGAATCGGTTGTCTCATGTATTTTAGAAGGTTCTAATCATCTTATTAAGAATTCATCAACAGATGAGAAATATGTTGAATTGGTAGCAATTATTGCTAGTACCTGTCTTCAAATATTACCGAAATTATATGAGAAATTTACTACATCTACAACTATTTCTACTGCAGTGGATCTTCTTTTGAATATGACAGAATTAGGTTACGTACAAGATAACGAAACCAGAAAGTATCTATTAAATTCATTATACTTAATATTAACATCTAACTTTATGAATGTACCTAAAAGTGATATTTTGAACATTTTGAAAATTGTAGCAAATTTAATAGTTGAGTATGATTGTCAATTATCTGAGATTGAGCCCATATTTATAGAGGTGTCTAAATTATTACAAACCTTTTCTGAAAAGGGATTGAGGTTGGCTATTGTATCTATCATATCTAATATTGCAGTCAGATTCGTTGAATACAAGGAAATAGCCACCATAGTAACTGATCTAAATTCATATTCTACTAAACGTATGCATGAATATGATTTTCCAAAAATTCTTTCTGCATTTGAGCATTTTTGTGAGGAAGCATCAAAAACATTAATGGATGTTCAATGGCTTCCAATTTTACATACATGTTTGTATTACATTAAAGATCAAGAAGAATTAGCACTTCGTACTAACGCCACTTACTGTTTAACAAAATTTATTGATTTTAGCAATGCAAAGATATCAGAAGAGGAGGCGCACACTTGTGTTAAGTATTTAAAAATGATTATTTTACCAGCTATAAGAGATGGTTTAAGAAAGACTTCTGAAGATGTTCAGGCAGAATATATTACATTACTTGAATACATTGTTAAAGTATCGGTTTACTATTCTGATCTTCAAGATATGCGTGTATTGTTGGCAGATAATGATGAGGAGGCAAATTTCTTTATCAATATTAAACATATTCAATTACATCGTAGACAGAGAGCTATTAGAAGATTGGGTGATTATGTCAATGAATTGTCGAGTGGTAGTATTGCACACTATTTGATACCAATACTTGAGTATTATGTATTTTCAAAAGAAGAAAAGTACCGTAATATTGCAAATGAAAGTTTTACCTCTATTGGGAAACTTGCTCAGGGTACTAGTTGGAATCAATATAGAGCTTTACTTCGTAGATATATTTCTATTTTGAAAACCAAAGAAGACCTATTAAAAGAATCGGTTTTATTGGTTAATCAGTTATCCTTGTCTTTGAAGACAACTTTGCATGCTTTTAGGAACAATACCTTAACAGAACGTCTTCGTGAAAAATGTTTCACTAATGTTGAAGAACCTGAATCCTTTATTAAAAATGAAGTTTATCCTGTATTGTGCAAAATTCTGGGAGAAAGAAATGATGAAACTATTGTAGTTAGAATTCCTTTAACCGAGGCTTTAGTCAACTTTATCCTTGCTCTTTCTCAAGATGATACAGTAAATATGCTTCCTGGTATTTTAACAGCAGTTTGTCAAATTCTAAGAAGCAAATCCGAGGAGCTTCGTGATGCAATTAGAAACACTCTAGGAAAGATCAGTGTTATCCTTGGTTCCTTTTATTTACCTTTTATTTTTAAAGAGTTGAAAAGTGCACTTCAAAGAGGATCACAAGTACATGTTTTAGGTTTTACTGTACATCATATTTTAAAAGAGATTTCTCAATCAATGGTACATGCTGATCTTGATGATTCTGCTCATTTATTGGTAATGATAATTATGGAAGACATATTTGGTACCGTTGGTCAGGAAAAGGAATCTGATAATTATCACACTAAAATGAAAGAAGTCAAAGTGACCAAAAGTTATGATGCAGCAGAAATACTAGCATGTAATATTTCTTTGGGTATTTTTGCAGAATTGTTGTACCCAATTAAGGCTTTATTGATGGAGAAAATGAATAATAAAACCCAACACAAGTTAGACGAATTGTTACGTAGATATTCTCTAGGTCTCAACAAAAATGAATCTGCAGATTCTAAGGAATCATTGACCTTATGTTATGAGATTTTCCAACAATCCATAGCTGAGGAAGACAAAAAAGTAAAAAAATATACAGCAAGATCAGTGGATGAAAAGGAAGAATTTTTCTTAGTTAATCTAAATTTCAAAAATACTACTGTTCAAATGGAAAACTCTATTTATACAGCCACTTTGCAAAAGTTTGCCCTTGATCTATTAAAGATTGTCATTTCTAAACATTATAACTTGCTGCATTCCTCTTATTTAGAAGGGTTCATGCCATTATTGAAAGAGGCATTGGATTCTGAAAATGAAAATGTGTTAACTAGTGCTCTTAGAGTATTAGTCATAATAGTCAAGTTGGATTTTTCTGAAGACTCGGAAGGTTTATTTAAGAATTGTGCTAGAAAGGTTTTAAATTTAATCAAAGACTCACCATCTACATCTACTGAATTATGTCAAATGGGGCTTAAATATTTGTCATCATTTATTCGTCATAAGGATATGAAACTAAAAGACACAGCCATAAGTTACATCTTAACTAGAGTTTTACCTGATTTAAATGAACCAAGCAAACAGGGTCTAGCCTTTAATTTTTTGAAGGCATTAGTTCATAAACATATTATGTTACCAGAAATTTACGATGTAATCGATGTTGTAAGAGAAATCATGGTTACTAATCATTCTAAAGATATAAGAGATGTTTCAAGAAGTGTATATTATCAATTTTTGATGGAATATGATCAAGGTAAAGGCCGTCTAGAAAAACAATTTAAATACATGGTTGATAATTTACAATATCCATCTCAAGAAGGTAGACAATCTGTGATGGAATTATTGAATTTAATTATCACAAAGTCCAATCCAAATCTACTTTCAAAATTATCTTCTTCATTCTTTTTATCATTGAGTAACGTCTCTATTAATGATGAAAGTCCAAGATGTCGTGAAATGGCAAGTATCTTACTTTCTAATATGCTTCAAAAGGTTTCTGATAAAGACTTGGAGTTGATTAATAAGTACTTAACTGCCTGGTTGAGACAAGTAGATCGTATTCAATTTACTAGTTTGGGATTAAGAATATTTAAAATTTATATTAGTGCATTATCGATTGACAAGAATTTACATTTGAAGGATCTTGCCTTAAAAAGAATTCAACAAATTGTTACTGATGTTGATGCTGGTTCTGACTTCGGATGGGATTTGATTTACACTGCCTTAAATATATTTATTACTATTGTGGAAAATACTGATGAAATATACCAAGATCAATATAGAAAGGTATGGGATGGTGTGAATGCATGTTTGCTTTATCCTCATATGTGGGTACGTCAATCTTCAGCACGTTTAGTCAATTTGATGGTTAATAATCTTGATAAACTTGAAACACCAATGAGTGATTCTGAGTTACAAAATATTGCTAATAGAGTTATGCATCAACTAGCAGCACCATCTATTCCTGAAAGTTTGTCGAGTATTATAATTAAGACATTAGTTTTTATTGCTAATAAGTGGAACAAGGAAAATACACAGTTTATTGTCAAGGATCAAGATAAGGAGAGTCCATATAAAAGTGCATTAGATTATATGGTTAGTAGAATTAGTGTAATCATTAGAAATGAACAAAATATGGCTGATTCGCATGTATCTAAAAAGGCAAGTATTCAATTCTTTGCCTTCTTAGCTCAATTACTACCAGAAGAATCAATACATCCATTGGCAGAAAAGATTATATTGTCATTATATGTCCATTTAGAAACTGACAAGGGCAATATTTCAGAAGAGAAGGAGGAATTAAGCAATCTATCTCAAGAGTGTCTACAAGTAATTGAATCAAAACTCTCAGTTTCTGATTTTACAAAGATTTATGCAAATGTTAAACAAATTGTTATTAAGAGACGTCAAGAAAGAAAACATAAACGTTCTATCTTAGCATTGAATGCACCAGACATTGCAGCTCAAAAGAAGATCAAAAAGCATGTTAGATCAAGAGAGAAACGTAAACATGAGAAGGATGATAGTGGCTATTATCAAAGAAAAAACAAAAAGAAGAGAGTATGATTGCAGAAACCGTCCTATTCCATTCAGAAGAAAAATGAAAACAAGCTTGATTTCATTGTTAGTAGTTATATATACAAAAAGGAAAATTAATAAACTATTTAGCGTTGATGATAGATTGTATAGTATAGTATATATAGAGAGACTAGTGATTTTTCATTATTTGAAACTTTACCCTACATAAGAGACTATCTTTTGTAGTGTATTCTATTCTTATTAATATTTTTGAAGGAGCAAAGAACATGAGTATAGATAAAAATTTAATCATATTGAGAGACTAAAACTGATGGTTTCAGATAATATAGATGCATGCCACTCAGGTGGTGTGATAATAAATCTACAAATATATAGTTATTATAGTATTTTACAGATGTTGACAATATATTAGAGTATCTTCAGTCGTAGTAGATCGCATTATACTCGAGTAGGACTTTAAAAATACACAGTGTAATCATCTTTAGTCTGATACATTAAAAAAGTAACAGAGAGATTTTCAAATTTTTTGTCTTTTTTTCCTTAAGTCATTGGGTTTGATATATCAGATGTTTGTTTCTTAATATTTTTGAAATCACTTTGTATTGCAGTGACAGATTCTGTTATTTCTTTCATTGGACTATTACTATCGCTATTACTTGTTTCATTGTCTGTGGTATTCATAATTTTACTATCAGCAATATCTGCAACATCCTCTGTTGTATTAGCCTCTTCTCTTTTTTCCTCAATACCTTCTTCTTTTTTGTCTGTTCTCTCAGATTGTCCTTCTGTTTCTTCTTTCTCATCTGTTTTCTTAATTTGTTCTCTTGTTCTTTCCTCCTCAAGACCTTCCTCTTTCTTGTTTGTTCTTTCTTTTTGTCCTTCTGTCCTCTCATCTTCCTCTTCGTCTTCTTCCCTTCCATCATCATCTTCTTCTTCTCCTTCTTCTTCTCCCTCTGGTTTATTTGTAAGACCAGAATTCTCTAATTTACGGTAGTATTCTTCCATTTCTTGATGGTATCGTTTTTTCTCCTCATTATACAATTGATAATATGGTGCCCTTTCTTCTTCACTTAAACTTTTCCAACCTTCTGTTAAATCTTTAGTTACATCAAAGGAACCTTTTTGTCTAATTATATCTTTATTCATTTCACAATATAATAAATATGCATTTGTAGGTCTCTTTGGCATATTAGGATCTCTCTCTCTTGTTCTTTGTTTTTTACTCTTAGGCTTCTTTAATGGATTACTAAACAATTCCTTTTTAAAAGTCTCTAATGTTGGTAAAGGGTTTTGGTAATTTAACTCAGGATCGATCTTGATACGAGATTCTAATCGTTCTAATAGTACACCATATTCTAATTTAAGACGCCTAACTATATGTCTTGATCTTTGTACAGATAACCCTAATGCTGTGTTCTTCTGTTGTAATTCTTCAACTTTTTTTTTCATCTCTTGAGCATCCATTTGATAAATATTGTCATTGCTGAAGTCATTTTCGTCATTATTGATGCTATCATCAGCATAATTATTGTTGTTATTAGTATCTTCAGGAGTAATATTGTTAGTGGTAGCAGTACCTTCACTCATCTTTGTTTTCTTTTAGTTGTCTATATTTGTTATTAACAATCGTGATAGTCTACAGATAGGTGAAGAAATAATAAAAAACGTTTAATCTTATTATCACCCTTCGCCTAAACAAATCTAATTTGACCACTAAATTGGCACAAAGAATAATGGTACTGATACTTTGTTTTTATATCGATGACTTCTTTCAATATTGTCTCTTGATTATATAGTTTGTTTTAATTTAAGACTTAAAGAAAAATTTTTCACTTTGTTAAATACACTAAGTTATTCAAATAGAATAAAGAAGGAACGAATTGAAGGAAGCGGTATACGGGAGAAGGCATTCTATACAAGTCTAAAGTGAAGAGAAGCCAGAGTTGAAATTTAATGTCCCTAAAGAATCTGTTGATTATACACATATATACAGTCATATCCATATATAGAGGAGGGAATGAGCAAGAATCCTTTGACCATGTCAAGTAAGAAGAATGATTTAGAAGAGAGCGTTCCTTTGATACTATCTCAAACAAGAGATTCACAACAGAATAGATATAAACCTGTGCCAAATCAGCAAAGACAAAGATATGATTCTAATTTTCCATCTTATTCGAGTGATAATGATGTTGATGTTCAACGAACAAAGATTGGACCCCAAAGGACCTCAAGAAAGGCGCAAAAATTGAAGTTATTGCCTGAAGAAAGTTTCACTAGTCGAAGCAAGACATCTAAAGATAATAATAATGATAGAAATGATGAGGATGAGGACGACGATGAGGTGCTTGTGGAGACAAGTGATGATTTTGAAGATTCAGAGGAGGAAGACTCTGATATAGATTTTGACAATAAACAAAAGAGCCGTGCTAGTAGTATTGGTATTGAAATTAACAATAGTAATAATGATAATGACAATGATGATGATGATGGGTATGCAAAAAATAAGTCTGTAGTTTTAAATATCAATGTCAATGAGTCTTTGAGTAATGATAACAATAATACTACAGTAGATTCTTCGCCAACAAATGTGACACCACATAAGACAGAAATAAGCAAAAAAACTACTACTAGTAACACCGCAGAAACTGCCAAGTCATCTTTACCATACTCATCCTCCGCATTTATGGAAAAAGAATCGCAATCATCTACAATATTGACACCAACTATCAAGAGAGGGACTACTGATAATCCTAATAGTAATAAGACGAAAATGAAAGTAAGAAAGGAGAATAAAGGATACGTTTATTCACAAGTAAACAAAATCACGGACAAACCTGCAAGACGTGATGCTAAACGTCTTGGTAAAGCTCAAAGACATCTTTTACCTAGATGTACTGCCTATTGTACTGCAAGTAGTTACAATATGAGGGGTTTGATTAAATGGTTAAGAGATTCACATAAAGTGTATCATACGAAGCCGAAATTATTTGATGAATGTTTATATACTCCTTTTTCCTACACAGATTGGAGAAGAGATAAAAGATTTGAACATGAAGATATAATTAGACTAGATAAAGAAGGTGGTGAGATTAATGTAAGTGACAAACGACCAGATTTATTTATATTTGAATATGGTGTTGTTGTATTATGGGGATTTACAGAAAGGGAGGAGAAATCATTATTAAATGATATAGAAAGATTTGAGAAGGAGAAATTGGCACAAGAAGATATTCAAGTGGAAGAATTTAATTACTATATAACAACGAGTTATCAACCGAGAATTTATAATGATTTCATTACATTAAGGGATGGGTCGAATTATATGACAAAATTGTCAATATCGCATGCAATAGCACAAAGTGTTAAGATATCATTATTTGAAGAATTGGTTGATAATACTATTGAAGACACGCAAGACATACCGCAAGAGATTGCATCAACTGGAAAAGTATCGATGAACAAAGAAGAGATAATGAAAAGTATTGGTGAATTGTTTATATTAAGGATTAATATCAATTTGCATGGCTCAGTGATGGATTCTCCAGAGATTATGTGGTCAGAACCTCAATTGGAGCCAATATATCAAGCGACTAGGGGTTATTTAGAGATTAACCAACGTGTTGCATTATTGAATCAAAGATTAGAGGTGATTTCAGACCTTTTACAAATGTTAAAGGAACAATTGGGACATTCACACGAGGAATATTTAGAATTTATTGTGATAATTCTTGTTGGTGTAGAAGTTTTTGTTTCGCTAGTTAATATTGCAGTGGATATCTTTGCGAACCGTCATGGGTAAAATAAAATAGAACCAAATAAGGAAAAATAGATAAGTGACATGAAATATATTTTAGGAGAAGGTAACCTATAGAGTTGATACACATGATATGTATATATAATATATATGTATTGATTTATCGGTTTAAGTATCTGTTTATATTCCATTATAAGATTTTATATATATGAGAGAGGGAAGGGAAACGAAGAAGGATTTGTTTTAATACTCGTTTTTCTTCTAGCAACTAAGATCGACACAAACATAAAGTTATATGCATAGATATGTGTGTGACTAAAAATATTGTTTATTATTTATTTCTCATTCAATTTAAGAAGTTTAGCTTCTACAGTATTAACTTTATCCTGTGCGGTTTGGTTTTTATCAGTTCTAGTACCTAATCTAATTTCAGTATGGCATCTGACATAGCCTTGTTCATGAGCATATTCATGTAATTCACCAATAAAACTCATGACTTCATCCCATGGACCCTCGATTGTTGTACCGAAACTATGCAAAGAGGTTTTAAATGGACTCTGACGAATTTTGTTTTCGATCATGGTGACAAAGTCAGAGACACTTGGACTTCCGGTACCTATTGGAACCATACAAAGATCGACAAGCACATTTATATTAGGCATGATAAATTAAAAATAAAACTGTTGGGTGTGGATATATGTGTATATATATGTATATGTATCTATTTAGTCCAGTGTATATTGATGTGGTAGTAACATGTGCGAACACTAATGAATTCTTTTTTTGGCGATAACGATGCTCGAAATAGAATTGTACAGTATCCACATATATTAATCGGAGACTTATTGAACAAGGCTGAGGATATCGATGTTAAGAGAGTGCACAAGGAATTATGAGTGGATCAGTCTAGTTATCCAATAAACCCTCAAGGGGAGATACAAGGACCTTCATTGCATATGCATGCATGCATACATACAGAAGAAGAAGGGGAAAGAGATTTGAAGTTGATTGAAGTCATGGTTAAAGTCGGAAACTGAAGGTTTCTAACAGTTTCCATTTATGTGTTGCTTTTTTGTTATTTTCTCACACCGTCAACTCCGATTTCTTCAGGGTTTTTTTTTGTTCTTTTTTTCTTTCTCTTACTAATACCCTACTTTTTTATCCAACTTTTTTGAAAAAATATTGCATTGAGGATATTAACCCTGTTTTTTTTAAAAAAAAGCAAAATTGTCGGATTATTGGAATTCCTTGGAGGGAAGGAAAGCCGCATATAATCCGTCATGGTGAATTAAAATCAATAAATCTAATTCATTTGAATGAAAAAGAAAGACTTTCTTTTTTTTTTTTCGTTAAGTTATGTGAACTATTGCATATACAGAAGAAGAAGAAGGAATAGTAGTAGTAGTAGCAATAGTGACCGTTCCAAGATTATAAGCCTAGGTCTAATCAGTATTATTGAGCAACTAGTCAGTTAATCAGCCAATTATTAGATAAGTGTATTTGTTATCTATCTATAAGTGAATAAAGGAATTTTCAAATTCTATTATATATTTTCTTCTTCTTTTTTTTTTCTGTTGGGTATTTCTATTTCTTTGTTTGAGGAATTTGGGTAATGGTAGCTAAGAGTCAGTCTGTTTCAGTAGATGATGTTGTTCCTTCAATAGACTCCAAGGATCCAATATTTAGAAATAAACTAACTCAATGTTTCGATGACATATTGAAACAATCGAGTGAGATGTTGGTCCAAGAACAGTTGAAGACTATCCAATTGGATGGGTCTTTAAGTAATGGGTTCCTTAAAAACCAAAGCAAATTATTGGCTGATAGAATCCATTCGTTTCACTCAATTTTAGATGATCTGGATTATACACTATATAATTGTAGTAAATTTATTGATAAATGTGAACAAGTTGGTCAAATCAAAGAAAGGGAAAGATTAAAAGCTTTAGAACTTGAAAGAGAAAGAGAAAGAGAAAGAGAAAGAGTGGAGCGATTAAAGAAAGAAGAAGAAGAAGCTAAACTTAAAGAGAAATTGAGATTGGAACAAGAAGAAAAATTAAAAAGAGAGAAAGAGGAACAGGAAAAAATTAAAAGAGAAAACCAAATAGGAGAAGAAGTACTTTTAGTACAGGAAGGGAATTTAGTTAATGGAAATAACAATGATAATAATAGTAACAATAATAACAATAATAATGAGGGTAGTGATAAGAACAGTAATAATAGCAATAATCGTAAAAATGGTGACAGTGGTCTTGAACTGTCAGGTGATGCTTTACCCACATCTATTAAGGATCTAGGCAATAATAATAACAATGATAATGATAATACTATGGGTAGTAATGTTACCAATACAGGGTTGACTACCACGTCAAATAATACCATAGATTTAACTGCTTTTGGTATGAATAAAGATTTATTAGACAACAATAATAGAAACGATGAAAACAATAGTAACAATAATAATAATATAAATATTGATATTAAAAGTTCAGTGGACATTTCTGCAAATAATACATCTTCTATTACTAATATAGACCAAAATAATAATAGCAATAACAACGGTAATCCAAATAGTGCTAATAATAATGGTAATAACAATAGCATGATAAATGATAAAAACGATTTGAATTTTAGTTTTAATGAATCTTCTAACATAATGTCCATGTTTGATGAAGATATCACAAATAATAATAATAATAATAATAATAATAGTAGTAGTATTAGTATTAATGGAAACAATGGCAATAACACTGCTAATAATGAATTCAACAAGAATACTACTAATGTCAGCAATAGCATAATTTCAAATAATAGTAATAGTAATAATAATGTTAATATACAGCAAGGTGATAATAAGGGAAATCAAAGTACAATGTTTACTGATTTGGAATCTATGGATATGTCCTTATTTGAAGAATTAGATAATCCGTCATTTAAATCTAGCAATTTAGATTTATCAAATTCAGTAAATGGTGGTAATGATACAAGTAATAATAGTAACAATAATAATAGTGATAATATGTTTGGTTCAAATAACATTATGGGTGGCAATCAGCCTAATATTAACAATGTTGCTAATCAGAACGGGAATGTGAATGGGAGTAGTAATGATAATGAGCAGCTGGATTCTAATTTATTAAGTTCTATGCAAGAAGGTAGTGAAGATTATTTGACATTAAATGATTTTAATGATTTGAATATTGATTGGAATACAAACAATGATACAAGGGATATGTTTAATATATAAAATCATAGTATAATAATGGAAATGTTTATTATGTGCTGATAATGAAACTCGATTAAAAAGCATTATGGAATTATGTGTATATATAATAATATCACAGATACACCGATGATAGCAGGACAATGCAATATTATTTTAATTATATATATATATATATATATCATGATGACAATATAATGATTATGCTTATCAAAGTCTTACTACCATTACTGTTACATTATCTGTGGTGCCATGTTCCAGTGCATATTTGACTAAAAGTTTAGCTGCTTCATTGGGATCATCGATATCTTTGATCAGTTCACAAGCATCTTGGTCTTCGATAATATCCCATAGTCCATCACATGCTAAAATTAAGAAATGATCATCTTTTGTTATCTCTACACTAGTTGTAAATGGGTTACCAATTACTAAATTATCAAAAAACTTGTCACCTAATGACCTCGTTACTGCTAACATCCCATTAACTCTACTCTTCATTATCAACCCACCAGCATGTTCTACTCTTTGCATTTCTAAGATATCTGATGCTTTGTGATCATAGGTAAGCCTAATACTACAATCATTTCTATATAGCACTATTCGTGAATCTCCTACGTTGGCTGTATACAATCTTCTTTTATATTGTTGTAAATTTGAAATATCTTCACTAGACAAATTATCTGGCACTTCCCAACGTAGGATACAGACGGCTGCGGTACAACCACTGTTACCATGAAGATCAGAATTAATTTGTTTATCGATGGTAACGAATGAATCATTCAACACATCTCTAACATCTCTTGTTTCATTTTCCATAAGTTTTTGTTCAATTATTGTATGTAAATGAGATCCACACCATTTGGATGCTTGTGCACCGGCATGGCCATCAAATATGGCAAAATAGCCCCAATCTAATCGTGAAGCAAAATTTTTAACATAGGTATGAATATCTTCCATAGATCTACGAAATTTCGAATTTTTGTTTTCTGCTACACCTACCCGATATGTGACTTCAGGTTGTGATGTAGTGACGCTATTATTTGTAGTTGCATAGGAATTCGTATCTGTGGTTATATTATCTGAACTATTAGAGGAAGCTGGATTAGGAAGACAAAGCTTTGAGGGAGAAGAAGGAGAAGACGAATGTAGCACTGTTGTTGGGATATCTTTCTTATCAGGTGTAAGTTGCATGGCAGGATTTATCCTTTCTATTGAAGGTATGTTAATATTCGAAGAAACGTCAATTTTTGAACTTTCAGACAACCTAATATATACCTGTGGTTCAGTGCGATTTTCCATTTGTGGTTATATAATTTATTTGTTGTCTGGTTTGAAATAATGTCTGTATCCACACTATTAGAACTTTTTTTTCTTCTCAATTAAAAAAAAAAAAGAATATGTTTAAGAATAAGCAAGGGTCTATAAAGCTAGATTTAATGTTCAAATGAGTTAAGAATTCACTTATGAAAAGGAGACTCTGGTATTTTGACAGTTAGGTATAGTACAATAATAGTTTTTTTTGTTGTTTTTTTTTTTCAAGTTTGTGATGTACCCAAACAACAACAAAAATACAAAAAGTGTGTGTAGCTCACTCCAATGATTGGATAATTAAAGCTAGAGATGTCTTCAATATCTTATGCTAATGTTCTTTATTGTATTAAGACATAGATAGAAATATGCATGTGTGTATTCTACATTAGTTGCTGTCTGGTAGTTATTGATGGCTTATTCTTTTAGATTAGTTTATAAATAAAAATACAACCATAGTCTAAATTTAGAATTTTTTTTTCCTTTCAGAAGGAGTTTTTGTTGCTTTTTTCAGCCATATTACGATAAAGTATCACAAAACTTTCAAAACATATAATTAAATCTAATGTAAATTCTTATATCATCTATTATTACAAGATATTATGTGATATCCAGTGCAGGAGTTGCTTTTATATGAGTGTATTTAGGTACTACTAATTAATAGATTACTACTAGGAATTTAAGTAACATGGTAATTTATGATTAATGAAAGGTATAACATATAACATAATCTTAATTTTTAGGCATTTGAGTTTACAAAGCTTAGAAAATTACTTACAAGTAGAAAAGAGTGCAATAAATATTGTGATACATTAATATTTATAATATATATATATTATAAATATAGACCTTCTAAATTTTCTTCTACTTTATTCTTTAAGACACGTTCCTTAGCTTGTTTGAAGTCTTCAGCAGTAACTTGCATTCTTCTTTCTCTTAAAGCTAGTAGACCTGCTTCAGTACACATGGCTTGGATATCAGCACCAGAGAGATCATCTTTACTTGTAACTAATTTTTCTAAATCAACATCCTCACTTAGATTCATCTTTGATGTATGTATACCTAAAATCTTCTTTTTTGTGGATAGATCTGGGTTTTCAAATAAAATCTTACGATCAATTCTACCTGGTCTAATTAATGCAGGATCCAGACTCTCAATTTTATTCGTAGCCATGATAACTTTGACATCACCCCTATCATCGAACCCATCTAATTGGTTCAGCAACTCTAACATAGTTCTTTGAATTTCTCTTTCACCACCACTATTTGAATCATATCTTTTGGTACCAATGGCATCGATTTCATCAATAAAAACGATACTTGGTGCGTTATCTGCAGCCACTTTGAAGATTTGTCTACAAAGTCTTGGACCATCCCCAAGATATTTCTGAATTAATTCAGAACCGACAATACGTAAAAATGTAGCTGATGTTTGATTAGCAACAGCTTTAGCTAATAATGTTTTACCTGTTCCTGGGGCACCATAAAGTATAACACCCTTTGGTGGTTTAATACCCATTTCTTCGTATAATTCTGGGTGAGTCAATGGTAATTCAACTGACTCTTTAATTTCCTGGATTTGTGATTCAAGACCACCAATATCACTATAGGATTCAGTAGGAGATTTATCAATTTTCATAACGGAGACCATTGGATCAGCATCATCTTGTAAAACACCTACCACCGACATAGTTTTATTATGTAATAACACAGAACAGCCTGGTTCTAACAGTTCTTTATCAACAAATGATAATATAGACACATAATAATCAGGCATTGTGGGACTTGTCACAATGGCATGATCATCGTCAATGATTTCCTCTAAAGTACCAATACTTAATGGGTTTCCTCTGATCTCTTCCAATTGTTTTTTTTCCTCTTCCTGTTTCTTTTCAAAAGGTTTCAAGATCTCTGAATTAGTCACAAATTCTTCTTCCAATAATAAATGATCTTTAATTCTTTCCATTCTTAATAATTTTAGTTTACAACGTGTACTTGGATATATATTTGGCAATTTCTCTGCAGTAGCTGGACCATGCTTTCTTTTTTTACGACCAAATTTAGATTGTACGGGTGGTTCATACTTAGGCTTTTCTGAGGATTTCTTCTTCTTATTTTGACCAGCTGACGCACCTTGTCCCATTTTTGTTTGTAATTTATTTGTCTGTGAATATGTATTGGCTCAATTAATCAAAGTCGTTTTATTTTTTTTGTCACACAAAAATTGTTCAGAAATATCTTTTTGATTTTATTATTAGGTGGTTTCAATAACCTACAACACAACAACAAAAATAAAACAGAAATAAATAAACTTTCTTACGTTATAGGTCAGATATCTTATAATAATAGTACTAACTAAAAAATAACTAGACGCTATTTTTCTCGGCTGATCTAAAGACTTTTCTTTTAGCGTGTTGTAGGATATAATTTTTTGATTGAAATAAATCAGCTAGTTTCCAGTATACATTTGCCACCCATTTGTATGTTTTTAACATGGTCTTTGCAAATCCATTAATCACATTTCAATGATTTTCAACTCGTTGTTTTTCCCCTCTTTCTCTTCATTCTTTTCATACTTTTTTTTCACTTAATTGGTTCTACACCCATACATTACACTACAAGTTTCTTCGGTTTTTGTTTAAAAAAATGTTTAAAAAGCCGACAACTGCAGGATTCGAACCTGCGCGGGCAAAGCCCAAAAGATTTCTAATCTTACGCCTTAACCACTCGGCCAAGTTGCCCAACCACTGTCCTTTTTGTTGTGGAATAGAATAGTTATAACCATCAAGATTACATAAGATCCTGAATGAATTTAGAACTATTTATTGTCTTAATAAGCCATAAACGTGCTACAACATTAGATGCTGCATAATAAAGAGATTGGATTACATAAGATTTAACAAATCTAGAATTTACCTATTGTTTTAATAAGTCCCACGTGTATTACTAATCACCATGATTAGAAAATTGGGGTGCAGTTCTAATCCACTAGTGCACCTAAATTAATGTAATAAAATTTAGGGTGAATTAGTCAAGTCATTAATGTACTAATCTGAATAATCGATCGAGCTCCAGAAAACATATAAAAGGACAACGTTTTCTGGAGATAAAAGATCATCTTCCATAACCGTTTCTTGTAAATAACTTATATATTATGTATAAAAAAAGAGATCAACAAGTAAGTAACAAACAAGTAACAAGTCAAGTAACTTCGAATAAATATATTAGCTCGACATAAGCCGCTCAATATATAAGACCGTTTTAGTAATTATATTATCTACTATAGTTGATTACTGTCTCGATTATTTGAATAACTATTAATATTATTTGCGCTTCCCTGGAATACACAAAGAATCTCACCATCTCATATTACAACAGTTTTCTGTTATAGTTTGGACTTAGAACCAATTCTTATAATAGGACTATTGAACGAATAGTCAAGGCAACAACAAATATAAAAGGATGTTATATATATAAGAGAATTAAAGGATTACTGCTTATTCTTTTTTGTATTATATAATATGTTACATATAATTATAAATCAACCAAACATACAAATTTAGATATCAAGATGATGGTCCTTTATATATGAATCATGGGTTGATAGTTTCTTATTTGGAGTTCTGTAACGATTGTCATCATAAACACATCTCTCATGAATGTTTCATTAATGTTTCATTTTGTTACTTAGTATTCAACAATCACATGGGATTTATCAACAAACCCTAAGTCCTATAAATCCAAACTAGAACTTTTTCTTGACAACCATCACAAAAGCCCTAACAATATTTTTCAACCCTAATCTTTTTTTTCATTTAATCATAATATCAAGGTTGGTCTATAATACTTTCTATTGTATAATAGAGGAATCATCACCAATAAGATTACATAAGATTTTGACGAATCTAGAATTTACTTATTGTTTTAATAAGTCATACACATGCTACAACATTTTTACTTTATAATAAACAGGGATTAGTTTATACTTACATACTTCTTTGTAAAGAAAAAATTTTTTGAACAAGATCAGACATAATCTTTATGTCCTAGAAAGCTTCCAATCAGATTTAATATCTTATATTAACCGTTGAACATATGGCTGTATCAATTGTTAGCCTAAAAATTTAGCTGTTACCCGGATGATTGAATATTAACAAAAATCCAGTTAAGCTTCTATAATATACAAGGCCAATTTAAATACAAGAAGATTTTTTTTCTTTGTAATTTTGTTTTGTAGATGAATATTTATTTCTTGATCTTTTGTTGCATTTTACAAAAATTTTCTAATAAGTTTTCTTTTTTTGACACAAATTGTAAATATTTATACAGTGACAGGAACATATGAAAGAATAAACAAAGCGAAATTACTTAATAATCTTTTTCTATTAAAAACTTACTATTAAAAATATCAAACAACTAAAATCGAATATTCTAGAATAAATAGATAGACTAATTATATTTTAGCAAATATAAATTGATGACAAAATATGAAGAATGTATTGTTTACTTATCAAAAAATGTAAGCAAAACATATTAACAAATCAATGGCGTACATAGAAGAGATATGTCAGAAATGAAAATATATAAAATCAACATTTTTTCATATCATGTTTTTTCCCCTGTATAATTTTTATATATTATCATCTCCACATTATATATATAGAGAAAGAGCAAAGAACTTTTATATAATTTTGTACACTATAGCTATTCAATTAAAACATTGACAATGTTTGTTATATATCCAATCATTTCAGGTGTTCATTCTCAATATAAACGAATATAATATATATATTTCCAAATGACCATTGAAATGAATTAATAGGCATTATTACACAGAGAAATATTCTTATCAAGAACAAAAAAACACTTTTATAATTTTTCTCCATAAATCTTATATAACTATTTTTTTATCTTTCACTCATATTTGTTTTTATATTTTATTTACAAGAAATCAATAAAATCTAATTACAAAAAGTATATTAATGATCATTACCAATTAACTATGTCAGCCAATTCAAGCAATATATTAATGCCATTTTCTTATAAAAATTATATATCAATAAAATATAATAATATAAAAATAAGCTGTCTTAGACACTCTGCAAACTAATCTTATTTAAATGCACAAAATGTATCAATTGAAAAAAAAAAAAATACTTTTTAGACATTAATCCCTGAAACCCAATCCTTGAAGATAAAAAAAATAAAAAAGACCCCTCCATTATTTATATAAAAGACTAGGAATATATAACTATAATAACCAATCCATGATATCCGTACCTTTTATAGTTCTCATTTTTTCTTTTCTTTTTCTTCTTTTAAATGACAACCATTAAAACTTATCGCTATGTAATCATACATTTTATATTTCTTATCATTAATAAAATATTAAAATAATATCAACATTACCCAAGAAAATGCAGTGAGGTTTTTATTTTCATCACCTATTTGACCCAACATGGCTCTTAGTAAACATATTAAAAGCAAACTGAGATACTTTTTTAAAAGATGGAGAGGAAAAGAGATCAAATATATTCAATTCCAAGTATTGTTAAAAGCTCTTGGATAATGAATGAAGCAAAAAATATCTATTCTTGAAAATAAAAGAAACAAAGTGTATTTTTTAAATTATAAGAATATTCAACTAAACAAAGCAAAAAGAAAAAAAAAATATGTTACTTTTTATTCCACATGCTCACTCTCATAGGACATATCGCTATATATTTCATCTTCGTTATCAAACCTATATCTATATTCACCTGAATCACTAATCTCTATCGAATTATACCCATTTTTTTTATAAACTTTATTTTTCTTTCTATCAGCCTCTTCCTTGTATAATTGTAATATCTTTGCACCTAATTCAAGATCTTCATTATCAATTTCACCACACTCATCTTTTTTGTCTAATAAACTTTTCTTGACAATTTCAAATAAATCTTTCTCTTCATTATCATGCTTTGCAAAATCATTACCACTATTAATCTTATCTTGGCCTTTATCATTTCCATCTTCATCATCAATATCAATGTCACTATCACTACTATTATCATAACTAGTTGTACTATCATCTCTATTAGCCCAAGGTAATGGTCGAATAATAGGATAAAAATTTACATACTCCTTAACTGAACCTCCATCTTGCAAAATAGCATCAAGGTTATTATCTGGGACATAATCAGGTATTTCATACTGATTACCGACCCAGTGTCCGATATCTTCATCGTCTTCTACTCGTTGGGCCACTAACTGAACCATCATCGCATTGAATTGTTTACGAACAGGGTTATTAATTGGGTAATTTTTCTTTAAAAGGAATTGCCTTCTACACATGGGACAAAGACCCTTTGAATGTAAAGTTCTTAGCCATCGAACAATACAGTGGTAATGAAAGAAATGTTTACAATCACCTATAACTAAAGGACACGAGTCACCAGGTATTTTACATGTCGGACAGGTTCCATTATAATTAGCTCTACAGATCCCACATACATCATTCTCATCTTCATCATCACTTTCTTCATCATCATAAATATCATCGACATTACTCACATTTGATTGCTGACTATTACTATTGCTATCGTTGAGGAAATCTTGTGATTTATTTATAGTTGTTAATGGATGTTCAGGCTGTTTTTGTTTGTTATAGTTAATAATATTTGGGTAAACCTTCTTTTCAATATCGTTTTTGATTTCCAATTCATTTCTTGTATCCCAAGACCAAGCAAATACAGGTGTAACCGCATCAACCTTCACTTTCATTCTAGCAATAAAACAATTACCTCTAATATTATAAACCAATACGTACAGCTATGTGTTTGTATCCTCCTTCTTCTTTGTCTCAATAGTTGAATTAAATGTCTTCTATAGCAAAGAAATTTTTCAAATCCAAAAATATTACTATAGTTCCTATGTATTTATTATTAATATACTATATACACAATACACAAATATACTAAGAGAGGAAAAGGAAGAAACTTAAAAATTAATGAGTACACATGACAATGTAAATACTCACCGATATATATTGGTATATAGAAGCACAAGATATTCATATATGTTTATATATGATTTCTGCCCCCAACCGATATTTATTTTTGCGATAGTGGTACCAATCTCTTTCTAACTGTAAGCTTATTATCACACCATTTAACTAAACTATCATATAAAGTCTCTGAATTGAATAATTTATTAATGTCATCAAATCCACCTCTAGACTCCCCATTAATCATTAGGTTTGGTACTGTTGTTCTCCCTGTAACTCTTCCTATATACTCTTGTAATTCAGCGCCTTTTTGGTGTCGATCTAATTCAATGAATATAATTGGTGGATCAAACTCAAAATGATCAGATAACAGATTTTTCAATTTATGACTATATGGGCAATATGTTTTACTAAACATAATTATCGGGCCAAGGTTTAGAATTTCTGCATATTCCTTCTCAATATCGATAGCAGAAACATTTAGAGGTTCAATCTCCTGTTGTTGTTGTTGTTGTTGTTCTATCATTTGGTCTTGTTTTATAGCCGCTTCTTTGTTGTTGGAACTTTCCTGTACTGATATATCATTAATATCATTATTTATAGGAACATTAATTTGCTTGGCATCGTTACTATTGTAATCATTAATCTCATGAATAATGGAATCTGAATCATCAGTTACTGAATTGAATGTAGGGATAACGCTTGTAGTAGTAGATTTCAATACTGTTAATGTCAACCCCAACAACAAGATAGTGATTATCAAAATCCTGATATTTCTTTTCTTTAATACCACGACCACCATTATTAAAATTAGCTTGACAGGATATTTAGATATCACCCAATAAAGAGTTTTTTCACTGGAATCTGCTTGTCTTCTTATAATTCGGTAACACTAAAAGTTCAGCGACGATTGATGCTTTAACGGCTGGCTTTGCTGTTGTTATATCGATGGAATTTTATATAGTTAAATTAGAGGTTGAAATATCGTTCTTCACGAAACACCAATATACATCATTACCTATTTAAAGCTCAGTTTACTCACTGTGAAGAGCCACAAACATCTAAGCAGTAGAATGGTTTTACAATAAGCAGAGACCACTACATCGTCTATATATATATATATTGAAGCAGTAGTCATAAGAAAAGTAATAGGTACAAACTTTTTTTATATGTTTACGTGCATCTTATAGATTGCTGCATTAACAATAATGATAGTGGAAATTAATAGTGTTGATAAAGTTGAGCAAAGTGACTACTCTAATCAGGGTAATGACCAACAAAGTCGATTAAATTCCTCTGTTGATCTTATAGAGGATAACAACGAAGAATTAAATGCAATTCGAGATAAAGAGTTTCATGATGAACCAGAAATTGTGATATTAGGTAATAATGAATACCACATTAATAATAATAGTGTTAATAGGGAAAGTGATATTAATAATATGATTGACAATAATGACGAAGACGAAGATATTTCTATCATAGCTACCAGGGAACAACCTGTACAAGAACCTATTGTCGTTGATCTAGATAATGAACCGGAAATAATAGATATCTCAAACCATGACAACAGTAGTAATGACCTTGATGATGATCTAACAATTATTGAAGAAAGAAATGTGCCTAATATTTATGTTAATGAAGATTCGAACTTACAAACTACACAATTACATTTACCTGGTGGTAATTCGATTCAAATAAACATTAGTGATTATGAAAGACCTAACAGAACCTCGTTTCTAAATGGAGAGACTCGTAGAGATGGGTTTTCTAACAGCAATTCTAGAAGGAATATATTTTCTACTAGTGACAGAATACGATTAATAAGAGATTTGGAAAATATCTATAGTCGGAGTGGCCCGAATTCTATACCACCTGACATTAGATCGTATATCATGGAACGACTATCTAATGGCAACAATGGAAATAATAGAGAACATAGTAGGAGAAGGCAACGAAACAATTCTTCAAGAAATACTAGTAGAGGTAGCCATTCCCGTAGATTACGCCGTCGCTTAAATGACAGATATGGATACGAAAACCCTTGGGTTTATGACAACAATTATGAGTACGAATATGAAAATTATGAGGATGAAGACGATTATGATTTCAATTTTGGATTTGGGTTTGGTTTTGATGGGACCACAAATCAAAGGAATTATTATGAGGAAGATGATGAAAGAAGAACTCAAAGTATTATAAATTTCATTGAACAACGTGAAAATAGGGAGAGGGATATTAAAATACAAAAACTGAAGGAGAAGTCTGAACCAATAAAACAAAAATTTATAGACTCAGCAAACGATATGGAAAAATCAAGTGAGTTTACATCGAATTTTACTACTTTCATTCCTACTAAAGAAACAAAAGATAATAATAATAATAATAGCAACAGTAACAAATATGATTTGATAGTACCATCATGTGTTCTCTGCGGTGTAGAGTTGGGTGTAGGTATCCCTGACGACTATGATGGTATTGCTGAAAAGGACAAATCATTAACTTTTGAAGATCTTGTTACCAAATATGGCTACCACTGTCCATACCAGAGTCTTTACAGGCCCACACAACTTGATAAAGATCTATCAAAAAGAACTTTTATATCTAAAAATTGTGGTCACTTGTTTTGTGGCCGTTGTTTTGCAAGGATTGATAATGCCAAGGGAAAAAGTAAACTATCTAAAAAAAAATTATCTGAGTTGAAAGGTCCCTCAAACCCAAATAATTATGGACCAAGAGTGTGTCCTGCTAAAAATTGTACTACAATAATTAGAGCAAGAAGTCGATTAAAAGAAGTGTATTTTTAAAATAGAATTTTTATGCTCTTTTCTCTTTTTTCCTTCTTTCCATGTCATAGTATTTATACTATAAAATTGCATATTAATAAGTACACTAAACACATACATACATAGATATATATTCCAATCATTTACTTAGAGTTTTTATTAACAAATATTCTAAAATAAGCCAACTATAGACCATCAACCGGTGAAATCCACATTGTATTTACATGTATAGCCAATGATTTATATACATACATATATATGAAAAAATAGAAGATAAATTATTACAATTAATCCTTATATACACATACATATCTTGTATTGTACACTATGACTAGGAAACTTAGAAAGAAAAAAGAAACAGACTAGGGACCAACCGAAACCAATTAAAAGCATACAGCAAAAAAAGTAAAAACAAAGAAAGAACAGATGGGGTATCTATGCAAACGAAGGTGAATTTCTCTAGCCAGTTAACCATTAACAATTAATATATTCTTGCCCTTCCGCTTTTCTAGAATATCGATATGATCTTGCTACTAATATCATATTTTGATACAAAAGAGAGAATAATATCAATCCGATTAATTAAAGTAGCATATCCAAAGTACAACACAAACACATAGCAGCTAAACAACCAGTTAAACAATCTTCATTACCACGTTGTGGGGCTTGTTGTTGAACATAGATTGGTTGCTGTGGTGGAGGTTGTTGGTAGTATTGAGGTTGTGGCTGTTGGTAATATTGTGGTTGTTGTTGTAACGGAGGTTGATAATATTGTTGTTGCGCAGGATACCCTCTAGTATTATTGTAGTTCATATCATGAGATGGAGGAGGAACATTTGGACGTTGATACTGTATGCAAAGATTAACATAATTAATATTAAAAGGAAGAAAAATACAAATATATGCCACAATATATATATATATATATATGTGTGTGTGTGTTTTTTGTTTATTGTTAGTAAACTAGCTCAAAAGAAATATTAAACAACGTTCCATCTATAACCCCGGCTAAAAACAAATACATTTACTCTATTTATTGAATTATTCTATCTGAAATCTGATTAGACAGGGGAAAAAATGAATCAATGAGTTATCTAATAATTGAACATACCTGTTGTTTATTGTCACCATAATATTCGTTAGCAGACATATTCCGATATTGTATTTTTAACTAATTTTAACTTAATGATCTTTTCTTGATTTCTTCATGCAATAAAAAGACAAAGCAGATTACAATAGTAAACGATGTTCAGCCATCATGATTCTTTTCTCCTTTTTGATCTTATATATTTGTTTATTTGATCTTCAAAGGGAAGGAAAAAATTTCAGCCTCGATATTATCTGCTCTTTTTTTTTTTAACACGCAGAAAACAATACTTTTGGAAATATAATGTTTTACGAAAGTAAAAATCTATTGTTTTTCCTTAAAAGGTGTAGACATTCAGTTTTTATTGTTTGTAAACACTACTTTTCTATTGTCTTTAAACAAACAAATATGTTGTATTTATAATATAAATAAATATATTTGAAGTTCAGATCAAGATATACAATATTTTGAAAAGTCTGTATCCTAGCTTAACAAATTATTTCTTTAAATAAAAGCAAAAAAAGACGCATGTTCTTTTTATAAATAACAACTTCTAAAATATATTGTTTTACTTCTCAAATATAAAAAAAAATTTTAAATAAAAACAAAAAAAAATTTGATCAAGAGATCGTAATAATGAGCTCCAAAAGTGATTCTTCTATATTCTTAAACATGTATAATTATGCAAACACCTGTAAAGAATTATCTCGAGTAATATACTAAAATATAGATATTAATCGTATATAAATATTTACAAGTTATAAGGTAATTGGTTCTAACTAAACAAATTAATTTTAAAATTTTTATTTTTCTTTCGTCGTTAATAACTACCTCTGGTACATACTTTCTAAATAATCAGAGGTTTTTTAATAAAAATATTCTCTGTATTTGACTATCAATGTTAATTTGAAAATTTCTTTGTACAAATACACTCACAATTTCGACTCAGATTCTCAGATATTCCAAGCCTTTTCGTCTCAATATTAAGAACACTACCCAGGAAAATACCTATTTTCAGGATTTCCAACCAGAGCTTGTTACACTGTGTACTATCTAAGAGAATGTAGCAAGAATATTTCTAAGTTATTTGAAGATTTTTGCAATGCCATATAAATTGTTAAAAAAAAAACAGATACTTTAAATAATTCAAAGATATGAAAAAATGTGAAATATTTAATTTAATACATACAATATTAAAATTTTTAATAAGTATAATTGTTAGTTCAGCTAATTCTGAAGAAATCAACCTTTTTATATCATCACAGCTTGCAAAGAGGATATTGTCTTTTACCAATTCCAACAACCATCTACAAAATGGAAAAATGCAGTTCTTCCTCAAAAAAAGTCCACAGCTAACAGAAAATAAAAACTAGACCAGTTATTCAAAACAATTTTGATATTTATAGTGAAATGTAACTATTAACCTTGCATATCAAAGTTAACTATAAAGTATAAAAAAGATCTTATTTTTGTCAGATTTTTACAAGTTATCTTACAGTTTTATAAATATATACTCCCTTCTATACAAAACCTAAATCCTCTAAAGAAATATTCTCGAAAAAATATAAAATACGAATAAACTGTGCATATTTTCCCCAAAATTTACAGATTAGATAGCCAAATAAACCTTGTTACATTTGATAAAATTTGCATACTACAAGAAAATCTTGCAAAGCACAAAAAAAGGTTAACTTTTTTTTTTACCTTTTTCTGGCTACTTAATCATCAATCTGGATCATTGCGACACGAAAAAGAGAATAACCAAATTATTTTGAGATACTATTCTTCTATATTACAGTTCCTTTGCCAAGTAAATTATGAGCATTCTATAGATGTGTGTCCAAATAGGCTTATTTTTAAATATATGAGTCAATTCCTATTAATAATAAAGTACACTTTCCCCCATCCAGATACTTATTGCTAGATAATCCCTTAATATGGAAAGAATATGAAATATCAAATTCTTGAAGACTTTAATATTTTTATCTTTTAACCTTTATTTTTTTTTGAGCTTACAGATTAAACTATTGATATATATCCAATTCATCTTGATCAATTCATGCATTATAAACTTCAGTATCATTCCTCATTTCTTTTTTTTTACAAGCATAAATGCAAATAAATGCTAAGAATATCATATATTCTGTCAATCTAAACATAAATTAAATATTTTATTCATATATTTATCAATCTTTTCCATTCACCCTACGTAATCCTAAGATATTTACACCAAACATGTTCAAAACAATTTCATTTTACAAATAGTGGCAACAGGAAAAAAATAACCTTCCCAAACATATATTTACACTTCTTCTTCCCTTTTCAAAAAAGACTCTAATTTACCTCACATATGTCATTTTAAAAATACCTTTCTAAATAACTTTTACTGGCTTTAAAACTAAATCCTTTAAATACATCACTAATATCAGTACTTGTAACAGCCACATTACTACCATTTACACGATTATCAGAACCCTTTGGAATATTTATGGCATAATCATCTTCATATGACATTGAAGTAAATTCAGAATCGAAATTTTCTGCCAGTTCCCAATCTGTAATCATTGGTACAATAGGTCCCATTGTAGTTTTTTGTAAGTCCCCTGATTCCATCATATGCCAATCTATTTTTCTAAAAATAAAATGTGATTGGAATTTCAGTTCTCTCTGTTTGCCTGGTTTCTTATTTTTTCCTTTACTATTTTTATTGATATTGTTTGGATTTTTTGTTTCTTCTTTCCAATATCTATCGACATCCCATCTTTTAGTTCTGTCCTTTTTCAATAACCAATTTAACATATCTTTCATTCCTTCACTTAAGTAGAATGGTATCTTTGGACCTTGTTTGTCCTTTTGAATCTTATTTAGAATAACTTTATGATTGTTCCCAGTGTAAGGTGGTTTCCCAATTAACATATCGTATAAAAGACATCCAAGTGAATACCAATCACAATTTTTGTTGTATGGTAGCCCTTGTAGAATTTCTGGAGCACAATATTCCGGTGTACCAATAATAGAATGTAATGTGTAAATACTTTCCTCATTTTTATCATCAGGATCGCTATTAGATTCCTCTCCATCTATAGCCCTTTTAGACAAACCAAAGTCTGTTAAAATTAAATGTCCTCGTTCGTTTAATAAACAATTTTCTGGTTTTAAATCTCTATACACTATACCTTTGTCATGAAGAAATTTTAAAGCACAACTGATCTCAGCAGCATAGAAGGATACAGTATCCTCACTCAACGTACCATATTCCTTTAAATGATAAAACAATTCTCCACCAGGGACATATTGTAATACTAAATATAATTTATTTTGATCATGAAATGAGTAAAACAATTTCACAATATTTGGATGTTCTAATTGTGATAGGATTTTTCTTTCCGCAAATGTCCTTTCCACATTCAAATTTATTACATCAGTATCATTAATCAATATCTCTGCCTTCTTTAAAGTTTTCATAGCATATAACTTGGATGATTTCTGATCTTTAACAAGAATAACTTTCCCATATGCACCTTTACCCAAGACTCTAACTGGTTTGAAGTCATGTAGATTCCTTGAATGTTCATCAGTTGTATCATCGGAAATTTCATCGACCACTGTTTCCATGGTTCCATCTTCTCTTGCAAAATCATGCTTTTTAACAACCATATCTTCATTTTTAAGTGGACCAACTGAAACTCTTCTTGTATGTAAAGGCGATAATACAGAAAATTTATCTAGCACCGATAACCTTCTTCTATTTTTAATCATGGTGGGACTATTTTTTACATCCATATAATCCGAAGATAAGAACTGGATGCACTGTTGCTGCTGTTGATGTTGTTGAGGGATATTAGAATTGTCATTTTCGACAAGCGATATATCGTCTAATGGATCTAGATCATGTACTGCAAATTCAGGGACACTATTTGTCTTATTTAACTCTTCATCCAATGAAAAGATCATTTCTAAACCATATGAACAGATGAATCTTTACTCTTCCCAGTTGCTAGTTATCCATCTATAAGTTATCTCTTGCTCCCTTAACTACTGCATTTACAGTTTTCTTAAATGTTAATTTCATTATTACTTATTTCTATACCACTATATTAATTTTTTTTTCTACCCTCCATTATTTTTCTTTCTAGCTCCCCCCATAGCACCTGAAAACTGCTATCTCTTTGTTTCTACGCCAGTGAATGTAAATATGGGTACATAAAATAGATATAGACAAAAGATAATCAAACCAGACAGATGTACAAGATATGCAAACTAACTTGCAAAAAAGTTATCGTAACAAATGTAAGAAACCTATATATGTATATACATACACATATTACATATTTGTGTATGTGAACAAATACACGACTCCTAAACTATTATCATTATTTCTCTTTCTGTCAATTTAATTTAATTTAATAATTTTGAGATGGTATCAATAGCAACGTTCAAAGTATTTTCATCAAAAACCTCCCTATCCCTTAGAGTGGTTAGCAATTGTAAAGTTAAAGTCAAAATATCATTATTATTTAAATTTAGTAAAATTGTAGAGACGATAGTTTCAATAGAAAATCTCTTCTCAGAGATGAAAGTTTCAAAATATAGATTTGTAAAAGACCCCATTAAGAATTGACAATCCACTCTATCTGCAATACCACCGTGACCTGGAATAGAATGACCAAAATCTTTCACTTTAAAAGTTCTCTTCAAACCAGACGCGAAAAACCCACCGAATGGAGCAAAAAGAGATGCAAATGTGGCCAAATTTAGAGAGTGAATATAGATTGGTTTAATTGTGATAGAAGTGATATGCAATCTTTCAAAAATAACATGATTTAAATTGTAAGTTTGGGATCTAAAGATTGGATTCAATTCACAATTATTTGGTGGGTTCCAGTAATTTGAATAAAGTAGGTTATTATTAACTGGACATGTTAAATAGGAGTATGGCGATAAAATTCTGGTTAAGATAATACTAGCAATAGCTGTGAAAAACCATGCACCCAGAAAACCTTCTAAAGTTTTCTTTGGAGAGATTTCAATCAATTTAGTTTTTCCAAAAGTGATACCACATAGATATGCAAAGATATCATTAACTATAACTAGACCACATGGTAGAAGGAACCAAAATAAACCGGTCATAATATTATTAATAATTAAATGTGCTTGAAAGACGATAAATAATAAAGCCATGTGAGTAGCACATAATGATGCCATTTGGAATTTCAAATAACCTTTCCTTAAAGAACTGACAAACATGATAAACCCACAAACATATAAGCAATAACAGATAAATTTATGATGCGAGGAAATTGCAATAATTAGATCAGTATAAGGCTTTAATAAGGAAAAATTTGATTCTAAAATGATTTTATAAACATCCAACCCATTTAGATAGTAAATTGTGGTAAAGACTAAATACCAATTCAAAAATTTATTGACAGGTAAGTTTTTAGCTCTCGAGGATGCTGTAGTAACAGCTATACATTCTTTAAAAGTCATTAATTCACAAAATAACACTAGTAGAATACACCATGAATGACCTGCAGCTAAAGTCAAAAAAAAACCAGCAATCATAACAAACGTCCAAATGGTTCTTACAAAAAATGTCTGTCTCTTCTTTTCATTTTGACCCAATGTAGATTGATCTGTACCAACTGTTGGCTTGTCTACAGTTTCTGCAACCGTTTTACCTTTTGGTTTACTCTTTGAACGTTTGTTAGTAGACATTATTCAAATAAATAAATAGATTGACAGAATGAATAATTTAATCAAATTGCAATGAATAGCTAAGTTTCCTTTAATTTGCAATTGAGAGAGGATAAGGAGGGACCGTAATGGCTCTAATAGCTTAACCTATAGAAATTACACAGGATGCCCCTATCTAGCAATATAGAGTGATTGTTTTCAGTCGTTTTTTTTTCTTCTCCACATTACATACGAACCTATGTATATAAACATTGCAATCTTCCCCTAGTAAAGACATCTTTCAATTAAAAAAAAATTACGAAAACAAAAAGAAAAAAGTAACTCATTGAACAAATTTTTTATTTATTCAAAGAAAGAAAAATTTTCTTTTCCTTCTTTTTTTTTTTGTCACTTTACGGAAATTTGAATAAAAAAAAATGAAAAAATATTCTCATGGTATACAAAAGAGGGTAAGTGCAGAACAATAGGAAATGCAAAAGGACAATAGAATTCTCTTTGGAAAACGGCGATCATTTACCATTTTAGGAAATATGTAAAGAATAGTTTTCCTATTTCTCTTTGTTTCTCTTCTTTTCTCGAGAAATCTTTCACTTCCGTTGCATCGCATAAAAAACAAAACAAAACAAACTGTATTTCTTAAATACGTGCACGATACTAACTAAAACACACACACACACACACACACATATATATATATATATATATGTATGTTAGTAATAAATGGCTATCAATGAGAGATTGAAATCGATTATCAATAAAAAACGAAAAAAAAAATAAATGAATCACATTATCTCTTGGAACAAAGACAATTATATCACTGAAGACTATATTTCAACCAGTAAGAATGAACAATGGATATTCAAGTCTAAGGGAAACATAAAAAGTGGTACCATTTTATTTCAATTAAATAAAACATGTCTTTTTAGTGGTAAAAACTGTACAGTCTCAACCTTGCTTGATTCAAGTGAGGATGAAATGTTTAAAATTGTTGTTGGTTTTATTTATGAAATATTCATCTTTGGCCCAAAAAATAGTCAATGGTACGATTATTTATCTCCATTAATTATATACTATAACCAATACAAGAATACTGACAATCGTTCTACTAGAAAGAGACATACTGAATGGGAAAAGAAATTTTATTCTTACTACACTCTGTGGAAACAACAATTTGGATGGGAATTTATTGACAATGATAGTAATATGATAGATTTTAAAGTTATTTCTAATTTCATTGAATCAGCTATTGTTATGATAGATTGTTGGATAGGTCCATGCTTGCTACCTGGTGGAATCATCCCTTCAAAGACTGGTCTTAATACGTGTAATTCAACTTTAATAACTTTACAAGATGTGTGTACTCTATGTGGTGAAGAAGACTGTTTTTGCGAAGAAGAAAGTGGAAGTGAAAATGAAGATAGAAGTGAGGATGAAGTTGAGGATGATATCAATGAAGTGAATGAAAATGTAGAAGAAGAAGAAGAAGAAGAAGATTCTGATATTATAAAGAAAGATTGTATTACAATTGTCGCTGGAAGTGATACTACTGATGGTAATATAATTTCATTAAATCCCGATTCTACTTTGACAATTCATGTTTTGGACACTTCTGAACTTCAATATTCTAATCTTTTTGACCTTAACAATACTGAGCAACAACCAGTTTGGCTAGATGAAGATGGAACCCCATCAGATTGGCTCTTATATCAATTAGATCCATATTCTGAATTAACTGATTATCAATTAAATATAAAGCTAAAAAATATCATTCTCCATAAACTTATAGAGTTAAAAAATCAAGACATTTCTAAAAATGAAAAATCTTATATTATTTTAAGGAAAGCCTTAAAAAATTATTATAGATAAACAGTCTATGTACATACATACATACATACAAGCATTTTTTACACTCGATATCTTTTTCCTCTTCTTCTTCTTTTTTTTTTTTGCCAAGCTTACATATATATATATATATACTAGCTTCATTTCAAATAAGGTTTTTTTTTTCATATCTTTTGAACATATCCCTGTTGAATTAATCTTTCTACATCACTTTGTCTAACATAGAATTGTGAATCTTTGACAAAATTAAATGTTCCATACTCTGTTTGAATCTCACCAATATCTTTTAGCACTCTGATATCAATAAATATATCGCTAGGTGGGTTCATATTCCCCATTATCTCTATTGAAGACCATAACTCACTTTCACTATTCATTTCATCTATAAGGTTTTTATATTGACTCATGTATTCTTGTTCATAATGTGATAATTCATTATAACCAGACCTTTTAGAACCGTTATTATACATATTATTGCTTCCTATAAGACCATTCCAAACCATTTTATCAATGATGTCACTCCTCATCCTTTGATATGCCATCAGACATCTTTTATTTCTCTCCAGACATAACAGATTCACAAAATACTGACATTTTCTTATTTTGTCATTTGAATGACCAGACAGGACATCCTTGAGTTGATCCTTTGTCTCCTCTTCTTCCTGTTTAATGTGTTGTAAATATTCCGTATTCTGTTTCAATTGATTCACTTCTTTTAAAATATTATATATTAACTCGTCGTTATACATTGGTATTATTGTCTCATTTCCATTGAAATCATTCCTTATCCCACCATTATCAGAATTTAATGCAGCATCAAGGTATTTTTGAGTCAATTGTTCTGTTCTCTTAGCTTCTATAATCAACTTATTAGCTAAATCACCATACATTATACCATAGTATTTTGTCTCTCTCTTTCAATACTACTCTTACCTAATTAATTATTTGTTTTCATTAAGCACCTTTATTCCTTCAATTTCTCCACACGATACTATCAACTTTGGGTTACTACTCTCACAGTCAAGGAAACCACCTTTAGAAGTCCTTTCCTTTTTTTACTAATGTAAATTGATTGTCAACACTCATTGATGTTGATGAAGATAAAAATAATAGTAAGAATTTTTCAGACGCGTAAACTTCTCCTTTCTGATTAATGATTTAGATTGAAAAAATAAAAAAGGCTAAACGCGTCATTATTTCTTTATGTCTTTCATTTATTTGAAATATACCTAAAGGTAACATCAATGCCTATTATCATTGCTACCAATATTACCATAAAAATTAAAATATGCAATTCGCAGATTATCACTTGTAGTACCAATTTCATCAGAGATACTAAAAACAACGGTGATTTTTTATAACATATTCTGTCCCTAAATGTCAGATATTATTCCAAATTTTATATTCAAAAAGAATCCAAAGAAAATTAGAAAGACGTACATAAAAAAACAGCACAACTTAGATAATGGCGAAAATGATATTAATAATGAAGACAAAGATTCAAAAAATGAATTATATAATCAAAATTCTTTTATAGAAACAAAAGTATATCAATTTATGGCTCAATTACACAGTAAAAATGTAATCAATAATAATCTATTAATGGAAGAAATCCACCATGCTTTAGTGACTAGTAAATCTCCCAATTTACCATTTAATATCTCGAAACATTATTATAACAATAAAAGAACTATGTTAGTCAATTGTACGGAAAATGACTGGAATGAAGATGATGTAAAAATAAGTATGCCTTCAAATAAAAAGAACTATATGGTACCTGATAATGACTCAGTTGATGATGACACCACATTAGTTATGTCAGAAGTTTCACTTAATAATAAAAACAATAAAAATAGAAAAAAGAGATTCTTTGGTAAGAATCACCAAATAACAAGAATGAAAAGTAATTTGAAATATCAACATGATTATGATTTTCTGATAAATAACGACCTACCGCTATATTCGAAATTATTAAATTTGATAAACATAATATGTGATGAAGATGATATGAGCAATGACGAAAATATTAATAATGACAGTTTTAAACAATATTTTCTTAAATGGAAGTTACAAGAATTTTTTAGTTATTGTTCTAATCATAAAGATATAAAAATTTCGAAAACTCGATTTTTTATGATGTTTTTATTAATCAAATTGAATTTATCTATGGACGAGAGTCCATCACTTATAACATTTTTAATTAAACTAATACCTTTATCTATTAATGACACATTTTCAATACATTGTATTGATAATGTCAGCAAATTAACGAGAATCACATTAAAAAGTTTTCTTAAATTTCATAACTTGGAAAAGGTTACTAATCATCATCTAGCAATCAAATTATGGTCATTTTATTCACATCAATTACCACAATTAATACCGTATATCCAAAGCTTAAATTTACACTTAGATAATAGAGAAGATGATATTGCTATTCATTCAAAATATAAGACAAACAATTGCATATTTATTTCAAATATCATTATTCAATTTGGTCAATTGATAATGGATGATACAGATTTAAATTATTTCTTACTTAATTTGTTCATAAATCATTGGATAGTTATACTGTATGATAAAATTTCTATCATGGCATTCATAATATTAACAAATAATAAATATTTATTCCTAAAATTAAATGCAACTAAAATCAATGAAATTGTCTCAAAGATTGTCTCTATGAGATATAAATGTTTAAATGAAACAGATAACGATGATATTATACAATTGCAAATCTGCCAATTTGCACTCTGTTTAAATATAATTGAATTAATTAATAAAGATATTCAAATCGATGAGTGGGATTTAATAATTAATAAAGTAGTTGAAAAGCACATTAACAATAAAGATAGTTCTAATTTTAATATTGAAGAAAAGAATAATGACAGGGAATATCTGTTGGGATTATTCATATTAATTTTATTACTTATCGAATACTATTCACAAAATAGAAAGTATAAAATCACACATTTTGATAATAAAAACAAATTAATTATTATTTTAAAAAAATTTAAATTGCTTACGAGTGATAATATTAAAATAATTGAAAATATTGATTTAATTGTTGAAAATTTTAAATAATTAACTACTTCTTACCAACGATAATAAGATGAGTTATAATATTTAATATTAATGTTTGACTGAATTTATAAGATGTCAACAATATTCAAGATCAAAAAAAAAAAAGAATTTCATTCTATCTTTATTCACATATACCCAAAGATACTTAAGCTTAACTATTATTCCGGAAGGTTCATATAATACCTTTTTTTTTTGTCCTTTCATAATTCGATTATTAAATATTAAATAAATATCACTGCATCTATCATAATTCTATATAGGATATATATTAATATAACTTTTCCCTTACTCTAACATATTGATTCTGTAAGACCTCTTGACCAACTAAATGCACCCAATGTAATGGTCAACAATATGTAAGAGAGGGCAATCGTAATAATATAATAATTCAATGCATGAGCCAAATCCATATTATACCCCTCGTTAATGAAAGTACTAATTGTACTTAAAGAACCACAAAACCCACCTGCTAAACTGGAAACAATACGACACGCATTAATTCTTGATACAATTGGACCAGTCAAGGAGGAATTATAACCTCTTTGAACTAAAGTGAAAAACCCTAATGTTAATACAGCAAATTCGTTGCATATAAAAGTGCCGTAATAAAACTTTTTCGATAATGGATTAAAAAACAAAGAGATATAATATCTTGCAAAAGTACCAAAGATTCCAAATATGGGTCCTAAAGTCCAATCACTCCTTGAAAAGTTGTCATATACAGATGCAAGGACTACAAATAGGATAGTTAATGGAATGCCCAATCCAGCCAATAAGAAATCCACAAATTTAATATATTTACGTAGAGTTCGATAACTAATGCTCTCTACCGAACCTTCTGGTGATGAAGAAGAAGAAAAAGAGGAAGAAGATTTATGTTTGACACATATATCTATAAACTTAACAATAATATCGGATGCAAAAGCTCTACCAAAAAGATAAGCACCTAATGAAACAAACATTTGACATAGAAGCACAGATAAAAACTCCATTATACCATAAGCCCTATTTGGTAATTTAAAATTATGTTTAATATTGACTGGATTTAAACTTGTTGAAAATAAGAAGACTTCTAACATCATTGAAGAGTACGAAGACAAAGAACCACAAAACCCAACAGTTATCCCAGTGAAGAGATATGGACACTCAGTGAACCAACCAATTTCTTTGGCATTAAGTGTTTGACACATTCCCATTATTAAACATGATACAAAATTTGGCCATAAAGTATTCTGTGGTGCAATAAATGAGTAGCTATAATTCGATAAATGTGAAATTCCAAATCTTGTAGTATTACCAATGATTGTACATGTAATTAATATCAGATAACAGTGGAATATACTTGTAGGTGATAATAAAAAATCTAGACCAGCATATATTTTGTTCTGGTCCTTCATTTTATCAAGTTTATTAACCGAGTCGACTGTTGATGAATCCTCTTTATCCTCACTCATTTACTCGACTTACAAATAATGAACAAAAAAACTTTAAAAAATATTATATTTTATATACTTTCTTTCTTTTTTTTTTTTTTTTACCTCCACAAATAAAATCAAACAAAGACTATATAAATTAACTTATCTTTGTTTTTCTCTTGTCAAGATTTGACACCATTAATTGTGTACAAAAGAAATGAAGGAAACGTTAAAATAAAACATAAGTTAGTGCAGCTGTGTGATATTCCTTCTAGAAATCTGTATTCAAAATAAGTTGACGTATTCATAAAAGTATTAAATATGATGCATTTAATAACGATAATTATCAAAGACCAATCAGCCGACTAAGATAATGAAAACAAGACCATGTGGTTACCAACATTCAGATTTCAACTATTATTGGACTCAAAAGGATCTGTCTATCTATCTATATACATGCAGATGGGCATTTTCCTCCTGAAAAAAAGAAAAGAAAAAAATATCTCAACAATCGCTATCTGAAAAATCATAGTCAATTTTTTCTTCGTGACAATTCGTATTTAATGATAGAAGACAGGTATTACTTTCTTTTTTTTTAATTTTTTTCCCGTTTCGACTACATATTCCGGTATTGTATTTTTATGCAAGCTTCTCTATTGTTATTTTCAAAGGAAAACAGTGAATAAGTATGCCAATTTCGATCTAAAATACAAATATGCTTCTCCTTCTATGATGAGAAAAAGAAAAAAAAAACAGCATTATTTGATAGTATATTTAATATCTAGGAATTTAAAGAAGTTTGAACTTCAAAAAGAGGTATCTTATACTTTTTTATTTTTAATACATTTGAATATTACGTGGAAAAGAATAAATTCTACTTTCAAGTAAACAAAAGATATCGAATGATAAACATTTTAATTTTGGTTCTTTTAATATTCCAGACAATTAGTACTAACTATCGTCATATCAATAAACAAAAAAAAAACTAAAAAAAAAAAAAGCAGATAGATTGAACTATAGAACTCTCAGAAAAACAGAAGTTTAAAAAGATTTAAAAATAAACGGAGATTTCAAGAAATCTCACCTTTTTAAGATCAGATACAATATAAAGTTTACAATTATAATTTTTAGGGAGAAAAAAAGAAAGACAGAATATTTTTCTTTTCCTTTTTTGACATATACCCTATCTTTCTCTACACACTAGGAGCGAAAAAAATGGGCCAAGCAACACAAAACCCTATATAAATTGTTTTGTTATTTATCAATGTTTTCTTCTCTGTTCTTGTTGCACATGTCTTTACAACTTCTATCTACTGTAGCCAAACAAAAAGGAACATATTCTATATTAATTATATAACATGGTTAATCATCAAACTTTCTTCTCTGGTCCTCTCTATGCTTTAGATCAGGATAAAGTATCAAGTATATATTTAATCAGATCACTATTTTAAGCAATTTTAGTCAGCGTAAACATACATTTATCGAAAGTAGATGAGCCTTTCTTAATCTTTGTGATCTTAATTTCATATAAAAGAAAGGCTTTAAACAAATATAGAAAATGATTTAATATAAACAATAACAAATAAAAGAATCATACCTGTATCTTGACTGTTGTTATTCATTCCAGTATCTTCTTTTTATCATGACTATTTCATAAGTTTCCAACTTGTTTTCTTTATTTTTTTTTTTTATTTATATAATTCTCAAATTGAACGCATCTTATTTGAACTAGCTATTTTAGCCGCTGACAGTTAGCGTTATCAAAACACACACATACACTCGCACAAGCACACACATATATATACAAAGAAAGTAGTATCAAACTTTATCAAATATCTTCACCTCCATACTATTAATACAACTATATAACAATAGATTAATACAAAAAGAAACTGTACAATGATGACTGGTGATATGGTGAAGTCCAATGTCCCAAAAGAAAATAGAAGATGCACAAGAAGAAGTAAAACAGTGTCGTTCCACAATAATTATGAAAAATCCAATAAGGTGTTTGAATCAAGCATCTTAACAGAAACAACTAATAAAACTTTTAATAGTATTGATAATATTAATACTCACTATATACAAAACGATTTAAACGAAATATATCACATAAAACAAGTACCACCATCACCACAATTACAGCAACAACAAAGTAGCTTTCAAATATGGAGAAGAGGTAATAAAAGGTTCCATACAATCTCATATTTAGATACCGATTCAGATAAAAACAGCTCAAATAACTTACAGGAGAAGGTAGAACTCGACTTCCCTCTCATAATTAACAATAAAGAAAGCATTGAAAATACTTATACAGAAAGTCAGTCTGAAGATGAAGAATCAAATAATAATTCACTTCCATCTATAAAGACTTCAGAAATAATAGATAATAATAATAATAATATTACCATTATGAGCGATTTCAAGGATGATCACCTGCCAAAGGAAACCCATTTAATAAAAGCAATCCCCTCTGACCATAAACAACAAACCCAAAGTATTCTATCAAATCAGAACAGTCCTGTTATAATTGTCCACAAACCTTTAAAAGAATTAATAAATAAGACATATTTGGATTTCTTTAACGCAGATGCTAACAAAATTCATTATAAAGCTGGTCTTTCAAAGAACACTGTAGCTTCATTACCAAGCTTACATCCAGAGATAAAACGTAACCAAAAAACCAAATGATACTCACCTCTATTCTTTCTTAATTTTTTTTAATCTCTTTACTTTATGTATCTTTTTTTTTTTCTTTTTTTCATCTACTCGTTATTTATCTCGTATTAAAACTAATAATATAACAATTTTCCCTAGTTATTTTTCAAGTAATAATAAAACATTGTAATGATTACTTGTTCAAACAACAAATGATATTTTACTCCATTTATTCTAATATCTTACCTCCTTCTTGACTTTGTTCCTGCTCATCTTCGTCTTCATCTACATTTATATCTCCATCAATAATGCTCTCATGTTCATTATAAAACGTCTTCCAAAGTAAAGCCACTGATTCAAAATCCTTTCCTACAGCAATCGAGCTTTCTAGCGATATATTCAGTTCATTTAATCCATTCAATATCGAGTCCATTGTATTGTTAATATCTTGAAGGATAATATTTCTTTGTTCAATAAAATATTTATCTCCTAATTTAGTAGTATTCATAGTGTTTGCTATATTCTTATTGATATCCAGATGAGTTCTATTGCTTGTTGCAGTAAATGAACTGTTCATTTTCTAGTTGAATGAGATTCCACAATCAATTATTTTTCCTATACACACCTACATGTATCTGTACTTCTATGTACTATATAAAAATACACCAGTGAAACCGATTACATAACGTTTTTATTCATTAATATTTTTCAATTAATTTTTTTTTTGTTAGACAGAAAAACTTTATAGAGAAACGAATTACACACAAAAAGAATCAGTCCTGATCTACTAGGTGAAAAAAAAAACTTTAAATGATATCCTATGTGATAATGCTAGGAAATATATCAATAATCTACTGCCTTATTTCAGATAAATAACAGCAAGATAATGCAAGTAACTTTTGAAGGAATTAATTACAAAAAGAGTGAAAGTTAAAAGAATAAAACAATATCTATAGGTTTTTGTCTCTATTTTGTTTATACTTCTTGAATTTTAACCATCCACACTATTAATATATGCTTATTTTAATCACTAACATCGCCATTATTACTAAATCTAGGTTCTACATCGAATATTAGTTCATATTTTCTCCATTTTTTGCGTAACTCACTCTGTGAATTATTAAACTCAGATTCTCCTTCTTTATCAAATTCATCAAGCCAATCCCAATTAATATGAAACAATTCTTTCCCCTTCAATTTCATTGAATTGTTAATAAAATATGTTAATTCATCTTCATCAAATATTAATGGCTCATCTACAGTCAAATAATTCCATAATGTTAAGAAATAAAATCTTAAACTTTTAATCCCACGAACAAATCCTAAATCTTCTACATTGATGCCATTCTTCGGTGGAACTTTAAATGAATTTAATCTTAATCCTTCTTCCATATCATCCTTAGTGACACATTTAGCAAAATCAATTATATTGACCTTAATTTTTACTGTTTTCCCCTTCTTTAATGTCAAATCACCATCATACATTAACAGTAATGAAGCACCATATAATCTGAAGCCTTTCAAATTTGTCACTTCCAAAGCCAATAAATCTAATTCTTTTATTAATCTTGGTAAGTGCCTAACAATACTACCAATTTGTTGACCATCATAAAGAAATCTTGCTAAAACCCGAACAAACTGCCATCCAACTTTTACACGTCTGCCAAAGTATTTATCTCTTTTAATATAATAAGATTCATTCCATACTTTTAATCCACAAATACGTACACCTAATTTACGTGATGTCGTCTTTTGACATTTTAATCTCTGGGACCGTTGCTTACAAGAATTTGCATCCACACCGTATTGTCTTGTTCCCATTTTTAGATCTAAGGCACAGGGTTTATTCAAATGACGAGTCAAATCTTCTAACAAAATAAATTTTGATACTATTGTATCACTCTGATCTTCAATTACAATCGATTCCAAGGGAGGAGGAGAAAATTCATTCATCAACAATTCACTATCACGTCTTTCACCTGAAATTATATTATCCAAATCACTTATATTATTATTATCTTTATTATTTTCTGGATTATTTTGTAAAAGAAATTGTGAATCTTTAGAATCAATATCTGCTCCAGAATGTAAAATGTTGTCTCTCACCGTAGTCTTCTGTTGAAATTGTTTTAAATCCATGACTGAATGTGAACTATTGATAGCATTTGAGATACATTCCTTTTTCAATTTATGTAGCAATGGTGATTCTGATTCTTTATCTGTCTCCACCAAAGAAATGTGGGAATTTCTTCTCATTGAATTAATTGGTGAACTGTTATTGACAGATGTGGAGGAAGAGGAAGAAGATCTTACTTTTTTCCTAAACTGCCTACCTGAAATAGTTCTAACTACACCACCTCCCAAATTATTATTATTATCATCAGTGCTATTTTTTCTTGTCGTGATTGGAGCAAAAACTTCTTGGATCACCAAGTCTTTCAACTTTGTATTTAGAACTGTGGAGCCTGAATCACGTCTTCTTTTAATATTACTATTATTCTTATGATGTTTAGGTATCTCCGAAATATTATCATTATCTTCAAATGTTGTTGATATATAAGAATCGTCGGGCACAGAACTAGCTGTTGATGATGGTGAATGTACCTGGGAATAAGAATTTGATGGGGAATTTGGATAATAATGTCCCCATAAGGAATCAGGTATAATATGTTGGTTATCATCAATTGATACTTCGGGTAAAAATGATCCGTGGATGTATCTGCTTCTATTATATTTAACTGATGCTGGTTTTGAATTGTTAGACAGAGGAAATGAATAGATATGTTCCAGTGGAGCTCCAATATTTTCATCCTTAGATAACTTAGTTTGTAAATATTCTGATTCTAGAGTTGAATCTAACGTACTTTTCCTATCATCATTCTTTTCTTTCTGTGGAGTAGGCACTTGATTTAAAAATTCTTCTCTTGAATTAAAATGCTGCCTGACGTTAAGAACACCAATATAACGTGGCATGAACTGTAATAACTTGTTATTTGTTAGTTCCATTGTTTCATACCATTTATTTTCTCTACTGACTAAAGTCTTACATACTGCTCTTTTAGAAAATCTAAATATTGCTGTGTGTCCACCAACTCTATTTGTAAATGGTTTCAACTCAACAGCCAATGGGTATTCTTTATCAGCATCATCATCGTCATCTTCTTCATTATAGTCATCATTATCAACTATTTTTTCTCTTCTTTTACCCACCTCACTTGATAGTTCTTTTTCATCACTTTGGTATTGTGCTCCCTTATCTCCGTTATTATCATCAGTTCTTATTAGGACTTCCTTCTCTGAAGATGTCAAGTCACTATTATCATCATAAGAGTTAGGATTGGATAACTGATTATGTGCCTCATACTCATCATGACCACCATAAGTTAATTTACGATTGGCTCTGCGACTACTCACACTACTCCTTGATTCAATTTTTGTTAATTTTTCAAATCCATTATCTGTATTTATAAAATCAGTGCTATTTTCATTATGTTCTTCCTTATTTAAAATTTTTGATGTCTTTGATACAGTAGATTTTGATTTATGTGGATAATATGTGGCGGAGGAGACTGGCTTCAACATAAGATCATCATTGAAGGTATTTGACGCTATATTATCTTGATTCATGATATTCGGTCCAGATAAGCTTGCTTTTTGTAAACCGACAGTTAACATGGATTTCTTTTTATTTGAGGAATCTAGTCTATTTACAATAATATTATCATTATCATTATTATTATTATCATTAACGATATCACTATTAATATATTTATTATATGTATTAATTAAAATATCATTAGAAGCATGCCGTAGATGATTTAAATCTTTGTTATCGTCTATATATTGATTATCTAAGATACTCACTCCACTGTCCAAATCAATCTTCTTTGTATTATCTTCATCAATAACCTTATCCCTACCACTTAAACCAGTATCCGAATCATGTTTCAAAAAAGATTTTGGCTTTGTTGTATCCACGTTATTGCCTTCAATACTTTCTCTGAAGATACCTAAATAAGTGGATGCTTTCCTACCAGAGAGTGCCGGAGGTAATACTCTTTCATCCAATGTATTTAAATCCTTTAGGGATTCTGTATGCTTTTCGTTATGGGATAGTGATATATTTTCTGTTATATCACTATCATAGACCATTGTCAATCATAAAACAACAAAAAGGGAGACGATAAATATATCCGTTTAAAAATCAAATATATAAATAGAATGTATGTATTTATATAAATTGAAGTAGAAGTTGAAGATGATGATACAACTTGTAAAAGAGAAAAAAAAAGACAGTAAGAGAAGAAAGGAATAAGTTATCTCCAAATAGTCTAGCTAATAACTCTTCGGATGTAGGTACAAAGAATAGCGAATAAAGTATATTTGTGGCGTCCGCATACAAGACGTATTCTTATTCGATCACCAAAAGTCTAAATTACTTGAAATTGTGAATCAAATTCTTCTTTCATATTTTCTTTTTTTTTTAATCACAAGATATTTTTCACCTTTTAAAATTTTTACATTTTTCTATTTTTTTTTTATTTTTATTTTTTCTTTTTCAGATCAAAAATTAGGGTTTGCATAAAGGAAAAAATAGGGTTGAAACGTATCCATGATTACTAAGCATAGCAAGTTTTCTGTCTCAGGGAGAAGGTTATTAGTAATTATGACTAGCAGCAGTAACAATGCGATAGTAACGCAATAACCTAATAATAATGTTGTTATATTTAAATAATTGCTGTTTTAAATAGTAGCTTTAAAATAGAATATGTGTGTTGGTCTTTTCAAATCAAAATACAATATTAATATATATATATATATATATATTATCATGCCTCTTTGATTCAACCTCTGTAATAGTGTGTGGAAATAAACGGCATCTTAGTGATAATAACAGGGAATAGTTTCCTCCTAACCTCTACAATCACTTCAGTGCCAGGTTTATGCATGCCTAGATTAACATAACCCTGTCCAATATTGACAACCCTCTTAACAGTTTCATCTGATAGACTTGGAGATACACTACCTGAAGTAACAATGCCAATAGGTTCTAAAGTGTCCTTATCTAATAACCTAGAACCGGATCTTGCTGCTGGTGCTGGCACATCAGATTTATACCTGAATCCAATTCTGGTTTGTGAATAATTCTTGTTATTCAATTGATCCATTATTCTCTCGTACCCATTAAACCTTGTCTCCACATTATCATCCAACCTTCTACTTTTGGATATTAGCCATTTCAAATTACCTTCTACAGGGGTTAACTTTTCATTCAACTCGTTACCATATAGACATAACCCAGCCTCCAACCTTAAGCTGTCTCTTGCCGCCAACCCAATTGGTTTCACTGCAGATTCATAGGACAATAACTGTTCACTAAACTCGATGGCTTTGTCCGATTCAATAGCTATTTCAAAACCATCCTCACCAGTATAGCCGCCTCTCAATACACTGATTGGTATACCGGAAGGTAAAACGAAAGTTTTACGTTGTCCAAAGACCAAATTATTCAAATCCTGGGAGGCACCAGATGCTGAAGAGAGCAATGCAGCTAAGACTTTGGGAGATTTGGGACCTTGCAACGCCAATAGAGCTTGATTCTTAATCGGTTCCCACTCTACATCTAACCCCTTAGATTTCAAAGCATTAACATTTTGTAAGAAGAAATCCGAATCTTCTTGTATTCTTGATGCATTAGTAACAATATAGAAACTTTGTTGTTCTTCATTATGCACTGGTCTTTTGAATATCATTAAATCATCTAGGATACCACCATCTTCTCTCAAAAGTACGCTTAAAGAACCAAATGTCGGTTTGATCATAGAGAAGTCAGTTGGTGTGATACGATTCAATAAATGAATAGCATCTTTGCCCGTCACTTTACTTTGTAACATATGAGATACATCAAATAAACCTGCATGTGAACGGACCCATTTATGCGAATCAATGTGATTTTGAATAGATGGGTACAATAAAGGCATCATGTAACCAGCAAAAGGAACCAGTTTCCCACCCAGTTTAGTGTGTAAGTCATAGAGAGGTGTTTTCTTAAGTTGATTTGCAGTTGCTGTAGAGAGGAGTCTTCTATCAATTGTAGATCTTAGCATTATATGTAAAAGTTATTATTATTATTATTATTATTATTATCCTACTAAGTAGTTAAGTATATATATATATATATATATATATATATATGTGTGTGTGTGTGTTTGTGCAGTGCTAGCTTGTAGCAATGAACCTTAACACTTTAACGGTCAATTTGTCTCAAGTTACAGTGTACAAGGGATACATCCATATGTATAATACTTACATTATATATATATTATTCCAACCTCCACTTCTCACAGACACACAAACTTTCCTAACTCCATCTGAGTATCGGTCATTATTTGCAGTACTGCAGTCCTCTATCAGCTGAAGATAACAAACAGATACATTCCAACTTATTTGTCTCTTTCCCCCCATTCATCCGTTCCCTCAATGACACAAACGCTCTGCTTCTTTAGATGTGTGGTGCACAGATTCCTTTGTGTTTAACTCCCTCCAGGCCTCTTGACTCGGGAATTTAGGAGCCTTTTGTAAGACTGACTCCTTCCCTCCAAACACAAACACAAAAACACGCTTCCTTTTTTCTGTCAAGGGAACCACACCATGTGACTATGATTGGAATTAGAATTACAATTAGAATGCAATGTTTACACATATGGCAAGGCAAATCCAGAGACCTTTGTCTATGCGAAGATAAAACTAAGGTTTTTCGTATCATACCAATGACACGGTAACAGAAAAAAAAAATAACTAAGAAGAAAGCAAATCAATAGACAAACAAACATTATAAGTCTTAAGATAAATAAACAGAGGAGATAAAACTAAAAAAAAAAAGAAGCACGTATCATCTCTGGTTCCATCCTTTAGTTGCTGTATTCACCCTCCCACTATTCTTTCTTTCTTTCTTTCTTTCTGTATTTCCTTCTATGCCTCTTTACATTTTTCATACTTCTATTTTGAAGCTTTGAACTGTTATTATGTATATATCTACTATACACATACATATATATATATATAGATATAGTGTAATTACAAGAAAGATGGCTAATAAATTGGTCTTCTGCTGTTTATTGTTTATGACAAATCATAATATCTACTCTTCTCCAAATCCATAAATTCACCTTGAAAATCCCATAAAGGTTGGTAATTCTTACAATCTTTCAACATGCTTACAGAATTACTGTTGTTTTCTGTTTTATTTGTCTCCAAATCATTAAATTTAATTAAATGAGAGATACCAGATATCAGAATTTCTTCACCCAACTTTTCATCTGTAGTAGGAATAATCAAGTCGGCTGATGCTCTTGTTGGTTGGATATATCTGTCCATTTCAATTCTTAAATGATCCATATACTCAGTTAGCAACATATTTAATTCATAACCTTCCAGACATTCTTTCTCTCTTATCAGATTAATTAATCTTTTATCTGAATCACAATCTATATATACTTTAAGATCCGAAAGGTTATTGATTCTTTTATCATATAATGCATAACAACCACATAGTATAATAATATTTCTACTTCTACCTCTGCTTCTATTTCTACTTCCATCATTCTTTTGTCTATAGAGTTCGTTATATAATAATTCAAAATCATAGTCTTTGTAACTGTAATTTTTTAAACCAGCCTGATCCTTGTTCTGATACGACTGATCCAAATCTATAATATTGAAGTCTGCATCTGGATATGAGATAAGCAGTCTAGCTTTAATATGTCTAGCAGTAATATAAAGTTCGGTGGCATGACCTCCTGCAATATTCACCAATAAAGTCTTTTCAACCATTTACAAATCCTCAAAATCTAGTTTTCTTTTTTTTTTTTTTTGATCATATGCCCCATCTTATATTAAATAGTACTATTTCATCTCATCTCTCCCTTTTTCTCGATACTTCTTTTTTTTTTTTTTTTTTTTCATAATTAAATACAGCTTTATAGTTTTTTTATTTTATTTTATTTTTTTTTGAGATGAGCTTGATATTATTTTTAAAAAAAACAGTGCGATTTAACTATACAGACATCTCATTCATGAGATAATGAAACTAGTCTAAAAAGAAAAGAAGCAGGAAAGAAATAATCATACACCAAATAGACTGTCACAACAATCACCATATCCCCCTCCCATCCTCCCCCCAACTCTGCAACATGTCATTTGATAAAGAATCAGATAAAAGGTTGAAATTTAAAGTATCTAAAAAATTACAAATTTCACCAACTTTCGAATCAATGGATTTGAAATCACAACTGCTACACGGTATATATTCCTATGGGTTCGAAGCACCTTCCTCCATTCAATCCCGAGCCATTACTCAGATTATTTCAGGGAAAGATGTTATTGCACAGGCTCAATCAGGTACAGGTAAAACTGCTACTTTCACTATTGGTATGTTACAAGTCTGTGATTTCAAGAAACATGAGTTGCAAGCATTGATCCTTTCTCCAACAAGAGAACTAGCATCTCAGATAAATACCGTGGTCTCTAACCTAGGGGACATGTTGAATGTTAAATCACTCGCTTTGGTTGGTGGCAATAAAATGAATAAAACTGATTTAAATAAATTACAAAATGGCCAATACCATATTGTAAGTGGTACACCAGGAAGAGTCCTAGATTTAATAAAGCGTGGTACTTTAGTGGTAAAAGGTTGTAAAATGTTGGTTCTTGATGAAGCAGATGAGCTGTTAGGTGAATCACTAGGGTTTAAGCAGCAAATTTATGACATTTTCACAAAATTGCCAAAGGGTTGTCAAGTCGTGGTGGTGTCTGCTACAATGAGTAAAGATATTATTGAAGTGACTAGAAAATTCATGAGTGATCCTGTCAAGATCCTTGTTAAACAAGATCAAATCTCCTTGGATGGTATTAAACAATATCACGTCAACGTTGATAAAGAAGAGTGGAAATTTGATACCTTATGTGATTTATATGATTCCTTGACAATAACACAATGTGTCATCTTTTGCAATACTAAAAAAAAAGTGGATTGGCTATCAGCAAAACTTTTACAGTCGAATTTTAGTGTAGTATCCATGCATGGGGATATGAGACAGGAAGATAGGGACAGAATTATGAACGATTTTAGATCTGGCCATTCCAGAGTATTAATATCCACTGATGTTTGGGCTCGTGGTATAGACGTGCAGCAAGTATCACTCGTCATTAACTACGATATACCCGAAATAATAGAAAATTATATTCATAGAATCGGGAGATCTGGTAGGTTTGGTAGAAAAGGTTGTGCTATCAATTTTGTCACGAGGAATGATTTTAATCAATTAAAAAATATAGAAAAATTCTATCGTATTAAGATAAAACCAATGCCTGCAAATTTAGATGAATTAGCATAAAATTAGATTATTATAATTCCTTTTGTATACCTAAATATATATATATATGCATGTATATATACTTAGGTATATATGCATCCTAAAATCATATAGAATCATATAACGATTGTAATTGTGTGTTTTGAATATTATAGATATCAATAAGCTTATTTAAGGGAAGATCTTTAGCTATATTTGATAAATTCCTGAACTTTGACACCACTTCAATATTTATTTCTCTATATGATGTTTCTAAGGATTTCTTATCTTCTGCATCTCCTACAATATCATATTTTAATAATTGATATTTATCACTTATCAAATTAAGATTCAAAACATGATGATTCTCATCCATGTCAAAAATAATAATATTTTCATAGTCTAAATCTTCATCATCTAATATTATATCACCTTCTACGCTATTATTACCTCTTTCCACTAAATCATCATCAAAAATATATTTGATTTTGTTCGGGAACATATACTTAGCATTGCAACTTAGTTGATCTGATGTGTTTTGAAAATCTATTTTTGAATCTTTTTCACAATCGCTTATTGTATCTCCTTCATTAAAATGATGTTCAACATTGTTATCCATTACAGACACAAAAAAAGGTTCCATGATGGCATATATTATTTAGCCTGAATAATGAACAAGGTATATTCATATTTAGATTGTAACAGTTGTTCACTCCAATAATTAATACCAATATCCCACATTTAGGTATTTAAAGTAATCAGAACTTAATTGTTCAAAAAATCAGACAGTTACGAATTAGTTTCCTAAATACTCCCCTTTTTGAAAATTTATATGGTCAAAGCTTGTCAAATAAAAATAAGAGATACCATACATGAACAGTGAGGGTACAAACATAAAGAACAGAATGAACTCAAAAAATAAAGGAAAGGGACAATCAACAGAAAGAACCAAGAACAAACAATCATTTATGTGGTATTATATCACTCTGCCATGTTGGTATAATTATATTTTCGTATTACATCCAAACACATAGGCTAAGTCTATATCTTATACCTATCCAAATAAATTAACATCAAAAACTTTTTAAGTTAACCATTCTTATGATATGTGTTACCCTTATGTCTCGATAGCCGATCTTGTAAACTTACTAGTCGAAGACGGTGTTCTCACTTTTTTCTTGTTTATAAACAATATATACATCTGTATATCTATTGACCTAAACTATCCCATATATATAGTAGAGTTTATGTATCATATATAAAGAACAACCAAGAATCATTTATCTAATCTTACATTCTAGAAGAGTGCATCTTTTGTAACAGGTTCTTATCAATTATATTTGATAGCGTTCTAGTTTAGAAGGACCCAGCAGTATTTTACGCACTTATTTTATTTACATTTTCAAACAGTGGTCTAGTGTTTGAAGGTGCCAGAAACCAATAAAGTCACTTCTGATATTAATTACACGATGTCAGCTGATCAATTGAAGACTCTTATAGTTGGTAATGACAAAGTCGAGTCTCCAGATGCTATTTAGGTTCTAGGGTCCAGTGTTTCAGTCCCTCTGGAACCACTACTTTGGTTCACCAAGTTTAGCAAGACTCTAGGGTCTACCATTGCTTTTGCAAATAACAAGCGTTTTAACCAGCAATTGCCAGCCAAAGAGACACCATCAGTTGCAGACTGTGAAATCATCAGGGATTTAACTAAGTTGGTTTCCAGCTTCTCGGGTGCTACAACAAATGAAGGGAATGTTATGTACGCTAGATGGGAAAGCGAGTTAATGAATTTTTTTAATATGTACAAAGACGAGAACTTAAACGATAAATATAAAGTGGAATTAGCAAGCTTAACTTTGAGAGAAAGTGCTTTAGGTTATTTTAGAGAAATTGAATCTTCAGTTAGCTCTGTTGAACAATTAGTTGGTTTAATGGGTAAAAGATTGGATACTAGATTAAATAAGCTACAGGTTTATTTAAAATTACAAGCTTTGTATTCCATTTCAGATTTCAAAGAGCTTGCCAAAGCTATCACTGAAGTAGAAAACAAGGCTCCTCCAGGATTTCCTCATTGTTTTTACATTGCTACATTTTTAGTTGCATCACCACCTGAAATTAGAAGTTTTATGTCAGCTGATAATATTGATTTGACTTCATCGTGGCGTACTTGTTTAAATAGAGCTAGATGCTATGCCAGTAACTTAGGTATATCAAATAGTATGGTATCAAATACAGGTAGAACTTATCACAACTTTCTAGCAAAATTGGTGAGAAATAGTCATAACAATAAAGATGATTCTTAGTCAATTAGGTGCTTTAATTGTAATAAAAGAAGTTACATGAGTACATTGTATCCTTTTAACAAACTATCACAAGAGTCACACTCTTTTTGAACATAAAATTGGATAAATAATTCTTGGTTGTTGACTATCTGTATATAATGTATAAACTACGTTGTATGTACAGGAAATATTACAAGTAAATAAGGCTCAAGATAAATATACAATTTATAAATAAGAAAAAACACAAGAATGTTGTTGTCGCTTGAAGTAAAAAGAAAATTCGCACGATTGTTTGTAATGATACTATAGGACAATCTATGTCACACCTCCGAACCATCACGATCACCTCAATAGCAGAAGGATCAAAAAAAGTTAAACTGATCCAACCGAGGTTTGAACTCGGGATCTTCGCCGTGTAAAGGCGACGTCTTAAACCACTGGACCATTGGACCATACTCCAACCGCTCATTATTATAGTTTGGGCTTAGGGCTAATTCTTTAACAGGACTATTGAACGAATAGTAAGGGCAATAACAAATATATAAGAATGTTATATATAGGAAAATTAAGGATTATTGCTTTTTTTCTATTTACGTTTATATACAACATATAGATTATTTACGAAAAAACTGTTATGGAAGATGATCTTTTATCTCCAGAAAACGTTGTCCTTTTATATGTTTTCTGGAGCTCGATCAATTATTCAGATTTGTATATTAACGAGCTTAGTGATCCAAACCCTAAATTTTATTACATTAATTTAGGTGCACTAGTGGATTAGAACTGCACCCCAATTCTTTAATCATGGTAATTGTTATTATTCTATTCTACAGCACTCATTACTGCATAATAAAAAGCTTAGTTCCATTAAGATTACATAAGATTTTGACTGAATCTAGAACTATTCATTGCTTTAATAAGCCACACACTTATTACTAATGATTATAATAATTATGCTGTTTATCATTAGTACACCCAATTACCATAACTAGTAAATTGAGGTACAGTTACTAATTCACTAGTACACCTTAATTATTATAATAAATATTAGGGTTTAGATCACTAAGTTCATTAACGTATCAATCTGAATAATTGATCGAACTCCAGAAAACATAAAAAAGGACAATGTTTTCTGAAGATAAAGAACCATCTTCTATAACACTTTTCTTGTAGATAATTCATATATTATATATATACATAAATGGAACAACAAGCAAGTAACAAGCAAAATGACTTCAAATAAATATATAAGCTCGACAAAGCTGCTCAATGAATAAGATCGTTTTTAGAAATTATATTATCGACTGTATTGATTCCTGTCTCGACTATTTGAATACTTGTTAATAATATTTGCACTTCCCCGAAATATACAAAAGAATTTAACCACACCGTATTACAACATTCGTAATGGTAATTCTAGACAAATACTTTAAATAATTAAATAGTTGAGGGTGCAATAATAAATTATTATATAAATGCAACAGCTGGAATTCCATAACGGTTTTTCTATTACTTTTTCACTTTATTTTATCTTATACAATATTTTGTATACATTTATAAATAAGACAGGACTACAACCTTGAATATTAAGATAATATTCTTCTGTATATAAAATTGTGTGTTATAAATACTCTTAATTAGCTTCTGTTATAGTTGACAATAGTTCTTGTAATTTTTGTTGTTGTTGTTTTTTTGCTTGAATAGTTTAATGTGTTATTCTCAACAAATTCTGATATTCAAAATTGAAGATAGAATAACCTACTGAAGAATATCACAAAACCCAAATCACCTTTTTCAATTTCTAATTGACTTATATTTTAAATTTTAGTTAGCTCACAATATCTCCTTTTATGTAACAGAATAAAAAAAATTACTCAATCAGGGAAAGTCCTTTTCAGGATATTGGCAGATTATTTATTAAATTATTCAAATTATTTAATGAATAATAGTAATAAATATAGTAGTATATTACTATGTAATATATATGACTATATATATCAATACGATAAACCTGATGCTATTAATAATTTTATCCTTATTCCATTATATCACATTGCCTTCACCTTATATAAGCTCGAAAGTATACAACACAAACTTTTTTTTTCTATAAATCTTCAGCTAAACTTTTAACCTTTACAATATTTATTATCACTACTCATTTTGAGCATTCAAAAAAAACCAATATAAGATAATTAAAAATGATCCTTAAAAGAATACAATCTATAGAATTTTATTTTTAAAAATATATAGTAGGAACTAATCAAATATGGCTACTAAAAAAAAGAACAGAGAAGCATAATATTTATAGAACTTGTGATTAAAAGTGTAGCAATAAAAAAAATGAATGTTTTTAGTTGAGAATTTTCAATTTTACTGATCAATCTTTATTTTCTATGAACTCTTAAGATTTATCAAAAATTTATATAAAATAAAGAGCATTTTTCTCATTCAAGTTCTCTTATTTGTTAATAATTATACTTTCCTGTTCTTTATATTAATTTTGCATTTTTTTATTAATTACATAATGTTAAATAATCACACTTTTTCAGGTTCTTCTTTAATCTATAATGGTGTTTTTATTTATATCATTTTTTATTTTTTTTTTTTTTTTGCTTTAATATTTCAGTTGTTAATTACAACATTTCTTAGCTATTTAAACTTCAAAGGCGATGAGCAAGTAGTTCAACTAAAAGAAAAAGGAACAAAATAAGAATAAGTCTAATTTTTGAGTGTATCCAATTTCGATGGGTACAAGAGTTGGCCATATAACTGATCAGCAATACAAATTTATCTAAAATTTCCTATACAAATCATTGGAATATTAAATCATTTTTAATATTGTATATAAAATAGAAAGTATCAGAAAATAAAGCAAAAACACTAAATCCAATAGTATGATTTCAGTAAGTTAACTTAGGTTATTTTTTTAACATCCACAATATAGAAGTGTTTTATTTTTAGTTCCAATTTATTTAGTTAGAGATGTTTACATTACTCAAGTAGAATATTCAAATATTGAACCTTATTATTATAGAATACTTTCATTTTTTTGATACTTGTGTAAATTTTTTACAAAACATTATGTACACATTTATTTTCATACTAAAAAAACCTTCTAGGCCGTACAATACAATAATTCGAAACACACATAATACTTATTTTAACTAAGCATAAACATTTGTTATAGCATTATTTTTGGTATTCTCTATAATTCATATATCATTGATTGTACATTTGATCTAATCTCTCCAGCAGTGTTTCGAACATGGAACAATTCATTATGTATGACGACTGCCTTTAGTATATAAAGACATATACCTCAAGTATTCTGGCAAGGCTGTAGCCTTCTTTTTGGGTTTTTTCTTTTTTTCTTTTTCCTTTTTTTGTTTGATTGATTAACCTCGAAATCTATTTTTGAAAAATTTTGAATGTCGAAAGAAAAAAAATATACAAAAATTGTAAACAAAGTAATGGAAAGTAATGTTGTTGAACTCTCAATATTGTCGAACTACGTTCTGTTGTTTACCATCGATATTTTACAACATAGATTCGGTAATTGCTTATATTTCAATTTAGATATCTATAAAGGGGGAAAAAAGAAAAGAGCAACAGCTATATATATATACATATATATTTGTTACTTATATCAAGAAACTGGGGCTATACTTAATTCAAAATGTTAGATATCAATCTTTTTATTGAAGAAAAGGGTGGTAACCCGGAATTAATTAGACAATCTCAAAAAGCCAGAGGGGACCGTGTTGAAATTGTCGATGAAATCATTGAAGATTACAAGAACTGGGTTAAGACTAGATTTGAATTAGATGAATTAAACAAGTCTTTAAACAAATTGCAAAAGGAAATAGGTTTGAAGTTTAAAGCTAAGGAAAATGCATCTGCATTATTAGCTGAAAAGGATACTTTAACTGCTAAGAAGAAGGAATTGACTGAAAAGGAACAAAAGGAAGATGAGGACTTAAAAAAGAAAGTTTTCTCCGTTGGTAACATTGTTCACCCATCTGTTGTAGTATCTAACGATGAAGAAAACAATGAGTTAGTTAGAACATGGAAACCAGAAGGTTTGGAAGATGTTGGTCCAGTTGCCTCTGCTACTGGCTCTTCAGCTAGCTTATCTCACCACGAAATTTTATTAAGATTAGATGGTTATGATCCAGATCGTGGTGTTAAAATCTCTGGTCACAGAGGTTACTTCTTAAGAAACTATGGTGTCTTCTTAAACCAAGCTTTGATTAACTACGGTTTGAACTTTTTAGCCAAGAAGGGTTATGTTCCATTACAAGCTCCAGTTATGATGAATAAGGAAGTCATGGCCAAGACCGCTCAATTATCTCAATTCGACGAAGAATTATACAAGGTTATTGACGGTGAAGACGAAAAATACTTAATTGCCACCTCTGAACAACCAATCTCTGCTTATCACAGTGGTGAATGGTTCGAAAAACCACAAGAACAATTGCCAATCAGATATGTTGGTTACTCTCAATGTTTCCGTAGAGAAGCTGGTGCCCATGGTAAGGATGCCTGGGGTATTTTCAGAGTCCATGCCTTTGATAAGGTTGAACAATTCGTATTAACTGAGCCAGAGAAATCATGGGAAGAATTTGATTTAATGATTGGTAACTCTGAAGAATTCTATCAATCTTTGAAATTGCCATACCGTATTGTTGGTATCGTCTCTGGCGAATTAAACAATGCTGCTGCTAAGAAATACGATTTAGAAGCCTGGTTCCCATTCCAAAAAGAATATAAAGAATTGGTTTCTTGTTCCAACTGTACGGATTATCAATCTAGAAACTTAGAAATTAGATGTGGTATCAAGAAAATGGGTGACAGAGAAAAGAAATATGTTCACTGTTTGAATTCTACTTTGTCTGCTACTGAAAGAGCCTTATGCTGCATTTTAGAAAATTATCAAACTGAAGATGGTTTGGTAGTCCCAGAAGTCTTAAGAAAATACATTCCAGGCGAGCCAGAATTCTTACCTTACGTTAAGGAGTTACCAAAGAACTCAACTTCTAACAAAAAGAAATAAGCACATTAATTATGATGATGATGATAATGTTATTATCTTCTTAGATTTTTAAAAAGGAAAAAAAAAGACATAAAAAAAGATAAATAATATTTTTAATGGAATTGTATGTATAGACATATATCTTTGTATGTACTTACACAAACTATATTTTTTTAGATATGATTTTTTCGGTTGTTAAATATTAAATTGCAATTCGTAAATGTACTAGTTAGCAACTTTTGTATGTGAGGTAAAATAGATATGGTATTATTAGGTATTAAAAACACATTGTGTAACATTATGTTTTAACAAACATACCAATGGGCAGATTCAATGCATGACTATTATCTTCGCAAGAAACATCCACACACCCATATGGGATCTTTTTTTTTTTTCTGATTTATTTTTTACATTTTTTTTACTGTAGCCATATTACCGTAAACGGAAACAGATTACGAAAAATGATTATTATTAGGTGTTTTCTGATGTCTCTTTTGAGAAAGCCATTCTCAAAACAACTATAACAGGTAGCACCAACCCCAACAAGAAAACCGCGCCGTTCTCTTTGACTGCAGTTTTTCTTCTGCTTATTCTTCTGCTTCTTTGAGAGAGGGAGGTGAGAACCAGGTTGGTCTAGTAGAATGGATTAGTTCACAGAAAGAAGGAAGCAAGCTTCGCTGGGCACAGTGTTGCGGGAGCTGGAGAGTAATCCTTGGAAGGTAAAGATTCTTCTCTCTTCCCTCTATCGTCACTTCCCTTCCTTCTTTCTCTTTTTCTCCCTCCTCCCTCACACACAAATCCCCCTGTAGATACCTCTTCTTTTACCAATTCCTTCCCCCTCATGTTGCTTCTTCTCTTCCTTCTCCTTCCGGGGCTCCATTCACCGGAGCTACAACCATAATCCCATTCTCTTTTGGCCCCGTCCCACCATCCAATTGAGTTCAGTCCAAACAGTTTGTACGCTAGTAAGGTAGAGATGAGGACATCAAACAATCGGGGGAGGACAACAATGTGGAAGGCCAACGATCGATCGAACTAAACCTCCCCTATCTATCTGTTGTCTGAGACTATACGCTAGACGTTGCATATTGCTGATGCTTGTTTGTAGTAACGTAAGAAATAGTAACAATACTAATAATGATAGTATGCAATTAGGAAGGTTTCATAAAAGTATTTATTGTCTTGTTACGTAGAAGACCCTCTCAATATTTGATACCGGTTTTCCACTTGATACGTTGACCAAAGTAAAAGATAAGTAACTGCCGAGATGTCCACTGAATTGACCGTTCAATCTGAAAGAGCTTTCCAAAAGGTATGCATAAAAGTCGCAATAATAAAGACGCTTTCCTTAAATAATGTGTTAGCAAGATCCAATGATATCCTTCACGGGATTAATTATTTTCATTTTATTTGAAGGACATATTTGTTTGTTTGTTTGTTCAAAGATAACTGGAATATTGAAGACGATGAGTTTAAAAAAGCTTAAATATCTTTTTTCTGGAAATTAGTATCAAGAATATAGAAATGAGTCGGTTGAATAATAAACATATTAATATTATCCTATTTTAATGTCAAGCAAATTTGTGTATGAAGCAGCGATATGAGTTTTTTTTTGATATATAAGTGCAACTAATATCAGGAAACTTTGTCTAACACAGTTTTCATTAATATTGAGTCCTCGAGATACTAACAATTATAAATAATTCTGCCAATTCGATTTATCGAATTTATTTCCTTTCTATCTTTTTTATTTCTTTGATTTGTTAACAGCAACCACATATCTTCACCAACCCAAAGGTTAAGACCAACAGAAGAACAAAGAGATGGTACAAGAACGTCGGTTTAGGTTTCAAGACCCCAAAAACCGCTATTGAAGGTTCTTACATCGACAAGAAATGTCCATTCACTGGTTTAGTTTCTATTCGTGGTAAGATCTTAACTGGTACTGTTGTTTCCACCAAGATGCACCGTACCGTCATCATCAGAAGAAATTACTTACATTATATTTCCAAATATAATAGATTCGAAAAGAGACACAAGAACGTCCCAGTTCACGTTTCCCCAGCTTTCCGTGTTCAAGTTGGTGACATCGTTACTGCTGGTCAATGTAGACCAATCTCCAAGACTGTTAGATTCAACGTCTTGAAGGTCTCTCCAGCTGTTGGTAAGACCAACAAGCAATTCACCAAGTTCTAAGTAAATGGTACGATAAAAAAATATAAAAGAGGATTGTATAGTAATATCTAACCTTTAATTATCTATTTTTTTATTTTGTTATTATTATTATCATAATTATTTTATTATATTTACATTTTATTTATACAAGAACTTGACTGGAATTTGCTGCTTCTTATTCCACCTGTTATCTCACACTCTAATACATATACATATATTGAATCTCTTTATATAATGTATTGTTAGAAAATAAACAAAAAATAAAAGTTAAGGCTCAGAATTAATTATTAGCATAAATATTTTCCTTATACTTATATCCTTTAGTTGAAATTATGCCAGTCGCTAGTTTACTGGAATACTTCGTGGAGTTTGATTAAACGTGGCTTCGAATATTGTTTAGAATATTGTTCATATAAAGATAATTTATATCTAACAGTTATATATGACTAGAAATATATACATTTTCATGAATATGTGTCTTAGGCTCAAAATTTTGGTACAGAAACTAATAATGATATTTTTCTTTATTGATCTTTTTCTGTGATTATATTATCATCTAGTAAATTTTCCAATAATGACTTAGCAACTTCATTAACAGGTAATTCTTTATATGATTTGACCATAGTTCTCATTTTTTCATAGCATATTTTCAATTCCAGCCCAGCCCATTTTGTACCTTGAAGACTTGCCAATTCATCCCAATCCACTTGTGATTCATCAGTAAAACCTAAATCTCTCAATTTTTCCATAAGCCATCTTTTCTCTGAAGTAGTTATAAGCTCAATCTTAGATAAAGCTTGTTTCTTCATTATTTTATTCCACTTATACCGACATTGGATGCGTGACCTGGTACCTCCCATTCTTTCACTGACAACCGTCCAGTTGATGACATCTTTAAAAGTGGGCTTAGCGCCAATGGTTTTGTAGCCAGGATTTTTTGACTCTCCGTTACCTTCATTATTTGAATCTGTAGTTATTTCATTTTTTTTGTCATAGTATGCCTCTGCTTCTTCTAACATTGTAGCAATAACTCTCTTTAACATAGATTCTTCTTCTGGAGACCATTTATTGGATATACGGTTGTTACCGCATTTTATGTAATTTCTCCAACGGTCTCTGCAATCTTCTGGCATTCTATCCATTATTTTGCCTATTACTGACCATTGTCCTTCTTTATCTATACACAGGTCTGCCAACTGTTGATCTTCTTGAGGTGTCCATTTACCTCTTTGTTCAAAGATATGATACCTTCTTCGAACATGTTTGTAAATGGAACTTCTTGTTCTATAAGGAAGTACTTTACAGATATTGATCCAAAAATCATCCTTACGCCGTCCATTAGTCCAAATTCTTTCACATGTTTCTCTTCTGGTAAATTTCTTAATAGTTTCATAATCTTTGATGAATTGATCCAATGCAGCTTCTTCATATGCATCAAATGCTTTCCCGCTAGTTTGAGTAGATGCTAGAGAGCCTATTAGCTCAGACGCTTTTTTGGCTGCACGCTCTAACAACATATTATCTGCATCTATGGTCGCTTGATTCACCTTTTCAGTGTTAGATTTCTTTTTATGATTTTTATTGGATGACATATTGATTATAGTAATCGGTGGTTCTGAAGATATCTCAGGAAAATCATTGAAGACTTTCTGTGACAAGCTTTCCTCCACTGGTTCAGATTCAGCTGTTGTTTTTAAATGTTTCAGACTCCTACTGTTAACATGATTGTCATCCATATCGTGTTCAGTAAGTTTACTTAAGTCATGATTCATGTCAGTTTCAGTATTTAAATATTGTTGGAAATCTGGTTGTTGGGATATCGAATCAGCTTCTTCAATAGCTTTGTTAACTAATTGATGTTGTGACGATGGATCATCTAAAGTAGTTAATTCTGGATCTACTAGTAAGCGGGACTTACCCCTCTTTAAATCTACACGAAACTTTTTCACTATATAATCATCATTAATCGTATCACCTTCTTCATGATGGCCATTTATCTTCCCCCGCTTAAACGATCCACTGTTATGTGGGTTCTCTTCAGCCATTTTATCTTGATGGTCCGTTGTTACATGCGTATCTATAAAATCTTCTACATCATCATTTTTCCTTTTCAATTTATTTAATTTATCAGCTTGATATGCAGCAACTACAGCAGCTAATGCTAATGTGTTTTGATTTATTGAATCTTGGTTATTTTGTAGTTTCGGTTGAACATTTGAGGATTCTGTTTGATTTAAGTTGGTAGTTGTCATATCTTCATCATGCCTTAAATACCATGTCATGTCAGAAGCATTATCGTTACTACTGCTATGATCTTTATTGTTGTTTTCGTCGATCTTTAGATCTGTATAGTTAGTATTATTGTCCTTTATATCATTACTATTACTTGAACTTATTTCACCGTTTAGATGTCGAGACGACACAGATATCTCTGTAAAAGTGTATTTTTCATTTTTAGAAGATTTTTCTCTTTCAATATCAGATTTAGAGATTTCTTTATTCACGTCAGTTAATTCCTCTCCTACGTATTTTAACACAGCTTCTTCCACAGTTTCAAGAGGAGAACCATGTTTATCAGATAATTTATTTTTGATCTGAGCCGACATCGTTATATATTTTCTAAAATATTAGTATCATGCAAACTAATTATGCAAAAATCAATGAAACGATGCAAAAGTTTATTCAACTTAATTTTAATTATTGCTGTGTTTGGTTCTTTTGCTATTTTCGATGTTAATGAAATCGAATTAATAATATAATGTGTACTAAGTATTTGGCCCTAATTTGTGACACCTAAATTACTTATTCTATTTGTTTATCAATCTGTTAATCAATTCTGCTTTATAACACCTACAAAAATCTGTTTAGTTAAAAATACTGATAACAATAACAATAACAATACCACAACTTTGAATGTGTTTAAAAATTAAGAGTGTCAGTAATAGATGGATATGTTATCCATGGAAAACTGTAATAGTAGAGTTAGCAGTGCTAGCACTAGGTATAAAGCAGGGTAATAGGCATGTGAGAATCGATCCTTGTTATTATTATAAATCCTAAAAAAAAAAACTAAGGAAAATATCTTCATTTTGTGACAAAAATTCCCATCTCCCATTTCATTCAAAAAGCCGAAAGCACAAATTTCTTTTAGTGGTAAGAACTTTATTTTTTTTTTCTTATGTAATATGCGAACCCTAGGGTTGGACAAAGTAGTCATGTGGTTTCCCGTCTAATATGATAACAAAATCTGCATTTCCTTAGTGGTCAATTCTAAGAAATAATAAGGGCATATCAATACATTATGTGTTAGGAAAATGTGCGACAGATATATTGTGATAATGTTCTCAGATCTTGTTCGTTATGTTTAATGTTAGGTTATTTATTGGAATTACACTGGAGGTGGTGGTGGTGCATGTGCTAAATAGATTTTCTCAGAGGCACTGTCATATTGTCTTATTAATTGATTATAATGTTTGCTGTCAAAGGGAACAAAATCTTTACTGTTATTTCCTTGTCTTGAGAAGAATTGTTGAACAATTACTATAAACTCACGGAGACAATCAATTGATTCTCCCATTATTGATAAATTCTTCCCTTGAGCCGACATCGTTTGGTCTTGATAACTTGTAATAGAGGCTAAAGTATAGCTATTAAAATATTTCAGTAGATTGAAACACATTCTTTCAAAATATGGTAAATAACTTGATGGTAAATTAGTTGACAATATTAATAGCTCTCTTATTAATTGGATTACTTGTAATAAAGATTCACTAGCAACAAATGTTTTGTCTCCAACTACAACAGACTTTCTATTGCCAGTAGATTTGTTTATTTCACGGCTATCTGATTCGCTGTTTTGAGCCTCTTCCTTATCATTTTTTTGATATAATATCAATTGGGACGTCCAGTTGATTGGATCAATATCAATACTTGAAACTATATCATTTACATCGGTTTGAATACTCGGGCTCACAATAGCAGGTACCCAATTCTCTAATTCGATTTTCTTTTGTATACTTCTAAGATTTCTTGAATCATGTGTCGTAATGTAATGTTTTATTTGGGATGATAAAACATCACTGAAATATTTCGTAAGAAATTCTCCACTTAGAGCTTCACATTCTTGAATAAATAGAATACAGACGGAATATAGCCGTAAAAAATGGTCATGTCTTAAAGTAGAAGTCAGTTCTTTTCGAACTGTTATAACTTTTCCCATTCTTAGTTGTACTATTCTGATAATTTCATTCACGTTAGTTCTAATATCTAACTGATTGATCATATTATGTTGATTCTCAGAGATGGTTGAGGTGTTAATCACCTTCAAAGAAATATCTAATAATAATTTTTGCTGTTGATATAATCTTTTAATAGCACATAGACAATGAATGAAGATTGATTCTAACATGTCTTGAAATTCTACTGGTGTTTGTTCTTTAATCAAAGTAGATAGTTTTGATCTAGTAGTGGGTGGTCGTGTTGAAGTATTCATGGAACCTGTCCCCTTTGGGGTCACTGATTGAGATCTATCCACTACCAATAACGACGAATCAGATTTACTAATATTCTCTTTAGGTAAATAGTATTTGATAATATTTTTCACTTCCGTGGTAATCTTATCTTCATAGAGCGCAAAGGCACTGGTTAATTCTTCACACTCATTCAATTTAGTAATAATCTCCCTAACGGAGGTTTCAAAATCTGTTGGAAACTTAAATCTAACATTTTCAATTTTTCCTTGTTGTATATCATTTATAACAGTGATTGTGTCAATATTTTTATAAGCACTTCTTAAATCTTCTAAGAGTAACTCTGATAATTGAAGAGAATATTTTCCACCGACTTCAATTTTCATATTTGTTAATAACTCTCTTATCTCAATAAGACCTAATACTGACTTTAAATCTATAAGTGGAAATGGCCAATCTTTAGTCCAGTTTTGAACATTTTCATCTGAAGAACTATCACCTCTTATTAACAGATTAATAGATTGAATCAACGACATACATTGTTCTAAGTTATCATTTGAAAATTTATGTTTACACTCCTCTGTCTTATCAACAACTAATTTCACTTGTAGTAAACCTTGTTCTAATTTCTCAATGTTATTTCTCTTTATTATAAGCTTTATATTTTTAATTTTTTCTTTGATTTCAGCATCCAATGATATTTGCAAAGTTTTCTCTAACAATTGTAATTCATTTATGGTACTTTCAATATTATTTTGTATTGATTCTACATCATTTAACGTATTGAAAAACTTGTGAGAAGACCTAGATATATTACTAACAAGCAACGTTTCCACACCGTCTAAATAGTTGCTTAATTTGTCTTTTAGGAGTAAATGAAATTCATCTCTTTTGTTTTTATCGTTTGTCACTAAATCTTGTGGCTTCAAATCAACACTCTCTATTACTTTATTAAAAGTTCTCTCGTTATCCAGTTGGAAAACTTTCTCAAAATAAAATTCTGGAATCTGATTTATAACTATGGAATCATCGTGATATGTATCTGAAGATTGATCATCTAGTTGTTTAATTTGTTCTAATTTATTCATATTTGTTATATTATTCCTACTTTGAAAAATAGTTTCTTCCTCACCAATGTCCTCCATATAATCATCTACAATCTTATTCCAACCGTCAATAATATCAAGCTTGCTCACTGTAACAGGGGGGATATCTACCGAAGTTGGAGATCTTAGCCAATCCTTCCGCCTTGTATTCATCACAATTTCATAGATAGAATTGTTCCCTAAGGGTGAGTAATCATGAGATCCTGATTTTGAATTTAGACTAAATTGATTTCTGTGCTGCCCAGTGAAAATAGTACTATTTGACGTATATCTTGAAACTGTAGATTCTATACTGGGTCTAGAGAGACTTATAGAGGTCCTTTCACTTGTATCATCTGAATTAGATACATGTCCATCTATTTTGATGTTTGGAACTTGGGGTTGTGTTGGCATTGTTAATAATCTCAATACCAGTGTTAATGTTAGTTCAAAATATTGGCCAATTCTTATTTATATTAAGTCTTATCTAGAAAAAAAGCTGCATAGGCTTTTTATAACCAAATTTGTTATAGTTAGACACACAATTATTGAGTATCTTTAAAAAATCAAGTCTTTTGATATCTGGCTACTGAACATTTCAGTAGCCAGAAAAATAAAACTAATGATATATATCTTAAAAATAGAGAAAAAAATAAACAAGAAAATATAAACAGCGTATTTCTTTGGTATTACAAGAAACAAAACAGCATAAAGTTTGTATGTGTTTATACCTTATATATTTGCTTGCAGTGAACTGTGACAATAAAATAATTGGATGAATAATAGATTTCATTAGAAGTAAAGAAGGCTATATACATATATAAATTACGTATGATATATTGATAGTAGAAAATTTGAGGTCATTAAAAACACAATTAAATATTATGAAAGGAAGAAATGTGCTGTCAACATTCAAGTTTCAAGAGTGTCACCAATATAATTCCTAATAAATATATTTTCTCTCTTGGGCAATGTCTTGAATAAAATATGTTATATGATAAAAAGAAAATAAAAGAAAATAGAATAGAATGGAATTTTTTGTTTAAGATAAACCCATGATTGCTTGAAAAGTAGCTAGTGATGGTCTAATTGTATGAATAAAATATTTTTTGTTAGTAAAATATTTAGTGTTGATTATTTTTCACATGGTAGTTTGTTATTTTTTTAAGAATTATTGTAATTGGTCAATTTCTCCTTTGGCATCACAGACTTTTCAGAATCATTTCGTGGTGGAAATGAACCCTCAATGGTAACATTATTAGGTGAAATATTTGTAGAAGACACAGTGTTGCTTGGAATTTTAATAGATTTGTCTATATTGTATTTGCCTGCTTGATTTATATTATTTAGTAATAAGCTACTTGATGATCTTTGTGGTGGACCCAATTTTCTGCGTGGGCAAGGTTTAATCTCTAATGAATTTAAATTGAGATCACCTTTGTGTGTTTGATTGCTATTATTTTCTTTCACGTCTGTGATACATAGGGCCTCGTCAGATTCCTCTTCACTATCAGAACTAAATATAAACCCTTTGCTGGCATTTCTACTTAACGGTATTTCATTTTTATTTTGAAAAGTGTCGGCTAGGGTGTTATTGCTGCTTTTAGTTTGTCTAGCCAATGAGCTACCATTTAGAAAAGTTTGGGAGAGAGTACTTTTTAGTTGCTGATTTGAGTTATTATTTAAAGACAAGCCAACTAAAGAATTATTGCTTCTACCAATTGATACAGTTCTTTTTAATCCCAAATCACTATTCACACATTTAGATCCCATTTGTAAATAGTCTTCATTATCACTAGAGCTTGAATCTGATCCACTATTAGAGCTATGATACTGTGAATCCTCGATAAATTGATCATCATCTGTATTGGAAGATATACTATATTGATCGTCACCACTATTATAGTATTGGTCATTAGAAGTGGCTGGAGATAGAAGAGCTGTTGGTTGATTCGATTTGGTATCGGATGGGGACAACAACTTATAAGTTTCTTGATTATCATCAGCAATGGCTGTTTGTAAATTTATCCCTTCTGGAACATCAATAATATCGCATGGATCCACTGGTAGGAAACTTGAAGTGTCGCCAGTATAAACAGAATTGTAATCATAGATATAATCGTAACCTCTTTGTGTATTGACGTTATGAGAGATGGCATTACCATAACCACTATTGAAATCATTATTATCAGATTCATCATCTGAACCATAATTTAGAGTAGTAGCAGGTAACATTTTAATTATTGGACGGATATGTGAATTATGCCTACCGCTAGTACAATTGGAACCAATTGATGAATTATCTGTAATAGGTGAATGAGCTAAGGAATCAAGTCTTCTGGAGAATCTTGCACTAATAAAAAGACCATGTTCATCATCATTTTCTCCATCGCTAGAATCGGAATTTGACTCTGAATTGGAGTAATCTGAAAATTCTTGGTTATAATCATCGTCGGAACTGTAGAATCCACTTTCCATATCTTCATCACTTGGATTACTAGGGTATTTAACAACCATACATTGCTCTACACGATCATTAAAATGGATATGTCTATCTTTGTTTGGTTTCTTAATATTATTGTTATTAGAAATGTCTGTTTTATCATTATTATTGTTCTTTGAACGAAAGCCCGATGATGTGGTCAATATTGATGATAATGTACCATTTTTTATGTTTGAACTGGAATTGTCCTGTGAAACTGTATATATATTTCTATGGTTTGAATTTAGCACAGTGACATTTGATTTAGTAGGTGAAGTTGAGTTTGTTATAGAGGAATCATTAGCTTTTTTATCTTTTTCATCAGAAATATTTAAATTACCTGATTGATTGGTTGTATAAGACGGTATATCATACTTGGCATTTGAAGAGTTTGCTTGAGTATCGTTACAGGTTTGACTAATATTATCATTATTGTTGTTGTTATGATTTGAAGAATATATTTGTTGTTGTTTATTGGAAGCTGTATTTGATGATGATGAAGATGATGGGTAGTTGAAATACTGGGCATTGACCTTTGCAGCTAGTAGATCATAGTCATCATGAACATTAGTCTGAATATCCCGATTCTTTATAGACTGAGTTCTCCTAACTTCATTGAAATGTTTTCTTGCTTCATTCAGCCTCCATTGTGCATTTTCTTCGATGATTTCAGGGACTGTTCTTCTCTTTAAGATAGGTTTTGGCGTAATTTCTCTTCTTGAAGAATGAGGACGCCTACTTGTAGTGTTGGATTGATTAACTATTGAGGAATTTGTAGAAGGTAATCTTATTGAAGTTTCATCACCATCTGAACCATATCCTCTTTCATAATTGTCGTCGTCGTCATCATCATCATCATCGTAGTCATCATCGTAATCATCATTGTCATCATAACGGTAGTCATCTTTACTGTGTATTTTATTTCTTTTCCTATGTGAATTGCCACTACTGTTGTTGAAATTATCACTACGAACAATTGGACCATACAACCAGGTTACATCAGAATCCTTTGACCAATTCAAGATTTCAGGAGACACAGTCTTTAAATTATTTCTTGCCTTTGCCCATGTTCTCCACGAGGCATTCTCTAATCTTGCAGTGTTGACCACGTCGATATCTCTTTTTTTCTTCTTTGCAATGATATATTTCCAAGAATTCGAAATATCTGATTCTTTCCAATGATGTGACAAATAATCCACATGTCTCTGGGGTTCTCTTACTACGTCGTTGTCATCTTGTGGCAACAGTTTATCATCATCTGGTGCGGGTGGGGATACAGAGGAGGACTGCGTGTAACTGCCGACGTTAAAATTATCCTGATCGTCATCTCCTGTAGTATTTCCATTGTTGAGCACTAAATCGTCAGAGATATTGCTAGAGGAGTCACTACTATTACTGCTGATATCACTGTTATTTGCATCATAATCATAATCATCTGAATGGGCATCGTAGTCTATTATATTCGGTGTAGGCAGTTGTTGTTTGTTGTTATAAGTAGTAGTTGTGGTAGTAGTAGTAGATCTACTATTATTTTTAGCAATTGGATTTGTGGGATCTAATAAACCCATGGATTGGGTTCTTTTCAATTTAAATGTTAGATTATGGAAATCTTCATCATTGTCTGCCTCTATAGCCATAGATACAGATGGACCCATATCATCATCATCATCATAGAGACTATTACTAGTGGTGGTATGGTTACGTGTGTTACTATTGTTAATGTTGTTGTTGTTATTGTTATCCGTGGTGTTATTTGAACTAGCAAAATATGCAGCTAAATTATTTGACATATCTGTATTCTAATATTATTATAAATAAGTGCTTATTGTCAATTTATATTCAATTGAATAGGGTTAAAATAGACAACAAAAGAAAAGAAATAGAAAGTGGAAAGCAAAATATAGAAGCAAAGAAAGGGGAATGAGGGGGAAGATGTATTGGAGTTAAATAAATGAATTTTAGCTGGATGAATTGATGGATATGTAGTATGGATATGGTAAAAAGTAATACTTTGTTAGAAGTGAAAGGATCTTAAACGAACAACAGATGAAGGTATTATAAAGGGGAGGGGGGAAGGAAATAGACTAAAATAGAAAAATCCTGGAGAAATCAAATAAGTTAATCTATCTGTCGAGACTAACTTTTTGAATAATATTACAGATAGTCTTTAAATTTGATCTATTGAAGTATATTTGGTATTATTAATACTAATAATACTTTTTGTTTTTTGTTTTTTGTTTTTTTTTTTGATTTATTATGTAAAGAATGTATGATATCAATAGATTTGATATTAATATATATTTATGGAGGTTTCACAATGATTCAAGTAAAGGTCTAGTCAAAGAAAGTGGCATTAATGATTTTTTTTTTAAAAAAAAAAAAAAAAAAAAAAAAAAGAGTCTCGCGATTGATTCACCTTTGACTTCTTTCCTTTCTTTGGCTTTAGCTTTCTCTCTTTTTTTCCTCTCTCTTCTTTCTTTCGCACTCTTTATTTCTCTCTTCCCCCTCCTTCGTACAGAACTACAGGAAATATGAGTAGGGAGTTAAGAAAAAGAGAAAAAAAAAAAGAAAAAGAAATTTCAATGTGAGGGGGCGGGGGACGATGGCGAGAGGTAAAAAAAAAAAACTGCGGCCGTAGCCAGTAGGATGTCTGGGCGTCATACTGTTTGACAGCGAAGGGCGCCAGAGTCAAAAATAATTAAAGGCGGGGGTATGACAGGAGAAGAACACGTCAGAAAGGCAGAAGTTGTAGAGAGATGAGATGGCATGATAAGACATGACATGATGATTGGGGAGTGGGGATGGTCTCAGAAGGTGGCAGTGTCTACCACCTACTTAATAGATAATATGCTTGTACGTATAAATATATGTAGGTATGTACGTATGTACGTGTATAAGTTGTTGTAGATTGGAAAGGAATATAATAGAGATGAAATTATACTAAATCTTTGGAAGAGATGCAATTAGACATGTATACTTTTGTCCGCATATTCCCCGTGTTCAATTCGTAAATCTATCTTATTCAAACATATACTTTCTTTTGATATTAAAGATTTGCAATTCTCCACTAGCCAACTGGTCTTTCTATTTGGGCTCCCTATTAAACCATTACATTTGACAGGAGTAATATTTTCTCTCTATTCATTTTTGAGCCTTCTTGTATGTTCTTTTATTACATTTAAGGAAGTCTTAATTTTGCATCGATTAAATCTTTTTGCAATAATCTTTTTGTCTTTTTCTTTTTTTTTTTTTTCCCAACTAATAGCCACAGATTAACAACTTCATTGTTATGATTATTTAATGGATATATATATATATATATATATGTATATATGTATATGTCATGTATACATATATATGACTTCATAGAAGAATAAAAAAAAAAAGAAAAAAGAAGGAAAAGGTCCGAGAAGGAGGAAACTAAATGAAAATGTAATATTAAATTAGTTTGAATAAGTATTCTTACTTTTTAAAGGAAAAAAATTATGAATAGTTATACATAGTTATGAATAAGTAAATATATATATGTATATGTATACGTATGTATGTATGTACGTATGTACGTATGGAGGTATATTGATATTTATTATAAAAAGAAAGTCATGGAGAAAACAGATATAAAATAGAAAAAAAGAAAAAATAAATAAAAAAAAGACGATCGATGAATATGATATAGAAAAAGGAATTAAATGACTTAGAACTTTTGAACGGTTTCGTAGAAGGTTTTACCTTGAATTTCGTGCATTCTTAATTCTAATTCAGATGGGTTTCTAGAACCATCAGCACCAGCAATGGTACCAGCACCCCATGGAGAACCACCATGGACTTCATCTAAGTTAGTTAATTCAGCAAAGGCGTTTTTGTAACCTAATGGAACGTAGATGATACCATGGTGAGCCAAGGTTGACAAAGAGTTCATAATGGTGGCTTCGTTACCACCACCGGTACCTGTAGAAACAAAGGCACCAGCAACTTTGCCGTGCAAAGCACCCTTAGCCCATAAGCCACCGGTTCTGTCCCAGAAGGCTTTCCATTGGGCTGGGAAATTACCGAATCTAGTTGGGATACCAAATAAGAAAGCGTCATATTCAGTTAAAGTTTCACGATCGGCAATTGGGTAGTCTGGTTTTGGAGCACCACCCAAGGCCTTGACGACTTCTGGGGTTAGAGTTTCTGGGACTTGGAAGATATCGGCTTGACCACCAGCAGCCTCAACACCTCTCTTCTCAGCTTCAGCTAACTTAGCAACATGGCCGTATAAAGTGTAAATAATAATAGCAACCTTTGGCATCTTGGGTTTTTAATTGGAATATATGTATGTATGTCGTGTGTATGTTTATTTGGGTAAATGAGTTTAATTAATTGACTGATCGTCCTACACTACAGATTGTGAATACTTCAAGTAGTATGTGGGCAAGAATTGTTCAGGTACTATCAAGATAAAAAGAAGAAAAAAAGGGAGGTCCTTTATATATATTTTATCATTAGGTTGTCACAACAAAGTAACTGTCTGTAATATGTGTATGTGTAATAGCTATGGAGAGGGAAGGGGGGGAGAGAAGAAGAAGAAAACGAACAGAAGCCCGGGTGTAAAGGAATGAAAAGGAAAAAGGAAAAGGAAAAATTATAAACTTGTTTATTATTAAGTAATTTCTTAGCTAAGATTATCACATAATTATTGAGTAATAAACACCAACCGCCGCCACGGATCCCATTGTCTTTGTTCCCCACGGTCTGTGTTAAGCACAGAATAAGAAGAGTAGGGGAAAAACAAAAAAAAATAAAACGGAAAAGATTTGTGCGGGTAGTGGATGGTTTTTTTCTCTTTAAAAAAAATGAATAAGGCTGGAGATAAATTAGGGTCCAAGCAATATTTCTAGTTGTTTTTTTTTTTTTTTTTTAATACAAAGATTTGAAAAAAAGTGGTTGTTTACAAAGCAACAAGAAAAACTTTCTAATTTCATCAACTGATAGGGTTATTCTTCTGATGTGTTCAAACCATTTTACCAAAAACTGGTTTTTTTAATTTTAGGTTATTGCATGGGTTATCTTTTTCACTGCTCTCAAATTAATTGGAAAAAATAAAACAAAAAAGAAAAAAGAAAAAAGAAAAAAGAACGCTAAAAGAAAGAAATGTTGGGAGCTGGAATAAAAACAGAAATTGGGAAGAAAAAATTAGAAGGAGAAACAAGAAAAAATTATATATATATATAATAAAATAAAACAAAGACTTTAAGATTGCATTAGTAATGCTGATAGATAAAATGTTATGAAACCTTTGTTATGAGTACTCTTTATAGTTATGTATTTCCAATGTTATAAATTAAAAAAAATAGTAGGTTGTAAAAGAACTTCTGTAGCGTGTTTTATTGTATTTTTTTATAGTATTTTTGGAAACATTATAAATTTTTCATAAAACTTATATAAAAACTTCTCTGAACAGTTGCATGTGTATATAGCATTATCTTTACATCCTATTGAGACTCTTGTATGAAGTAGAGTCTTTTATTACTAGTTTTTTCTTTTTTTTACAACTGAAACAAATAAGTAAATCTACTTTCTTATTCAATTAAAGAAATTTCAAAACAAAATATAAAAAGATTTTTTCAGTTCTACTCTATATATTTTAGATAATATGCAGATAGCATCAACAACAATGGTACTTTTGCTGACTATATAATATTTCTCTTGAAGAATTTAAAAATAAAACTTTTGTTTACAAGATATCTATTCAGAAATAAATTAATACCATTACCTTTCGTTTATAATAAATAATTTTAAAATATATAGTTACAATCTTCTTTTTTTTTTATCCTGTTTAAATAAATTAATTTTAATCAAAAAAGAAAAAAGAAGAAAAAAAGTGAAGAATAAAACTATTTCGTAATTACTATTGTTAGGTGAAACTTCTCTATTATACTTGGTAGATTTAATGCATAAAGGCCATTAGTTAAATAATATGTATATATAACCATGAGATATCACAATGAAAATATTTTGTTCAAAAATTGGGGCTGAATTAAAATATTTTACCAAGAAAGTACCAATCTTAATTAATTTGCGTATAATGCCAGTAAGTCCGGTATTTATCTTATAAATAAGGTATTTCCTAATGGACATTATTTTTTGACCTCCAAAATCATATAAATTTATATTTAACATCATACTAAAACAATAATAACAACAAACGTTAAAAGTTATTACTAAATAATAAGAATAAGATAGCTTTAAAATTTTGTATATATATATGTATGTATGTATTTATATATGTATGTATATGTATAATACAGAATCACTTTCTTTATTAGAAATTTAGATAATCTTCGCTTACATGAAGCAATAAAGGATCTTTTTGGAACGACTTTCTTTTTTTTTTAACTCTTCAAGAAGAATAAAATATAAATAGAAGGTATGAACCAATAAGGTGATTTTATGCTATAAAAAAAGTTAATTAAGTATTTGGGCATTGAAATTACAACTTAAGAAAGAGAAAAATTATATTGAATACGTAATATGTGTATCTTTGAGTAATTTACAACTTAAATGACCGTCTCAAGGCTGTTGCTACGTTTTTTTAACAATGAAATGTTTCAGATACTTTAAAGATCTAAAAAAAAAAAATAGCAAAAAAAGAAACAGTATAACCGTTGGTTCAGTTAACTCTGAAAGGGTCTTCTCATAATAAAATTGTTATGTTGGATAAAGAAAAAGATTTGTTTATTCTTTTTTTTACTCTAACAACCTGGATAAAAACAAAGAAACTTAATTTTTGCTATTCGTTTTTTTTTTGCTTTTTTTTAAAAAAAGAAGCATTATGGATAACTGGAAAGTGCAAGTTGGCAGAATACTTAAAAAAGTATATAGACTTGTGATATAATAGGTTCATCGACTTCGTATAAATTAGGCAGGTGCAAGGAACGAAAAACGATCATTATAACTTTTCCTGTCAAAAATTACTTTACTTATTTATAAAACAGTTAGTATTTTCCTTCTATGCAACTAAAATCTCCTTAAGAAAAGTACTTGTAAAGACAAATGTAAGGTGTTAGAAGATTGTAAACTGATCATTTTCCAAATCTAGATGTTGATTGCTTGAATCACGCCACAAGCCTTTTCGTAATACTTTCATTACATGGAGATATCATATAAAAATTATTACGCATGATAGTTAAAAATTTGATACACCTTTGACAATAAGCTTAAAATATTCTTTTGCTCAAGAGATGCCTGTCAACATTAAGTGTACACTAAAAAAGTAGAACAAGATGGTCATAAATGATATGTTACAGTAATTAAGAGCAAGGATAAAAGATATTCGGTTGTCATAGTGACAATTCAACAAAAAAAAAATAATGTTTTTTTTATCCGCTCTAATTAATCTTCGTTTTTGAGAATGTGTTGCCCCCCATTTTTCTACAACCTGAAATTGAGCGTTTTTTTTTATTTTTTTAGTTTTTTTCTCTTTCTTTACTTTCCTAATCAGTCAATAAATTCCTTTTATCTTTCATCCCAGAAATTACGTATTCTCTCCCTCTTATTCAAATTCGCTTTTTTTTCATGTAGATATTTTGATCGTCATTCCGTTTTCTTTTTCTGTCAATAGATGAGTAAAAAAAAAAACTGAGAAACACAGATCAGTTTAAAGGTCGCTAAGCTTTAGATAATCCGCATCTCAGCTCCCAATAAGAGGATAAAAAATTCCTTGAATCGCACCAATTTCCTATCTGTTTTCTCAACTTCTGTATTCCTTCATAGGGTTTTTTCTATAGGTATCTGTGAACTTAACTATTTTTTTTCTTTGTGTTTTGACTATATTCTCAAGGAAGAAACCAGGACTTTAATTTAGAGATTGGTTTGTTCTTAATCCATTTCTCGCTTTCAAATGAATATGAAAGTCTGTACCTTGACCTGCTTGACCTACTCCTTTGGTTTGGTATCTTCAAATGGAACATAGAGGTATCCGGTTTTTGAGGCACATCTTGTCATTTTAGTCTATTCAATCCTTTATATATGTATCTGTGTTCATATCCTTTCTATGATGACTCTTACTCTTCTTAAAGAATAACCATCTAAACTAACGCTAATATTAATCATAATAATGCTGATTGCCGAATAAACAAGAAGGTTTATGGTCAGCCCTAGACAATAATGAGGTATATAAAACAGTTAACAAAAAAAAAAGAAAAGAAAGCATTTAGGTCCAAAGAGTTTGAGAAAATCACATTTCTAACTGTCTGAAAGGGAACAACGTCAACAAACAAAGTAAATAAACAAAAAGAGATGTTCTCTCTTTCTTTGAGGTTTTTTGAGAGAGAAAAATGAAAATATTTTTTGAAGTTGCCATTAAGTGCATTGTTTATCCCAAACCTCTATATCTCGGAAAATCTATGTTTGAAAAAAAAAAAAGGAAAACAAAGCAATAATGAGAAAAAGTAAATAATACTCGATTAAATCTGGCATCGTTATTTTATTTTTTTGTTTTTTTTCTGTTTCCTAGTAAAAAAAAAGAAAAAGAAAACAATTTACTCTTTGTTTATTTTTTTTTTTTTTACACATTTTCGTTTCCGAACAGAACACAATGGAAAAAGCACACTGTATTGTGAACGCATTGTTCAACCGATACCCTACTCAAAAAGCTCATACATTGTATATTATGTATATTTTTTCCTTTTTTGTTTCCTTCACTTCAAATAAGGTAATACCCTAAATAAAAAGGCAAGCCAGAAGAAGAAAAAGAAATAACACAATGAAAGATTTCAAAAGATCATTTGCGTGGATATTTCTAATGCATTACTCAATTAGGATATCATATTACTATTAAATGTTTTCAAGTTACCCTTTTTTAACAAACTTAAACATTCCAAAAAATTTTTCTTTTTTGTTTTTATTTTTTACGTAACTTCCTATTTGTTTCACTTGAATAGATCGATCGTTCCCTTCTTTTTTCTTTAAGCTCAATTTTGTTTGTGTATTTCTACATTAGAAAAACCCATCTATGATTGGTTTGTTTGTTTATTACCTGTTTTATTAAACTAATTCAAAAAAAGATAATAATGACATAAACCGATGATGATTTGTTATTCCTCTCACTATTGTGTTCTTGACTTGTTTCTGTATTTTGTTTACTACTTTAGGAAATATAATTTTATCCAGATTGGTAAAATTAATTGAATTAATAGTGGACAAAAAAATAAATAACAAAACAAAATATTTGTTATTTATTTTTTTCTATTCTTCGTTTCCTTTTTCCTGTCATTCTTCAGATTGTATATTACCAAATAATTTACCTTTTTAATCCCTATATTGGTGCTTGAATCTTGTAGAATGAAATATATCCCTCCGATGTTTATTCTTATTTTGTATATTTTTTTTTGTTTTCTGTTTTTGTTTTGTTTGTATTGTAATGTAATATTTTTTTTTGTTTTACATTAACGATAATTGATTAATGACAAATGATATTCTTAATCCCTCAAATGAATAACAAAAACAGGATTTTAGTATTGCTTTTGAATATGCCATTTTTTAATTCTTCAAATTTATCATATCTATTAAGGAAGAAATATTTAAGATTCACTGGGGTGGAAACTGAATTATTTTCAAATGAGTTTTCTTTCCTTTCCTCCAAATTTTTTTTAACCTTCTTTCCCTTCTCTCTATATATTTTCTTGTGTTTTCTCTATATTTACTCTTCTGTCTCACACCCCCGTGTACTACAAAATCTCCACAAAAAGACATTTCAACACAACAGTCAAGTCGAATACCCAATTTAATAAAAACTGTTTTGAGTTTTTTTTTGCGTGTACTCTACTGCTAAAAATACACAACATATTATTTCGTAATTAATAATTAATTTCTAATTTTAATAATTTTTTTTCATATCTTCGAACTCATTTTCCTTTATATTTGTGACACTTTAAAAGTACTATTACATTTTTATATTGTACCAATTTTTTTTAGAATACACCTATTATAGATCCTTATTTTAAATGTCTGAATATATTGAATTAATCAAGAGAGGTGGTAACGAAGCCTTAAAATTGAATCCACCACACGATGTCGACTTCCACATCACTAAGGGTGGTTCTGATTGGTTGTTTGCTGCTTGTGCTATCTTTGCTGCTTTGGCTTTAACTGCTGTTGTTCTAATGTTTACCAGACATGTTCACGAAAGAATGGCTTACTACACTGCCATTATTCCAACCTTATGTATGTCTATTGCTTATTTCACCATGGGTTCTAACTTGGGTTACACTTCTACTCAAGCCTTATACAACAGAAACAGAGTCTCTACCCAAAAGACTCACTTAGGTTTTAGACAAGTCTTCTACGCTAGATACATTGGTTGGTTCTTAGCTTTCCCATGGCCATTTGTTCAAGCTTGTTTGATGGGTCACACCTCCGTCTGGCATATTATGTTCAACGTTCTTATGGTTGAAATCTACGTCGTCTCTTACTTAGTTGCTGGTTTAGTTCACTCTCAATATAGATGGGGTTACTACACAATTGGTAGTTGTGCTGGTATCATTGCCTGTATCTCTGTCTTAACTACTACTAGACGTGTCGTTAAGAGAAAGGGTGGTGAGCTATACATGGTCTTCAGAGTTTTCACTGGTTTATGTATCTTCTTCTGGGCTATTTACCCATTAGTCTGGGGTTTATGTGAAGGTGGTAACGTCTTAGTTCCAGATGCTGAAGCTATCTGGTACGGTGTCATGGACTGTTTGTTATTAGGTGTTATGCCATGTATCTTTGTTGTTATCTCCGGTTACTTCGGTTTAGACACCTTAGGTTACAAGTTTGAAGATGAAGAATCCACTTTGCCACCACCACCACCAAAGTCTCCATCAACTTCTCCATCTTCCAAGAGTTTAAAGAAGAAGTCAAAGAAATAAGCAACTGAATAATTAGTTACCTAATTATTTGTGTTTATTTTTTTTTTGCTCTTTTTTTATCTTGCTCACTACCTTTTAATGCATAGTTTTTTATTTTACAATGGGTTGTTCTAACGCTTGCATTTCCTACATAAAGCAAGTGTTATAATGGCCTTTTCTCAAACATACCCTTAAAAGATATATAATATATAATATCTTTGCAAGTTTTTATTATATTTCTACCTGGTACATGAATTACGTGGGGAACTTATGTTCAGATTTTTTTTTAATGACGTAATTTTTATGATTATTTGTTATTTTATTTCGTTTGACAATCAATTACTATGCTTTTGCTTTTGTTTTTTTTTATCTCTGTTTAATTTCAGAAAAAATTTGCAATTTTCATGTCATACCTTTTTTTTAACCCTACAATATTCATATATATCTCATATACTATATATACCATGTTAGTAATTACTTAATACTCTATAATAGATAGTTTTGCTATTGTGATATTTTCTTTCTTTCTCCCACACCGCATTATCGAATGTAGACCTTACGAAGAGTTATTATGTGAGCAAGTTATCTAACTCTATTTCAGCAAAGAAATATTGTATATCCATGCAAATATTATTGACACATATATGTATACATAGATGTCAATCTATAAAAGTTTCCACATTAATCATATTATTGTTTATATACTTCACCATGTTAAAACGTCTTGATCAGCAAGTTTATAATCTTCTTCAGTACCCGACCAGACCTTTTCTAATCTATTCAGATTATGTTCAGTTAATCTCCTAGAGGTTCCACGGTTTAGTTTGAAATACTTCCTCACTAAATCTCTTGTATCTTCATCCATTGCATTCAAACCAGCTAACAACACAGCAAAATTTGAATAACATGTTCTTGCATTTTGTGGTGGGTTTTCACTATCAACAAAGAAAAAAAATGACATGATCCTTTTGACAACTTGCTGAATCGTAATGGATTCTCTTGGTATACCTAACAGCTTCAGCAAAACAATCAAGAGGAATGATAAAGTTTGAGTCTGATGTGAGATATCATACCAACTAATAGCCACACGCTCTCCATTCTTTAATGTTACTATATCAATGGCATTATCACTAATGTGACTATTATCTGGATGAGATTGACTTTCCTTAGATATGATCCCAGTCTTGCTAATAAACTCATACTCTAACTGTTTATCAAGTTCAATCAATATCTTTTGTGTTTTAAAATAAGAGATCGGATCATCTTCTCTTGTTTTATTTGGTGACCACAACAAATAATCAATATTTTTATTGAACATCCCGCCCTCATCAGCAATATCTTTCTTTTCATACATTCTAATAGAATTCAATGACCTAATGACTTCTCTAATGACTAAATCCAAATCTTCCTTATGTCCACGTAATAAATTGAACTCGTTTAATGGTGTCATAATATTCAAAAATTTCAAGGAATCAACATACTGAAAATCATATGGATCAAAAATGTAATTGATATCATCATCTGTCAATGACCCACCGAGGACTGTACTTATACTGGCAAATGTCTCTATCACTTTAAACCAACATTTAGCCACATTTAGTACTTTAGAGGAGCTTCCAGAATTGATTTTCTTGAATAAATCAGTCACACCTTTCAAATGAGATCTCCACTGAGAATTCATCGTATAGATACAATCCCATGCTAATAAAATAACAGTTAAAATAATGGGTTCAATTTTGTTCAAAACATTTGATTCATTGTGAAATTGATCACCCAAAAGATTTAAACAATGCGAAAGATATGCACAATAATTTTTTTCATCTTCTAATTTATTAGATTTCCTGTGTGCTATGGATGCCCCTATGGCTAGAATAGCAGATAGTAGGTATGATTCATTTCGGGCAAATGATAATAAAATATCTCTTAATGGATTTCCTTGGTCTTGGAAAAATGGGGCAATGGAATCCAAACAATCATTGTAGAATATTCGCAAGTACTCATCATGGATACCACCTAGCCTGAAAGATGATATTTTAATATTAAATTGAATGATATTATTAACAAGAAATGAAATAGGGACAGAACTTATATTTGTAGGGTTGTTGGGTAGTAGCTCTGGTATTTCTAAATCGGGAAAATCATAATTTTTCAAACTTTCGTTTAACATTACTGAATCATTTAATTTCATACTAACAATATCATTTAAATTTTGCATTAAAAGATTAGCATCAACTTCATTCATTTTATTAGCAGATATTATGTTTGGTATATCGATTACTTTATCGGAAGACATTGAAGAAATATTGCTAATTGGCCTGCTATCGGTGAGTAGAGACGCTCTCTCACTAGCATCAATTGGTGTGCTTGTATTAGAAGTTGGTGTCATTGATTCTTTTTTGTTATCCTTTGATATTTTCCCAGCTGAGGGCGAGCTTTTTGCAGTGGTTTTTCTCTTTTTATTTTTGGCATTCAAAATGTAAATACATTCACGGTTTAATCTAGAACATTGCCAACATACTGGTTTGGTTTCATCACATTTCATTCTACGTCTTTTGCATTCAGTGCATCCATTCCTTGAATATTTTCTTTTGACAACAGTAGCCTTTTTCCCGGTAGCAACAGGAATTGTTGTAGCTGTTGGAGTTTGGTTGAGATTGGAGTTAGACACGACACCTACTGCTTGATTCTCTACAGAGTGTATATTGTTTTGTGGAAGGTCATGGTTCAAACTTAATAGTTCAGGACTAGACATTACTTTAGAGCTAAAGATGGAGTTTAGAGCTTGATTTGGACCATTCAACACAGAGGGAACACTTTGGAAATTGGTAAAATTTTTGGAATCAAGACTATTGTTTGTGTAAGATCTTTGACTATCCAACGAAGCTGGTGACAAGTAATTTACTGGCAGTGGTAACGTTGATTGAATTTCCCTATCATCTGCTAGTGTCCCAGACTTTGTTTCGTTTCCAAAAGTAGTATCGCTATTATTATTATTGAGATAATCTGCAGACGTCATATTAATTAGCGTGAAGATGAAAGATAAAATTGCAATGGAAATATTCAGATCGAAATACTAATTGATTCTTAGATTAGGTTGAGAGGAAAAATAAGGATAGAATAATGAAAATAAAAATAACAAAAGGTAGTGAAAATAGAAAACACAATTCCGTATAGATTGATGGCAGTTTACACGATCAATTATCAAAGTATGACACTTTGCTCTCTAAAGGATTTCCTATATTATCAAATTGTCTCTTTAAAGAATACTATGGTGGGGAATACGTTCTAGTCAGTTACGTGTTTGAAAAATTTCCAATGACAAAATTTTTTGTTCTCGATTGGGAATGGAAAAAATTTTCCAGAGGAATTTTTGTCCAAAAAGAAAAAGTGAGGAAATATAATTGTGGTGAATGGTAAACATCCGTACATCACAGCGTATGATATAAAAGATTTGATATGGTTAGATTCATTCACGGATTGGATGATTCATATTGATTGTTGTGAGAGTAGTGTTAATACTTCAGTGGGACCCAAATACTGAGTTTTGCTTCCCTTCGTGATTTCAATCCATTCATTACCATATTTTGGTTCATAAAGATTTACTTTATGAAATATATCTTTACAGTCTAAGCCCAGTTTTTGATAAGTTCTTACCAACCAGACCCAAGTATCTCCATAATTTGGGTTGCTTTTAATGGATCTCTGTAACCATTTTTCGGCATATTTATATTGGCCATCATTAAAAAATGAGATTGCTATTTGAAGAAGTACCAAGTAGTGATTTTTGGTTTTAGAAAGTGCGTCTTTGAATACTATTTTTTTTGTTGATGATTTACGATCTGATAGAGATATAAGTTTTTCTGTCCAGATAATTGGACTTGTTGGTAGTAACTTCAATGCTCTTTCAATCAGAAGATTAACTTGATCTAACTGATGTTGTCCTTTTTCTAATCTTATCAATGATTGGTACAATCTTTCATCATTAGGAGATAAAGCCAATGCGACTTCCAAAATAGAGCGTGCCTTAGAAACATTATTAAGTAGGTTAATATGAACTCTAGATAATGATATTGCAAATATGCTGTTTTTAGGAAACCTCTTAAATCCTATGTCATACCAAAATATACTTTGTTCACCATCTTTTATCTCAAGTTCATAAATTTGTCCAATTTGTAAATAAAATTTATAAAATTGAGGATATTCTACAATACATTTGTTTTGGATATATTCTATTGCATCATCATATTTACCCATATATCTGAGAAATGAAACATATTTAACGTAAAGTCTCTCTTTATCTATAGTGTTCTTTTTATTAAAGAAATCAAACATAACATTAAATAACTCTTCAATTTGTTTGATTCTTTTTAATTGACATAATATTTTTAATTTGGCAAACCACACATCTGATGAAGTGGGGATAATTTTTAGTGCTCGATTAATTGAATTTAGGGCCTTATCTGGATTGGAACTGTATTTCCATATATCTTTTGCATATAGCAACGATAATGTTGGTACTTTTCTTAACGTAGAATAATTAGTTTTATCATCAAATAAAATTATTTCATAAGTTTTATATAATTCTGAAATTTTTGACATAGTAACACAAGTAGTTTGCAATAATTGCCAAAGACTATATTTTGTGGGTTTGATGATTAATAATTCTCTTAAACAAAGTATTTTAGTAGTGCTATTTTCCATGGTTTCCATAGTTTTAGTTAATTCTTGTAACGTATTAGAATCGATGGATTGGAATTTAAAGAGACTAGAGATAAATAGTTCATGTGTTAATTTTGAATCAATGTCGTTTTCGATATAGAGAGCTTTTTTTATTAATTCAAAATAGTCAAATTTAATATTAAGTTTAACCAATTTCTTAAATCCATTAATAAATATATTTGAGCTTTTACTGAGTGATGAGGAATGATACTCTTCCAATTGAGCTGTATTGATCCATGTATCTATATTATCAGGCAAGATATTTTGCATTAATTGTAATGTATCTTTAGCATTTTCATAATCTTGCATTTTAATTAAAGCTTTCCACAGATCAATGTTATTAGGTAAAAACTCTAAAGCTTTCTTCAAAATTTTTATTGATTCTGTTTTTTCCTTTTCGTACAATACAGCCAATTTCCAAAATTTTTCAACAGCTGGTAGCTCGACTAAAGCTTTTCTAACAACCCTTAATTTATTTATGTCTTCTGATTCTAATTCTATAGCCTTAGTCCAAAGTTTTTGTGATGATGGCACAAATTTAATAGCTGTAGCAACTAAAATTTTGCACTTGTGAATGTCATTTCTATGTAATCTAATATTTTCAAGCCAAATATCATCACTTCTAGGACATTCTTGACACCCTTCACTAATAATATTTTTAGCAGCCTGAAATCGATTACATTTTTCTTCTAGCCGCGCTGATGCAATCCAACTTTGTGGTTCTTTTGGCATTGACCTTCTATAGGATTGAAAGATTATCCTCATCTTTTTGACTTCTTCAGATTGGGATATATTATTCGACGTATTATTCATAGACTCTAATTGTTGTAGATATTCTTTGGTATTATCTAATTTATTAGTTGATGTTTCGTTGTTTTCCAATAAAGTACTGTCTCCATTTAATGATTTATTTAAAAAACTTTTGTCTATCTTTTTACTAAGTAATTTTTCCCTTTCCTCAGTTAACGTTGTTAAATCAACACTTCTAGTTAATAGGGTATCAGGTGCTGAATACATCTTTCTATTTAATTGTTCCTGTAATCTATTCCTTTTATTTCGTCTTGTTAAATCACTAGCTTCAGGAATATTTAACCATTCATTTTCAGTAACTTGTTTAAGGTTTCTTTTTAAATTTGAAAATTCTTGAATTGTAATTTCTCTTTTTTTCTTCAAATCAGTTTTATTTCTCCCATTTCTTTTAGAATCAATATTGGAGAATATTCTTTCTGCTTCTATGTCTTCTTTATCTTTTAGATTACCATTTTCATTTCTAATTGTATCAGATAATTGAACTGACTGTAATCTTTTCGGTATTTGTTTATTTTTACTTCCTCTAGTAGAAAACCCAGTTGCACCTCTACCTAAACCTGCAATATACCCTGGAGGTGGTTTTTGGTCTAAAAATGCAGGTCTCTTCATGTTATTGATTGTGCTTTGTGAAATAAACTTGTTCTTAAGTTTAATAAAGGAATTGCATAAAATTCAATTATACAATTTTATTTTGAAAACTTTTAGAGTTATTTTTGAAATAGGTCATAATAACTATATAGAATTTCAGTTGTTAATACCATTCAATGAAGATAACAAATGATATTAGTGTGTATATTAGTAACATATAAAGTATACACATAGAAAAATCTTTTTCTGCTCATCTATATCTTTAATTATATATTGAATTTTGAAGTACAATATTTTTTTTTGACGTTGTGCGGAATATATGCGGAATACTTCGGTGAAATGTAGGGTCCTATAAGAGTTTTTCGATAAGATTACATTAAACAGTGTGATCTGTTATTATTGGTATTCTCTTGCAAGATAGTATTATATATTTAATCAAAAGTACACTTCAAGATTATGTTAATACTTCCCACAGAGGGAGAACTATTAATATTATTTAATAGTAATTAGTTTCCACAGATCTAAATAGAGGACTCTTATCACTATTTTAGATTATACTTATTTTTGTCGTTTAAGTTCATGAAAAGGTTTTAGTTTTGGACTGTACAAAAATGAATTAAAAACATTGTTTAGTGATATTTAAGTTTGGTTAAGGTTGTATGTTCAACAATAAAAAAAATACTTGTACTATAAGCTTTGTAAATGAAAAATTAATATATTTTTATATTCTTTTCGATTTTAACAGTTAGGTTTAATTCAACAAATATAATAATTTTACAAAATTATAGGTTACAGTATATTATCCACAAAGATGTTACAAGTACAATGTTATATGAACAAAACAAAAATGCTAATAAAACTTTCAAAACAATTTAATCCATTGGCAATTTTTGGTTTACATATGCAAGTTTTAATTAGATAAATTTAGAACCATCGATTTTTTTTTGGATATATATTCCTGATTTCAATGCATTATTTACTGTTCTAATACTTATTTTTGAAGTAACTTCATATGATAAGGAGAGTCTTTTCAAATATTTTTGGAAGTGGTATAAATTATGTGAGCAATAATTTTGAATAAATTCTTAAGTTATAAAACATTTGTAATTTATTTACTTTAAATATTATACCTAAAACATCAAAAAAAAAAGAGGAAATAGGTTTTACTTGCCAGACATCTTTTAATCAATAGATAATAATGTTAACAATATATCTATAACTTTACTGTTTAGGTAGGTATTTGTAAAATTATCTTAAAGTTAGATATAAAGTAACTTTGGTAACCAAAAAAATTGTATCGCTAGAAAAGAGAAGAAAGTATTGTTACTATTATGTGTAGTTATAAATATGTCATATGCATGTTTATTTTTTTTTCTTTATAACTTGAAAAAAAGGTATATCTTTTCACCCTAAGTTCGTAAAATTGAAACAGTGATGTATTAGTTTGTATCGAATTTCAAGAAAAGGATGGAGATTGTCCTTAAATATTCATAAAATTACTTAATTTACAAATATTTAGTTAAGTTAGGAACATTTTTATAGGAACCTCATTTTACTGGATGCTTGTGACATTATGAATTGAGTTTATTAGATCCAATAGTTTATAACTGGTGTCCTTGTTTTCTTTATTTTTAACTAATACCCAGAAATATAAATATAGAGAGTATATGAATAAATATATGTCTTTTTTATTTTTTAATTTCTTTGTTTTTTTAAAAATTTCATTCTTAAATAATATCCCTCCATAAATTTCCTCTGCACATTATCCAAATACTATTTATAATCTTCTTAGCGTAATAAAGCTTTGAATTAAAAAATAACTTCGTTGGAAATATTATAGTTAGAATTATGGTTCCAGCAGAACTTCATAATAAACTTAGTATAATAGATAAAAATGGAATGAAATAATATCAATATTTTAAAGTTAGGTAAAAACGGTGGTAGAATAGAATGTTCCAATACTGGAAAGATTGATATGGTTTGTGAACAATAGGCAGTTCTACAATAAGATGAAATAACAAGTTATAATTATGGCTGACTTTTGTATTATTCAATGGAAGATGCGATAAAGTGAACAGATAATGAATTGTGGAAAAATATGGTTAATGCTATAAGATCCACGTAATTTACATGCATCAGCAGTTTATACTGTGATATATTGTTAATTTTTTTGTTTTTATAGAAAAAAAGAGTGAATGTAACAAAATGATTGAGTCTTATCATTAGAAAATTTTATAAAAAACTAACGGCGGTATATATTTGGCTCTGGTTTTGTATTTGCGTTGTGCATTTTTAAATTTATATAAAACAAAAAGAATAATATGAAGCAATACAATAAGGAAAAGATTATTAATATCGTTAAGCTAATTGTAGAAATATATATTATTGGATGTATGTAGCCTTGATAGATGAACTCATTAGATTTATAGTATTATATTTCTCTTCGTTTTCTTTCATCGTATATAGTATATAGATATAGACATATATGCTGTATATAAGTAAATGATCTTCTTATGTTTTAATCTTTTCTCTTTTTTGAAAACTTGTCCCCTTTTTTTTGTATATCCAAACACTATATATAATATTGTAGTCATAATAAAAACTTTGATTAATCAAAAAACTCCTTTAATATAGAGTAACTATGACAATAACTCTAGCAAAATCATTTACTATTATTGTGTCTCTTAACATTAAAGGCTAATTGTTTGTCACTGCCACTGGTTGTTCAAAATGTTTCATGAGATTATTTTAAATTTAACAAGATATTATAATATATTGATTTACCATCTGTGTCATTCACTAACATCAAATTATACATAAAATCCCTCAAATATAAACGCATCACTTCTTGTTTTCCCAGTTAATTGAAACAATAAATATAGTACTATTTTTTCTAGAAAATGTTGTGGAATAGAATAGTTATAAGCATCAAGATTACATAAGATCCTGAATGAATCTAGAACCAATTATTGTATTAATAAGCTATACACATGCTACAACATTAGATGCTGCATAATAAAGAGATTGGATTACATAAGATTTTGGCAAATCTAGAATTTACCTATTGTTTTAATAAGTCCCACGTGTATTACTAATCACCATAATTAGAGAATTGGGGTGCAGTTCTAATCCACTAGTGCACCTAAATTAATGTAATAAATTTTAGGGTTTGAATCAGTCAAGTCATTAATGTACTAATCTGAATAATCGATCGAGCTCCAGAAAACATATAAAAGGACAACGTTTTCTGGAGATAAAAGATCATCTTCCATAACCGTTTCTTGTAAATAATTTATATATTATATATGAACAAAAATAGAAAAAACAAGCAAGTAACAAGTTAAGTAGCTTTGAATAAATATATTAGCTCGATATAAGCCGCTCAATATATAAGACCTTTTAGTAATTATATTATCACCTATAATTGATTACTGTCTCGATTACTTGAATGACTATTAATATTATTTGCGCTTCCCTGGAATACACAAAGAATTTCACCACCTCATAATACAACAGAAAATAATGAGTTAGGCCTTGTTGGCGCAATCGGTAGCGCGTATGACTCTTAATCATAAGGTTAGGGGTTCGAGCCCCCTACAGGGCTGATATTTTTTTACTTGATGTGAATATATACTATTTTTATTTTTTTTTATAGACGTTCTTGTTTTGTTACATTTAAAAGATTTATCTTAATCTATATATCTGCTGGATCTGTTGTTATTCTTTCATAGTTTATAATATATACAGTGCGATGTATATAAATACGTGTTTTTATTAGGAGCGAAAAAAAATCTCTTATATATAAATGAGGTAGAAGAAGGAATAGGAAACAAATTCAAGATAAGTGGTATTTAATGAGAAAATGTGTTTATTTTATTTAAATACATATCTATTTTTAGTTTCACACACTAGGAAGGCAAGATTAAGAATACTCAATTTTTTAAAAATGAAATTGTATAAAGGTTTTTGGATATATTTATATATTTATATATTTATTATAAAAAAAATGATATATTTGTAAAACTTTCGTTTTTTGCATAAGAAAAAAAAACAAATTTTAATTCTTTTTCGTGGCAATAGAAAGTAAAAAATAAACAGTTTACATTAAAATATTTTCTGAGATAAAATTTTCTAGAAACAACAAGAATTCATCCTTGTAACAAGATATTTTTACGATATTAATACAACTAATAATCATGATTAATTAATAAAAGTATTAGTAGGCATATTATTATTAAAATTCTTTTTTCCTTTGTATATACAGTAGAAAAATAAATATATATAATAATAAAATATAAAATATAAATACATGAAATGCACAGAGAAAAAAAAAAGTAGGAAAAAAAAAGATATTCCCCTACCTTTTTTTCTTTGTTCTAATATGTGCAGTTTTATTTTTACGATAAAGAAAATCATTCTCACTTATCTTTTAACGACTATTTATTTTAGCAATATTAACAGTATTGAGATTTTAGGACAATGTTTATTCATTCATCTCTAAGTATCATTTAAATTATTCAAATGTGTTTGTTTAATATTTCCAACCTTCCTAAACCCCAATACTCATAATCTATTGCAATATTTCAAAAATTGTTGCAATTGTGTAAAGATAAAATAATACTGCTTTTCTCTGCTTTATTAATATCAACAAAACTAATACACCAAAAATTTTCATTAGTGGTTACTATATGTTGATGTTGCAAACTCCACCCTATAAAAATCCAAATTGTTTATATCTCAAGTAATACTGTTCGACATACCTTATATACTATCTAAGAATTAATATTATTTACTGTAATACATAATAATAATCTTATAGGATATGAACTTATACTTTGATGTAGATGATATAAACGACTTAATATTTTCTGCATTACAATAATTTACAAAAAAAAAAGAAAAGAAAAAGGAAACTAGAGTAAATGATATACATGTGTATATAGAGATATATATATAGCAATTGTAATAAAAGTAATCACTTCAATCAACATCAATAAAGATAAAACAGAAAAAAAGAAAACAAAGGAGTATAAAGTTGAGCTGTTCAAAGTGGCTCTCTGTAAAAGAGGATGTTTTCAAGGAAGAGTAAAGTGAAACGATCTTCATTCTATACAAAAGTATAGCTAAACTATACATCGATATCACTGTTCTTTTTTCTTTTTTTTTCTTTATTCCTACCTCTATCCAATGAATGTTCTCTACATTTCTATAATTTTTCGTCTTGCACCTTTTCTCCTCCTCTTCTTCGAAGAAAACAATCACACACCAAACAAGAGCATCGTCACAGAAACCAAACGATTTGATGACTCATAATTCTTTTTTCCTTTTTTTTTCTTTTTTCTTTTTTCTTTTTTCTTTGTTCTTATTTCTTTTTTTACCTTTGGCGCCAGTTGTGTCTCTTTGACTCAGAATAGCCAGTCCGCGTCCCCCGCGCCAGCCCCTCTTCCTCTGACTAAGTTGAATTCCACTAGACAGAAGGGAAAACCAACCAAGATTTTTCTTTGAAGATTTTAGACAGTTTGATCTGCACAGCAAAAAAAGAAGTCCGGTAACGGATTAAACCTTGTTACACGAAGGTAAAGGATTCCTTTAACAATCCAGCCTTTTTACCCAATATATATATATATATATATATATATGCTTATATATGTATGGTATGATCACTCAGACATGTTTTTTTAATACACCATCTTTGAATTTAAACATCCCATTTTAACGCGTTACCACCTCTCTAGTTCTCTTTCTTCTTCTATTTTTCTTGTCTTTTTTTTTTTCTTCACTTTCTTCACTAATGTTACCATCACACATAAGCCCAGCCTAGCTAAACAATACAAGTCGAGTATTTTCTCTTTGCTTTGGCTTGTCTATCTATTTCATCTCGTTCTATACATAACAATTGTACTACTACAACTATCACAGCGACTACAACTGCTTTTAATAAAAGTATCTGTCATTAACTATGTTTATCAAAAACGAACACGCAGGTGATAGAAAGAGATTGGAAGACTGGAGGATCAAAGGTTATGACCCCTTGACCCCACCAGATCTTTTACAACACGAATTCCCAATCTCCAAACAAGGTGAAAAGAATATTTTAGAAGCTAGAGAAGGCGTCTGCAGCATTTTAAATGGTAAAGACGATCGTTTGATCATCGTTATTGGTCCATGTTCCATCCATGATCCAAAGGCTGCCTACGAATATTGTGATAAATTACAAAAAGTGTCTCAGAGATTGTCAAAGGATCTTTTGATCATCATGAGAGCATATTTGGAAAAACCAAGAACTACTGTCGGTTGGAAAGGTTTGATTAATGATCCAGACATCAACAATTCTTTCCAAATCAACAAAGGGTTACGGATATCAAGAGAAATGTTCACAAAACTTGTGGAGAAATTACCTATTGCCGGTGAAATGTTAGACACCATCTCTCCACAGTTTTTAAGTGACTGTTTCTCTCTAGGTGCCATCGGTGCCAGGACTACTGAGTCCCAGTTACACAGAGAATTGGCCTCTGGTCTTTCCTTCCCTATTGGTTTCAAGAATGGAACGGATGGTGGGTTCCAAGTTGCAATCGATGCAATGAGAGCTGCCCAGCACGAACATTACTTCTTATCTGTTACTAAACCTGGTGTTACAGCCATTGTAGGTACTGAAGGTAACGAAGACACCTTTATTATTCTAAGAGGTGGTAAGACCGGTACTAATTTTGATTCCCAATCTGTTCAGTCTGCAAAAGAACAACTAATAAAGGCAAAACTTTTAGACACTGAAGGTAAGAAAAGAAGAATCATGATTGATTGTTCCCACGGTAACAGTAGTAAAGATTTTAGAAATCAACCAAAAGTAGCTAAAGTTATCTATGACCAATTAGTAGCTGGTGAAAACGGCTTATGTGGTGTTATGATTGAATCCAATTTGGTAGAAGGTAGACAAGATATCCCACCAGAAGGTGGCCGTGCTGGTCTTAAATATGGCTGCTCTATCACCGATGCTTGTATTGGTTGGGATACTACCGAAGAAGTATTGGAATTATTAGCTGAAGGTGTAAGAAAGAGAAGAGAAGCTTTACAAAAATAAAAAGTAAAAAACAAAAAATAATTTAAAAGAGGGTTTTTAGTAGAAGAATATGTTTTATTTTGTTTTTTTTTCCCTCTTCTTCTCGCCTCTTCTCTTTCATGTCTTATTTAAATCTGCATATATACACATGTGTTAAAAATAACAACAATATTTATTTATTTATTTATTCAATATATATCCCCCATTAGTTATATTTTAAGTCAGTTTTATTTTCGACTACTTATTTACTTGCCAAAGAAAATATATGAAAAAATATATAAACAAACAATAACTAATTATAATAAAAAAGGAATGCTCCAATAAATAAGTACTCATACCTACAAAACATTTTCTTCATGTACTTCTATTACGAGTTATTAATATAAAGTATTATTTATTTACAAGGTGAATATATAAATAATCATTACCTGTTAAAGCCCAATTTTAGATCAATTTCTGAATTTTCTTCTTATCACATTTTGACACAATAATTTGATACCTAATTTATCCTTAGTAAATCTATTATAGTTAAGAAAATAGTTTATAGTATCCTGTTCCAAATTATTAGACTCTTTTAGATTCTTCTCAATATATTCTTCAATAAACTTTTCAGTAGGTAATTGATACTTTAAATGATATGGATAATTCTTCCAAGTAACATTTATGTTATTAGACCAAAGGTTCAACGGAATTGATGGTTTGGTTGAGAAGAATGAATTCAATTGAAGTTTAGTCAATGGATTAGTTTGTTTCCATGGATATGGTGTCTTGGCTTTATCCAACAATTTATATTTTGTCGCATTTGAAAATTCTGAGACACCGGATTGATCATAACACATGTTACCAGCCACATATAAATCTCTTCTCAAAGCTGATTCAATATGATCTTTAGAATTTTCTTGAATCAATTTAATAGCAATATCCATTGATGTTAACGATTTCTTTCTTAGTTTTGCCTCGACTTCAGTGGCAAATCTTCTAGACTCGATTGAACCATTTTCAAAAGTTTTTAAGTTATGAAAAATGTTTTCAACACTTGTTATATTATCGATATTAAAACATTGTTCAATGACATCTAGTTGATCATCATTAAATTTAAATTTATAACCATCAGGAAAACGATTTTCAGAGTACTCTTCTATAGTATTATTGATCATATTATAAATCATTTCATTATGATCTTTAGAATAACCGTCATCAACATTCTTACCTCTTTGAAAGACATCAATTTCACCTAATCTATTCTCCAATTTAGTTAAATTATCATGCGAAACGTAATGAGAAGCTAACCCAAGAATATAGGCATCTTCACCACCAATAACATCACCAGTAAGACATAAGTATAAAGCCATTTGACAATTAGAATTTGCTAGAGTTATAACTCTTGGTAAGGCAAATGAGGTTCCAACATCTGGAAAAAATCCAATATCCATTTCTGGCATGGCCCATTTTGTGTATTCACTGGATATTCTAAATGGAGAATGGATTGAAATACCAACACCCCCACCCATGGTAATACCATCCATGATGGACACAATTGGTTTATTGAAGGTAGCTAAAAGATAATTTAATGAATATTCAGCAGTAAATACATCTGTACTATCTTTAAATTTACCAACCAAATTATTTTGTGCTACTTGTGCCACATCTCCACCTGCACACAAAGCCCTCGGAAAATTAGAAGATTTAACTATAATCAAGTTAATCAAATCTGATTTTGAATATTCATTCAAAGTATCAAACATTGATTTACACATCGGTGTATTCAAAGCATTTAATTTCTCCGGTCTATTTAAAACAACTAAACGTGCTGTATCCTTCACTTGGTAAATTACTAAAGGTTCATTTGCTGTCTTCATGTTAATGTTTGTGGCTGTAGACATACTAACCTGTTTTTTTAGAGGTTGCGAAATGGATGATCTATAATGTGGTAATTTTCTAATTGTTGATCTCCACATACTCAGTTCTTAATACTTTGGATAATATACTCCATATATATAAATATTTATATCTATATATATATATACACCTATTTGTGTTTCTTGTAAATTTATTTTTGCGTATCCCTTAACAAACTCTACCTAATATACCTCTCAAAAAGGGAATCTTTAAAAATGTCAAAGACCTGTAAACACGTCACACACTGGTCGGTTGTGCAAAAAGCTTCTCCAACAGAATTACAACTGTGAAATAGACAATCTTAACATTATAATCGTTGGAAAACCGATAGAGAATTCTTCCATATCTTAAACAAAACTTTCAGGGATTATTCGTTTTTTCATTCTAAAAAAAATAAAAGAAAGTAAAAAAATATAACAGAAAAAAGAAAAATAGTTATTTTTTGCTACTCAACGTCTCTCCTCTATTCTTCCCACCAATGTTATATTAGGATTCATAATAAGGTTAACACAAGATATAGATTCGACAATTAAAGTAGTAATTAATGACAATTATAGATAACAAGCAACAAGATTGACTATCGTTAAAAGATTCTTAAATGTAATTTATATTCTTTATACATTAAAAAAGAATTGAAAAGAAAATTTATCAATGAAATGAAACAAAAAATGCATTATATCCTTTTATCACTTCTCAACATCGAGAAAAGCTTGTGTTTCTTCTTTTGATCTCTTTGGATCTCATTATTAAATCTTTCCAGATCGAGCAATGATCGCTGCTGATCAAATGACTTCTTCATCTCTGTAATGGACTCCTCGTCCGATGTTCTATGTCTATCTTTGTATTGTTTTCTATCCTCTGAGGCTCCATCTTGTAATGCCCTGGATTCAATAGCTAACCTCTGCAATTTCATGTCTAAGGATTTCCTTTTAACACTTTCCAAATCAAATTCAATGCTCTCTGTGGTAGGTGGATTAATCAATTTCTTATTTTCAGTTGAATTTGCTTCATCCTTTTCTAACTTTCTATTTTGAGTTGCTGAATCTTGATACTCATGTGGATTATTTTCCAAATATGGTGATGATAAAGTTGATGTTGTAGCTGATAAATCAATTAGAGAATTGTCTAATGATTTCTTCACTGGACGTGGTGGTACCTCTGGTAATGATTTAGTATCTTCATCCAATATACCTACATCTTTATTGGGATTTTGATTATATTGCTCCTTGTACGGATGTGGTGGTACAGGTGGTGGTGATGAGAATGATAAAGCTGAAGAAACTGAAGTTATTGATGATGCTGGAGAGAAAGAATTTTTGTATTGTTTCGCTATGTCTTGTTCATTATGTGGTGCTAACGCAGATTGCATATCTATTGCCTGTTGTGCATTATTCACCATGGTAAGGTATTTATTTTGATGTATGGGTTGAATAGGAGTAACTACTGGCATCTGTGAATTAATTAATACTTGTTGTTGTTGTTGTTGCTGCTGCTGCTGCTGCAATTGCAATTGTGGTTGCGGCTGCCGATACTGATAAAGAACTTGCTGTGCACTGCTTCCATCTACAACATCATAATTCATTTTAGGGAATGGATTATTTGATTTATGCTGTTTTAATGTAGCGGTATTAGATTGTGGAGCAGAAGATGGAGAGGTAGTAGTAGGTGGATTAATATATTCTACACTGACATACTGTTGTTGACCCACCTCCTCAGATTTATGCTGCTGCTGCTGCAATTGTTGTTTTATTTTGTCTTCATGTTTTTTATCAATATAATCATTAAGTTCATCCACAGAAGGAAAATACCTTTCACCTATATCGGTCTCTTGGTTATTCATTTTTTGTAATTCTTCCAATCCTTTCTCTGCAGTGTTATTGTATATTGGACTATTGATGGTTCTAGTATTCATATCTTTTAATTCAGATTCTTTCACTGTTGTTGTTACTGTTTCATTTGGTTGTTCAAGATTCTCTTCATATTCCACTGGATTAGCTTTCACATTTGTAAAATCTGTCGTTGTCTTTATAGCAGAGGCTCTTTGTGGCACGGGAATTGATGGTAACACATTGAAAGAATTAACATATAATTGATTCAGGATATAGTTATCCTCTTCAGATAATACCCCACTTTGTTGTCTCAATTTATTTTGTAAATTAAAAATTTGTAATTGAAGATTCTGTGAATTTTTTTGAAACCACATATATTGATCATAACTATATGATCCAATACCATATTTATCAGGTATAGGAACCGGACATTGAAGAATTTCGCATAGCTGATACATTACTTGATAGATGTTAGGTCTTAAATTTGGATTTTCCGATAACATAATGATAATCAAATTAATCAATTTTGATGAATATTTATTATTTGGAAATTCAAATTTTGAATGTAAGATTGCAAACTGTCCAGTTCTTTCAAATGGAGTAATAAAAAACAACAATTTGTAAAGGAAGACACCTAATGCCCAAATATCCGATTTTTCATCAATTGGAAGACATTTATATAAATCAATCATCTCTGGAGACCTATATTGAGGTGTTGTGTGGACATAGATATCATGAGATAAAATGGCTATATCGTGGTGTGTTGTCACTACGGGGAAAGTAGTTGAGGTAGAACCAAAATCACATAATTTAAAATTATTTTGTTTATCAACCAAAACATTTTCTATTTTAATATCTCTATGGATTAAAGGTATATCTAAATAATGCATCTGTGATATTGCTAAAGTTGTATCATACATAATCTTCAAAATTTCCTTTTCTGACAATTTTGTTGCCAACCGTTGATTCATATAATCCAATAAAGATTTATTGGGACATAATTCCATCAATAAAAGAATTTCAAACCCATTTGGTGAATATTTTGTATATCTTTGTGCATTTGAATCAAATAATTGAATAATATTTGGTTTATATTTTAGCTGTTGCATGACATTTACTTCATTTCTTAGTTCATTTAAACCATTGTTGTCTTGTACTATAACCCTTTTTAAACATGCCAATTCACCTGGCTGAAGAAAAGTGTCTTTATATAAATCTTTGTTCTCGATAGTGTTACCATCCTCAACGGTATTTTCCTTATTTTTACTATTATTTTCCATCAAATTGACATTAATCAAATCAATAAATTTTACTTTATAAATTTGGGAAAATCCACCTTCTGCTATATAATCAACAATTTCCACCTGATGTTTCCCCACTGAAACAATAGTACCATTTGAGAGTTTTTCAACCTGAGGACTTGTTATGGTTGGATTACCACTTATTAATGACATTATGGAAAAAGTATAATACAGTTATTGATTATTATTGAATATTATACTTATCCTCTATAAAAGAAAAAAAATACCCTTTTGGTTAGTATATGTTGAGTATATCTTCGATAATGAAAAAAAAAAAATTCAAATCAAATCAAAAAGTAGAAAATCAAACTATCCTCCCTCTTTCTCCTTTAGACACTTTTTTTTTATTTTTCCTTCTCTTATTTGATTTTCACTAAATGTTAATACTGTTAACTTTTTAATTGTATTATATGAGATTTAATATATTACTATATATTTCACAATTGTGAATAAATGACTTTTTATTATATCATTTAAAACTCTATTAAATGCTTTTCATATTCTCTTTGTCATTTTATTATAGTTATAAACGCAGGTAAAATGAAAAAAAAAATTCGGAATCAAAATAGTTGAAATAAACATTTAAATGAACAAAAAACGCCTCCGACGGTGCTCGAACACCTACCTGCCTGGCTTAACACTAATGGCTACAAATTACGTGTGTCCGAATCTTCTAAGTTGCTATAATTTTGACTCCTCATCAAAAAGCTTCTTCAACAAAAGGTCTCATCCGTTTAAACTTTCTTTTTTATTTCTTTACTAGAAACCATCTCCAATATAAAACGTATTCAACATGAGGAAAGACATTTGATTCCTAACCACCTTTGACAAATAGAAATTGTTTATATAAAATTTCTTTGTATCTTTTTCGTCTTTTCTTTCTTTTAGATGTCTCACATCGGATGTTGAATTACTTCTTCCATATAATGGGAAAAAAAAATTACACTACATTTCTTGAAAAAGATACACACATAGTCTTAAATGAAATGCAAGGGAATAAAATGAGACATATATGTTTTTGGTCATTTCATCCGCACTTTATGAAAATTTCTAGGAAAACTATAATAAACCACAACATACATACGTGTGTAACTGTAATAACGATTTAACATTCTAAAATTTTTACCAAATATATATTACATTGATACAGCCAAGATGTTGATATTTAAATCCAACACTTAACTTTTCCAACAGTAATGTTAGAATTTTTACAAGACGATTTAAATATTATCGTTTTATATATCTTTATATTGTGGTTCATGTTTAATGTTCAAATACGCAACTGATAATTAAACATGTTAAATATAATTTATTTACGATAATTTATTGTATATTTATTTGGAAAACACAAAAAAACCCCTTATTCACTTGAAAGGTAAAAATAGATATATTGTTAATAGTTCGGATAAAGTTTACCAGTGTTTAGTATTCAATCTGATATTTAATAACCTTTAAAAAGGTATTACATGTACACACACTCATATGATGTGAAAATATTTTGTTACATTTCTTAAACTATATAGCACCAGTTTTCTTTTTTTTTTTTTTTTTTGACATATAAATAAGTTATTTGGAAGCACTCATTACACTCATTAGTAAGACCAAAAAAAATGAATATCTTGTAAAATATTGAACTATTATTACTACTTTGTAAGTGATATTAAAAGGCGCTTATTATTTCCAGATTTATTATTCCAGCATCGCATTCTTTTGGTGACAATAACAAGGAAAACACAATTTTCATGTGTACAAGAGAATTAGGGTTCCAAGAAATTTGTTCTGGTAAACAAATTTTTTACTGGGGGGATATCATCAAATCGCCGAATTATAAAAGAAGGGTTTGAACAAAAAAAATGAATGTGTTTTCTGGAAATATTTCTTTTTTTATTTTCATTTTCTGCTTTTTCTTTTTTTCAGATTTTTAAACTTTACTTTTTTTCCTTTATGATCTTGGTTTCGTGCAAAGTGAACAATATGAAAAAAATTTTTTTCTTTTTCCTTTTGTCATTTCTTTTTTTTTTTTAATTTTTTTTTATGTGCTGAAAAAATCCTCGAAGACAAAGTGAAAAAATTCTGCGATGAATCCAATGGAAAAAAAAAAACATTGAAAACATTAAACTATCATCATTCTTGATGATTATATCTCATATATATAAACCTTTACCTCATTGCCCTCTTAGCTCCAAACTTAATATTATAACATGTGTTGGAGATTAATTATTTTCTCCGGTGCTTCTTTTTCTTTTTTTTTTTTGTTTCTGTTTTTCATTTGGGTTAACAGACCTGGATTCCTCTTCCATCTTTTCTTTCTTGATATATATATATATTTCCTTTTTGATTTATTCTTGTGCATTCTTCGAGTCTAGGAAGAAGTAAAAAAACAAAAAGATAAACCAAAAAGAGGTCTTACAACCTTTGTTCTACTTCATTAAACCATTCCCCACTATCAAACATAACAATCATGTCTCAAGAAGAAGTTGCATCAGCTACCCAGTCCGTAGCTAACTTGCATTTAGATGAAGTCACCGGTGAAATGGTTTCTAAATCTGAATTGAAGAAACGTATCAAATTAAGACAGATTGAAGCCAAAAAAGCTGCAAAGAAGGCCACTACCCAACCAAAACCTGCTCCAAAGAAGAAGAAGAACGATTTGTTCGCTGATTTAGATCCATCCCAATATTTTGAAGCCAGATCTAGACAAATCTTAGAGTTAAAAAAGACCCATCAACCAAACCCATATCCACACAAATTTAATGTTTCCATCTCCAATCCAGACTTCTTGAAGAAATATTCCTATTTGAAAAGGGGTGAAACCTTACCAGACGAAAAAGTTTCTATCGCTGGTAGAATCCACGCAAAGAGAGAATCTGGTTCTAAATTGAAGTTCTATGTTTTACATGGTGATGGTGTTGAAGTTCAAGTTATGTCTCAATTACAAGATTATGCAAACCAGGATCAATATGAACAAGACCATGACTTGATTAAACGTGGTGATATCGTCGGTGTAGAAGGTTACGTTGGTAGAACTCAACCAAAAAAAGGTGGTGAAGGTGAGATCTCTGTCTTTGTTACTCGTATCCAATTGTTGACTCCATGCTTACATATGCTACCAGCTGACCATTTTGGTTTCAAGGACCAAGAAACCCGTTACAGAAAGAGATACTTAGATTTGATTATGAACAAAGATGCAAGAGGCAGATTCATTACCCGTTCCAAAATCATCCGTTACATTAGAAAGTTCTTGGATGACAGAGATTTCATTGAAGTTGAAACTCCAATGATGAATGTTATTGCTGGTGGTGCCACCGCTAAACCATTCATCACCCACCATAATGATCTAGATATGGATATGTATATGAGAATTGCTCCAGAATTATTCTTAAAGGAATTAGTTGTTGGTGGTATGGATCGTGTTTATGAAATTGGTAGACAATTCAGAAATGAAGGTATCGATATGACCCATAATCCTGAATTTACTACCTGTGAATTCTATCAAGCTTATGCAGATGTTTATGATTTAATGGATATGACCGAATTGTTATTCTCCGAAATGGTTAAAGAAATCACTGGTAGTTATGTCGTTAAATATCACCCAGATCCTCATGATCCAACTAAGGAATTAGAATTAAACTTTGCAAGACCATGGAAGAGAATCAACATGATTGAAGAATTAGAAAAGGTCTTTGATGTCAAATTCCCACCTGGTGATCAATTACACACCAAAGAAACTGGTGAATTCTTAAAATCTCTATTAATTAAACATAAATTAGACTGTCCACCACCTCTAACTAATGCTCGTATGTTAGACAAATTGGTCGGTGAACTAGAAGACTCCTGTATTAACCCAACATTTATCTTTGGTCATCCACAAATGATGTCTCCATTAGCCAAGTACTCTCGTGACATGCCAGGTTTATGTGAACGTTTTGAAGTTTTTGTTGCTACTAAAGAAATTTGTAACGCTTACACTGAATTAAACGATCCATTTGATCAAAGAGCTCGTTTCGAAGAACAAGCCAACCAAAAGAGTCAAGGTGATGATGAAGCTCAATTAATTGATGAAACCTTCTGTAATGCCTTAGAATATGGTTTACCACCAACTGGTGGTTGGGGTTGTGGTATTGATAGATTAGCCATGTTCTTGACCGACTCTAACACCATTAGAGAAGTCTTATTATTCCCAACTTTGAAGCCAGATATCTTAAGAGACGAAGCTGAAAAGAAGGCTGAAGCCAAATGAACTACCATTATATCTCTTAATTAGTAAATGGTTTTTGCAACTTTATAACACTTTTATTTTTTTTCCTTGTATTTCATTATCTTTTTAATTTAGATATAAAATTGTAGATATATAACTATAAATAGGTATATAAGTATATAATGTAATTTTTAGAAGTAAGTTATAATAACAACAGTAATAACAACAATTAGATACATTTATGACAAAAAAATTGATAACAACTTGATGTCTGAAATATATTGTTAAAGTATGGAGGAGAACAAATTAAGTACTTCAATTAATATATTATTGGATATTGTTATTATTATTATTTTATAGTTATATATATATATACTATTGTACAGTGGTTGTTATTAGACCATTATGATATTCCTATAGAAAAATTGTAAAATCGATAATAGCTGCTTCTTATTTTATTCTTTTTCAAATTTCTATAATAGTTTTAATATGAATTTAATGAATATTAGTTATAAATGCCGCTGATTTTTTTAACATTTTGGTTGAATAATAACAGTTGTTTCTAAAGTAGTGGAACTACTGTATGCATGGAATGGATCTCTACGAACACTCTTTTCCAAATCATGTTCTGGATTTTCTGCTTTTGATTTATTTTTGAAATATAATCTTTTACCCCATTTGTAAAATTCACAGAAAATCCAGAAGACCACAGTAAATGCGATGGCAACACCCCATTCATAACCGATACCTTTATGCAAAAACACCTTATCATTAATAACTGGGATATAAACTACAGGGAATGCTGATGCAAAACCGAAAACAATAGACCAAAATAAAAATTTGTTTCCCAAAATATCTCTAAAAAATTGTCTAACTGGTTCATCTGTTTCTGGTTGCATACGGAAAAAGGATCTACGTAAATCAACAACCTCCCAAGCAAGGATCAATGCACACCAAGTCATTGTTGCAAAGGCACCAGAACGAGCTCTAAAAACATAACGGCATGATTCATTGTATGACTTGTTACATTGATAGCCCAATTTACCACCATCGTGACCATAAATAATTGTGGTGAAAGTCCCCATACAGACACCAGCCATGAAAATACCGTAACTAAACATATCTATAATAATTTCCCATGTGAAAATGCCATCCTTTGAACTGTTTGGTGGTCTTTCCATTAGATCCGGTGCTGCTTTTTCTAAACCCAATCCCATGGCAGGGAAACATGAAGTCACCACAATGACCCATAGCACTTCAACTGGTGACAGTGGAAACACAGATTTTCCTTCTTCATCCTGGAAAGCTAACCCAACTATTAAATATAGGGCCTGTGCTACATTTTCAGCTAACAATTGTAGCACAAACTTTTGAATATTATCACTCATTCTTCTACCTTCTTCGACAGCATTCAAAATAGAAGCGAAATTATCATCACTCAAGACGATATCTGATGCATCCTTAGCAACATCTGAACCATTAATACCCATTGCAATACCGACATTAGCCAATTTTAAAGATGGAGAATCATTAACACCATCACCAGTCATTGCACAGAATTTACTCCTTCTGTGTAAAGCTTCTATCATTCTAACCTTAGTCTGTGGAGAACAACGAGCAATGACTAATGGCAATACAGGCATAGAATCGATTTCCTCATCACTCAACCCATCAAATTGTGAACCAGTCATGACCATTACATCAAGAACTTCCTCTGGATAGTGGTATAAGTTGACAGGCAAGATACCGACTTCTTGAGCGATAGCTTTTGCAGTACCGGGGAAGTCACCAGTTAACATATGAACATTAATACCAGCTTGGTGAAACATTTTCACGGCGCCTGCAGTTTCAGGTCTTGGTGGGTCATAGATACCAATCAATCCAATGAAAGTCAATCCATTTTCAACAGCTGGACGATCAGTTAATAAAGAATGCTTCTCATCTTCAGTCACATTGTCTTTATTGAATGATTTTGTGGCAAACACAAGAACTCTTAAACCTTCTTGAGATAATGTGTCGATATTCTTAGAGATGAATTTTTTGTCAGTATCTGTCAATTGTAGTAGATCATCACAGGAATCACCGTACCAGTACTTACAACAACCAATAACACTTTCAAAAGCCCCCTTTGTGTAGACTACAATATCGTTTGTCTCATATGATTCATATACGGCAGACATTCTCTTAATAGTGGAATCAAATGGGAATTCAGCAAGATGTTTAAATGGAAATTTTTTATTATAAGCCTCATCATTCTTTTCTTGGACATTTTCTTCCTGGAGATGGTGGGTTCCATCAGAAACCTTTTCACCAGTCAATTTTCTTCTTGGTAAATCTAATTTAGTGGCAAAGACCTGAATAGCAATCTCAGTAGGATCCCCATGAGCTATCCATTCTCCAGTTTCATGATCTTTAAAGACGTTAGCAATATTAGCCAAAGTAGCCGCATGGACCCATTTTGTAAACAGTCTATTATCAATATCACTAGGCAATTGATTATTATAGTATTTATTTTTAAAGTCTGTTAAGATACCGACATCCTGTGAATCATCATTTTTGAATTCTTGTGGAGAGATTCTTGGTATGAAATTTATATCACCGACGGTTGGATTAAATGGTTCCTTTGAATTTTCCACCATAACTGTGCCGAATCCGGGGACCCATACACGTTTAGTAATCATTTTACCTTGAGTTAAAGTACCCGTCTTATCTGAGCAAATATCATTAACTGCACCCAATGCTTCTAAAGAATCCAATTTTCTGATAATAACATGCCTTGAAGCCATGACAGCAGCACCAACAGACATAGTGATTGTTAAAACGACAACCAATGAGGAAGGAATCATAGACAAAGCGACACAGATAGCATAAATGGCAATACCCCGATCAACCTTAAACTTCTGTGATGCCATAACCACAATTGCAAAGATTACAGCGACACCAAACAATAAAATGGCTAATTTAGATAATTTACGATGTAAAGGTGTGCCAACAGTGGTACCCAAGAAAGCACCAGAAGTTTGTTTCAAAGAGATCCAACCATTCAACCACCAAGTCTTCGATGGGTCCTTGGAGATTAAGCTTTCTTCACCTTTTAAAGATTTGGCAATCTTACCAATCTCAGTGTTCAAACCGGTACGAATAACAATCCCATGAGCACGGCCTTTAACCACGATAGATGAAGCGTAAGCCAAATTCAATCTATCACCAACAGAGGTATATTTATCCTTTTCATAAACTATGTTAGAGTCTTTGCTAACAGGTAAGGACTCACCGGTCAATAAGGCCTCATCAGTCTCAAAATTGTGAGTATTAAATAACCTTAAATCTGCAGGCACAGTGTCACCTACCTTAACAGTGACTATGTCACCAGGGACCACATCTTTGGAAGGAACAATTGTAGATTTCCCATTATCTCTAATAACATGGGCGTTAGGAGAACTTAATTGTTTCAAAGAATTCATAGTCTTTGAGGCTTTATATTCCTGGAAAATACCTATAATGACGTTGATTGCAATAACGAAAGTGATAACTCCACCTGTGATCCAGTCATGTATTGCAAAGGAAATAATCATTGAGATGACCAAAACCAGGATCATGGCATTACATATTTGGTGAATCACCATAGCTGTGTAGTCAATCTTTGTATCATCACCAAGAGAATTATCACCGAAGTGATGTAGTCTTTCTCTAACCACATCTTCTTTCAAACCTTTATGAGCATCTGTACCTAAAAAACTGGCTGTTTCATCGACCGATAAAGTATGGAAATCATTGAAGTTTGCATCAAAAGTGTTCATACCACACTCAATAATATATATTTTCTATTTATATTTGTTTTCTGTTAAATTAATAAACTTTGATTTGTTTCCTGTAGTAGTCGTAGTCGTAGTAGTAGCAGTAGCAATAATAGTAGTTTTAAGATAAACTTAAGTAGTTAGCTATATATATTGTGAAATAAATAAGTTAAGACTTGTGATATTTTCACGTTATACGATAGAAATAAAACACTTATGTTTGTGTATATGTATATATATGTATATGTATATATGTATATAACCAGACTTACCCGATCTAAACAAACAGACGAATAAGAACAAATCTAGAACAATTCAAAGAGGAGAACAAGAAAGATTAGTCAGCAGAAGAAAAGGGGAAGTAGTAAAGGGTGAAGAATAAACTCAAAACTCCGAACAAACTCAGAAATCGATGGGCCTTATATATACTTCTCTTGTGCAATATTTGACACCAAGACACTAACTAAACATTGATAAAGTAAAGGGTGACGTCATCCCCTTCAAAATCTTGCGATAAAGAAAATTATTAATTCAGTCAACAAGAAGAATAAATGAAAAAACAAAAAAAAAAACAATAAAACAAAGCAAAAAAGTGGCTTTAATTCAAGGATTTGGGATACTGCATCACTTATTGACGCCTGCTCGATCTCTTGCTATTTTTTATTTTTTATTTTCTTTTTTCTTTTTTTCAGCCTTAATGTGGAGTCTAATATCCAAATACAATAAAAATACACACTGGGTTATTGTAAAATATCACAATAGAAATTAATAAATCATCAACATGATGCTATTGTTTTGAGGGTTTGTGTGCGTATGTGTCTGACGGTAAGTTTTAGCCGTAAATGCGGAGAAATAGGGTTTGTTTTTGTTTTGTATATTAATTTTTATTGTTTGTATTGTTGATACATCTAGCCGTTCTGGAATCACGTGGGCCGTTCGAATTTGTTTATTTGCTTATTTTCTTTTTTTTTTGTTATTTTTTATTTTGTAGGATGTCTTAGAGATTGTTTTGTCGGAATAAATGGAAAAAGAAAAAAAAAAAATAAATAAAAAGAGGAGAAAATCTTTAGTTATTGTTTTCTGGCTGACCCGTGTCTACTGCTTAGGTTTTTATTGCAGGGGGGGGGGGAAGAGTAAAAACCCTTGCTCTCTCTTTTCTTCTTCCCAAGAAAATTTACTCTACTTTTATGACTGTTTCCTCAGTTCGATCCTGGCAAGTTTCATTTTTTAAAAACAGGACATTTTATTTTTTTTTTTTGTAATGAAAAATCCTCAATAATGAAAAGATTTGAAAATATTACTACAAAAAGGATTAATGATAAGGGAACCATAAAGAACAACATAGATACACCAATACATAAATATACTTATACCTCCAGCTCTACATAACAAGTCAAACTAATTTTCTTTTTGTTTATTTAATTTATTTTCTTTTTTCGTGTGTCTCTTACTCTTCATTATTATTATTATTCACATATGTTAAAATTCAAAATTCCCTCATACTATGCTTCCTCCTATTCGCTATTCTTCAGACCTTTGATACGGTATCAATCCAACTTAGCTAAAGATGTTTCCACAGGCAACAGCACTGCTCCTATAACCACTTCAAACCTCACTAGTATAGCATCAGCCCCTAAATTATCTATCAATTCGTCAGATGTGTCAGCCCATGAAGATTTACCAATCAATCTAAAAGCTCTTTATTTTCCTCCAATAAAACTGCCCGTCAAATACGGTCACTTGAAATTAGATATCCAACTTCGCTCGTATGAAGTCAGTTCCTTGGAATTCTTTGCAGACTTCATTCAAAGAGTCGCTTTCTATTTAGGCATCCCAATGACTGGTCCCAAACCTTTACCGAAGAGACACGAAACATGGACCGTGATTAGGTCCCCTTTCGTTCATGCCAAATCAAAGGAAAATTTCGAAAGATTCACATATAAGAGGTTATTGAGATGTTGGGATACAAACGATGCAGTTTTGGAACTTCTGTTGGCTTATATCTCTAAATATTCAATCGCTGGCGTCGGTGTAAAATGTAATTTATTCAAAAAAGAACCAATCACCATTAAAAATTGGGATGAAGATCATGTGCTGGAAGAATTAGATACTATTCAAGTCAATCTTCAGACCAACGCCGAAACTGGCGTCGAATTACAAGGGAATCAATCTAACAGCGTGGTTGATTCAAAGATATTAGAATTATTAAATTCCTCCAAAATCGAATAAAGATTGAAGACAAATAAAACAAACAAGAAAAGACAAACAATCTATGTAGAGCAACATATAGATAAATTTTTACCCCACCTGTATATATGTATATATTTCATCAACAAAAGAGAGAAAAGAAAAGATCATGATATTCACTTAACAAGGAAAACGAGATACATTCTCATCCAAGATTCGTATAAATAGATTGGATCAACTACTGGAATTCTGGATCAGGGTTAAAAAGCTATGTCAAAGTTAATAAAATTTCCACCTGTTAAATTGTTTGGATTCGGTTGAAGAAATTCAAGTTGTTGTTGTTAGATTTTATCATCATTCAAAATTCCAAAATTAATCCAATGAATTTATAGAAAATATGAAAATGTACACACACAATTTTTATCAGTTAACCTTCTTATGGTACAAATGTCTACGCAGAAGGACACCGTGTTAGCAAAAAAACTACTCTTACTTAAAACTCCATGGATGAAACGAAAAAAGTAGTCACCCTATGAAAGTTAAGCATCGCGACAGAGCGGAAAGAAAAATTGAGGAAATCTACCAGTTCCTTCTTAATCTCTGCCTCTCTCTATATATATATGCTTATTTATTTCGTCTTCTTTCTTTTCGCTTTGATGAAAATAAGAAAAGAAAAAAAAAATATTTTCGTCACAAAGGAGATAATTTTATTTTTCGTGTTTTTTTTTTATTTTTTTTTCTTTAGGGCATAAGTGTTTTTGTAAAATTTACCATAAACAATATTATCTACTACTATTATAAATATCTGTGTCTGCAAATGTAGTGTGCACATAATATTGTTTTATATATTAGGTGGATGATCCAAGCGAACTTTGATTAACAAAAAGAACATTTTATTTTGTATTGTACTTCTATCTTGGAAAGCAAAATTAAAGATTGCTCTTAAGATTGGTGAAGTAATTTTACTATATTGTACTACTCTGTCTGTATTATCAAATATCGTTTCCCAATGGCAAGCTCTCTTATCTGTAATGTATAACAAAATGTCATAAGATAAGAACAAAAATGATTGATTTATCTTACAAGTTTACATGTATTATTTGTTTTTTTTTTTGAATACGTACGGTGTGAGACTTCACAAAAATAACAGAAAAATGAAATATAAAAAGAAAATATTTGTCTAATGATGGTATATCAATGTTTAACATCTCTCTATATTTAAAGAAACTGTTCATATATCACAGAAAGGTGATAATGTAATCAATATGACAAATTAATGTTAGTTGGTGATATCAAAAAAGTATACACTATATTGAAAAAAAAAACAAAAACAAAAAAAAGGTTTAGTTTCTCAGTAAATCTAGATGTACATATTATATACACTTAATAAAAGTCATAAAATACAAGTAACATTTATTAATAGGCTCACGCCTACCCATGATGGAATTATCGACATCTCCTTAAATGTTTACATCGTGTTTTCAAAAAAAAAATTTTTTTGAGTTGTTTATTGCAGACCGTGGTGATAGAAAAACTAGTAACAAGAATGTTTGTTGTGATGAAGTCACATGATTCTATATATTTGGACAGATAAAATAATACCAAAAAAAAATCTAGTCATCCAAATAACCAGAACACTCTGATGATGGAGGAATATAAAAGAATAATGTGTTGATTAAGCCATATAGTTATATTTTCATGAGAGAGAAATTCAACTCTTTTTTTATCAAATAAACATTAAATACAGATAGTATTAGTGCATTACCAAACCTGGGGCATCTATTAATACTACTTTATTTAATCTAGGGGAAATATTTATCCCATTTATGATCAATAAAGTAAAAAATTATTGTTAAATGATCTTTCGTAATGAATAAGTACCTACTGGTGACATATTAATGTGCATTTTACCTCTGTAAAAAACAGTAAAACACAAGAGAATTAATGACTGTAAAAATGAAGCATGTAATATAAACGATTAGCCAAAATAAAAATCAAAAAAGGCTTATAATGTAAAATACACAAATAAGGAACAAGTGACACATGATTAGATAGAAAGTAACTGATTGATAAAGTTTAGAAAATCACTGTAAAGCATATATTAAATCCGTTCAATTGAATATTAAACTATTCATTCTGCATAATAATTTATGTTGAAACCTTATTACTTGTCTTTTCATTTACTTTGGATCTATACTTTCCTATATGTATTACTAGTAAGAAATACTTGTATGTAGATCCTTTTTTTCTTTTTAATTCCCTTTGATTAAAACATTATAGTAAATGAATCTCCCTCAATCTGCGAATAGTTGATGATTATTCTATGGGGAAAATACCTATATTACTAATGTACGTAGGATTAAAAAAAAATCAGAAATCAAACTAAGATGAATCTATTCACCACAATTGTACAGCACTAAAAACATCAAACATAAATTCCAAAAGCGTTTTATAAGATATACATAGTATACGTGATTCTATTCACATATCTACGCGAACACCATTCTATATTATACATACACGTATATTCATATGCATTTACACGGTAACCAGTGGGAAATTACAGAATGTCCACAAAAATTTTTTAGTTATCATCAATAACAACCCGCAAAATAAAGTAACAAGAAACGACTAATAATCTTATAGAGAAGAGATATTCTTGTTAAATAAACAATTGTTGTAATGAACTTTAGCAAATCTCAACAAAATCTTCACTAATTCCTATCATTTCATGTGTATTTTTCGCTCTCTTGTTAAACTACTCGATTAATTAACTGTTTATCTACCTTTCATTCTATTGTTATAGTTTTGAACGAAATGCATTTTCTCGTTTAATTTTAATTTATCCAAGAACGAAAAATATTTTGTTTGAAGTACGGGGAAAAAGAAAAGAAACTATGGAAGTCGCTTGTGTTCGAGGAAACCACAGGCCGTTAAAAATAAAAAAATGAGAAAGAAAGAAATAAAAAGGGTTTATTAGTGTTATATATGGAGGCGGATACCTTATTTTGTACAATAGAGATTGTCATTTTTTCACTATATGGTAATATTATGTGTTTTGATAAACGTTAAATGCAAATGTCAGATATAATAGCCAAGATAAAATTGTATTATTACAATGGTTGTAATTGTTAACTAAGAGTTGAATCCATATGACAATAAGATGCTAATTTAAGCAATTTCAAGAATACACTCTTTGATATTTTATTTTAAACGAGAATAAGAAATTCTTGTATTGTAAACACTTCGGTAAACAAATACTACTAAAAAAATGTCTTTGTACTTTTTTTTTTTCTCTCTCTTCTCTCTCTCCTTACCTCTTGTTTTCAGAATTGAAAAGATAGGGTTTTCAAAACGTTAAAGAAAAACTACACCATTAACAGCACAACAATCCTTATGGTTTCTCTCATATTATATCTAGATTTGAGACGAATTATCCAAGAAAACTCGTCTCACCGTCAACTTTAAATAACACATTATATAGGGTTAGATTTTTTTTTCTATCTTTAACAACAAGTTTACACCGTTAAAGGAATTGAAAACATGCTGTTTCCACACAGCCCTCTATTTTGACTTTACATACTTTTTTTTATTTTTTTTTCTTTCATCCCCCCCTTTCCCAATTCTTTGTCTCTATTTTCTTCTGCGAGATCTCTTAAGGCAATATTCAACTATAATCTTGTCTTTTTTTTTTTTTAACGTTTGGTATTCATCAAAAACCAAGAATAAGTAGGAAACAATAACGAAAAAAAAAAACAAGGTCGACAAACACAAAGATGATAAACAAAAGTAAGAAAAAAAAGAACAAAACTAACTGTGTCGAATTAATATTAAGTAAATTTTTGGGTGATTATATCTGTTACCTATATAAGCGTTAGGTTTGGGGAACTTTCCCATTTCTTGTCTAACCCCTTTTTTCTACCCAAATTTATCATTAACTGTTAACACACAACTTTTTTGCGTGTGCGTTGCATTTGATAAGTCTATATTGTTCTTACTTTTCACCTAATTTATAGTCTCTCTCGAAAGGAAGTAAACCAATCGTCAAATCTCAATTGCATATCACTATCATGCCTGCTCCAACTGATTCCACACATGCTTCCATCAGGGAGAAGATGGAAGCTTTAATCCGTCGTAAACAAAAGGAAATTACTGAAGGTTTAGAATCTGTCGATACTGTTAAATTCCATGCTGATACATGGGAACGTGGTAATGACGGTGGTGGTGGTACCTCTATGGTTATTTCCAACGGTTCCACCTTCGAGAAAGGTGGTGTCAACGTCTCTGTTGTCTATGGTAATTTAACCCCAACTGCTATCTTAGCTATGAAGAATGATCATGCTGACTTGAAATTGCCAATTGATCCAGAGACTGGTTTACCTGTAGCTGAAGGTGTCAAATTTTTTGCATGTGGTTTAAGTATGGTTATCCATCCAAAAAATCCACATTGTCCAACTACCCATTTGAACTATAGATATTTTGAAACTTGGAATCCAGATGGAACCCCACAAAGTTGGTGGTTTGGTGGTGGTGCCGATTTGACTCCATTCTATTTATATGAAGAAGATGCTGTCCTATTCCACACTTTACACAAGAAAGCACTTGATAAGTATGACCCTGCTTTATATCCAAGATTCAAGAAGTGGGCAGATGAATATTACTTGATCAAACACCGTAATGAAACTCGTGGTATTGGTGGTACTTTCTTCGATGACTACAATGAAAAGGATCCTGAAGAAATCTTGAAGATTGTTGAAGACAGCTTTGACGCTTTCTTGCCATCCTATTTGACAATTGTCAAAAGAAGAAAAGACATGCCATTCACTGAGGAAGAAAAGAAATGGCAATTGATTAGACGTGGTAGATACGTTGAATACAATTTAATCTATGATAGAGGTACTCAATTTGGTTTAAGAACCCCAGGTTCTAGAGTTGAATCTATCTTGATGAGTTTGCCAGAATACGCTTCCTGGGTTTATGACCATCATCCTGCACCAGGTTCTAGAGAAGCTAAATTGTTGGAAGTTACTGCTCATCCAAGAGAATGGGCTGAATGAGGTAACAACCTTTTATAATCTTCGTTCCTTTTTTTATTTTGTTTAATGATAATGACAACTAATATCTGATCTTTACCTATTATTATTTATTTATATATTTATATGTTTATTTTTTTATTCATGGTTATAAGTATTCACATAAATAATTATTTATGAACTGATCTTCTTTGAATAAAATGAAAGAAATACTCAATTTAAAATATATTCTCTTGTTTCGTTCAACCTTCTTTGTGTATATACGTTAAATACTTAGTATAGAGGATGCAATGACTTCTTGTAGTTGAAGCTTTTTTCAAGGAACAAAATAACCCAACATAAGAAGAAATACAAATCAAGTAGTTGCGTATCCTTATATGCAATGAATTACCAACTAGCCAAGATGTTACCTCATTTTTTCGCATTATAATTGGTATTTGTCTTTATTTCTAATACTTCGATAATCTAGGTTAATTAATCTTACAGAAAAAAGCATTATTCTACACAATCTTAGCTTGTTCATTTACTTCTTGGATATTTTTTTTTACAAAAATCCCATAGTAAAAAATTTGTAACATGGGATAAATTAGTTGACTCGTTCCTAGACTCTTGCTTTATTGACTTCTCCCGTCTCCGATCTTTTATTTTTAATCCTCTGTTTTCTTTTTTTTTTTTCTGTTTCTTTTTTTGGCCTATGTTTTTCTCTTTTTCCCCTGTCAGTTGATTTCCCTTTGCGGACATTGATGAATAAGAATAAGCTGTGGAAATTTATTTGAAGATTCATCCTCGAAGAAAAAGGAAAAAATTAAGCAGCTTCTCGAGAAGTCATTATTTCACCTACTCAGTCACTCAGGCGAATATTTTAGTTTGCCCATAAATATTTAAGTAACAGGTCTATTTTGAGAACATGCACCAGTAAACGGTAGTTGTTCCCTACTTTCCCCTCGGTGTTTATTTTGATCTTCCAAACTTGCTTGCGTTTGTGAATTGTTTTGCTCTTCTTTGGCCATAGTTAGCTTAAAGATAGCCCTTATTTTTCTTTTCTCTGTGTTCTCACATCCCCTATCAATATAAAACATACATCTTCTTTTACTGTGTAAAACTTGTTTATACAGGTATACCCACTCATTACAATATATTCAAAGCAGCAATTAAGAATTTTAGCCATGTCTAACGAAGTTAAAACTGCTATTCTCTCTGTCTATGATAAAACCGGCTTATTGGACTTAGCTAGGGGTTTAACTGAATGTAACGTTCGTATTTTAGCTTCTGGTGGTACAGCAAACATGATCCGTGAAGCTGGTTTCCCTGTTGAAGATGTTTCTACTATTACACATGCCCCAGAGATGTTGGGTGGTAGAGTTAAGACATTACATCCAGCTGTCCATGGTGGTATTTTAGCTAGAGATATCCCATCTGATCTCAAAGACCTGGAAGAGCAAGATATTAAGATGATCGACTTTGTGGTCTGTAACTTATATCCATTCAAGGAAACCGTTGCCAAGATTGGTATCACTGTTCCAGAAGCCGTTGAAGAAATTGATATCGGTGGTGTCACTTTATTGAGAGCCGCCGCTAAGAACCATGCTAGAGTCACTATATTGTCTGACCCAAATGATTACTCTAAATTCTTAAATGAATTAAAGGAAAAGGGTGAGATATCTACTGAATCTAGAAACACTTTTGCCTTAAAAGCTTTTGAACATACTGCTAGCTACGATGCTGCTATCTCTGATTTCTTTAGAAAACAATATTCTGAGGGTAAAGAAATGTTACCATTACGTTATGGTGCCAATCCACATCAAAAACCTGCTCAAGCTTTTGTCACCGAACAAGAACAATTGCCATTTAAAGTCTTAAGTGGTTCTCCAGGTTATATTAACCTATTGGACGCTTTAAACTCTTGGCCATTAGTTAAAGAGTTATCTGCTTCTTTGAACTTACCAGCTGCCGCCTCTTTTAAACATGTTTCTCCAGCTGGTGTTGCTGTAGGTATTCCATTAACTGATGTCGAGAAACAAGTATATTTTGTTAACGATATTGAAAATATGTCCCCATTAGCTGCTGCTTACGCTAGAGCCAGAGGTGCTGATAGAATGTCATCATTTGGTGATTGGATCGCCTTATCTAATATTGTTGATGTTCCAACTGCCAAAATCATTTCTAAGGAGGTTTCTGATGGTATCATTGCTCCAGGTTATGAACCAGAAGCTCTTGAAATCTTAAAAAAGAAAAAAGGTGGTAAATATTGTGTTTTACAAATTGATCCAAACTATACACCAGATAACATTGAATCTAGACAAGTTTTTGGTGTCACATTACAACAAAAGAGAAACGATGCTATTATCAACCAAGCATCATTCAGAGACATTATATCACAGAATAAAAATTTAACTGAACAAGCTACAATTGATTTAACTGTTGCTACAATCGCTTTGAAATATACACAATCTAATTCTGTTTGCTATGCAAAGAACGGTATGGTTATTGGGTTAGGTGCTGGCCAACAATCAAGAATCCACTGTACAAGATTAGCTGGTGATAAAGCCGACAATTGGTGGTTCAGACAACACCCAAGAGTCCTAGCTTTCAAATGGGCTAAAGGTGTCAAGAGACCGGAAAAATCTAATGCTATTGATTTATATGTAACTGGTCAAATTCCAACTGAAGAACCAGAAAAGTCTGAATATGAATCCAAATTCGCTGAAGTTCCAACTCCATTAACTGCTGCAGAAAAAAAGGAATGGTTATCTAAGTTGACTAACGTCTCTTTATCATCAGATGCATTTTTCCCATTCCCAGATAATGTTTATAGAGCTGTAAGATCTGGAGTTAAGTATATCGCTGCTCCATCTGGTTCTGTGATGGACAAAGCTGTTTTAGCTGCTGCTGATGCCAATAATCTAGTTTATGTTGAAAATGCTTTCCGTTTATTCCATCATTGAATAATTTCATAGACGTTTTTATTTCCTTCCTTTCTTCTTTTCCATGTTTTTCAACGCATTATTAAGTAATAATCTCATTTATTAAATATAGATAATGTAAATCTATCAATGCAGATATTCGTTATGTATTTATATAATTTAAGATAAATAGATGTTAAAGTATAATAGATGGTGATGGTGATATCAAACAGAAAAATGATTAAGGTAAACGCAATACAGTGTATTTCTGTATCGGCATTGATATTCTAATTTATTGTATTTCAACTTTACTGTAACCAGAAACACTTTGTCGACAATATACACATCTTTCATAACCTCTTAACGCCAAGGAAACCCGACAATTCTCGCATAATGCAAAACATCTACACGGCCATAAAATTATACACCTTTCATTAGTTTTGCAAACAGCACATGGTAAATCTAAAGTCTTATTATGAAACATATGTGAATTACCATCTGTAAGATTTCCAATGCTAAAAATAGAATTGTTTCGTGCTTTCATATATTGAGATCTAGTCATTCTTTGATCTTCCATTAAATGGGCTCCAATAATAGGAGTCACTTCCCTTAACCAATATTGTTCTTTATCCTCCTCTTCTTGTCTACCGTCTTTCATAGCACCTATATCAGCAGTCAACATTAAATTCAGCAGATCCATGTCATCTTCTACTTGATCATCGAAATTATTGTGTTCTATTATTTCATCCTCTTGATCAGATAATACTTCTTCTAATACATAATCATCATCTTCTTCCTCAACATATACTGCACACTCTTCATTAAGAGAAGCGACTAATTGATTCCCATGCTCATTTAAGCCAGTGTTATATTCTAGAACGGTGTTGCTAAATCTTTCTGGTTGGTTGGAACCCAATTCTTCATCGTCTTGTCTATTAGAAAATCTAGAAATGGTATATCTCCATATTATTTTACATATATTCCAACTTAATGGGAGTGTGAAAAAATGATACTGATTAAAGTTGTGATGACCGGTTCCACTAGTGTCATTGATACATCTGTTCCACAAACTAATGGATATATTAGAATCGATTTCAGCTTTCGAATTGGTCGATGAAGACATTTTAATATTGTCTGGAATTAGTTTATTATCTGTTCTAATGACAATATGTGGTAATTCTCTATGGTAATAACGCAACTGAGTATTCTTTCTTGAATATATTAACTGAACAAATTTTTTAATCATTAATGAATAATCTTCTTCCCCAGTTAGATTAAGTTGACTCCACCAATTTTTCATAAACGAATAATATTGCAAATCAGAGATACGAACGTCTCTAGGATTTCTAGGGTCCCATCTTACTAATACTGCTAATAAAAAGCATGAAAGAGATAACACAGTCACTAAAGTACAAAATATTTTTGGGAAATTTCTGTATTGAATAATAAATGGGATATTTTCAATACCGTATAAAAAGCATAGTGTAGTAATGTATGACATATTGATAAATTCACCAACGCATGTAATATGCAAACGGTATTTCTTGATATTGAAAAGCTCCACCATATGAATAATTAGTAAATTAATCAAGGCCATACTAGAATCTGGAATAAAATACCATTTGAATCTTGCTAACTGTTCCTTAACTGAAAAAGACGGATTTAGAAGCCTTCTTTCCAAAAAATAATATTGTACAGTTAATTCAAACAACGAATATTCAGAACTTTCTAACGGTAATCTATGGTTTACTATACTAATAGTGGTAGAAAATGTATAGCCTATTACAAAAGCCATATATCTTTTAAAAAGACATTTTATTAGATCATTTTCAAAAAATGGGAGACATAGGGCATATATTAATATGAAAATATTACTCAGTTGAATAGCACGTTGTGTTCTAGTAGATAACTTTATTAGGTGTTTTCTTCTTGAATTCCTCAATCTTGTGTTATATAGTGGTGATCTAGATATAATAAATTCATTCAATATTAATGCTGTTAATAAGCATATTATGGCGTATTTACTGAAAACAAAAGTCAATGCAATATCAAAAAGTTTATTGTGTTGCCGATATGCTTCTTCTCTTTGTTCCTTAACTGCACATATTATAGATCTAATGAATTGATAAGGATAATTAATCAAAGATGAATATCTCCATGAAGGATCAATAATAAAATGATCCGTTTGATCTAAATACGAATGTATAATACGCATTCCTTCCAGAGTTATTCTAGTCATTTCTTGTTATTTACATGGTATGGTTTTGAAAGGTTTAAGGCAAAACATTAACACTTAGTTTCGTTAACATCAATTGGAAAAAATTTGTATGTATATATGTTAAGGAAGAAGTTTATCTGAATATACCTTTTTTTTTCTCTTCCTTTCCCTTCCTAAGATGAAAATGTTGAAATTACTTTAGATAAACTTATTAATGTAAGTACATACGAAAAAAGTACAGGCTTACTTGCTGAGGGAAATGATAACACAGCAGTGCAGCAAATTAGTCTTATGGATATGGTTATATTGATACTGATTTCAACTTAACATGAATGTTCAAGGGGAAAGAAGAAAGACGAATGTTTCACTTATTGTTATATTGTTTTATTGCAATATACTTTATACTGTCTATTTTACAAGATATTTCTTAAAAAAAGATAAAGAAGTTTATAAGTGGTTTATTTGTGTTGTTGCTACTAATGAAATATTTCAATTTATAAGCCAACACATCATCAACTAGTTTTGTGAGGTTACTGTAAAGTTTGCTGTTATTCAACAATATAGTCCATGGCTATATTTTTATTATAGAAAATTTATATATATAATATTAACAATTATGTAACAAATTTATCTTGGTTTTTCTGTCTTAACATTAAACTAGATAGCTCCTAAAATTTATTATTAACGGTTATTACAGTGTTAAAAGAAGGTCTTGAATACCGTTCATGACCAATAATGAAATAGAAGATAATTTTTTTCAATCCAGATCACCAGAAATAATTAATTGTCAAATACACTAGGTCTTTTCTAGTTACAAATCTCACAGCAAAGTTGTTATCAGTTGATTTCAAAAAATAATAAGTACATATATTCTATTTCTTTCTCTTTCTTCTAAAACATTTTTTTAGTCCTTTTTACAATACCCTGTTAAAATATTATTATATCACGCAAGTTTATATGCCATAAAGAAATTCTTCTTGGATAACAACATGTTGCAAAAAAAAACTGAATAAAATAAACTAAAAAAGCACATTAAATTCTATAAATGTTATATTAAGAGACATCGCAATTACACAAAACAATGTTGTAACAGATGAAGATTTATTACGAGAGAAATACTCTTCTAGAGGACAAAATTAGATAAATGATTCCTGGTTGTTTTCTATTTTCAATACGTAAACTACACTGTCTGCAAGGAGCAAGTCAACATATACAGATACACAGACACATAAAACATTTATAAACAAGTGTAATATCCCTGATATTATTGTTTAGGGTTTTGTTTAGAAAAATGAGGGTTGACGATATTTTTCTAAACTTTCCTTTTTACAAAATTTTACAAACATACATGAAAGCAGGAGTAACCAACATAAGTACAAGAGAGCAACCAAGAAGAAGGAACAAGGAACCAAGGACTACCTAGGTTTAGATATAGTACATAAGTGTATAACTATTAGGCTATCTGAGATTAGGGATATAGATATATAGACATATAGGAATATTACATCTAGAGATATAGAAAGAGTCTATATCTTATATCTATCCAAGTGAAATATTATTGAGATTTCAACAAGAATTACTGTTACCAGAAACACATAACCTCAGGGTTATTACAACAAGAAAAAAAAGGTATAAAACGCAGTGGATCGACTCATGATTCAGTAATATCGTCTACAGTGATATAAAAATAATATATGTCACAGATGTGTCGTAAAAAATAAATGGTTGCTAAGAGATTCGAACTCTTGCATCTTTCGATACCTGAGTGTTCCCATTATTTTAATGGTTAAGAACCTGGAGATTCTTGAATCAGGCGCCTTAGACCGCTCGGCCAAACAACCAGCTGCTCTTGTTTCTTGTTGTAGATCAACCTTGATATTATGATTGTAAAAAACGATTAGGGTTGAAAAATATTGTTAGGGTTTTGTGATGATTGTCAAGAAAAGTTCTAGTTTGGAATTATAGGACTTAGGGTTTGTTGATAAATCCCACATGATTGTTGAATACTATGTAACAAAATGAAACATTCATGAAACATTAAATAGCTAATTAAGGAGAAATGTATCTACGGTGACAGTCGTTACAGAACCTCAAATAAGAAACTATCAACCCATAGTTCATATATAAAGGACCAGTATCTTGGTATCTAAATTTATATGTTTGGTTGATTTATAAATATGTAGCACATTGTATAATACAAAAAAGAACAAGCAATAATCGTTTAATTTTCCTAGATATATATAACGTTCTTATATATTTGTTATTGCCCTTACTATTCGTTCAATAGTACTGTTAAGAAAATTGGTCCTAAGTCCAAACTATAACATTTCTTGTCGTAATATAAAGAGGTAACATTACCGAGATTACGTAAGATTTTATCTGAATCTAAAGTGATCTATTGTGTTTTAAGTATAATGTGTCCATTTGCCACCTAGTGTACAGCGTGTTCACATATCTTCGTTACTGCGCCACCATAGCCTATTGTCCTAAATGTTCTATGATCTTCGATTATATTATTGTAACTAATAATAAGATATGGATTACTAATTCATTAATATATCAAGTGGAATAGTTGATCAAATTCCAGAAAACATATAAAAGGACAACTTTTTCTGTAGATGGAACTATCTTCTGTCACTCCTCTCTTACACATAATTTATATATATTATATATAGAACAAAAAAAAAACAACAAGCAACCAACGAACAACATTGAACGCAGAATACAATAAGCAAATAGTATAATTATATAAGCTCGATATAGTCGTTAATATATAAGACCGTATTAATAATTGCATTACCGATTGTATTAATTATTGTCTCGATTATTAATAGATTATTCGTTTGATATTTCTGGCGCTTCCCTGAATAATACAAAACTCTGACCACATCATATCACAATACTTCTCTTTTTATTCAATGTACTTTATGAAGTAAGTATTTAATCTAATATTTTTATAACATTTTAAAAAGCTATAAAATAAATTAATAAATGTTGAATATGAATAAAGTACATCTATTTTAACTTATAAAATAAGAATATTCAAAAAATAATACAGAATAAATAATATTGTCCTTTTATAAATAATAAACAGTGATAAATTATTATAAATAATATCCCAAAAAAAGGAAACAACTGGGATCTATTATATTACAAAATATATCTTATTCAAAGAAATCATTGTAGATACATAAGGGCAATCATTTTTTCTATAACTTTTTATATGATTTAGTTAATATTGAATACGTGTATATAAATGGCAAAAACACTTTTTGAAAAACTTTGATAAAATGAAAAAGTTTGGAGAAAGTATTTTAGATAATGTTGTTTTTAGCAGATATAAACATTAATAAAAGTAGAATTATTTTTTAGAATTGGGAATAAGTCAAACCAACTTTAATAAATTATTCAGATTAACATATTTTACCTGTTAGAAAGACAGTTCTTTGAATTTTTTTTTTAATTCCATTATTTATCTTTTCTTTTTCAAGTTATTGATATAAGAAAGGATTTCTAAATTTTTACTTTCTAATAAATTGCATTATTATCTAGAATTTGTTGAAAAAAAAAGTAATATTTCTTCTTTTAAGTTGATACTGACTAATAAAACTTTTGTTTGATCATATTTAAAATTTAGTAAAGTTTAAATTTTTAATTATATATATCCTACTTACTATTTGTCCACAAAAAAAGAAGCATCAAAAACTTCTGAATTTGACCTATATCAGGTGCTAGTTAATAGATTTATTATTAGAAGATACACTTGATTATACTCCAGGGAAGCTTATACAAGATACTTTTGAATCTATCACCTACTAAAATTTGTTATTTTTTACATTCTACATCTTACTAGATGATAAATATCCTATTTAATTATAAATTTTAATTATACCTGAAAGATAGGATTGGTTTGTGGTGAAAAATAAGTAACAAGTTGATAAGGATAGTATAATAATATGGAAGTATTCGTTAAGTCGAACTATTCAAGGTGTAAAAGTGATGGTAAATTAAACTTAGAATGGAGATTTCAGCTTACATTTATAATTTTTATATAATAAAGTTGTCAAAAAAGTGAAAATATTATGAATAACTGTTTTAAGGTATTTGATATTGTTAATTATAAAAAAAATATGTTACTTGGTTATCTTAGCCAGTTTTTAAACACATCAGTTCAAAGGCCAATGAATTTCATTCACTAGATACATATAGTTGTAGTAAGACAATTCCATACAAAAAGACGGATTACAGAAAAGTGAAAAATGACAATAAAAAATACCAAAATAGCTGTAATCATGTTAATTTGCTTTTATTGGTGTTTTATGAAAATATATATTGGCATTTGAAAAATAGATGTGTAATATCTTAAACTAATTGGTTATAAATTTTACAAATTTTTTACCTAATATTTAATTTTATTTTTATAACAATTCTTTTTAGAAATAGACAATTTAAAGCTCTAAAATTATATTTTATTTTTGTTTGGAGTTTATTTTTTGATGAAGTGGTACCTTAACTCTAACTTAATTTACATACATATGTTTTTTCTTTTGTTGTTTATGAGCATCTAATTTCAATGAATGTGTGATAAGTTCATTGATTCTAGTATTTTTGAAAAAAAAAAACAAAAAAATATAAAAATAGAAATAAAAATCTTCAATGACACATATGTTTTAAGAAGCTATAGGTAACTAAAACGAAACAAGAACTACATTGCTAACTACCATATACTTCAACTTACTATTATGTCAAATAATTCTTCTACAAATGCAGTCCACAACAATAGTAGTTTATCGGATTTAATTGAGTTGATTAAAACTACAAGACAAGGGTTTATTATTCAGGAAGATTTGGATGCTATAACATCAATTAATAACAACATCAAACAAATTAAACAACTTACTGTTACCTTTTTGCAATCTAAAACAAAAGAAATAAATGTATTGCGTGGAAAAGTTGATAAGAATAACGAGAGGAATAACTCTATATCTGCGGATTTAGATTTGTCCAGGAATGAAGCAAAGAAATATGCTAATGAAAATGAAATATTAAGAGAGTATACTCATAAACTAAATGATACTAAAAATAAACAAGAAGAACTAAAGAAAAAAATTGATATGGTAACTGATGAATTGGCAACTTTACAGACAAATCGAACAATTGATCAAAATATGTCCAATAGTCAACTTAATAAGGGTAATGAAAGCATCTATGACTATGAATATTTGAAGAAAGGTAAAGAAATTACATCATTTGATGATATAACGGTTGACGAAGAGGATGATTTAGAATCGGATTATTCTGATGATGAAAAGGATCCTGATTATTATAAATTGGAAATTTTCAAATCAATGGACATTGTAGTAGATCCTGAAACAAGTGAAGTCTTTATATCTCGACAAGATGGTAAGGTTGATGTACTATCTTTAGAAGAAAGTAGAAATGATTTTTTCAATAACAAATTCGTGTGGGAAAGATTAAGCAAAGAATGATTAGAAGTTATTATCAAAGATTGTATATGATACATTTTATTTGTTGTAGATCATGGATCCTTATGTTTTGTTTGTTACTTGTTCATACTTATTATTAATAATAATTGGTGTATCTTAACATATGACATGGTACAACGAGATAACCTCCATTAATATGTTTCTATTTGTGGTGTATTGATGTATGTACAGTCCTGTAATTTTTTAAAATTTTTAGAAAGGACTCCACGTTTCGCCTCTTAATTATGTAAATTCGGTGAAACCAATGGCACGTTTGTCGCAAAAAAAAAAATTATGAAAGAGAGGTAGCGACGCAAAGAAATTTTTGAGTTTCGACGTCATAAGAAATTTTTTTTATTAATGTATCTGAAGAATATAAAAAAAGAAAGTTTATCTACTTTATGATCTGTCCTGGCTCTTTCGTAGGTGTTTCTTTTTATCGTTAATCAATTTCAATTGACTGAAAGTAAGCAACAGCAACACGAAAAAAATGGCTACTAACGAAGTTTTAGTTTTAAGAGGTACCTTAGAAGGTCACAACGGTTGGGTCACTTCCTTGGCCACTTCTGCCGGTCAACCAAACTTATTAGTTTCGGCTTCTCGTGATAAAACCTTAATTTCTTGGAAATTAACTGGTGATGACCAAAAGTTTGGTGTCCCAGTTAGATCTTTCAAGGGTCACTCTCACATCGTCCAAGATGTTACTTTAACTCCAGATGGTGCTTATGCTTTATCTGCTTCTTGGGATAGAACTTTAAGATTATGGGATGTTGCTACTGGTGAAACCTTCCAAAGATTCGTTGGCCACAAGGGTGATGTCATGTCTGTCGCCATCGACAGAAAGGCTTCCATGATCATCTCTGGTTCCAGAGACAAGTCCATTAAGGTCTGGACTATTAAGGGTCAATGTTTAGCCACCTTATTAGGTCACAACGACTGGGTTTCTCAAGTTAGAGTTGCTCCAACTGACAAAGAAGACGATGACACTGTCACTGTTATCTCTGCTGGTAATGACAAGATGGTTAAGGTATGTTAATAATTCTTTTATTTTACTATTTCATGATGATATACTTCTATTTTATTGATTCCATGAATGTGGTATTATTTTTTAAGTTTACACAGCAATTAATGATTGCAAATGATGTATGAATATATTTGCTACTTCAGAGGAGGCTATTTGTTTCCAATGAGATATTTCAATTATCACCAAGATCTCTGATGCGTCATTTATATGTGTAAGCTTGCGAATTTGTTACATTCATGGTACTTCGATAGATATGAAGGATACCGATAATAGGAAACTATTCAAGATATTGTTACTAACAAATTACTATTATTTTACATTATTTAATGTCGATTTTTTTGTTTTAATTAGGCCTGGAACTTAAACCAATTCCAAATTGAAGCTGACTTCATTGGTCACAACGGTAATGTCAACACTGTTACTGCTTCTCCAGATGGTACTTTGATTGCCTCTGCTGGTAAGGACGGTGAAATCATGTTATGGAACTTAGCTAACAAGTCTTCTATGTACACCTTAAACGCTCAAGACGAAGTTTTCGCTTTAGCTTTCTCTCCAAACAGATACTGGTTAGCTGCTGCTACTGCTTCTGGTATTAAGATCTTCTCCTTAGACCCACAAGCTTTAATTGATGACTTAAGACCAGAATTCGCTGGTTACACCAAGGCTAACGACCCACACGCTATCTCTTTAGCTTGGTCTGCTGATGGTCAAAACTTATTTGCTGGTTACACTGACAATGTTATCAGAGTCTGGCAAGTTATGACCGCTAACTAAGTTAATTAATTAATATTAACTTTGTGTTTTTATTTTTTAATTTCCGTTTAGGTATTGTGGTCTTCATATAACTTACATCATATAATATAACTTATTATATTATGTTTTAATCAATAATATCATTCTTAACTTTGCTTAATCTGCAGCATACTGTATAATATTCAAACTATATAATGATACTAAACGATAATCAATATGATAATGTTTAAAATATAAACAAATTGTAGTTGATAGCTATTTTGACAATAGTTTAATGGCGGTTTATTATCGTTTTTTTAGAAAAATATTATATTTAGTATCTTGTATGAAATGCTGTCACTACCCTCTGCTAAAAAAACGAGAGTAGTATGTAAGTTTAATTATACTTGCACCTTTTTGTATATTGTAAAACCTAACTAATTGTTTTTTGCGGCTCACTAATATGTTGTTGCTCAAGTCTTAGTGTTTGGACCTGTTCTAATTCTTTGCTTGCTTCATTGACTAATTCTTTGAAATCTTCTTCTTTGGCTAATGTTATTGCATCTTTAAGTAAACGTTCTGCTTGTGCTAGTAATCCATCATTAAGAACTAATACACCTTTTCCGTATGTAGATAGGGCAATGGCTTGTAGGATTGAGGTGTCTAATTGATCTTTTATATGATAACGTAATCTTTTATTTTTATTAAAAAAATTAAGTATAGAATCATAACATCTTTCTGTCATTTTCAAACAGTTTCGCTTATTCTTATTTAATGTTCTTAGAGCCTTAATTATTGTATCATCCTTTAATAAATCTGGATTTTCCTGTATTTTTGAATTAATTTGTTCAATATCAGCATCTAGTTTTTCCATTTGTAAGTAGAATAATGATCCTAAATTGGCTTGTGCCAATAAGATTTGGCCAGGTGGCATATCAGCCATTACCATCCATTCCACAGTTGTCATTTTGCAGGTTAATGCAGAAGCAATATCTTTACTTGAAAGGCAATACGCTGTATATAAATCCCTTGCAACAAATAATTCTTCTTTGAAGGGTTCCCAAGCACTTGAATTCTTATTCATATCTAGAATCATAAGTCCGTTATCCTCTTTGTCTAATTTAATATTTTCTTCATTGACAAATACTTGAAAGTCATCTACAGTTAGAGACTGGCCCTTTAGTAATTTGCTGGTTCTCTCTCTTTTTCTGTCAAAAAATTCCTTCAACTCTGGAGATTTCAACAAAATCTCTTCTTGAACTAATAACAGATGAGCTAATAGATTTTTTTTACCAAATTGGATATCCTGATTCAATTCTAATGATTTTATTAGAATTCGTAAGTCTTTACGGATTAATTCTGCCCTTTCATTAACACTGATTTTAGTAGAAATATCACTTCTATCACTTAATGCAAGATAGAAACGGTTCAAAATTTCATTATATACATCTTTACTTCTATCAAACATATTTAAGCGTTCTAACATTTCTGCAATCTTTAATTCAATTCTGGTATAGGCATCAGATAATTTACTTATGTGGTTTGGCATTTCATTCAAAGCCATAGCATAGTATTTCAATGCCTCTGAATAATTGTAATTTCCTTTATTACTTTCCATCCAAACTGCTTCTTTTAGATATTTGGATACTTCAGGATTATATTTATAATCTTTCAAAATACCTGTCTTGTCTTCATTAAATGTATCAAAATAAAAACCAGAACCAATCGTGAGTAACGCAGCCATTCCTATAATCAAATACCATTTAGAGGGATCTTTTTTTGATGGATTGGAAAAATGTTGAAGTAGTTGGTTTGGAGGTTTTGATATTTGTTGAAAAGAATTCCATTGTTGTGAATGGGTAGAGAAATGTTTTATTTTGGTATTTATTGAGGGAATAAGATTGTTATTAATAATGAGTCGTCTACCTTGTAATAATAGTCTTCTGTGGGCTATAATCATTTTTTTCTTAATTGTCAAAAAATTATTTTTTTTTCGTTTTCACAGTTTAGGTTTCCTTTCGAATTGAGCTACAATGATCTAATTGACAGATGGGATATCTTTCCTGTCTTTTAATATGTTTATCTATATTAGGTGAAAGGTTTGAGGGTGTTCAGATATTATTTTTTTAAATTTAATAATCATCAACTCACACCAAATTTTAAAAGAAGATTAAGACTCGGAAGAAAAGCGAAAAAAACATTAAAAAAAAGGAAGACCCTAACAAAATAATAACCTACAAGAAAAATTTAAGGAAAAATAAAGATTTGACCTACTTTTGCCGTTTTTATAGAAATCTTTGAATTCTTGAAATGCTTAGAAAGATTTCCATAGAGAACAGTCTTTAGAATATTTATACTACATTCTCAATTTTGGACTATCTAAATGACTAAAAGTAGAAATTAGGACTCAACAAATAGAGTAGGGTAGAATATATTCAAATAAGATTCTTTTCGAGATCTCCAAATCACTTTGTTATTTTTATCATTATAATACTCCTTTTTCTTCCTTTTTGAATTACTATGTGTGGAAGATACGCATTAGTATATGATGGAGATGAATTGGCAAGATATATGTCAAATCAGTTAAATCAGGTAGTCAGTCCATCTAAAGATAGTTATGAAAGGTCATATAATGTAGCCCCAACAAAGCATATGCCTGTTTATTTTTCTTTTAGTGCACATTTGGATAAAGGTGATAACCCTAAAGAATCAAACCAATCGGCAGATAATATTAATAATAAGGATAAGTGTCATATAGGTATTATGAGATGGGGATTTATCCCATATTGGGCAACAGATGAAAATCAATTTAAGGGGTATGCCACAATTAATGCCAGATTAGAGTCATTGAAGACGAACAAGTTGTATGGACAATCATTATCAACAAAACGATGTGTTGTACCCATCAGTGGTTATTATGAATGGAGAAACACAAATCCAAAGATTAATAAAAGAAATGGTAAAATTCCATATTATGTGACTAGAAGAAATAGTGATGAATTGATGTACCTTGCCGCGGTATATGATTATAATAAAACCCTGGATCTATATACATTTAGTATTATTACTGGACAAGCACCAAAGAATTTAGAATGGCTTCATTCAAGGATGCCATGTGTGTTAGAGCCAAAAACAAAAGCATGGAATATATGGCTAGAGAATTCAGAAAACATTGATTTGAATCAAGAAGAATTGGCAAAACTGTTGAGACCATCCTTTGATGAAGATTATTATATATGTTATGAAGTTAGTAAAGACGTTGGAAAAGTATCTAATAACAGATCTTATTTGGTAGAACCAGTACATTTATCAAGTAATATAGTAAAGAAAGAAAATAAAATAGATTCTTATATTGCAAACCAAAAGAAAGATGAAAAAATTGTTTTTCCATCAAGCAAAGAGGAAAATGATGAATGTAATATATTAAAAAGGGAGGAAGATGTAAAAGATTCAACAAAATTAGAAGATATAACAAGTTCTATTATCGTCAAGGAAGAAGAAGAGGAGGACAAGAAAGATAACTCTAATATGCCTTTTAAAAGAAAACGGAAACTTAATGTTATCGAATTATTACACAGGGGAAAAAAGAAAAAAGTTTGATAATTGATCATATTTAAATAACATTGATATTTTGATGACAAAATCACCAGTGTTTGAAAGAGAAAACGATATTGTAGAGTCAGGAAGAGGAATATGTACTGAAAATGAAGGGGAGGGGGACATTTCTATATTTCTTTATTTACGCTGTATTCTAATAACATTAATATATTCTAAGTACTATTTTTATATATTCAAGTTTTTAGATTAAAAATATATTGATTGGATCATTTATTTGCATCTTTAACTACATATATATACATATGTGTGTGTATGTGTGTATACGTTTATATTGGCTAATGTGTATTGCTATGTTTTCATGTTTTGATAGATTTTACCTTTCTCTAATGTGTGAAAATTGAAAATATTTCATTAGTCAAATAAAGATATATTTAAAAGAGAATACTGTGAAGAAGTACGTAGTCTTTGATCAATTTTGAAGAAAGAAATTTACACATACATGCATATGTATGTATATGTTTGCGTATGTGTGAAGAATTGATGGATATTTAATCTGGATGGCCCAATGCAATCTCCATACGTACAAGAAAGACTACAAGCTTTAGAAATTGTGGATTTGAAACTTTGTTCTATCCTTCAAGAAGCATCACAAGTGGTATCCACATACAGTAAGATTAAGAAAGGAAATCAACAATTAAGACCTCAATTTGCTAGACATGTCACACAGTTGTATAATGATCTAGGATACGTATCAAAAGAGTTAAGACAAGAGATTAAATATTTGAATGAAAATGTTGGGAAAAGACTGCTGCCTATTAATAATGTAAATAAAAGAGCTATACACCAAGATGATGATAAACTAAAAGAACAGATAAAAATTTTAGATCAGTTACTTAAAGCTCATTCAGATGAAAATCCAAGTAATTGAGTCTTTCGGATGTTTTTTTTAATTTATAATGGTGTAGGTAAGTATTCTATTATATATGTTATTTTATTTAATTTTGTATAGTTTTGGTGTATATTTAGTTGCAGGTTCCACAAGTAAATTTCAATTTATTAAATTGGTAGGTAAAGAATTGCTGAATTTTGTGTTTGTCCTTAAAGAAGATTGAATCTGAATCACTAGATTAAGCTTCTTTGTAGTACAATACTGGTTTTTCAGGAGAAGGAGGTATGATGAAAAATTTAAACAAAAGGAATGAATTTTTTAAGGATAGTTGGTCTCAGCCTCTATACATATCGACAGATATATAAAAAAACTGAGTTGTATATCCATAAGTATACATAGAAATAGATATATATTATCAAGATATTCCCTTAAATAAACAGATTATTGAAGTTGAAGACACTTTTTTGCTCATTTGATTATTAAATATAATAGTAATTTTCTAAAGAGAATTGAAAAGAAATTTCTGTAATAATATTTAAATTAATAATACTATTATGTCTACACCCTTAACCTTTACTCCAATTGCAGATATCCCATCTATTGTGGCTAAAGGAAAGCAATTCTATAGAGATAGACAATTAAATTTGTCACATGAAAGAAATGCAAGGAAAATCGATTTGGAATTTAGAATTAGACAGTTACAGAAATTGTATTACTCTATAAAAGACCATCAAGATGATATTATCAATGCTATGCTCATGGATTTCCATCGAGCTCCACAAGAGACTATAGCTTTGGAATTGACCCCATTGTTAAATGATGTCTTACTTATTATCAAACAATTACCTAAATGGATTAAACCTTCTAAAGTGAAAGACAGGTCTGCACCATATATGTTTGGTAGTATTCAGGTAGAAAAAATTGCAAGAGGATTGGCTTTAGTTATTTCACCATTCAACTTCCCATTATTGTTGGCTTTGACACCAGTAGCTAATGCTATTGCTGGGGGGAACTCAGTTATTATTAAACCCAGCGAAATGACTCCACAGGTTGCCCAATTGATGGAAACTATTGTTAGGGATGCAGATTTTCCAGATGGACTAGTCAGTTTTGTTCAGGGGTCTATTCCAGAGACTACTAAGTTATTAGAAGATAAAAATATAGATATGATCTTTTATACAGGTTCCCCTAAGGTTGGGTCTATCATAGCCACTGCTGCAGGTAAGCATTTGATTCCATGTGTCTTAGAATTAGGTGGTAAATCACCTGTATTTATAACCAGAAATTTCCAAATGTCGAACTTGAAAGTGGCTTTAAGAAGATTGTTTTTTGGTGGGTTCAGTAACTCTGGTCAGATATGTGTAAGACCAGATTATATATTGATTCATGAAGCACACTATGATGCATTTGTTAAAGAATCTAAAAAAATCTTAAATGAATTATTTCCTAAATTAAATAAAGACACTGAATTTACACATATGATTTCTGAAGTTGCATATGAGAGAATCTCTCAAAAGTTGAATGATACAAAGGGTCAATCATATGTGCCAGAATCATATTTAAGTGAACAAAAGAAAAGTGAAGTAGATAATGGAAATAATTTATTTCTACCACCAACATTAATTTATGGCGTAGATTGGGATGATCCGATAATGAAAGAAGAGAATTTTGCTCCAGTGATTCCAATTGTAAAGTATAATGATTTAGATGAAGTTATTGACAAAGTTATTCAATATCATGATACACCATTAGTTCAATATATTTTTTCCAGCTCACAGGCTGATATAGATCATATCTTATCACGTATTAGATCCGGTGATTGTGTAATTAATGACACTATCATCCATGTAGGAATTCAAGAAGCACCATTTGGTGGAATTGGTTACTCAGGGTATGGTAATTACGGAGGTCAACACGGGTTTGATGCTTTCACTCACGAAAGAACTATCTTTAAACAACCATTTTGGATGGATTTTGCTTTATCTATGAGATATTTCCCATACTCTAATAAGAAATCTAAATTGATTCAAATGGCTAATGAACAGCAACCTTCATTTGATAGAAATGGTAGAAGAAAATTTGATTTAGCTGAAAAGCTTCGTTATTTAATGGGTGTATTGACTGGTTTAGCTGGTTATTATTTTTATAAAAAATTATTTGAGCAAAGATGATTTCAATTATTTGATTGTCAAAGGGGAAAGCGTCTAGTTGATAACAGTTAGTGTTTTGTATGTTTTATTTTTATTATGTCCTGTTGATTTATATTTACTTGTAAATATATCATCATATGTATTCTAAATTACAAATTATTTTTAAATCTTTTCGTATTTTCTTTAATGATACATAAGAATCTTATACAAATAGAATCATAGTGATTGATTTACTAATTATAAAATAGGAAAAATAGATATTTATACTTCATGATAAATAGTATATATATATACGTGATGGAGGAATAGTACGTGGATTGTTTATTGTTAATTATAATATACATAGGAATGGTTAGAACAATTAAAACAAAAATAAATAATAAAATAAATATGACAATTTCTCTATGTTAATTAATGCTTACCATTAGTACGTTTGTGACGTAATTCGTTTTGTTCTCTTTCCATCTCTGGGTCAAAACTAATGAATTCATCTAATCCCTTACCTGCTGGGACCATTGGTAAAACAGGAACCTTCTTTTCTACTTCGACTTCTAATAAGACTGGGCCTTCAGTGTTAACGAATTCTTTTAAAGCTTTATCTAATTGCTTTTGTTCGGTGACCTTTATACTTTTGAAACCCATGGCTTCAGCTAATTTTTGGAAATCTGGGTTTAACTGATGAGTGTGAGAGTAACGATGCTCATAGAATAATGACTGCCATTGAGTAACCATACCTTGTTCTTCATTGTTTAATAATAAGACTTTTATTGGTGCACCAGCTTGGACTGCAGAACTTAATTCGGTTAGAGTCATGTTGAAGGAGGCATCACCATCGATATCAATAACCAAAGCATCTGGCTTAGCAACTTGAGCACCAATAGCCGATGGAACACCATAGCCCATGGTACCTAACCCACCAGAAGTGATGAAGGTTCTTGGTTTTCTCCATGTCCAATGCTGAGCAGTCCACATCTGATGTTGACCGACACCGGTGGTGACGATGACTTCTTTACCTGTAGAGTTAGCAATCTTGGATAGTTTGGCAATAACAGTTTGTGGTTTAATTTTGGAACCTGGAGTCTCTTTCATATAGTCATATGGATATTTGTTCTTCCATTCTTCGATTTGTTTAAACCACTCAGATCTGTGCTTGACAGGGAAAATTCTTGGTAATAACGCCTCCAAGTTGCTACCAGCATCACCTTCCACAGCTACTTGGGCTTCAACAACTTTGTTGATATTTTTTGGAGAGATTTCGAAATGGATAATACCACCTCTATTTTCTAGGGCTGCTCTTCTTGCTTCAGGAGCAAATTTGGAGATATTACAAGTGACACGGTCATCAAATCTTGCCCCGATAGCAATAATCAAATCACCGTTTTGAACAGCGATGTTTGCAACAGCAGAACCATGCATACCTAACATATCTAGAGACTTTGGATCTTCTTGGTCAAATGCACCAAGACCTTGTAATGAGGTAGTGACAGGGATTTGAGCTCTGTCACTTAATTCCTTTAATAATCTTGGGCCATCTGGATTATTTAGGATACCACCACCGACATAAAGAACAGGCTTCTTAGCCATGTTGATCAAGTCAGCGGATTTATTTAGAGCGTCTTCCAAAAATTCGTCATGGACATTAATTTTGTTTGTATTCAATGGTGGTAAAGTACTAGCTGTTGGGATGGCCTCTCTTAGGATTGCGGCGGTGACATCCTTTGGCAAATCGACTAAGACAGGGCCTGGTCTACCAGACATGGCGATTTCGAAGGCTTCATTGATTCTAGTTGGTAATTCGGCGACATTTTTAACCATGACGTTCCATTTAGTACAAGATCTAGAGATACCTACAACATCGGCTTCTTGGAAAGCATCAGTACCAATGGCAGAAGTTGGTACTTGACCGGTAAAGACGACCATTGGAATACCATCCGCAAGGGCATCAGCCATTGGAGTGACGACATTAGTGGCACCGGGGCCAGAAGTGACTAAGACGACACCAGGTTTCCCAGATGCACGAGCATAACCTTCAGCCATATGACCAGCACCTTGTTCATGTTTTGGCAAAACAAATTTAAAATTTTCACTATTGAAGATAGCATCATAGACGGGTAAAATGGCACCACCAGGGTAACCAAAGATGGTATCAACGTTATGTCTTGCCATCATTTCATTAAATATTTGACCACCGGTTAAACCAACAAAAGAGTTGTCTAAATGTTGATTTTGGCGTAATTTTTCTGCAATCTTACTCTTAGTGAAATCTTTTGTATTAGAGGAATAGGAAGTAGTAGTGTTAGTTGCGGTAGCAGTAGCTGGATCAACATTAAAACTTGGGGCAGGTTCAGGTCTAGCAGAAAATTGATTATTTAAAACTTTAGTGTTAGAAGAGTAGTTACGTAATAAAGTACTGGAGCTGAACGCTATGACATTATTATTTAAAGTTTTAGATGTGATGGATTGTAAATAACGTTTACTTAGTACACTTTTGCAAACAGATTGTCTCAACATTTTGATATTTAGTTTTTGGTTAATTTCTTTTTCAATTCACTCGGTTTTGTAAATATATGTAATAATGTATGTTTATTTTATCCGACAATTTTTGTTATTAAAAATATAATGCCCTGTAATGCAGGATAATAATAGTAGTCGTGATATAATGGTAGTAATTAAAGATCAAATATGGTTAGATGATATGAATAAGGAAAAGAAAAAATAAAAAAAAGAATCAGAAATAGATATGTGTGTATATGTATTTCCTGTGAGGATTGATTAGTCAATAAAAAGTGACAGGATAATATAGTATGCAATGAGATTTGGAATAAATTCTTTATTTTATTTATTTCAGTCACAGGCACAGTTGTATATATGTATGTAGATGGGATGGGAGGATAGATCTATGCAGATAAGGCTAGGTATGCTAAAGCAAACAATGAAAATAAATATGAAAGTGAGGAAAAAAAAAAAGAAAAGCAATTAGTTTTGGAAAACTGGCAAAAAAATTTCAACGATCGTAAGCAAACTTTCCAATACGAACAAGAAGAATAGGGTTCATACTATTGTACAAGAAAAAAAAAAGAGAGAGAAAAAGAAGGATCAAGCATGTCAATATTACATTATATATATATACAGGCAGGCTGATTATTTATTTGTAAGTATAATACACGAGGAGATGCAACGGAAATGAGTAAAGTTATATGAATAAATGAATCATCGTTTTTTGTCTTTTTTTTTTCTTTTTTTTTTCTATTTCTTTTCTTATTTTTTTCTATTTTTTGTCATCTTGTCATATTTACTATAGTGTATAATTGAGGAGGAGGAAGAGGAGAATAAAAAGATATAGAACAGGAGAAAAGCGATGAGAAGCCAGATAACTCAGTGTAATCCCGTCAAGGTTAGATGCTAGTTGATAATCACCACGCTACTGTACCAAACTAAATCAAATCTGGTCAAGTAGATGTTATAAAATCTCTAACACACCTTCTCGTGTCCCTGGGCTCCTCTTTCTTCCCTCGCCCCACATGTACGTATGTATGGTAATCTTCTCAAATCTTTGTGACTCAAACAGCAGAATCAAACAACAAAAAGGAAGAAGAAGAGAGAAAAGAAGTTAAAAAAAAAAAAAAAATAAAGTCGAAACAAAAGTGTCGCTATTCAATTACCGGTTCTATTTTTTCTTTTGTTTTGTTCGGTTTTCCTTTCTGATCGATTCCTCCTTTTCTTTTTTCCCCGGACTAAAGACAGGAAATTATATTTCTTTTCTTCCATTTTGTCCGGTAACGGAATGATCAAAGAAATCAAAAAAAAAAAAAAGAACAAGAATAAGAAACAAAGCGTGAGATGAAATATGAAAAGGCGGAACTACTTTTGTTTTTATTTATTTCTTTTTTTTTTCCTTTTTTTTTTTCAAGAAAGGGATGGAGATGAGTTGAATAGACTAGGCTCATTGTATTTCAACTACCCAGAGAAAAACTCTTATATTAATCTATGTTAGTGATATGTCAATGTTATTGTGTTGTTGACAGTTTATGACATATTTGTTTCTTGTTTTGTTTTGTACATTTTTGTTTTTGTTAGTCGTGGTCGACTCATTTTTTGGTTTTTTTAACAGTCCGTATTGTTTTTGCTTGTTGATCTTCCAATTGTTACCACTGTTATGAACCACCGTAGTTATTCTTGAGAGGAAAGAAAGGTAAAGCCTCTAAAGTTGCATATATATTATCGGAAAGTAGACTTGTGAGTAGTTTTTAAGGGGAAAAAATAATACGTGTAGGATAATAATAATAATAATAAATAAAGAAGAAAAACAGAATCTTAATATAATGTAATATAACGATATATATTTGAAAGATATTTATTTATATTATATATGTGCTTTTTTACTTCTTAAATTTGAGTACTGTGGTTTTTTTTTGTTTCAATCATTTGTATTTATTTATATAATTCAATTTTTTTTTTGATTTTGATTTTAATTTTGTTTTCGTTTTTTTTTTTTCTTGGTTTTAAAAATTAACATTGTTATTCGGTCCACCTTTCTTTAAAGTATTATAAATACTCTGAAACTCTCCTTGTGACATGTCAGATATCTGTTTTTTTGTTATTTCATCTAACCCCTCTAAGGGGTTTCTTATTGAAAAACTTTTATTTGTGATACTTCCAAATTTTTCAGTCATGGTATCTGTATTATTAATTTTATTTCCATTATCTTCAGTCATATTTGGAGAAGATAAAGTTGTTGTTGTCGTTGTTGGTGTTGAATCACTGGATGACACAGAAGATTTTCTTTTTGGTATCTGAGTCACATTAGACTCATCGACTGTAGAAGGACTTGTTTTCACTCCTGTATCGTACACTTCTCTTGCATACAAATATTGGGTATTATTTGATCCTATATTGGTGTTGGTTCCTCCATATAGGGTCGGATCGTCATGTTTATGTCTATTGTAAACTTGAAATGAATCCCAGAATTTAACCATTTTCTTTTTCTTTATGTTTTTTCTTTTTTTTTTTTTTTTCAATTATGAAGAAGGACAGTAAATAAAAACTGACAGATAGACAGTATATTATCAGCAAAAAATAAAAATGACATATAAAGTTTAAAATTATATATATATATATATATGTATATGTATATGTATATTAATGTATATTGATATGTTTGTACCAATAATGTTTAAATTTAAGGGTTTTGTCTAATCTTTCTGAAAGATTCTTGAGTTTTTTGTTGAAATTATTAATGCTATTTATTATTAATAGTAATGCACCCTTTAAAAATAAAAACTAAAAAGGGGAAGACTGATGTTTTGTTTCATGCTACAAAACAATACACCATTATGATCTGTTATTATTCAAAAGCGTAACGCAGTAGAAACTATAAAAAAAAAATTAAACCAAAGAACAAAATAAGGGTCGTTATTTTCTTAAATTTCTTCTGTTGGTTTTTTTTTCTTTTTTCTTTTTTTTACAACTGTTACAAATAACAAAAAATCAAAAATAAATAGAAAAAGAACAATAACTCTTGATTTGTCATTATTTTCTATGTATTGTTCGGTATTTCATTGTATAAAGCAGCAATATTGTTGTATAGATATGCTTTTTCGTCTAAAAGTTTTAGTGGAAATGTGGCTGTGTTTTTTAATATTTTGTTTATTTTTCTGTATGTTGAGTCAGCCTCAATGTTCTTTTCTACTGTGAAAATAACTTCTCTACTTCTCATTTCCCTAGAAAAAAACATTTTGGGAAAAATAAAGATGAATCAATAAAAATTTATCCAAACTTCAATGATTCACAATCAACAGTGAATACATACAATAAAATAATGTTAAATATAATCAATGGCAAGAAATCAATCTACAATTTTGACACATACAAATTAACAGTATCTAGCCAAAGATATCTTTTGAAGTAACAATTAACTCAATAAAATAAATATAACAATTCGAACCCTTGTTTCAGATCGAATACAATATCTTTCTTAAATTTGAATTCTACAAGCCAAACTTATTAAAAGTGCGGTAGTATTGAACACGTTACTATACCATATTTTTACGATATTTTATTTGATAAAAATTTCTTTTCTTATCTTTGAATAAGAAAACAACATCATTAAGAGTAAATAAACTACACAAAACACCAAATACATGTGTTTAATGGTATTAAATTAAAAATGTGTGCTGTTAAATAGCTATACCAACGCTCATTTTTACCCTTCTGTGCGGAAGTAATGTAAAAATATTTAATTTAATATCATCCAAATTTACTTTATCTATATCTAATATTACAAGATGTATATTTTATCAACCTATGATATATATATATATATATATATCTAAATAGCTGATAGTTGCTTCCTTTGTTTCATATAGTATTATATAATACAATACCAAATACCTCTCCCATATAAATAATATCCACAAAAAAAACAAAAAGAGAATAATGTAAAATAAACAACATATCAGTTTTCTTTCCATCTATGGCCACAATTAACACACTTATAGAACGTAGTCATAGGCTCATCAGCCGATCTAATCTGTAGTTGGAAGAAATATGCACTTTCACCACCACATTTATCATAATTAGGACACTGAACTTTTGTTTGATCAACGTTATCCCATCCACCACCAAGAACATCATCGACTTCCTTTCTTTCCAATTTCTTTCTATCATATATCTCTATACCCTCTATAGGGAATTCATATGGACATGAAGGACAGGATAAAGTATATATACCACTGTCTGCTAATTTAACCAATAACATATTATTACATGCCGGACAAAATGATAACATATTTGATGTTGTTGATTTCTTCTATAATTTGCTTAACCCCAAACTTTCTGTAAAGCTCTACCACTATCTAATCTGAACAATAATAAAAATCAATGAACCAATGTACGAAAAAAAGTATAAACTTGACTTGATATTGCTAATGTTCCACGACCTAATAACTGTATCCCCTACTGTGCAGATTTCAAATGATTTCATTCTGTTAATGTTATATAAAAATTATCCGATGACTTGTAATTTCAAACATTTTCATTTTTTTATTTTTTTTTTTTGTTTCTTTTTTTTTTTTTTTTTTTGGAGAAAGAATACATATTTGCAGTTGTTACATCTATCATATATCAATAACATACACAATCAAACTAAGGTCATAAAGTTACAAAATATTACCTATTGAAACAGATATATTAATATATACAATCCATATACGAGTGTACATTTTATATTAATATTATAGTATTATACATTGCAAGTTAAACTAATAACATAAAAGGATAAAGAAGAAAAAAAAATGAATATATTTGATTACAAAAATTAAACATGATGATTATGATACTAGAAAAATAATTGAAAATCCAGGTTCAAAGTTACAACTTGATGTTAACAAAAATGACATAAGAAAAAAAATAAAAGAAAATAATATAATATCGTGTCTTAACACCACCAGTGATACAATCTAACCCAAATAGATGAATTTTTCAATTTAATTCTATTTTCTTCCTCCTCTTGTTTAATAAATTCTGGATCATAGATACGTCTATGATAATCTAGGTCAATCTCTTCTAAGTTAGTTAGAAGAGTATAATCTTTGTTATAAATCATATAACCGAAGTAAAATACAATAAATATAGGAAATGCCAAATAACTTTCAAAAAATGATTCAGCATCTGCTTTACCCTCCCCAATAGGAAATAACGCCACCCAGAATTGTGCTATAAAGACTAAAATATTAAAGAAAACACCATATACAGATCCCCAAACACCTGTTGTAGATAGATAACCTAATTCCCTCAAATCTTTACCTTGTATTTCCATGGCTTTTCTAAATCTAATATGGGACAAAAAGATACCAGACCATGTAAACAATTCACTTAAACCAGCAATGGCAGCTAACCATATAAACACTTGTTCTTCTTGAGATGATGCAGCTGCAAACCCAATGACACCAAATACAGCACAGGTTAGTAAAGCAACTAATGGTCTCCCTTCTCTATCAATGTATGACAAAATCTTTGGAGCATAACCTTGTTGAGCTAATGAACAAATCATTCTTGGAGCTGCATATAATGCAGAGTTACCCACAGAAACCACAGAGATAAGAATAACAGCATTAATTATATGAGGAACCACCTTAACACCGTGAATCGATGCTGCCAAAACATATGGAGATGCATGAGTGGCAGAACCTCCAGCACCCATTAATTGATCATCATTATATGGCACATTGAAGCCAATTAAAATCATCGTCAGCAAGTAAATAACCACAATACGATAAATTGATTGTTTTGCAGCAATTGGTGTAGATTTACGTGGGTTTTCTTGCTCATTAACTGAAAGAACGAATAATTCAGTACCACCATACGAGAAATAACCTGTTACTAATATGTAACAAATACCTTTAAATCTACCAATGTTTGAATCTGAAGCAAATGCCCCTGGTGTATGCCAATATTTACCACCAATGTAGCCGTCGACCCCAGCTCCACCACAATTGACAACAATCGAGAAAATAATAAAACCAGCAATCATAAGAATTTTGCATGAATTAAATATAAATTCGGTTTCACCATATGCCTTGACACCGAAGAAATGAATAAATAATAAAAATACATAAAAGATAAGCACAAAGATGTCCCCATTTACTGACTCAGTCCAATACTTTATAATCAAACTAGTAGTGATCAATTCTAAAGGCAAAACAGTTAACCATTGGATAGAACATAACCAGACAGTGGAAAAACCGTATGGTTTCGAAATAAAAATCGACATATAAGTATTATAATTACCGGGTAAAGTTGGGTAAGTAACAGCCATTTCACCAGCCGCTTGAATCATGAAATAGGTGACAAAGGAGACTAAACCATATGCAATAACTAAGGCTGCAGGTCCACCTTTACTCAAACCTGCTGCGTTGGCCACAAGCAGACCAGTACCGATACCTGTACCTAAAGTCATCATAACAACATGACGTGACTTCATTTTTTTCTTTAACTTAGTGTCTGATCCAATGGATTCAGCACCGTCTTCCAAATCATTACTCTTTGCATGTGTTTCTTCTGCTCTTTTAAAAGAATCAATAAATCTATGAAATAAAGTCTGCCTACGTTGAAAATGTTCAGAAGTCTCTTCAAAATCACCTGTATAATTCTGAAATTTACCTGACAGCCTTTCTATAGAATCATCATTTGATGCTTCTCCGTTGTTTAGATTTCTATCTGTTGTAGTGACCACATACTCTTCTTTTACTTCAAAATCCTTCTCAGTGGGAGGCATCTTGAAACAATATGTGTTATGAGTGAATTATATGCAGATGTATAAGGATATGAATGCACGTAACTGTATATTGTTCGTAATTTTAATCCAGCTATCTTTCTCTTTTAAAGTTGCGTATAGCTATATATGGAGTGGAAATTAATATGCCGATGAAATAAATTAATAAATGTATTTATGCTTAAGTTATTTCAATTAAGTGCAATGCAAAACCATCAAGAACCCTCTCAAAATATAAAAGAATTTCTTTTTTTCTTTTTTTCTTTTTTTTTTTTTTTTTTTACGTTTCTTTTTTTTTTTTCTTCAATGAAAGCGGCTAACACTTCTGTTTTCAAAAAAAAAAAAAGAAGATGAAAATGAATCTAAAAAATACGATTAGAGAGGGAAGAACATCACGAAAATATTCTTCTATAGCAAGTTTCAAAGAGCTCATCAAGAAATTCTGCAAAAGACAAAACCACAAAGTAAGGAAGAAACAAGAAGGAAGAAGGTTCTTAAATTATATACAAGATTCCTCCGACGAAGCATTGAAATATACAGAACCCAGAGGACCACACGAAAAAAAAAGAATTAAAAAACTGTTAATATAATCTTAGACATTCCATCAGAACAAACAGACAAAGTCTTACTGTTATAGAAATTTAGATAAAAATTAGTGAAAACAATTACTTTACGTTTTATTGCTTGAGTAATGAAGAGTCATTATCTTCTTTTTATTTTTTTTTCTTTTTGTTTCTTCTTCTCTTGCTTGGACCTTATTAAATTACATTAGTATCTCTTCTCAGGCATGTCTTTCTGACAAACTCAACTGGGTGTAGACTTCTTGAAAAAACAAGTGCCTTGGAGTTTGGAAGAGGGGGACCGATTGAAAAGAAAGCTAAGAAAAATTAATAGTGCACGCACCAGTATTCTTTGTTCAAATCATAGTAAGAGCCGTACGTTTATTACTAATTTTTTTTTTGAACACCTCGACCCACCAGGAAATCCATCTATACATTATATTACAATCGAATGTTTAAGTGGAGATGATACACAAGTACTTTTATTTTAGCGAGGGTTGTTCAAAAAGGATCATTGAAAACTGCCCTCTTTTTTTTTTTTTTTTTTTTCTAGGGGGGGGGGATGGGGAAGGGAGAAGAATAATTTTGAACTTCAAACGGCTCTAAATTTTTAATAAAGGGAAGGCAATAAAAAAAACAGAAGAATTTTTCCGATGACTAACCCAATCACAGACATAACTAAAATTCTTGTCAAAAATTTAAAAAACCTCAGTGTTTTGATTATAGAGCTATATATTAAAAAAATTGTTTTTTTGGAACCCTAAGTTTTATTTAACAGTTGAGAAAGTAATCAAAGTTGAATATATAACTAAATAGGTACACCTTCTTCTAATAATCTACATATTATTTATTCATATAAAAGACAAAAAAATAAGACAAGAACCATCCTAAAAGGAATACATAACAGAACACTAAAATTTATTGATATTTGATAAATAATATTAATATATATATATTGATTATGCTTCCCTTCCCCCCCTATGATAAATTTAAAAATGCATATTTTCTATGTGAAGATAAAATCAACTAAATGCATGAAAAAGATCAGATTCTTTCTCTTACAAAAAATATCTAATTCCACAATACTGCATAGGGTTGAGTTATGAATATGCTCATATAACTTGCGATTGTTTTAGTCCTGAAAAACAACAAATGTTAAAAGTTGGGATAGAAAAAAATTTATAGAATACTCTTCCTCCAAATATACTAGGAATGTCCCATTTTTTTTTGTTTGTTTATTTCAACCCTAGAAGACAAGATATTAAAAAAAGAAAAAAAAAAAGTAATAAAAAAGACCCTTTCCATTGATCCAAATTTCTTTTCTTTTGACCACGTTTTACCTTTCAGATTTCCATGATTATTTCTTCAGTTTTGGTCCCTGGAACATTTTCTCGCTCTCTTTCTCTTTCTCTTTTGTATTTCCTTTTTTCCGCTTCTTCTTGTCTGGAAAAATTAATCCTTGACCTACCAACTACTTGCTTAATAAAAGAAAGAGAAAAAAATGAGAACACAATTGCTAAGTTCTTCTATCATTCTCCAGAATTTTAGTCTTTTTTTTTTAAAATTGATTTTTCTATTCCTCTATCGGGTTTTCGCAGATTCTATTTTTCTCTTTGTTGAACATCACGAAAAAATCTCAGGTTTCTCGACGGAATTTTGGATTTCACAGATAAAATTCGAGATATCTGTAGAGACATTCCGCAAGAAATCCCTGCACCCCCCTAGCCCTCTGGAACTTTGACGTGCGAAAAGCAACTAAAGGGAAAGAAAATAGCAAATAACAAAAAAATCAACCTCACAATAAATATAATGTAGAAAACAAAAGAAATTATATCTTTTTATACAATTTTTATAAGATGGAATGATTTAAATAAGTTTTATTTAAATTATATTCACACTGAAGTAACGAAAAAAAAAATTAAAATTTCTCGAGTGAAACCATAAGATAAATATATATATTTTACTTGACTTCAAATCAAAAATGTCACAAAAGTTTCCTTTATTAAAAAACAATCTTTTGTTAAGAACTTTAAACGGAGAAGACGTCGAAAGACCACCATGCTGGATAATGAGACAAGCTGGAAGATACTTGCCTGAATATCATACAGTGAAAAAGGACAAGAATTTTTTTGAAGTCTGTAGAGACGCAGAATTAGCCTCTGAAATTACAATACAACCAATTAGACACTATAAAAACCTTATTGATGCCGCAATTATCTTCAGTGATATATTGGTTATCCCTCAAGCCATGGGTATGGATGTCAAAATGATAGATGGTGTGGGCCCATCTTTTCCAAATCCACTAAGGACAATCTCTGAGTATGAGACTGTATTGAATTATAAGGTAGATGTCGAGAAAAGTTTACATTGGGCTTTTAAAGCTATTACATTGACTAGATTAAAACTGAACGGTGAAGTCCCGTTATTTGGGTTTGTTGGTGGCCCTTACACCTTATTAACTTATATGGTTGAAGGTGGTGGATCCCGTTTGTTTAGATTCATCAAACAGTTGATCAATGAACATCCAGAATGGGCACATAAATTATTACAGAAAATTACTGATGTGGCAGTAGAGTTTTGTGTTAAGCAGGTCCAAGCAGGTGCACAAGCTTTGCAAGTCTTTGAAAGTTGGGGTGGTGAATTGTCATCAAGAGATTTTGATGAATTTTCATTACCTTATTTGATCCAAATTAATGAAAGAGTAAAACAGATCCTTGGTAAGGATAAAGTTCCAATGATTGTTTTTTCTAAAGGTTCTTGGTATGCATTGGACAAATTATGTGACTCTGGTTATGATGCTGTTTCCTTAGATTGGTTGTGGAATCCAAAAGATGCAGTTAAAATCAATAACGGGAGAGTCACATTACAAGGGAATCTAGACCCAGGTGTGATTTATGGTAGCAATGAAGTGATCACCGAAAAAGTTAAGTATATGATACAATCTTTTGGTGGTGGTAAATCTAAATATATTGTCAATTTTGGTCATGGAACTCATCCTCATATGGACCCTGAAAAAATTAGGTTTTTCCTAGAAGAGTGTCACAGAATAGGATCTACATAAGCTTTGAAAAGCAAAATATTACTGTATTTTATAAATTTATTTATTTGTATTTTTTTCATATGTCTACTTCATATATATGTATATATACATTTAATACAATTTAATCACTATTAAAAAAAGTTTACATTTATTTTGTATGATGTCCATTGTTCTGATAGTTTCAATCTTTTTTTTATTTTTTTTTTACAGGTTATTTTACTTTGAAAAAAAATCTTTATCATCACTACTATTAATAATATTATTTTAAGCTAAAGCTTTTGTAATAAACATCTATCAATGGGCAAGACAAAATAGTACTCAATTCAAAGAGTCCACTACGGTAAAACAGTAGATTTGTAACCAAATAAGTCGATCTAGATTAATCATACATAAATATTATTCACACATCTAACTGAATCACTTATGGCTAATTTATTACCTAAAAAAGCTGAGTTATATGTTTATGAATTGTCTGAACAATTGATAAGTTCATTAAATTTAATAGGTTTTGATGAATATCTAAATGAAATAGATGTTGCTGTTTCAAAGCTACCTGATTATGATAAATTGAACAAAACAAAGGAAGAACAATTAACCAAAGAAGAACTATTACAATTGAGAAATAAAGCTGTTTCTAATGTATTACACTGCAATGTATGTAAATTGAAGTTTGATAATCAGATTGACCAAAGAAAACATTACCGGTCAGACCTACATCATATCAATATAAAGAGGAATATAAAGGGACTTCCTCCAATGTCTTCACCAGCCAGTGGGACCACGACAGAGAAGGATGATTTTGCAAATTTTTTACTAGAAAAAACCATTTCTAATTCATCTGAAGAAGAAAATGAAAATGAAAGTATAGACAACAATGATAGCGAAAATGAAATAGCAAGTGAAAGCGGAGAAGATAGTGATAGTGATACTGAAGAGATTTCAACATACTTAGAGGAACACCTATCTAGTTCCCAAAATGAATCTACATTAAACTCTTTTCTGAATACGAAATCACCACATATTTATTTCAAATCTAGTTATTTACCATCAGAGAAAAATAAAGTAATTGGTGTCTATAAAGTGCTATTCAATATTAAAGAGCTATCAAATCCAATATTGGCTTTAAAAAGCTGGAATGAAATCCTTGATAAGTCTTCTAAAATGTCTGCCTTATTTATGGTTGGAGGTGGTCACTTTGCTGGTGCCATCATATCTCATCAAAGAAGAAATATAAAAGGTAATTTAAAGAAACAAAAAGAAACATTTCAAGAACAATCTGTTATTATGTTAGAACATAAAACATTCCATAGATACACAACAAGAAGAAAACAAGGTGGATCTCAATCTGTCATGGATAACGCAAAAGGTAAGGCTAATTCAGCTGGGTCTACTTTACGTAGATATAATGAAAACGCTTTGAAACAAGATATCCAGAATTTGTTGTTAGACTGGAAACCCTATTTAGATAAGTGTGACAACATTTTTATCAGGGCCAGAAGTGTCTTTGATAAAGCAATTTTTTTCGAAAGCAATAACAGTAGCCACAATGCTGGTAAAAAAAATAATACCCATTTTATTAATAAATATGATCCTAGATTGAAAACCTTCCCATTCACTACAGGAAGACCGACCATACATGAATTAAAGAGAGCTTGGTGCGAATTAACATATTTAAAATCTATAGAAAAACCCAAACCAATGATAGCCTCTAAACAAAAAACTCAATCCATTGTAAAGGATAAATCAACAGAACTTCCTCAAGATACTAAAATTGCATCCTTAACTGAAGAGGAAAAATATTCAGAAGAACTGATACGATTAGTCAAAAAGGCTAGAGCACCTTTACTAAGTTCCTTCTTAAAAAAGAATAAATTAGATATTAATTTTAGATTAAAACCAGAATCCAAATATGGATCCACACCAACTTTGTTACATTATGCATCACAACACGGTATAAAACAAATGGTTATTATATTATTATCTAATATGAAAGCTGATCCCACAATTCAAAATAATGTCGGGAAGACTGCAGCAGATTTAAATAAAAGTTTATTGATTAAACAAGCATTCCAGATTGCAAGGTACAATTTAGGTGAAGATTTTGTTGATTGGAGTAAATCACATATTGATGAACCGTTGAGTAGAGAACAAGTGGAAGAAAAGAATAAGCAATTTGAAGAATTAAAAAGAAAAGAAACCGAGGAAATTATAAAAAGAGAATCTGAGGCAGCAAAGGCTAATCAAAAAATAAAAACAAATAAACCAAAATCCAGTAAAGGCAACACTTTAGGAAGTTCTTCTAATGGGATATCATTAGAATACAATTTAAATTCTTTAACGGAAGAGCAGAAAAGAAGATTAATGAGAGAGCAACGGGCTAGAGCTGCCGAGGCAAGGATGGCCCGTAATCAATAATTCAACAAAAAGAGCAAGAGTCAAATATTTTGTTTAACAACGAAACATTTATAACTTCTATGAAGTATATGTAAGATTACACGTTATACAGCAAGTTAATTTATATCACTTATACTCATTTGACAAATATGGAAGTTAAAAAAAAAATAAAGACATTCACACACACATTATAGTTGTTTTATTCTTTCTTCTTGTTTTTCTATTCATAATAAAAAAACAAAACGAATTAATCATAGAACGCATTCATCATTAGGAAATAACACATATATATAAAAAAACTATATGAAAGACATATAACATAAAAAAATACATATATATAAATGACATATTTATTTCACATGTCTATATAAAAACCAAAATAACTACTAGTTACCCCAGGATTCTTCAGAAGATATCTCAATCTTTTGCACATGACCGTTCTTATCTTTCTTTTCTGGTTTCAATTTTGGTATCTTCAAAGTCAAAACACCACTAGAATAATCTGCCTTAATGTTATCGGCATCAATGCCGGGATAATCGGGTAACGAAATCACACGGTTAAACTTACCAGCCACATTTTCTTGGACCTTAACTTTGTCCTTGTTTTCTTCAGTAACAGCAGAAGGAATTTCACCTTTCACAACAATTTGATTCTTTTCCTTGTGATACTCTAAATCAATGTCTTTCTTGGATTTAACACCAGGAACAGTTATCTTCAATTCATAATTGTCATCATGATCCAGGATATCGACAGGCACACCCACAGCACCCTTGTTACCATTATAAAAAGCAGATGGGACTAAAGAGAAATCATCATCAAACCAATTATCTAGGTCAGAGAAGAACCTATTACTAGGAAACGTTAAAGCAGCTGGTTGTCTTGGTCTTCTTTTAACAATTTGATTCTCTGAACCAGCTGGACGATCGGCCAATCTAGGACGTCTTTGTGGATAACCTCTGGAGCCTAAAAATCTGTTAAAATTGTCAACTTCATCATTGATAGCATCAAAAAAATCAAAAAATGTATTATTAAAGGACATGTTATTATTTATATATGGGTTTATAATAATTTATATGTAGCTTTTAAAATCTTTTATTTAGGTATTAAGTGGAGTAAAAAAGTGTATATAAGCAATATATCTATGATATATTTTGTTTGTCTTGGTCCTTTCCACAAGGAGTGGAAGAATTACATAGGAAATGAGTCAAGAAACAAAACCGAAATACCTTCATTAAAATTACAACTCTATTTATATGAATTCAAAAATATCAATTAAAAGGGATTACTGTCAAGACAGATTTTGATTACATAAGAAAGACACTTTGAGGGATATTTAGTTGGTTTATACTAATTGTGACAGCTAATTATGCCCAGACCATTTCTGGAAATTACTAGAACCATTGCATTATTACCCCTTTCTTCTATTTCTTCTTCTATTAAATCCTTTAAACTCCCCTTCCCTTCACACAAAAACTAAACTAAACAAGTAACTCACTACCAAAGTGACAAGGAACACAAACCAGATAGAAAAAACCGCATAAAAAAGGATCCACAACGTTCTTATGAAGGCATCACAATATCTTTTTCTTATTATTGTTGAAGTTTTTGGTAAAGATCAAAAAAAAAAAGAAAAAAAAAGGGGGGGGGGAGATCACAGTAGAGGAGACAAAAAGATATAATAGTATTGTTCTGATATTCTTCAACCTTTTTTCTAGAACAATACATGCTAGCTTTTCTCGAGGCATATTATTCTTGTTTATTGTTGTTTTGATGTGAACACGTCCGGACTTTTTCCTTTATTTTCTGTTGTTTTCTATTCTATTCTATTCTATTTTAGTCTTTTTACCTTTTCAGGATAAAAAGGAGATAATTACTATTTTAGGAAATTTTCTGGCTAGAGAGATTAGTTTGTTAAATGAATAAAAATAGAATAAAACAGAGAAACTATAAATTAATTTGGACAAGAAATAGTTTATCAACTCAAATACTTAGAACCTCCTTAATCTATAATACTCAAGTAAAGATCATTATTGCCTATGATATACCGAAAAAGTTAGTCTATTATTATCTTTGGAATATAAATGCAAAGGGAACCAATAACAACGGTCGCTTTACTTTTTTTCTCTAAAACTTACTCCACTCTGTACACTCTGAATAAAGTATTTATGTTTACACACTAAAATAACTAGTTCTCCTCCTCCTTGACCTAAATAACTCTGTTACTTATGATTGAACCTTGAACAGTTTTAGATAATAATATAATACCTCTCCCAACTTCTTGTGGATAGAACATTTGTTTTTATTTTCTTTATTTGTGTTTTTGTAAGAAAGAAAAAAACTACAAACAAAGAAAAAAAAATAAACAAAAACAACTAAGGAGAAAAAACAAATAAAAAACAAAAACCACCAATTTTAAACCAATTTACATATCTCTCGGTATTTCATAGTGAAACCTTCGATTGTATTCATATTTGAATTTTTTAACATATGAAAAATATGCCCGGAGATACATCTGCAGCTTTTGGACTATATACATAAAGTATTAAGTATGGATAGTACTGCAGCTGTGTCGTTGCTGCTCTTCATTATTACTATCTACATATTCAGATTAATAATCATTTTACCCTGTTGCCATGATTTTAACTATGACTATGATAAGGTAAACAATGCCAACAAGACGACAGGTAGAAAAAAAAATATAATAAATGAAATCCAAAATAAAGGTATGAAAAATTTACACTTATTTATATTTTTAGGATCCGGTGGACATACTGGTGAAATGTTAAGATTACTCCTACAGTATAAAGATATTTTACTTAATAAAGATACTATATTACATGTCGGTTATTCTGATATTGAATCCCTGAATAAGATAAAACATCTATCTGGTTCGTTTAATTGTAAAATTAACTATTATCGATTTCAAAAAGCAAGAGAAGTAAACGCGAATTTCACCTCGAGTTTTAAGACCATCTTTATAACAATGTTAACTTCTTTTCTTCATATAGCGAAGATTAAGTATCAAATGTTAAACAATCCGCATTTGGTTCTTTTAAATGGACCAGGCACATGTTTTATAATTACTGTGTGGTTTAAATTATTGGATTTAATTTTATTAGCAACAAGTTCGAATATTGTATATATTGAATCTTTAGCCAGAATTAATACTTTTAGTTTAACTGGGAAATTACTATATTGGATAGTAGATGAACTGATTGTTCAATGGCCTGAATTACAAGCTAAATATCCAAAAGCAAAATACTTCGGCATACTTGTCTGATAATAACAAATAATGAGATAACTACCATAACATTTACGTACGTATACATCTTTCTTTATAAAAAAAAAACTGGAAAGATTAGCCGACGCCTAACCTGGCACCCCCATTAATTTATAATGTTCCGTATTAAATATTCATTAAGTAAAATGGAATGCATTCATATGTATATAATTATATATGTTTATAAAAGCAGATACATATTTCAAAAGAACACCACTGGTCACCTAATCCGAATCATAACTATTTCATTAATGGAATAAAGTATTATTTAAAATAAACGAAAAGAAAAAAAAGAAAAAAGAACGAAACTCACTTTATTTTTCTTAGTTTCTGGAGTTGATGATATCAACAAATTCTGGCTTCAAGGAAGCACCACCGACTAAGAAACCATCAACATCAGCCTTGTCCTTGAAAGAAGCAACGTTAGAACCGTTAGCAGAACCACCGTATAAGATTCTGATTTCAGAAGCAGCCTTCTCACCTAACTTACCAGCTAAGAACTTTCTAATAGAAGCGTGGATAGCTTGGGCATCGTCAGCAGTAGCAGCTAAACCGGTACCAATAGCCCAGACTGGTTCGTAAGCAATAACAACGTTGGTCCAGTCCTTAACTTCAGCAATAACAGCATTTAATTGTCTTTCAACAACGTCTAAGGTGACACCGGCGTTCTTTTCTTCGAAGGTTTCACCAATACACAAGATGACACCAACACCGTTGTCCAAAGCGAACTTGGTCTTTTCAGCAACCATCTTGTCGTCTTCACCGAAGTAAGTTCTTCTTTCGGAGTGACCTAAGATAACCCACTTAGCACCTAAGTCCTTGATTTGGTCAACAGAGTTTTCACCAGTGTAAGCACCAGAAGCCTTTAAGTAAGCATTTTGGGCACCAACACTAACTTGTGGCTTTGTAACTTGAGAGACAGCGAAGTCTAAGTAAGCAGCTGGTGGACAGATAACAACTTCGACATTTTCTGGGATAGAAGCAGTGTTCAATCTGTCAATAATTTCCTTAATGGAAGCCTTGGAACCGTTTAATTTGAAGTTACCACCAACGAAGAAAGTTCTAGCCATTTTTTGTATATTTTATTAGTGTAATATATAGATGAAACGTTTTATCTACGCTACAGGGTTTTAACTGTCAAGGAAAGTAGTCGAGACTTAAGAATCGAAACAAGAACAAAGAGTGTGCGCATACAGGAAAAAGGACGAATACACTGTATGTAAAGACTGAGCGTTATACGCGTAGAAATTGTTACCATATACGCAAGCTCACTGAAACAGAAGATCTAGTAAATACAGACCTATATATATAAATATTTTACTGAATTTTTTCACCGGCTAGTAGGAACAAACCCATTTTCATCAATTCACGATCAATTGATTCCTTTTGACTCTTTGTTTCTTTCTTTTTCTTTCCTTCTATTTTTTTAGTAAAAAATGACTGTTGAAATGAACAACATTACACAAATTGTACTCTTCCAATCAGGAAATTTCCAACAGATATATAATTGTTTTTCTACTAACATGTGATTTATATCTCTTTATACGGTGGTACTGTTCCCATTTCAAGACAATGAATTTGTGGAAGCTAACCGAGGAATTATATACAATGTGGTGTGTGGGTTAATTGAAAACAAGAAGCTCGTCTTTCATCTTTGTTCTTTCAGATTATTGCTAGAACTTAAGGATTTTGTCTTATTTTAAAAAACAACTCTTCTTCTTCTATCCCCCCTCACTCCAATAAATAACGAAAACAGAAATATTATATGTAACAATAATTGAATTTACATTCCGAACTTACTACATACAAATTATACATTTTATACAGTCTAAGATATTGCAGTATTAAAGATTGGGATATTAATATATTAAATGACAAAAAAAATGCAATGCAACTATTAAGAAAAACTCACTAAGATCATAATATTGTTGTAAAAAGCAGCGTCCAAGTAGTTTCTTATAATAAACTTCTCCATACGAATCAGAATTTCAAGCTTAAATAGTAGAAAAGAAAGCAAAAAAAAATTTTTTCAAGCTCGTCTTATAATAATAAGGCTGCAATCCCTGCTAAACCAAGGGTAGCACCTAAGCGTAAACCAGCAGCACCATTTTCAGATTGTTGAGGAATAGTAATTAAAGGCGAAGCAGAAGTTGAACTTTGTTTAATGGAACCAATAATAGCTGTTGTTTTAGCAGCGGAAGAGACAGATTCCGTGGTTTGAGCTAATGTGCTTGAAGAGGAGGAAGCGTCTGGAGGAATAAATGTGTATTGTTGGTTGTTGTCTGCAGTAGTACCAACCATGTAGAAGTAGTTAGAATTTGGTACATCCTTGACATAAACTTTGTAGTTAGATGGGTATGCTGAATCAGTAGTTGGAACACCATAAAACAACTTGTTACCGTTCAAAGTAACAAGACCCTTTTCAATAGCCCAACCAGTAGCAGCGTTGTTTTCATCACCTTCGGACATTTCACCGTTAGAATCGACAACAGCATATTTACCATTTGAGAACTTCAACTTACCAGCGTCAGTAATAGTAAAACCAAGAACGTCAGATGATGAAGAAACAGCACCCAAAAATAAACCGCTACCAGAATCGTAGAATGGCAAAAGGTGAATGTTCGAGGCAGAATGGGAGGAAAGGACACCAAATGGTTCAGAATCAGCTAAAACATTTTGCAGTAAAGCGGCTAAAGAGACTAAAGTAGAAACAGCAGTGAACTTCATTGTAACTTGTTTTTTATTATTGAAAAATATGAGTGGTTTTCTAATTTCTTAATTTGGAATTGTGTCTTATAGTTTACTATTTTGGTAGGCTTTTTTGTTGGCAAAAGCAATTCTTAGAGGATAACGAAAGAATAATCAAATACTTTCTCTTCAAACATTTCTGTCTCTTTTATATAAAAAATCTTGTTATTGGACAAGGAAAATTCAAACAACAGAAATTTAATAAAACTAATGAAATAAGGCATCAAAATTTATACACATATCTGCACACACTCAAATAAGATTTAAAAAAGTTTTACCCAATTGAGATAAATTATTACAAAAAGGGAAAATTAGAAACATTAATTGATCTGAATATACTTCTGTTTTCGGAAAAATAATGCCATCTACAAATACCAATTTTCCTAAATGGGTAAATTTTTATTTTGAGAAAGGGTCTGCTTTAAACTAAAAATAGAAGCATATTACAAATCTATGGAATATAAAGAAATTCACATCAAATGTTTGGAAATACGTAATAATTGTTATGTATTACTTGTCTAAAAATAGAACAAAAATAAGTATACAATTTAATTTAATAAGATTTAAAAATTATCACTTGATTATTTTTAAAGGCTCTTATCAGAAAAGTTTATTAATTCAATCTATTAACCCAAATACAACTTGTATCAAATAAAAAAAGTATTCAAAATTATTGAACTTCCAAGGCCGTATTTCTCAACTGAAATATTATTATTAAAAATTAATTAAAAAAAGTAACAAGAACAACAAAAGTTTTAACTAAATAAGTAAGATATTATCAAATGCAAAAGATAAATTGATAGTCTGAAAAAAAGGTATATCTCTTTTTCAGGTCACAATAAGACTTTATATTTTAATGACTCTAGTAGTTGGGTATAAATAAACTATTATCTAGAGAATATAATTTGTTAAAGTTGCATGTCATATAGTACCCAATTATCAAAGGTCTATTCTAACTTCTTTTTCTATTGAAATGTATCAATACTAATAAAGAGTGTATATATATGGACTGAAAAACTTGAACGAGAAAATAGAAATAAAAATTGTAATAAGTGCTATTAATGATTAAATCAAAAAATAATAATAGTTAAATGCAAACCATATCCTGCAAATAGTATTAGTATAATATTTACATACAAGTCCAAATACCTTACTAGAACTTATAAGCCCATGTGTAAATAATTAACCTAAATATTCGAAACTCCAAATATTCTTATAGTCTTAAAAATACATAACTAATTACTTTTTTATTGTAGTAAATAAATAAGTGAGACAGAAGATACTTAACTTCCATTTTCCCCTTAATCCCATTTAGGAAGCCTTGTTCTTAATATATAACGATCAGTAATTTCATCTAGCTCCATAACTATGACGCAACCATTTGGCACATTCGTGAAAGATTCAAATTCTTCATAGGTCCACCGGAACCATTTCATAAGAAAAACACGGGAATAAATACCATGAGTAACAAGGACAATGGCATCTCTTATTCTTTTAGAACGTCTTTCTTCAAAGTGTCTAAATAATGTTTCCTGGAAACTAGCTACACGATCATAGACATCTGCTGCACTTTCACCTTGTGGAAATCTGAAAAAGAAATGTCCATATATTTTCCTCTTTTCGAGAACGTCCTTCATACTATTTATTTCTTGGAAATTACCAAAATCTTGTTCTCTCAACCTGGGTTCATCCTTTACTCTATATTTGATATAATTTTTTGTTGGATATTTTTCAGACAAATTATGTGTGGTTTCACTATTTGTATATTCACCGCTTGTCTCAGAGCCAATAGGCCAAACAGCATATTTCTGCTTCCCTGTTGGTTGATAGGAACCATCAGGACAACTCCTTACATTGCTATATTTTAGATTGTACTCATCAACAACATTTAAAATCCCCTTTAAAGTTTCTCTAGTCCTTCTATACGGAGAAGTATAAAAAACAATATTATAGTCTTTTTCTTTATTTAAGGGTTTATAACCTTCCAATGGTAAGCTTTTACATATATTTTCGTCTTTAATTTCATACTTACTAGCTAGCTCATCTACTATTTTTTCATCATCAACATTCAGCAACCTTAGTAATTGAACACCTGCATTATGTGCCTGCTTCCAACCCTTTTCTGTTAATGGAATCGCATGATTTGGAAGATATTCATTTACTAACTTGTTAATATTAGATTCACTTTCTCCATGCCTAATCAATATTACTAATCTTGGTTTATGCCTACTTCTTGGAGTTGCCGTGCTGTTAATTTCTTCTTTAGACATTTTTATTTGTCTAGTTTGAATCTCTGAATCATTAGCTAATTCACACGCCTTTAAAATATTACTTAGATGGTGCTTATTTTGGTGTACCTTCCTTCTGCTATCATCGAGTCAAAATTTCTAATTATAATTACAAATCAGTTAACATTCCCGATCAGAGAAATTGCCTTCCTTTTTGTTTTTTTTATTTTGCGCATATTCAAAAGAGAAAAAGACCCTTGAAAGAAAATCAATCAGAGAAGAAGATACCAGAATAGAAATCCATTCAGTGCACCAACATTAATTATGTTGTAAAAAAAAAGGTTACGGAAAATAAGTAAGTTCGATCCATGTCCTAATGCTTAATAATAAAACAACCTTTTTTTTAAGTCTTTTTTTGCTCTAAACACTTGCAAAGTTAATAGATATGTTATATGTGGTACATGCATTGAAATCTAAAGTATTTCTATATATACATATGAGAAGCATCTATCTTTCACAAACTTATAGTACTGAATAAACTGAAACACTCAGGAAGTTGTTGAACAAGATGCCTAAAACTATTTACCCAACATTGAAACTAATGTAACATTTTAAGAATTATATTTACAATATCAGATATTCAAAACTGCACACTCCCATGAAAGTACTAGTGAAACACACCCCAAGGGGGAGGATTTGCATTACAATTCGATGTCTTTTTTTAATGAAAAATTTCTACTTACTTTATTAATTGGTGCAGCGAATACAATTGCAAACCTCTTCAGAATTTTCTTATATTCAAATATTTTAAAACAGTGACTTAAAGAATACTAGTATAAAAACATTCAATACTTATTAATTAGTAAATAACCTATGTATGTGTAATATCAAAAAAAATGTTTCTTTTTAATATAATACTCAAAAAAATAGTAAAACAAATTAATTCTAATCTAAACAACGTCTGAACTTTCATTTTGAAAATTTTCCAAAAATCTTGAACAATGTTATATTGAATACAATGTTAATAAATTAATTATTATTTATTTATGATTGTTTTGGTCCATTTTGTTTTCTAATAAAGTAAAATATAACATGTTAGTCAATTAATTTACTTTTCAGTATACAATTACCAACAAAAGAAATGTGCTATTATTTGAAGCATTATAATATAATTTTTAGCTTGTCTATAAATTTTAGAATGAAATTTACAGCCTATAGTTTAATTCGAAATAAAAAAAATGTGTTTAGTATGAATGCTTTGACCATTTGTAAAAAAGAATGTTTAAGAACCTTAAAAAAACTTATTTATCGTATTTGAAGTTATTATGATATAATAGTTAAGAACACAACTCCATAATTTAAGTTTATCAGAACCTGCGTAGTGACAACATAAGTATTGGAAATAGACAAGTTCCTTATTTTCAACTAAGACCCAATGATACATCTTTTTAAGGTGTTCTTCATATATTTCTTGTTCAATTTTGGAATATGATAAAGCAAGAATTTATTCTGTTCTTTCATATCTATAAGTAAAAAATGTAAAGAATGTCTTGTGATGAAGTTGATAATTTTTGTTGTTCTTTTTCTTGCAATATTTTTACCATATATTGTTTTACACTTTTCAGGTTTGATAATAAATAGATTCATAAATTTTTGTTTTAACGTCAAACAAAGTAAGATTTTATGTACAACTTTCTCAACCAACGCTATATGCTCATTTTTTATCATGTATTATATTTTTATTTTCTTATTATAGGAAAGAAATTCATGGTCTTTTTTTTTTTTGAAAACTAGCAAAACCTTTTTGCCTCAACTAGGCTAAGAGTCAAAAAATCCTGACGAAATTTCTTCAAAAGCAAGATAACCAATCTTACCCTGTTCTTGAAAGCCCAACTGTGTATATCATGTAATACTCATGACATTTGTTGTCATCTAATTTATATATCGCCAAAAGAATAAAAAAAACATGCTCTGTCATTTTGGGTTATATCATCTTTGTTCAGTACATATTTGTGACAAGAAATTACAAACCAGCCTTCTTATGTTAATTCATCTTAAATTTTATATCAAGGTATGTTATTTTAACTTTTGTACTTCTTGGAAAAATTAAGTAATGAAATAGTAAGATTGTTAATTAATAGCAAAAATAATTTAAAAAATAAGCTAAATAATATTCTATAGCAGGGTAGGAAATTTCAAAATAGTTTATCAATTTATCATATTTAGTAGTGAAATTTGAGCTTGAATAGAACAACAACAACAGTTTAAAAATATATCTAAGTAAAACAAACTAGATCTTGCTATTCCTCCAAAAATTATTTAGAAGACCTCACAATATTGAGGCACTTTTTTGAGTCAAAAAAAAACTCTTTTTAAGTTAGAGAATAATGCAACTGTGTCGTTTGTTTCAAGTGCTAGCATCTAGAGCTGGATTTTATTTTACAAGCTGGTGTTTTAAGAAATTCTGTATAATGTATTTCTCTTAAAAGTATTTTTAAAAATTTTAAACAGTAGTGACTTAAGCTGAACTTAATTCTGTATTGAAAATAAATCACAATTTTCAGAGGAGATTACGCTCTCGACAACACACTCTGCATAGTGTAAAATAAATTTGCTATTGTATTTTTTAAAAAACCCTAAGCTGGCCCTCTAGGATTCAAAAAACAACTGTGAAAAATGAAAAATAAAAAGGAAGAAAAGAAAAGAAAAGAAAAAACAAAGAAGTTCCTAAAAAAGGTTTTTTATTGCTTTTTTACCCCGCTTACAACAATTGATTATACCTTCCCAAACAATTACGTAATTATTGTTCTTATTGTTTTTTTTATTTTTGCATATCTACATATAATATATTTTTAAATCTTGCAAGGTTGTTTTGACTAACCTGTCGAAGAATTCCTTTTAGGAAAATTTTTTTCCTTTTTTATTGTTTTCAATAATAAATAGTTCTTTTATCCCTTGTTATCTATTGTCATGTATTGTTGTTTTGGAATTGTCAAATTTTCAGATCTTTATCTCAATTACATTTTATTTCCATATCAGTGATTATTTTCCAATGAAATTTCCCCTTGATATTAAGATAATAAACAATAATAGTCTTTACGCATATTTCTTGAAATGATTAGAAAGGATGATAATGAACTATTTCAGCTTTTATTGAGAAGATGTGTAAAAGTTTTCTTTTATATATAAACAAAGATAGGTCTGTTTAACAATGTTTGATAAACTATTTCTCACTATCACCAAGGGAAATACAATCAATAAATATATTTCCAATTTTATTAATTTACAAGGGAAGCAGGATTATTCCATTCCGCTAAATTAAGAAAGTTTACTTATATCTAATTGATGTGTTCTATTTAAGTAGTTCAACAAGCCAAAGCTTGGAATAAACAAACATAATGATATCTTCATTTTCTGAATCTATTATTTCAAGTTTTTTAGGCAGCGAACGTCTCAATACCTCAAATTATTTTTCGAGTTCTCAAGATATAATTAATGGCAGTCAATTCCCTGTTTTTTCACAATCATTTGATAGATATATATATGATAGACATATTCAGTTTAGGTCAGAATTATTTGTAAAGAATTCAGTGACTGAATATTTTGCTAATATATATAAAGCATTTTATTGTCCAAGTTTCAAATTATCTGAAGAAAATGAACAGCAAGCAGTCACAAGCAATAATAATATAGTTGCACGAAATAATATTATGCGTGAATTGTTCAAAAATAAAGTAGATAATCTTAATATAAATGATAATACTTCTGACTGTGAAGATATGAGTACAGCTTCTGATATCATGGGTCAAATATTTTCAGATTCAGAGTATTCATTGGTATCATCTCACTCATCCCCATCTTCTCCGTTAGAAACATTATTTATCAGAAATAACACTAATTTTGTGTCAAATATTAAGAAGAAATGGTTAAGAAATACCTTATATAATTATGGGAAAAAGAATAAGTATGGTTGTAAATTTTGTGGGAAGCTCTTTTCAAGGCCATCGGCCCTAAGTACTCATGTAAATACACACACAGGAGATAAACCATTTATTTGTCCATACCAAGATTGTAACAAGGAATTCAATGCGAGGTCTAACATGACAAGACATTACAAATTACATTTTAGGGTTTCCTCTGGTGGGTATCTCCTGCCTTCAGGAAAAATAGTACATAAGAGACCATCTTTAAAACAACTGACTACCGATGATATGAAGACTATATAATTCTTGTAAATTTTATAATGTTATAGACACTTTTCAGTATTAAAAGTTAACAATTATACTATTTATTATTGAATGAGGCATTTCTTTATTCACTTTTGTTACTAGTCAGTGCCTATTTCCACGTGGAAAGGGGTATGTAATTAATTGAAAATTAAGTGATTGAATAGAGGAAAATAACAATAACAGTCCGGAAAAATCTCTAAAAGGTTTGATCAAGTTGTTGTAATGAACTATTCATACAGTTTCTCCCTTAAGAATGTTGACGTCAACATTCCTAGAACATAACAAAAAAATAAAAAAGAATGTGGTATTATTTAAAAACTATAGAAAAAGGCATTATTAGTTGAAAGAACCGTTTTTTCTATTTTTGGTGAGGTTATTTTTACTCAAAAAAAAATTTCGCATCTCTTTTACCTCTTTTCAATAATATTCTTCGTTTTTAGTGATTTGTACATTCCCTTTCGTACTCTTCGTAAAAAATTTTAGAGATTCTGAAATCTTAATAAATTTCCTTTGTTTTTCTCTAAAGGATTGACTAATAAACTTTATTAATACGGAAAGTTCCATAATTGGTGTTATAACAAAAAAAATTGTGTTTTTTTTTGGTATTAACCTTAAAATAAAGTTTTGCTTTTATTTTTTTTATATTGTGTTAGTTAAGTTACATTTTATTTATGCATTGCTCTACAAAAGCTACTCTATAAAGGTTTTTTTTTGTTTATTTAGGCTTGGGAGAACAATTGTTTTGAGACGGAGAATTATATTTCTCCTATACACCAACCTACCATAATTTTTTCGTAAATACTCATGCTACTGGGACAAGCATGTTTTTATTCTCATTTTCGTTTTTTCTATTTTTATTTTCTAAAACTAACTTATTTTTTTTCTTGTATTTTGATTAGTTCTTAAATAATTTGTAACAATAAGTATATGTTAACCTTTGTGGTTTTTTTTAAAAAAAATACTGTAAGAAACTTGATCAGACTCCAGTATATACGTAATTCTATGGGTAATATCTAAGCGTCTAGCTAAAGCATTGATACGATCAGGCACATCGTTATTAAAATAGGATACTAAATTGGATCAGTGGATTTCCAGGGTATGATAATTACATTAAGTCTTGCTTAAGAGATCTCTGGTTGTTGAAAGATATGCTACGTATAATTATCCTATTTAAATATATCCTAGTATCATACAAGACCAACAATAAGCAACAATAGTACCACCAGTATTATTCCAGGGCTATTATTCGTTTTTAGTTAGAGTCCAAGTAACAGTACTCATATTTACACTAATTGCCATGGTTCATTCATTTGCTTATAACAACTCTTAAATATATAAAATATTTATGATTATGTTGAAATAATACCTGGTGATTCTGATTATTTGTAAAATAATAGGAATAGTAATAATGATTCTAAGATAGTAAAAGTGATGTATTGAACAAAATTAATACTCTTCGAACTATTGATATTAACTTACTAAATATAATTAGATCTAAGCCATGTCAATAATATTATATACCTATTAAGTTACCTTTAAATTTAATGATAATCCTTTCAATGGGCCATAAAGATTATATATAAAGAAACTGGGAGTTTTATATCCACTTAAATGTCAAAAATGCTACATATTTTTGGTTATATGTTTTGAAAGAACTATATCTAACTACTCTTGCCTTTTAGAAAACAAAAAAAATCTTATGTTTTGTTTCATTAATAATGCAGTAATATTATATAGATTAATTTAGCCTAATGATAGCTTAACAATACATACTATTATGAATGTGTAAGAAGATGAATATAGATACATGAAACTCCAAAATGGTCTCATGAAAGCAGACACTTTATTTGTTCATCATATAGATATTAATATTATCAACTAGTTTTTAGGTTGCTACAAGTATACATTTTTACAGTTGTTATCAGTGAATTTAATCTAAAATAAAAAAATGCTAAAATAAAAAATCTCACTGAGACTGCAATATTTTTGTAACCTCTAAAATTGAAAGCCTAGTTTATCTATTAAACAGTCAATAGCTTCAAAATTTAAATCGTTATTAGCAAAACTTAGATGTTTCTCAGATAAAATATGTTCGCCCAATGACTCGTACTTGACTCTGCAATTTTCACAGTAACCTGAATTTTTTACCGGTTGTTTTCTAATTACAGGTTTGTTATCTTTATCTCCTACCTGGTCAGATATTTTCTTCTGTTGTTGATTGTTATTATTGATGTCGTCCTTGGAAATGGATTCTCTTCCAAAAGAATGTTTTAAGTTTGAACCACCTCTACTTAATAATGGTGCACCTCCATTGATAGTGCTTCTAGAGTTTCTGGAATATGGTACCTCTGCATTAGAATTTGAATATCTTTTTGCTGGACCATCTAACTTTCTATCAACTAATTTATTCAAAGTTCTAATATTTTTACTCATAACAGTGGATTTAGTTGGACCTAATCCATTACCGAAGGACGTGGCAACATCATTAGATTGATGAGCTCCACTTGCTTTGATCTCAAAGGGTACCCTTGATTGTCTTTTTGATGTAGCACATAGGTCGTCTGGTAAATCTTCGGTCTCTTGTCTGCTTAATGGAATTAATGGTATATTTTTCAAAGATGGTATCGAAACTGGTTCTTTCCACGTTTTTTCTACAAGTTTCTTTTTCCCATTGGTATTATTATCATTCTTCCTCTTATTTTCATTTACCTGTAGTGCAAATACATTGTTTTCTGCATCATTAGGGTTAGATATTTCCATAATAGATACTTGTGTATCTTCTACTTTATCATTCCTTTCGACGGTTTGAGTAACCTTGGCGTTAATATCACCATTTATGTTGAATTTATCGTTATTTATTGAGTTAGATTTTGATGCTTGATTAACATTTGTTTTTACCTCTGCTACCGTTTGTGTATTAGTTGATTGATGGTTATGTTCACTTCCCTTAATTAATTTCTGATACATTAACGACGAATCTTGGCAGGCATGTGGTAAAAATATTAGACCTTTTGCAACAGCATCACAATCTGATTTGCTTGGAATTGCATGATATTGATATAATTGACGTAGTTTCAACGCATACGGTAAATTAATTTGATCTCTTTTATATCTTTTAAGAATTCTTTTAGCAGAATTCTCTATACAATATCTATCACCAATAAATGGACATCTACCAAAAGTGCCCATTTTTAAAGTTGGATATGGTAAATTATTCTCGTCAGCCAAGTCTTGTTGCCTCCATTCTAATGTGATTATTGGAGCCCAAGTTTGCCATATATCATACATATAAACGTAGGAGTGTTTGAAATAATGTATATCGTCTCTTTTAGTTCTTGGGTCTCTATCAGTAGGACCATACAGTTTCTCATTTTCTAGTAGATGTGATAGGGTAGGAGTAGCTAAAATTGGTGATTTATTTTTTATTAGAGCATTGAAATCTACATCCAAATTTGTCAAGAACCTGAAAGCTTTTTCATAACCCCAGACTTTCATAAAATTTTTTTTAGCTCGAGATAATATATCCTTATCGTTAAGCAAATGTATATTTTCCGTAAGTCTGGCAGTGACAACAATAGTGACACTAGTGTCAAAAAATTGAGTTATCTCGGCACCAAGTGATAAAAATCCCCTTTTCAACAAGTCTCTTTTTTTATCAAGTGCTTTTTTGGTCTTTATATTGTCTATACTATCTTCAGTTGTATCGAAATATATTCTTGAGTCACGTCTCAGAATTTTCTTCCAATTGTTTTGCCAATCTAATAATTCTTTTGGAGTCACTTTATTTTGTACATTTTTCAAAGCTGCTGGTTTAGATACAAGTACTGCACCTTCAATAGACCTGGCTCTCTCCACTCTTGGTTTCTTTTTTTGTTGTGGTTCTGATCTTTCTATTATTCTTTTCCTCACAAGCAAAGTATTATTATTCTGATCATTTGAACCACTGTAAGATTTGCTGTGATCAACATCATTCTTATTGTTATAATTATGACTATATTTAATACTATCGTTTTTTTCTTGACTTGGAACAAGTTGAATTTCCTTTCCGTTTTCATTTAATGGTACTCCTCGGAGATTCGCATCTGTTTCTTTGAGTGGGGATCTATTGATAGCTTTGATTGGGGACAACACCATTTTTTAGCAGTTATCTTTTGTATGGGTATACAATATATCAAAAGAGAAGTAGAAGGATATACGTATATAATAAATTGTCCAGTATTCTTCAAAAAAAAAAAAAAAAAAAAAAAAAACAGGTTATTGAGATTCTAAAAAATAATGAAAAAAAAAGAATCAGTAGTAGTTTGTTATATCCACAGTATTCGATCAATTCTCAATAAAATATCAGGTATTTTGATTGAAGAAACGTGTCACTGTACTAGGTTTTGAAAGAAAATAAAAAAAATAGAGAAAGAGAGAGAGTAAAAAAGTAACCGGATACTTGATCTTTGATTATAATGTATCTTGTTTATATTATATCTTCAATTGGTTTATGTTTCTATGTTAGCTGTCTTTAACGTATACTTAAACGCTGATGGTTATGCAGTAAATTTTACTCTAAAAAAAAAAAAAAAATCAAAAAATCAAAATCTCTGTAGATATTTATTTTGTGCATCCATTTTATCAAATAGTTAATTATCATTTATTGAGAAAAGAAGAAATTCGTGTCTTTTGATTTCTGTATTTTTTGTTTTTGTTTTTTTTATTTTTCTATTTTTTTTTTTTCTCATTTAGTGGATTTTGTTATTTTCGCTTGTTTGTTTTGCCTTACTGAAGTCCTCTTAACTGTGTGATGTGTGGATGTCTGGCACCTTCTGGTTTTTTCCTTTTTCTTTTGATTTGGAGGCGCGTCGCATTTGGTGTCGCGTTATTTCCTATTTAGGAAACTGTTAAAGGAAGCCCTAAAGTAAAATGCAATTAATGTAACAACCCTAAAGAAAGACCCGGGACTTTATATTCAAAGAAGGACTTGTTTGAATTAATGACAATTTACACATGCAAATTAATGGTATTATTGTATATATACATATATATATATATATACATGTATATGTATATTTATGTGTATATTTATATGTACGTATATGTATATACCGAAAGGAATAATGTATGGTTGAAATAATCTTTTAAATACATATGCTAAGGGGACATTTCAAAGAAAGATTGGGGTAGCGTTAAATAGGCATAAAAAGTGGGAAAGAGACGATGACCAAGCATGTTTTAAATTAGACGGAATAAGAAGAGGTTAAGAGAAAGGAGTGAGCGAATAGGTAAAATAAGGTAGCTTATCAAAAGATTATTTCTTATCTATTCTTTCCATCTCTTCTACATCTTCACTTTCATCATCCGCTTTATTTGGTTGTTTTCTATCCATTACAGAATCGTTGTCTATACTATCGTCATCGTCGTCGTCATCTTCTTCAAATTCGATATCTTGTTCTTCGTTTTCATCGTCGTCGTCGGCAAAGCCGCCCGTATAGTTATAAACGTCATCATTCAAAAAGTCTTCTTGGTAGTCATTATCATCCATATCTGAATCGTACCAAAAATTTTCTGTCATGCTTTTACTTAGAATGTTATTATCACCGTTCCGACTAATATCATTACTACTGCCATTTCTGTTATTATTGTTATTATTACTACTACCATCTCCTATGGAATTGTAGCTATTGGTATTATTTGAACTCGACAAATTAACTGTTGATTGAGACATGGATTTTCTTGCAGAAGAGGAAATATAGGCGGATTCCGATGTTGGCATCACAAACCCAGCGGGAATATCTTGTTTCGATCTTTCGACTTCCATTCTAACACGTTGTTTGTATTGTTCTGGGTTCTTTCTATAATCTACAGCGGCATCCACGTTAGCTGGAGAAGAAATGTTTGGATCCTCTAGTAGGGATACTATGGAGATCAAAACAGATTCTACGGTTTGTACGGGGGACCAGGTCTCTGCATCTGGTTCATCAGTCATTGGATCGCCACTTTGGTGCAAAATAGAGATACAAAGTCTACCATCTCTATAGACATTTGGATGATAGATGGCGGGGGTAAACCTGAACTGTGGTGGGGAGAATGGAAAATCGTTGGGAAACCTCATTTGTGCTTTGAAATAACCACCATGATATATGGAATCCTCGTTTAATACCATTACACCGATATTCCAAACAAATATGTTGGAATCATCTTCTAGTTCGATATTGAAGGATGGGATAGCCTTTTTGGGGTCAGTTAATTCTCTATATTGTCTCAGTAAAATACTTGCAGCAGTGTTCTTACGTGAACTCATGGTTAGTAATGGTTGGTTAATGATTTATCTTGTTTTTTTTTTTTTTGCTTTTTTGTTTTCTTTCTCTTTTATCTTTTCTGCGTTAATAATATCAGTTCACAACTGGGAAAAGTGTATATGTTCGTGTGGATATCTGTGTTGCACAAATAAATAGATAAACGAATAAATGAATAAGTGATATTATATATTTATACTTTATCTTTTGTTAAGAATAAGAGACTAATATAAAATGTATTTAAAAGAATGAAAATAGGTTACATAGAGAGAAGGGTTATCAAGGAAAAGGAAGGAGGAGAGACAAAGAAGAAAGGTCTTTTTTTTTTTTTCTTTATCCTTTGATACTGAACAAAAAAGAAACAGAGGTGAAATGGATTGTCAAAAGAGAAAAAGAGGAATGAAAATGAAAACGAAAATAAAGACAAAAATAAAAATAAAAATAAGAGCAGCCTTTGAGCTGTTTATTTTCGGTTCTTATTTTTTACTGCTTTTTATAATATCGAGCCGTTGAACATTGACAAATTTTGTTTTTTTCTTTCTTTTCTTTCTGTTTTTTTTTTTTTTATTTTTTTTTTATTTGTTTGGTCATATTTTTTGTTTCGTTTTTGCCACTATAAAACGTTCCTTTTTTTATTTTTATTTTCATTTTCTTACCTTTTTCTTACTTTTTTTTTGTTTTTGGTAGTTTTATTTTCTCTCACTTGGGAAGTGGAGAAGGGAAGAATTGGTAAGCTGTGGCGGTTACATTTGATGATTATCAAACTGTGTCAAATCTGCAAGAAAATAAATAATGTGGGTTCACAAAGTGTTGTGACATGTGTTTATTAGACTGCTTCATTTATTTTGAAGAGTTCCTTGTGCTTCCAACTATATAATAAACGTACATAAATGAAGCGTTACATAAAATATTTGTTAAAGGATACTTAGCCCTGTTGTGTACCCGCTTATTTATTTACTTGTGATCTTTTTGATTTGATAAGATTGTTTTATCAGTGATTATATTCATAGGAAGTGAATTAAGATATAGTTGGATGATATGTACGTACGTATGTATGTATATATGTATTCTGTTACAATACGGTTATTTATGTTCCAGAGAGATATAACGATGAGTAATTTTACTTACTAATCTTAATTATGTATATACGAGGTGAAACCCGCCTCTTCTTGGTAGGGGAAGAAAAAGAAGAAGAGTACGGATTCTATTTCCGATCTGTTTCCTTAGTATCTCAATCCGGGTATCTTCCAGATTTGTTTTTTTTTCTTTTTTAGCTGTTTCCAATAGTTTACAGCACATAGAAACATCTTCAAAAATGCAAAAAAGCAACATAACATTCATACATCCCTGCAATTATACACCTCTCACCCTTTTTCTTCTCCTCTTCTTTTTACAAGACGTATATATACATATATACATATGATATACTATTACCCAAAGAGGAAATTACAAAACAATTTTTTCCCACTTTCTTTTGTTCTCCTTCCCTAAAGAAGTAATAGCATTTTCTTCTCCATCTTTTTTTTTTTTTTATTTTCTTTTCTTTCTGTCCATTTTATTTCTTGTTAATTGCTTTTGTTGACTTTTTCTTAGTAGCGGCAGTAAGATTTCATGCGACTTGAGATGTTATGAATTTTGATATGTTTATAGTTTATGTTTTCTATTTTCTGTTTATGTTTGTGTATACTTGAATCACTTACGTTTCATGTTTTTCTATTTCCTAATTAGGTGACTGTGTAATTGTTTGGTTCGTGTTATTTTTCTGTTTTCTGTTTTTTGTTTTCTCTTCAAGGAAAAAAAAAAAAAAAAGAAAATTTTTTTTGTGATTTGAAATTTCGACAAAATTGGATCAATCAATCAATCATTGAATCGATTATGCTGCTAATTTTGTTTCTTTGCTGGTTTTTGATGGTGGAAAATTCTGGTTGAGCAGGTTTTTTGCAACGTCTTCACTGTAGTGTGTCCTCCTTTTGATTTCTTTTTATAGTAACTGGTATATAAATACTATATATACCTATGCTTGTTTTTTATTTTTTGTCCCTTGTACATGCCCACTATTTTCTCTCCACGCTTGTCTTTCTGTTGCGTTCTTGGCACTCTTTTCTATTTTCACATATGCATATCTAATACACATTCTTTGCTATTTTTTTTCTTTTGTTATTCTTTATAGCTCTATCCTCGAACTCGTTTACTTTACTTTTTGTGGATTCATCACCTTAAGAAGGTTGTCAAGAAATATACTACAAAGTGAGTGATACAATATTCTTCCTGAATTATCCTTTGCTTTCCATTAATTAATTTATTTTCTTTCTTTTTGATTACGTATAGTTATTTATAAAGTTCGTCTTTTTCTTTTTTCTGTTCTCTTTCTTTAATCACAACTCTACTGGTTTTTTTCTGTTTTTATACCTTATTTGTTATAAATATTTACTATACTTCGAAGTAAGAAAGTGAGAGAAATAAGGAATAATATTATAATCATTTATTATTATTGAATAAGTGATCCATTTACACGCATATACATACACAGCATACACTTAATTTTTTTTTTATAATTTTTTTGTTTTGGTTAACTCATAATGCAATTCAAATCTACTGTATTATCTCTATTAGCTTTATCAGCCTCTTCAGCTTATGCTGCATCTAGTACTACCAGCTCTACTACTAGTGCAAATCCATGTTCCATTGGTTCCAAAGCTACTGCTACTGCTCAGACTGATTTAGATAAATTGGCTTCTTGTAAGACTATCACTGGTAATTTGACTATCACTGGTAACCTAGGTTCTGCTGCTATTGCTAATGTCCAAAAGATCGACGGTTCTTTGATTATTAAGAATGCTACCCAATTAGTCGCTTTTTCTGCTGATTCTATCTCAGAGATCACTGGTTCTTTAGAATTGACTGATTTGACTATCTTAACTACAGCTTCTTTCGGTTCCTTAGAAAAGGTCGATACCATTAACATGATCACTTTACCGGCTATTTCCACTTTCAACTCCAAACTATCCTCTGCTGATAACATTTACATCTCTGATACCAGTTTGGAATCTATTGAAGGTTTCTCTGTTTTAAGTAAAGTTAGCAGCTTCAACATCAACAACAACAAATACTTGACTTCCATGCAATCTTCCTTGAAGACCGTTTCTGATGCATTATCCTTCCAGTTCAATGGTAACAATGCCTCTATCGAATTAGATAACTTGGTTTGGGCTAACAATATCACTTTGTCTGATGTTTCTTTCGCCTCCTTCAAGAACTTAAAGGCTGTCAACGCCTCCTTAGGTTTCTTGAACAACTCTTTGCAAACTATTGAATTGAACAACTTGACTTCTGTCGGTCAAACTTTCACCATTTCTTACAACGATGAATTAACCGATTTGAAATTCGATAAGTTGACTACTGTTGGTGGTGGTTTAGTTGTCACTAACAACACCAACTTAGTTAATATTAATGCTTTCTCTAATTTACAAACCGTTGGTGGTGCCTTAAACGTCTTAGGTAGATTCCACACCTTGGACTTAACTTCCTTAAAATCCGTTCGTGGTGCTGCTGATGTCCAAACTACTGCTTCCAACTTCTCTTGTAATCCTCTAAAAACTTTACAAAAGAAGGGTGCTATTCAAGGTGACAAGTTCGTTTGTAAGAATGGTGCTGTTTCTTCAAGGTCCAGCTCCGTCTCCTCCGTCACTTCTACCAAGAAAGCTGTATCTTCCACTTCTTCTGCTGCTACTACTACTTCTTCCTCTTCTGACTCCTCTTCTTCTAAATCTTCATCTTCTAAGTCTAAAGGTTTGGCTCCAGTTAACTACATCGAAAGCACCTCTGTCTTCGGTATTGTTGGTGCTGTCATGGCAGCTTTATTATAAGTTATATAGGAAACTGTAAATTAGTTTATAATGTATATATGTTTACATATATTTGAATTATCTTGTTAAAAATTCATTATTAATAATAAATTAGTGTTAAATGAAATACATACATATATATATATATATATATATATATAATGTTTACATGTAGAAAGATAATAATAAGCGGTTTATCGATATTTATGAAGTTGTTTGTTCTTCAGCAGGTTGTTTTTTAAATCCAAGTGCTACAAGATTGTATAACACAATACCAACTATTATTCTTTTCCAGTTCTTCTCTAACCAGGACTTGTCCTCTTCATTATCATCCTTTTGATTTATATTTCTGTTAGCATTAGTGGAATCATCACCATCTTCTTTATCTAATATGACATTACCTAGTTCTTTCTTTTTATCTGCATAAGTCTTTGTAACTTTTTTCAATTTGATCACATCACCAAGGGAACTTTTCGTAGATGGTCTTACTAAAGGTAATATCACATTCTTATAATTGTTATTATATATAGGATTGTCTATTAATGAATCATTATAAACTAAGGAAAGATGATTGATTTCATAATCCCAAATTAATTCGTATGATAGTGGGGTTGTCAATTGTAATAAAGTAAAACAGTCGTGATCTTCAATACCAATACAATATAACGTATCAGAATTAATATTATGATTTAAGGAAGAATCAAGAATGTGTTTTATGATTAAGGAGTTGGTTTCTTTATCTATAATCAAATCTGCCAACGGTACTATTTCATTAGAATCTACGATTGATTTTGCGTGTAAGTTGAATGTTTCATTATAACCAAACACTGCGCTCAAATGTAGCCAGAAAATAGACTGATATATTGTAAAACTTAATCTCATTTTTTTCTACCCTGTCTTTTGCAATATTTTTTTTATTGTCCTATCCACAAAGTATTATTTTATTTTTTTTTTATTCTACAGCTCTTTTTCAAACTTGCATGTATCTATCTATATATATATATATATATATGTGTGTGTGTGTGTGTGTGTGTGTATGTACGTATTTATTTAATACTGTTCTTGTAAATCCTTTGATATTTTTCAGTTCCTTGTTTTTTTTTAGAAGATTCCAAAATAAGGACAGAAAATGGAATTTTAAAATATTAAAAGGACAGGCAGTTGGTTCTAACTTGAGCCCCTGGAGTTACGTTAAAGAGAGTGTTCGTAGTGCTTTGGTTAGATCATAATTGTAGTAAATTTATAGATTTAACATGATTCTGATCTAACTTTTAAGAAGTTGAACAAACTAGAAACGCTATAAATAAATTATTGATAAAGGGATAATATGCTCAGAAAGAATTTATTTTCACCTTTTTTGTGTTTATTAATATATTTACCATATTTGAGCTATGGTTTGTCAACTCCTTTAGAAGATCCATTATCTTCACAGAAATTCAATATTATATATGTTTCATCCTTGGATGAAACTCTAGATTCTTTGGTACAATCCCATGGTAATGGTACACTTCTGACACTTGGAGATGATATGAAATGTCTTATACCGAATGAGACTAAAATGTCATTTTTACAGCAAATTAATAATAATGTTACCATATGGAATCAATTGCTTGAAGAGTCCTTAAGTAAAGGTTTGGATATCATTGATTCAACTATGCATTCAAAATGTTTGTCTCAAGGGAATGGGTTTTGGAAATATCAACTTTGTTATGATAATGACATTTTACAATATCACAACTCACCTAGTGATACTAAATTTGTTAACAAATTGGGTTCATACTTAGGAATAAGTAACTCCAGTGAAGTGACACTAATTTTCGACAATGAGATTGGCTATTATATAAGCGAATTTTTAGAGCCTGGAGATATATGTGATTTAACTGGCAAAAAAAGAGAAGTTGAAGTCCAATATGTCTGTGGATTAAATAAGGATTCTCCAACATTACAATGGATAAAAGAAGTTGGTACATGTATATATGAGGCAAGAGTTATGCTCCCTGGTTTATGCAGTTTAGAATTATTTGCCAAAAATGAGGATAAATTATCAGCTACTCAAATTGTATGTCAAAGATCAGGTAAGCAAAATAATGGTAATGTTTCACACATTTATAACATTGAAGGTGGCATTGTTGATATTGTAGCAGATTTTGATCCTACTTTTTTAAATAATGAAATTTTCTTGTTAAATCCTGTGGATATAAATCAACGATTGATATATTTATTATATACTGGGGAAATGACAGATACTGATGTTATGGAAGCGGCATTATTTAATAAATTTAAAAATGCATTCAGTACAATGATTGGTGGAAAATTGTTAAAAGGACCTAACAATGAGATAATAACATTGAATGATATTTTAGAATGGTGGGCCCCAGTAATTAATTCAGATGGTGAGTTATTATTTACTGTTACCCTAAAAATGTTGTCAAAAGGTAAAGCTGAATTATACTTAACATCAAAAAAAAATATTTATTTTCCTATGAAGACGGTAAATGTTGTTAATTTTAGTGCTCGGGATGACAATGAAATAAATATAGCAAACCAGGACTCACAACTTCAAGAAAAGATAGAGGAGAATATGGTAATTAAAGAACCGGAATCACGTGTTAAAATTGATGGTAATAAGGCTACTTTATTTTTGAAAAACAGTAAGGGTGAAGTCGTATCAATACAAAGAATACAAGAAGCAGAAGATCACTATATTTTTCTCTTTCATATCCTGGATGAAAATGGTGAACCTATTTCTATAAGTAATGAGGCCACAGATGAATTACTCGTGGATTTATTTGAAAATTATGGTATGGGGTCAGTGCTTGAACAACTGGAAGACCCTGATATGGTCAATAATAATATTAATAATGAAAAAGGAAAGATTGAGTTTATTTCCCCTCAAATCGAAAAGCAAAGCAATTTCCATATAACTAATTCTGGGGTGTACCAACAAAAATCAGAAGATAAGGGCTTCATTGATGTGTCTGAAAGGAATGAAAAAGTCGTTTCTTTTGAAAATATTAGATCTGACGAGATTTTAGAGGATGTAGAAGACAACTATCATAATACTAATGAGAATATTCCACCAATAGAAGAAAATGTTTCTGAAATTGCGGAGGATGAACGACAAATCAAAAACAATATTAAAGTTGTGACATCATTGGAAGAAGAGCAAGTTATTGACACCAACAAACAACAGAATATTGATAAATTAGAGACTAAAGTTACTACAAAGGGCTTGGGTAGTCAAAGTGTCGAATTTATTGAGATAGCTACCAAACATGATTCTGTTTATGATAATCAATCAGATGATATACAAGAAGTTCAAAATATTTCGACTGCATCTTCTTGTACTGAAGATACGACTGATTATGAACTTGATTTTACTTCTATATTGAAAGAGATTTTAGATGGTGAGAGAATATCCGATGAGACTAGTACTTTAACTTTTCCTACTTCTATAAAAACAGCCATCATAGATAGCATTGAATAACATAATTCTGAGAATCAATAATTCCTACTCCACTGGATTTATAATAGAGTAAATACAACACAATAATATATTGGTTTTTACTTATTTAGTTTGAATATGGATTGTTTGGATATTTAATGAGTAAGTATTGTGTAACAGTAGTTTTTTTAAAACTAAACTATCAGTTCTTTTTTGTAAAAAGAAGATAGAAGAAGGCTTCGCTGTAAATCCTGAAATACTAGTCTGTGGATAACGCCGAATGTCGAGGTGAAGGACTTGGAATAACCGAAACTCTGGGCCCAAAGTTGTGAGTGTATTTGAATGAAATGAACGATCTTCAAATGGACATTGGTGGTAAATTAATGGGAAGCCTATTTAAGAGAGATCGTTGATTATTGAGAAATGGTGCCAGAGGTAATTATTAGCAATAATACTTGTATTCTATCTAATAGGTTTAATCTAAGGAAGAATAACACGAATAACTAGGACTAATCTATTTATTAGTTAAAATCAACTAATCATATAATTTGTAAGTGCTTATATATATAATTAATTTCCATATTTTAGTATACTACCTGTGATAACTCGTACAGAGAAACTAGAAAATCTTGAATGGTATATAAAAAACCTTTTGTTAGTGGAATAATTTTACAAATTTTCAACGCAGACGACAGTATATATTTTAAATAAATACATCTGTTGGATCTTAAAGAATAGGTTGATAGTATAAGTATGTTTTTCGATACCGGATTATTATTATGGAATCACTTTATGGCTTAAGTATAATAAATATTGACACTTATGAATATTTCTAATGATATATGTCCTTCTGATAGAAGTTAACAGAATACATAGACTACATTTTGAATACTATTCGTCATGTTACACTTAAATGGATGAACGGTTTCATATAGATAACATAAGTTGTTGTGTCAGGTTTAACTAATATATATTAAACTAACAATAAGTACTTCTGCATTTAAATGTGAGAAAAAACTTATATTGGAAAATAAGAGTTTTATTACTGTTGTGTTCAATAGAATTATTTTTAATTTGATTCTTCTTTATGTTTGTAAGGGTCTTCTAAAGTAATATACTAAAATGCGGATGTTAATTATTATATGTGCACACTTACAGATTATATAATCGTTGATTCCAAATAATACATCAATTTCTCTTTAGTGGTCTTATTTGATCTGGATTATTCTAATCTTCTAGGTGAAACCAATAAGAAAACATATGAGTGTTAATGGTGATAATTATTTCTGATAAATTTTCTCAATAGTTAAAGATATCTTAAATAAGTCTTTAAGTAATTTGCTACCAATGTTAATTTGACTATCGTTTGTTCAAATACACTCACAACTTGGATCAAGATTTTCGGCTATTCTAAGTCCTTCACCTAGAAATTTGGTGTTACCCGAGTGTTGCATACTTTAAAATTTCCAGTTAGGGCTTCTCATAATGGTATGTGATACACTAACGCATTATAATATGTGGAAAACATTTTATTTTGCACTAACAGTGTTGTGAAGAGATCTGAGGAAATGGGTATTTATTCAGGTTATTGTAAAAACTTCGAATAGTTTATTGTGTCATGAATTAATTATATTTTAAAGTTAAATTTAATTGGGAATTCCTGAAGATTACATGTTGAAATATTAAATTGAATAATATTAGGAAATGTTTTATTTAGGGCTAGAACCATTTACTGTTATTGCGTTGGTTAAAAAGCTATGTTTACTGTTTGCTACCGCTAATTATTATTCAAGATGTTCTTTGAGATTCTGCAGGATAACACAATTAACAAATAGGGTCTGAATAACTGATTTACAAATACATCGTATTATATGGTTGGTAATGTTTCAGATATATATAAAAGAACAACCTCTTGATAAAATAAACTATCCTTTGTAATTCCTTTTTTACAAATATTTTATATAATATACATTAAGACTAGAACAATACATAGATATATAGTCACAGATAGATATATATAATTAATAAAAGCAAATTATAACTAGTATTCATTGTAAAGTTATTGATTTCTGTTGGAAAATGAGAATTGATTACTGTTATTTCCATAAGAATTATTTTTAATTAGTTTTTCTGTATATTATGTGGTGTACAGATGTACCATAATATCGGGAAGACATTTTATTTGTCACCAAATATGTTTTTCACAGATTTTGAAGAGAAATGAAAATCTTAAAAGAAGAGTAAAAGTAAATACAAGAATGTATACTGTATACACTATATAATAGGTATATACATGTATTTAGTACAAAACAGGACAAGCATCTATAACTTAATGATGTCTACCATTACCATGGACGCTGAAGGTTCCAAATTCCAACATTATTAATAAGGTCTTTATATATTAACGGCTATATCGAGCTTATATAATTATTCGAAGTTACTTTACTTGTTACTTGCTTGTTATATATCCAATATGTAATTATGTATAAAAGAGAAGTTACAGAAGATAGTTTTCATCTTCAGAAAACGTTATTCTTTTATATGTTTTCTGGAACTCGATCAACTATTCAACTTGATATATTAATGAATCAGTAATCCGTATCATTATTATTAGTTACAATAACATAATCGAAGATCATAGAACATTTAAGACAATCAGTTATGGTGGTGCAGAAACAGAAATATGTGAACACGCTGTACAGACAGGTGGAAAATGGACACATTGTACCTAAAATACAATAGGTAATTCTGGATTCAACTAAAATCTTACATAATCTCGGTTTTGTTGACCTTCTTATTATACAGTAGCCGTTGTTATAATATGAAATGGTCAGATTCTTTTGTATATTTCGGGGAAGCGCAAATAATATTAATAGTTATTCAAATAATCGAGACAGTAATCAACTATAGTCGATAATATAATTACTAAAACGGTCTTATAATTTGAGTAGCTTTTATCGAGCTAATAGATTTATTCGAAGTTACTTCTTGTTACTTGCTTGTTGATCTATTTATGTTTATATATAATATATAAATTATTTACAAGAAAAGGTTATGGAAGATCATCTTTTATCTTCAGAAAACGTTGTCCTTTTATACGTTTTCTGGAGCTCGATCAATTATTCAGATTTGTACATTAATAAGCTTAGTGATCCAAACCCTAAAATTTATTACACTATTTCAGGTACACTAGTGAATTAGAACTGCACCCCAATTCTCCAATCATGGTAATTAGTAATACACGTGGGACTTATTGAAACAATAGGTAAATTCTAGATTTGTCAAAATCTTATGTAATTTAATCTCTTTATTATGCAGCATCTAATGTTGTAGCACGTGTATGGCTTATTAAGACAACAAATAGTTCTAGATTCATTCAGGATCTTTTGTAATCTTGATGGTCATAACTATTCTATTTCGCAGCAGCCGTCAGGAATTTGAGCTCGCGTGGCGTAATGGCAACGCGTCTGACTTCTAATCAGAAGATTCTGGGTTCGACCCCCAGCGTGAGTGCTATCTTCCTTTCTCTAGTCCGTGATAGTTTAATGGTTAGAATGGACGCTTGTCGCGTGTCAGATCGGGGTTCAATTCCCCGTCGCGGAGTTCTTTTTTTAAAGTTTTGTAATAATGTAATATCCCCGATATTACTGTTTAGGGTTTTTGTTTAGAAAATGTAATAGATGAAAATCCGATTACGAGAGATATACTCTTCTAGACGCTAAAATAGATAGATATAGCTTGATTTTGTAATAACCCTGAGGTTATGTGTTTCTGATAACAGTTAATCTTGTTGAAATCTCAATAATATTTCACTTGGATAGATATAAGATACAGACTCTTTCTATATCTCTAGATGTAATATTCCTATATATCTATATATCTATATCCCTAATCTAAGATAGCGTAATAGTATACATTTATGTACGATATATCTCTACTTAATTAATCCTTGGTTCCTTGTCCCTTCCTTGCTTCTTGGTCGCTCTCTTGTACTTATGTTGGTTACTCCTGCTTTTATCTATGTTTGTAAAATTTTGCAAAAAGGAAAGTTTAGAAAAATATCGTCAACTCTCATTTTTTCTAAACAAAGCCCTAAACAGTAATATCACGGATATTACAAGTTTTATTGTTCATATATCGCTTACGAAGAAAGTGATTGTCCTTGCTGAAGTATCATATTTATAATGGAGGAAGACCTGTTACGAAAAATATATTCTTTTCTGTAACATAAAGTTAGATAGATGTTTCTTGGTTATTCTGTATGTAAAGTACATAGACCATGCTGTATACATGAATTAAACAAAGATACACACATATACAGACATGCATATGTAGTACAGTGGGTAATCCCTGAGTCTCAAGGTGGAGGATTGGTACTACTACATGTACAATGGTTATTTATTGAGTAACGGATCAGGTTGAAGGATTTTGGAAGGTAATAGCCACATCAATCTAGTTTAAGAGATCATTCGTTATTAGACGGTATTTCAAACGTGATTTATAAGGGGTTATCTCAACTAATATATTACAATATATATATTAATTGTATAAACGCTTACAAACTAAGCAGTTGTTAATTCTAATCAAGTTAATATTTAAAAAATCTTGTTTTGTTTTTTTTTTATCATTATTTTTTTTGGTAAAAACCTAGCAGAGGCCGTAAATTTGGTGGTGTTTTTAATTATTTCTGTCATTTATCTCAATAATCAGAGGTCTCTTAAATAACTTTTGTCAGTAATTTATTACCTATGTCGATCTGATGATCGTTCAAATGTACATACGGTTTAAATTTTGAGTTTTGTCTCTTTTAAGTCTTTGGCCTTGATATTAAACGTTATTAAGAAAATATGTATTTCAGGGTTTATATTTAGAATTTTTTACATACAAGCAGTTACATGTTAAATACTAAAACCTTGGAACATTGTAATAAATTACTCAAGAAAAGTTTTGTTTTTAAATTTATTAGTCAAAATTTTTGAATAGAAAATAGAAAGACTAATAAAATCCTTCAAAACTAAAAATGTAAAGTGTATAATTTGTCG